CCAACTCTGGTTCCTCCAACTCTGGTTCCTCCAACTCTGGTTCCAACTCCAACAACGCCGGCTCTGCTTCCCCATCTGGCAATGCTGGCTCCAACTCTGGTTCCAGCACTGGCTCCAGCTCCAACAGCCCCGTCCAAGCCAACGAGGGTGCCATGGCTTTCGCTGGAAAGGCTGCTGCTGCCCTCGCCGTTGTCGGTGGTGTCGCTGCTCTCTTGTAAATGCTCTCTTCTTGATTGTTCTTTGTCTATCGATTTCCTCCTAGCGACTGAGCCAGCTCGGGCGCGGAGGTAATTCGTGGACGGTGACGGTTGGGAGGATGGGTTGGGTTCGGGTTCGCTGTTTCAAGTGTCTGATCTTGCACTGACTTTGGTCTTTTTTGGATTGAGGGACGATGTGGAGTGAAGATGTTGATGCAGAGGACGGATCGAACGGTATTGGTGGAGTGTTATGTTTGCTTGTAATATATTGGTGTTAGGTGAGGACTTAATTGGGAGGTATGATCATGACCATGGCTCTTTTGAGCTTGGTCTGGTCGTATCAGGTCATGGTTGATCCACTTCTTTAGCTACCGAAAGGTGCTAAGAAGATGGGCTTGCTATGAATGTGTTTTCGATTCTTGTGGAGTCAGTGGTTGTAGACTCGGGAGAAGTTTTAGATTAGACTTTTTGTGCTTCACAGGAGTTCAGTTCTGTATGTAATACGAAAAAGAGGTGGGAGTTTAGTTCTTCATGAAACATAAGCTTTCTTTAATCTTCCTGCTTCTGTGTGGGTATGCTTGTGGGAATAAATTTTTCGTGGTGGTTAGGATCATGGCTACGGGCTGTTCAGACCAACTCAGTTTTAACACTCATATCCCATCTGCTAGTTTTGTTGGCTTCATATACTAAAGACTTACTAGTTATAGCTCGGGCAGAGCTGGATTATGCCCTATGTTATGCAATAAAAGAAGAATCTGAATAGTTTTATTGGCCTCAGGTTGTGAGTTCAGGTATAACTTGTCCCCTTGCTCTAAAGATTTGCCAAAAACGTTGCTTGGTCAAAAATGCTAACGTACAAGAAAAAATATTCTCGAAAGTCGATTGGCTTAGTCCATTTACTTACTTCTATTCAAATATCTGTCAAGTTATAGCTTTTCTCATAGACTTGACAAGACGCCATTGGCTGAAGGCTGTCAATTCACCTACAACATACCCTTTTGTACAAACGGAATGTTAAACAAACGAGGGCTTATGCTTAAAGTCAGATTTGACGACTCCACCCAACCTCAAACTTAAAGCCTAGCATTAACATACCTTTCCTCCCTCACCCCATCAACAAAAACATCCACCTTCTCATTATAAAAACACAACCTCCCCGCAACCAACGCACTCTCGCTCGTCGGATACCTATAATACCACACGGCATCCTTGATCTCCCTCCCTTTAACTTTAACATTATAATAACTACTCCACATCAGCTCCCTTCTATCCCCTTTATCATTCAAAAAGAAAAACAAATAGAGGGAAATAAAAACAAACTCACGTCGCCATCCCCTTATAAGGACAATAACTAATCGTCCCACTCTCGCTCAAAAACTCCCATTTAACATCCCCAGCATTAAGATAATACCTCGGCCTCAGCATCGTTTCGTAGAGGAAGACATTCTGGGCTGGATTTACCATTCATCATTAGCCCCCACCTTCCCCATCTTGCCTTCCTCTCCACAGCACGAAAGGAAAGGAAACTCACAACTCTCCGCAACAACCACACCCGCAACTTCAATCCTAACCCTCCTGCTACTGGGCAGCGTCTCGATTCTCTTATACGGATCCTTAGGATGAGGTCCCAGCAATTTCTCATCTTCCGCGAACCAATCGATCGTTGAATGTTCCACCCTAGGTAAACGCCATTCATTAACAAAGAATATCTCCAATGCATTAAATATCTACTTACCGAACTAACCCCCTCACCGCCTCCACGCTCGTCGACGAGAAAACAATAACCCTCTCCGTACTCCTATCCCCAACCCTCAATCTTGCGAGGTAAAATCCGTCCTCACCCTCACCCTTACCCTCAACCTTCTCAAGCACACCCTCCCTAAATTCGTTTACTGGGATGTAGAAATATGGATCTACCCACATTAACCCAGAAGAATAAGATAGAGATACAAAAGAAGAAACCCACAATAAACATCCTCCCAAACATAAACCGCCCCAAGCGTATCAAAGACCCATTCTCCGGCAAAGAGACCCCGTATCCGGCGGGGTGTGGATTCGCGTTTTACGGGGCCGTTTTTGGAGAGTTTTTGGGCGAGGGGGATGAGGCTTGAGATGTTAGATGTTAGGATTTTAGAGGGGAAAACGGGAAAGGGCATTGAAATGGGGTTGGGGGAGGAGAAGGTGGGAAGAGGGTGATGTGATGTGATATCACGTGGGGATTCTAAGAGGAAGTACTTAGGTAAGGATGAGATGAGATGGAAGGAAGAAGAAGAGAGGGCTTACTCTGCCATTTTTGGTGTTGGGAGGAATAGATTTTTGGATGTGGACAGAGAGGAATAGGTTAAAGTAAGAGAGATAATGTGTGAAAGATGAACTTAGTGCTTTGATGAATGATAAAGGAGGAATATCATTACTCAGCACTTTCGGATGACATGCACTATTCTGCGGGGTAATTCAGATCTTCAAGACTTCTCGAAGTCTTCGAACAAAGTGGGACATTGATAGCTTGCCAAACTTCACTCCATGCAAATAGTTGAATCATTGAATCAAATTGATATTTGTTGAATCTGCGCACACCCTGGTATTATACTTCCAACGTACTGTCAACCGGCCAAGTTCCAGGACCTCAGACTCCGTACGCCAATCCAAATCGCTCTCACCGACCGAAGATTGAACGCCTGCCCTTGAGTATCCCCTTATACCTACATTCGGACAAGAGTTCATACAGTAAGCACACTGGTATTATGAAGCAGAGTACTTGTGAAGCCGTTGCCAGCGGCTTTCAAGTACCCAGCCGTAGTAACACAAACATAAGAAAATCAGTAGTCCATGTCGATCGAAGCAGAGATTTCCTCACTCATACCTCTAACCGGACCTTTGTAAACCTGCTCATCCGCCTCGTCGTCGGCTTCATCATCGTAATCGTCGCAAAACTCGTCGCCATCGAACATGACATCCACTTCATCTGCGTCGACTTCGTCGTTACTCCACATAGTAACATCCTCTTCTTCGTCCAAATCTGCATCTTGATCATTAGCCACATTCGCCGCTTGATCACCTAACCAATATCTCGCGCGCTTATTCGCTCCTGTATCATATCCACTCGCGCTTCTTTTGGGCATAGAACTTCGTTGCCTGGGACTGTGAGTCATAACTGGAACACCTCGAACGTAGAAGTATGCCACTCTCTTCAACTCCTTATTAAAAAAGAAGTAGTTCAGAGACCATATGGCACCCTCGTCTTCCTCAAAAGGCTCATCAACAGGGGCCCAACAATAAACCGTGCACTCCTTAAGAGTCATTTCCTTGTCTATCAAGGACCACATTTGAGGGCCCCATGCCTGCGAGTTCGGAGACGCAGATGATGCTGTGGCATAGCTTGTCTGCGATGGGACTTGAAGGGTCATACCTGCTGTACTTGGACGCAGGTTGTAGAGTGTCGAATCAATGGTGTTAATAACGGCCTTGAGGCTTCGTTCCTTGCGGAAATCGCTCGGTCTTAGGATATGAGAAAAGTCATAGTCCGGATGGCTTGCATTAAGCGTTGCAATCAGGTATGCAAACGTTCGGCGGCTTGAAACCTGACTCAATGGGCCAAATGGACTAGATCGGGTTAAGTTCAGCGGTGATGGTCCCTCATCGTGGGGAGGTGAAACGGACGCCGATAATCGGAGAAGACTCTCATATTGTGATTCCAAGGAATTCTCAATATTTCGATATAGCTTCTTATCAGATCCGGCTGCCTTGGTTGTGTACAAATCCACAGAGCCGATAACCTGGCATTCGGAAGAAGTGAAGTTCAACGCGTTCGACACGTCGTCAAACGCGCCGAGAGGTATAAACTTCATCTTTGCGATTTATGATGTCCTGATCCTAGAGTTGTTTGTATCAACGCGATCAAGAGGAGGTGGGTGTTGGGTTTGCGCGTCGTCGAGAGGAAGATGTGGCGTTAGAGGCCGAGTGTCCTGGGGAAGATGGCACCTTGCGGATAATCTTTCAGACTCGGGCGAATAACAACCAGGGCTTGATCCCTCGAGTATCGCAGATGTAATATGACCTATCTAGGTTCGTGTGCTTTGAAAGCAGCTGTGTTTGTTGAGAGCAGTCGTTCAGGAAACCTGCTTTGGCTGAAGGACAAAGAATGACACGACCTCCGCTGGCTGGGGAGGGCGAATCAATTTGTACTTGAGCTAGACTCGCGTCTAGCAGGTAGAGGACATAGTGAATCGAATGATGGTTTTGTTGTTCGTGATGGTGAGGGTATGATCGAGGTTGAGTTGTATGCTGATGATGGGATGAGGAGAAGGTCGATTGCGACGACCTGATTGAAAGGCCGCTAAGCCTATAGTGGACTAGTCAACTCACAACAATGGCGACTTCCGTGGCCACTGAATCCGGGCACATGGCTGAGGGGTAGAGAAGAGAGGTCGAATATGCAATACGCAACATCAGAAAATACCACAGGTTCCTGTGGATAAATTAGCTTTCCAGAGAATGAGCGCATTCAAAGACACATGCATGAAGCTCGTTTGAGGAGAGATCGGCAACGGTTCTTTCTCCTCATCTGCCGAGAAGGTCCAGGTGATGCTTGATCTTGGATAGTGGGAGTGTTCAAAGGAATCAGTTGCACGCATAAACATTATCATTAAGACCCAGGTTATGCCTGGGTGAGATTTCTCTCTTTGATATCACAGAATGTTCCACGTTTCAGACTTCTCTCGGGCAAGTATCATCGTAAGGTTGGGTCCATGTTGGGTCGTGGAGTGGTATGCCTCGGTGGCAGTGGGAGAGGGGTAGGTTCTTTTTAAGGAGGATGGTATCTCGTAGTATTCGAGAATTGGTGGCCAGTGAAGAATAGGGCTATGTTAATAGTTCAAGACGTTCAGCATGATTCAAGGGTCAAAGGATAGTGTCTGCAAAAAGTACTTATCATTAAGTCTTCCTTGCTCGTGATTCATCGCAGTGCCATTACCCAGGTTCGATGCCCGACCAGCTTCAAGTATCCGAAACGCCCGCTTATGACTGATCCTGATATCCCTTTTCGTTTTCCCAGCTCTAATGCAACGAACAGTATGGAAGGTGGAAGTGTTCGAAGTCTCTTCAGAGAATGCCAGATTCGACCAGGCCGTTGATGATTCCTTGTTCGGCCTAGAGGATTGGGAAGAGTCAAATTAGCACGCATAATAGAGAAAAATGTCTTGAATCTGATATGTATTTCCTGAGCACCTAACGCCAGCGCCCATATCTTTGATATACATAGAACAACATCATAGTTCACATGATTTTCGTGACCTCTTCATCGACCTGGTGTAGGGGTAATTCGTGTCAGTGTATGAGAGGATGTGGGAATATTTATAGGGTAGAAAACTGCTCAACAACTTCGAGCCGACCCCTTTGACAGCCACACTACACCGCACTCACCTCAGTATCCTCTATCGAGTCTTGAGCTGATATTACTCTGAGCACATTCTTCTTGCTGCTCTCCTGCATTTCTCCTGCTAGCAGCAACTCGTCGAGGATGAAATATGCCTTTTGGAAGTTGAAGATCTGCAGAACATAAGTCATTTGGTTAGAGAATGGGTGGTGCTTTCTTCGATGGGCATACAATATCTAGCTAGAAGGATGTCAGTGTCTGCAATGAAACTTGTTTGGAGCTGCTGCCTACCTCGCACACATTGCCATAGTACTTGTCCATCTGCTCGACATATCGGTGGACGATTTCGAGGGTGATGAGCTCATTATCGGTCGAAGCACAACCTGCGATGAAGAAGAGGGATGCATAACGTCGATAGACTATCTTCGAATCTGCGGGGTTTCTGTAAGCATTTTGCACGAGCAAGCATAGCGCAGACCGACCTTTGTACTCCAAGAAATTGCACATCCTCGTCCGCCGAGCCAGTACGAGTTGGGAGACATCCTTAATGATCTTGGCCTTCTCCTTCGGTGATAATGTGGTGAACCACTTCGCGAGCCTCTGTTGACCGCTTTAGCATCGTGTCCTGGAGCTCAAGAATGTGAATGGTAACATACGACTTTGCCTTGCCGCGAGAGCAGAATCAGATAGCTGTATCATGTCAGGCCCAACTCCTCATTCCGGCATAGTTCTCTCGGACTCACTTGATAGCCATCTTCGCAGACGGCAGATGCGGAAGAAATGCTCCTCGAAGCTTTCGTGGATGTTTGGTGTGCGCTCAGCCAGAATTGCAGGGATCGTGAATGGCACAACGGCATTGTCTCGGGCAAGGCTTTTAGACCCCTCGCCCGCCGCGATAACCTTGAAATTAAATCTGGACTGCTCACTAATTCATTTTCTGCACAACCTCTCCGGTTGCGCCTTCTCTTGTAAATACTTTACGGCCTGTCTTATTTTCCCATGTCTATATTTCTACAACCATCTTTACTATTGAATTTTGGACTCTAGAATCTAAGTTTTGGACAATCACAGCACCGAGTTCGCGATCTGCCCCCACCATCCTCCCTCTCGTCCAATCCTTTACCACCACCAAACTTAAACTCGGCTTTTTCGTCCAATTCTTACTTCACTGTCTCAGACTAGCTGTCTGCAGTGTTGTAAACATGACGCGCCTAATCCTCTCTACTTCGTGAGTATAACATTACACCAAAAATGATGATCTCATGCTAATCGCAACTTGTATAGCAATATTATGACCGGTGGACCTTCTATAATAAGAAAACCAGGGGCAGACCGATCGAATCTCGAGCTCACAAACTCCCTCCGAAGCAATTTTCTGGCAGCGCAACAAGATTATTCCCCTCCACTCTCCGCAACGAATAGCGTTAGAGACAGTTCCGATGAAGACCAAATCTCTCGGCCACAAGCCTCGGTCTGGACATCGCGTCATGGTTCCGAATATTACATTCCAAAGATAGACTGGTCAATGTCTGGTCTTGCGGAAGAGCCAAGTCAATACGATATCACAGTCAAGTTGTTCTACTTGAAGGAGGCAGATGTTAAGGAGAGACCACAGCATACCAAAGATGCGGTAAATCTGGTCTTGAAAGAACTAGGAGTACCTTCGATTGATCTCTTAATCGTTTCGTTCCCAGGAATGTCCTTTGAGGGTGACTGCGAGTGGGAAGCAGACAAGAAGAATTCGGCGCAAGGCAATGATGAGGAGGAGATCGCATCCTGGTCAGTTCTTGAAGAACTACACAACAATGGTGTTGTGAAGAGGTTGGGTCTCGCAGAATTTGGCAGTGAAAAGCTAGCAAGGTTTCTTGCAAGAGTCAATGTCCGACCGCAAGTCGACCAGGTTAATGTCAAGGACTGTTGCAATGTCCCGCCACCACTAATGAAGCTGGCAAAGCGGGAGCAAGTCGAGCTGCTCACACATAATGATTGCACGGACATCCTTCCAAGCGGTACTTTAAGAGAACTATTGGGCCAAGGGGTTAGAGGAGCAGGAATCCTTTCTGAGACGAAGAGGGGAATTGATGGGATGAAAGGTGATTTGACCCCGGAATGGGTGGTCAAATATACTGCAGTGGTTCGAGACCGAGGTGTAATCGAAAATAAGGGATATTTTGCCGTTGCAGAGCTGAAGGAATGATGGTCGAGTGAGGTAAATGGAGGGATACTTGGATACGGCGTTCGGCGCATGGCGTTATGAGCAGCACATTATAAGCGTAAGACGATTTGTACATAGACAGAGCCGTGCATGTGTTTGCATGATACGCCAGGACTTTGTCTTGGGAGGAGTAACGAATTCAACCTAACATGCTTCGTTTTCTACCCCTCATCCTTACATCTTCCAGCTTTTTGAGCACGACGTTTGCACCCTTGAAGCTCTTCCCATATGCAGTCAACATCTCTTTCAGCAATGACTCAGCTCTTGGATGTGTACTGCCAAAGGCTCGTTCCAGCACATATAGGTCCACAGCCCTGTCCTCGTCAGCTGTACTTTGACTCGCAAGTCCGAAATCAATCAACACAATCTCTCCCTCCAATATCCCCTTTCCATCTTCACTCGAATGGCCATTCATAACCCCCTTCGCCCACGGTCTTAACATCAAATTACTCGTCGTTAAATCTCCATGCACAATACCAACACCATGCATTTTCCCCACCGCACTCCCAATCCTCCCCATCAAATCCACCAATTCCTCTTCTTCACTCCCTTCCTCTGTACCAGCCTCTTTCCTCCTTCTCAACCACTCATTCAACCTGATCCTCACCACCTCGCCCTCAATCCATTCAATACACAGCCATCCTTTGCTCTCATCCAAAGCATACACCGCTGGAACAGGAACACCTTCTTTCCTACATTTCACCAACACTCTCGCTTCTGCCAGGATTCGATGCTTGGTTAATCGGACATCGAGGATGGGATGTCGGTATGGCTTTGAGGGACGGTATTTAAGTGCGCAGGGAAGGGTTGGGAGGAGGTAGGTTGATTTGTAGAGCAGGGCTTCTGCGCCTTGGGTTATGAGTTGTGGTGGGGTTTTGGAGGGGTAAGTGAGGATTTGTGGAAGATTTGCTGGTGTGGAGGAAGTTTGTGAGACAATTGGTTCTGGTGGTACCGTTGGGGTTTCCATCTTGGTATATTTGGAGAGAGGAGAATATCCTTGAAAGTATGGCGGGGATGCTGTTGTCAAATTTCTATAATTTTGGTATTATCGCGGGGTCGTTTTATGAAAACGCCTCAGGCATAAGTTTTATGAAGCGCGTTATGAACAAGTCAGAGCGACATTTCCTCAACCTCAGCTCTCTTCCATCATTCATCCATCACCAATTCATCAAATGTCTCAAGTATCTCATCGTTCATTCACAACGTATCATTTCCTCACAGTTCTCTGAATCATACAGAACATGTCTTTTGCAACACCTCCAAAAGCCAATGACCAGAGACCTGCAAGTGCTAGGGTCACGATTGGCTCACACCGCTCAACTCTCACACCCCAACCGCCTTCACGTTCCCTTCCATGAGTTCCGTCATCTTTTGCCTCTTCTCATTAATCCCATTGTACAACGTCTCCAACATCTCGGAAACCTTACACCATGCTCTGACTACTGAAAACTTGAAGCAATTCCCATGCGATGGCAGAAGCGCATAGTGATTTGCCCCTCCTAACTATTGTCCTCCTCACCGCCGCTTGTCTACTTTCACTCGTGGTCCTCGTTCAGGTTGGCGCAACGTACACGTCGGCATATCTAGCCGCTCCTTCCGAAATAACGACTTTCATCGACACGGTCGATTACTCGATCTTGGAGAATGAGTCGTATGACAAAGATGTTGGGAAGGTCGCGAGATTAGAGGACAAGCTACGCTTGGGGAAACTGTTGCGCGAGATCCAAAGATGTGGCGATGATCTGCGAGAGGATTTGAATGGATTACTTGTTGATGAAGAAGGGACGAAGATTAAGGCGGGTGCGAGGTTACTCTGGGGACATCAGAGGAAGCGACTTGAGGAGAGAGTGAGGAGGATGGATCTTCTGCGCATGAGGTTTCTTGTCGTTTATATGGGATGTATAGCCGCGACGAGGACACCTGAGAAGGAAGAGAAGAGTCTGGAGAAGCTACATATTCCCAAGGCACCAGGACGGCCGCCTATATTGCATGCTGTTACGGAAGGACATGCCAGACGAGTACCCTTGAGGAGGTTAACGACCCAGGCAATGGGTCATAACGATCATGTGGGAAGCCCACAGAGGATGGGCTGGGCTGGTGTAGTGGCTGAATTGCAGAATTCTCCACTGATGCACAAGAGACACGCCTCCATTGAGAGCGCGATGGGGAAGGCGGGTTGATGGTATGGATTTTCTATTCCCGGACAATCAGCCACAGGCATCATACGTTTGCTCTCTTAAGCAACACGACACAAGACGACTACCCTGAAAGTCGTCAAATAGAGAGGAGGATTTCACACGTCTTATACTAACGTTACGGCCCCAACACCATCACCGAGTCCTGATCAACGACCATTTCTTTCCACTCACGGCCTCAACTTCCATCACGAATACTATGAGACTCGCCACACTTTCACGCTTTATCACGACCCAATTCAATCATCAGTCACGAGCCACGATTCACGACAAGCATTTAGAGGACGGGGAGGTGTATGCAATATAGGAAGTTCTATGCATAGCGTTGCGGAGATTTTGGATTGAGAGAGATACCCCTGTTTAGCATACCTTGGTTTAACATGTCATTAATACTTCCAACATTTGTGTTTTCCCCATGAATTAAAGCACTTTGTGTCAATAGATGACTTCCGGTCTTACATGTTCAGCGCAAGCCTCCTTGTGATTACTGTAGTGAAATCTAAAACTTCTAACAAAGGAATTCTACCCAGAAACATGTCTTATAGCACAAAACAGCTTCAAATACCTAGGTATAAATTGGTCAAAACACCAGCCCAAAAACCTCATGCGCAATGCCAAAAATCAAACTAGTCCCCAAGAGGTGAAGCTTGCCCCGCCGACTTCGGTGTCCAAAATCTCACCCCGCCAAAAGCTCTCTCTTCTCTTCACCTCTCCCCCATCTCCCATAATCTCTCAAACGCGACTGCGGAAGCCAATTGAGTCAAAAAGGAAAAGGTGCAGACTGTTAGCACGCGCTTCCATTGCTCTCAGTCTCATTCCTCTCAATGGCTACTACCGCAGAAGTGGGGCTGGGAAAGGATGTGGGGGTTATGAACGCGAATGAGAGTCTGGAGGTGGAAGAGATTGATGTTCAGAAGGTTGAGAGGGTTTATAGGTATGCATTTCTTGTCTTGTGTTTTGGGAGACAGAGGATGTGTGGTTAACAAGAGAATAGGAAGATTGATCGTCGCATCATACCAGGTACTATCCATTGTCCAACCATCTCTCATTGTCTATTTTCATAATGAATAATGTTCTAATTACCAACAGCCTTCTGGATCCTCTACTTCCTCTGCTCAGCAATTCGCTCCAATGTCGGTCTCGCTCAAACCATGAACTCCTCCTCAGGTCACGACCTCGAACAAGTGCTCCACTTGACCGCAAAACAGACTTCCACAGCTTTAGCACTGTTCTATGTAGCTTACGTCGTGTTTGATTTCCCGAGTAATCTTATCATGACGAGGTTAAGTCCTAGGGTGTGGATGAGTCGGATTGTGCTTGCGGTAGGGATTATTGGGGCGTGTTTTGCGGCTGTGAAGGCGGCTTGGAGCTTGTTGTGAGTTTTACGTCAAAGCTTGATTTTTACAGAATGGTAAATTGACTTGTTACAGACTTTTGAGATTCCTGCTAGGAGTCGTGATTGCCGGTATGTGGCCAGGCATGGCATACTACCTCACGCTCTTCTACCCACCTTCCCGCACCGGAAAACGAATCGGGCAGTACTTCACAGCTGCTCAAGTTTCAGCAGCTGTCGTAGGACTTGTCTCTGCGGGTTTCCAAAAAATGGACGGCTTGGGTGGACTCGTAGGTTTCCAGTGGATGTTCTTGCTCTATGGACTATGTGCTGTTATCCTTGGCTTCGTCCTCTTATGGTGGTTACCGGATAGACCGTTGCCTCCTGGAGAACGGAGACAGAGGACTGGGTTAATGAAGTGGCTTCCTGCTACTCCACCTGTTCTTACTGGCGAGGATGCGGAGATTCACTACCGGGATCTCACTAGGGTCTATCATCCGCGACCTTGGAACTTTAAGGATCTTGGGTTGGTGCTGATTGATTGGCGGCTCTGGCCATTGGTTCTCATGTACTTTGGAGTTGTGGGTGTGGGTATTGGAACTCAGCTCTACGGGACAGTCATCATATCTGGGATCAATCCAGACTTCTCGGGCATCACCTTGAGTTTGCTCTTCGCCCCTATCTGGGTGGTAAGTCTCCATTTCTCATATCTGTAGTCAAAGCTAACAGCTATAGATGGATCTCATCGCAATCCTCCTCGTAACACCAATCTCAGATCGTTTCCACCATCACCGAGCCCTCTTCTTCTCTCTAGCCGTCTGCATTCAAATCGCCGGTCTCCTCACCACCACCTTCGCTCCTCATTCTCAACCCTGGGCCCGTTACGGCGGTCTCCTGATGGTAGGCTTCGGTCTCGGCCCCACAGTCCCCATCTGCATGACCTGGACAAACGAGATCTTCCAACGGCGCCACGGCGAAGTCGGCGTCGCCGCCGCCTCAGCTCTAGTCTCTGGTCTCGGCAACCTAGGTAGTATCATGACTACTTACGCTTTATATACCGGATGGCCAGAAGACGCTAAGGAAGGACCGCATCAATACCGCAAGAGCAATCTGACCATGATTGGGATCTTGTGCTTGAGTATTGTTAGCAGTATCGTCATGACGGTACTCCTCAAACTCGTAGGCAACAAGCCTAGCTCCAAGATCCAAAGCAGTGGCAGCTCTGCTTCCGAAGGCGAGCAATTCCAAGACGCGGCCGCGAGACGAGAACTACAGCAACGCGGATTCGGCAGGATGTGGTGGAGCAAGTAACCCCTTCCTCAACACTCTGGAACGAGTCTTCAACAGACACCCGAAACATTTTTCCTTTCCTTGATCTCCTTTGTCAAAATATATATAATAGCGGGGATTTCAACATCACATGATTTTATGCCTGGTTTGAGCGAAGATACCCATAACGCGTTTAGATATGCTATCATTCAGCGGCCACGGCCCTGACAGCAGAAATGCCTTCTGCGCTACTGCTGGGATCGGCGTATTGGACAAGGACGACGGCTGGCGACAATGTTTTGCGCTATCGTCGGCTGTCGTTCGTGGGATTTGTTTTTGTTTTTGTTTTTTCGAGTAGTATATAGTCGTGGTAGCAAAGAGCAGGCGAGGGTTGAATATATATATATATATATATTGTTTGCTGCTCGACTCAATGCCCATGCAGTTGTGTAGTACTCTGCTTTGTTTCCCCGCCCGCCCTCGACTCGAATTCGTGTACAGCCATGCTTTGGTACAACATTTGCACGCCCTTATACTCATCGCCCATCAACCAAAAGAGCTTCCAGCCACATCACCTGCACTCTAGACTCAGCATATCACCCAATGAAAGCTCTCAAAAATTCGAGACTGTGCATATCAATTCTTATCCCAGTCCAATAAAGTCCCCCACATTCACGGCCATGCATAAGCCACAGGAAGAGCTGATTGGATACATGCAGAAGCTGAATACTACCCTGTACGCACATTTCTGACCTGGCAGCCTCGCATCCATGTTGAGGCTTAAGCATAGCCCCGCTCTCGACGATTATATGTGCACCTCACCTCATCCGAAATCTCTAAACAATTTTGTTGTTGAGTCCTAAATAATGTCTTCAAAAACAGACAATATGAGACTTTCTACTTACATCAACTTATAACCTCACCTTGAGACTACACACATACTCCCGACGAGGCTCCCACCACCATGCCACCGCCAATCTTCAAACCCCGCCGCCGCCTCACCCAGAACCGTCTGAAATACGGCATCGGCCTCACCATCTTCATAATCCTCACCTACCTCTACCTCTTCCCCTCCTCCCCCGTCCTCCGAATCCTCTCCCGCCCCCAGACCCCCTCCCCGCACCACACCACGGCCTCCAACTCCACCCTCGGCGTGCGTCTCTCCCTCCCTCTCCCTCCCATTTCCTCCCTCACTAACCCTCCCTCACAGTTCCAAAAAATCCTCGTCCTCTCCACGCGCCCCTCCTGGCGCACCCGCGGTCTCCACGCCGCCGCCGCCCACACGAACCTCGACCTCACGATCCCCAACCAAGCCCTCCCCACCGACGAACTAATAACGGCCTTCCAATCCCTCGGGCCCTCCTCCGTGAAACACCCTTTGCGCGGCGAAGCCTTCAACTGGCTCGCGCACCTGGACCTCATGAAGCTGATCGCTGCACAAGACTACACCACGGCGCTGATCCTCGAAGACGACGTCGACTGGGACGTTTCGATCAAGGAGCAGATGAAGCTTTTGTCTGACGCGGTGAGGGAGTTTACGTACGCGGCGCCGGAAGAGGAAGGCCCGTATGGGGAGCGGTGGGATGTGTTGTGGCTGGGACACTGCGGGGAGCCGACGAGGCGGGATACGCGGCGGCTGGAGTATTTCGATGCTTCTGTGCCGGCGATGGGGAATTACAGCGGGTGGGCGGCGCGGTATCACGACGGGCTGAGCGAGGGGGTGAGGGTCGTGCAGCGGGCTGTGAATCCGGTGTGTTCGTTTGCGTTTGCGGTGACGCGGCGGGGGGCGCGGAAGATTTTGAAGTGGGCTGGGAAGGGGGAGAATGAGGCGTATGATATTAGGTTGATGCAGGGGTGTAAGGAGAAGAGGTTGAGTTGCGTGGTGGTGAATCCGGAGTTGATGCATCATTATGTGCCGCCGAGGGAGTTTGGGCATATTAGTAATGTGGCCGAGGGGAATGGACGCGCGAGTGAGGCGGAGGAGGAGGAGTTTGAGCGGATTATGGGGAACACGGCGAATGTGGTGAATAGTACGAGGTGTAGGGCGCTTTTTGATAGTACGTGCATGCGATGAAATGGAATAATGGGGTTTTGAGATTAACCTGAGGACTGTTCCAGAGGATATGTTTTGACTATGGGTCATAGCTTCAGAGGTGGGCATTTATATCTCAGCATTTTCAAGCTGATAGAAGGGGCATGAAGGAAACTTTCCTAACTGGTCGATGAAAAATTCCCAATGATGAGGAGACGGCGGTGTTGTGTTGTGCTGAAGGAAACTCTAGCTGATGTAGATTGGCTGCATAGGAAAACTAATCTTCTAACAACGAATGTTATGGGCTTGACTCTGTAGATACAGGCAGTCGAGCAACTTCCTCGAATCCCTATAGTATGGCAAAACCCAAAAAGAGGCACAAACAGACTATAAGCTTGTACTGAGCAAATTATTCATGAAATGTCAATTTGTAAACTATTGCTACTGCTATAGTACACAGCTCGTCTAACGAGAAAGGAAACAAGCAACAATCGTCTAAAAACGCCTCGCTAGCAAAAGGTTCTGGAGATGCACGCTTGATGCTAAAGTGAGCTATGAAATAGGAAAAACAAGTTCTACTCATCGTCTTCTGATCTCGTCATTATGTCCTCCTCCATCAACGCCACTAGATCCAACCCGTGCCAGCGAAGTATCGCAACTTAGGGAGGCGGAAGGTAATCAAGCAATGAATTCCTCTTCCAGCCAATGCTTCAAGACGACTCTGCCCTCGTCGAAATTCGGCTTGTCAACTCGTACAATGATCGCAGCATGACTATGCCTAACCTTGTGGATATACACTGGGTACTTTCTCCAGCCTACACTATCCAGAGCTTGGATCATGCGGAACTGGTAAGGAGCCAATGCCAAGGTTGGTGCATCATGAGTCTGAGTTGGCTTCTCATCACTGTCGAGACTTAGCTTCGATATAGCATGTGAAGATTGAGGTCGCTCGAGAACAGGTGAAGCGGGCTCAGATGCAGCCTCTTCTTCGGTGCCTGCAACGAGATACTCGTTACTTTGTGCTGAGTTTAGGTTCTCGTAAACGTCTTCGACTGCTTCACGCATGCCAGTGATCAAAAGTGGAACACGATAATTGCCTGGTTGAATGCCTGCCAGCCCAGACTCATGGAGACGAATACGTCTGTTCGAGCGCAGGGATTGAACGCCTGAGTTGATCAGAAAGGCAACGACGCCAAATGGGATGAAGAACACCATGGCTATGAGGAAAGGTAAGCGTCCAATGGTCGTCTGGGAGTTGCGAATCAGAGTGCCATAATAAGTTTCGTCTGGCTGTTCAGGTTGAGTCGAAGCGACCGGAGATGCTGGATCCAGAATGACATCCTCGTAGCCTTTGAGGTAATTCAGCTTAAGCTTGTCTAGATCTGTGAATGGATCGGTTTTGGAGATGCCAGTCGTGTAGTATACGGCACTTCTATCGTTGATAATGTTTGTGTAGAGTGTTCTGCGTTCAAATTTGGCAAGGCCTGGTTATGATCAGCAAGCATTCGAACGAGAGAGGAGGGGATATTATGGTTTTTGGATTGGGTATATTGGAGACATCCTTGAAGCTCCAGTAGGAGACGTAAGAGTCCTAATTTCAGTTCGTAACGGAAGCAATGGGGTGGTTGATCTCCTTACCCTTGATGAAAATTGACTCTTGGTCTCCGAGTACTTCTAGCAATGGTTTGCCTGTATCTCGGAAGTTGTCTATCGTGAAGAGTTGACGACCTGAAGCAGATAATGTCCGAGCTCCTAAAACATTCCAAACATGATTATGCCAACCACGAAGTGGGGTTCGTACGCCGAGATGAGGGGTCGCAAAGGTAGTGAAATTCTGGAACAATGTCAGCCTCAATCCTCTTTCTCCCAAGCCCAGGAGAGACCACGCTTCTGCACGTACTACTGGCTTAATCTTATCGAAGAATCCTTTGCTATCCAGCAGACCAACAGCATAACGAGCCACCAGACCACCCAGAGAGTATCCGACCATGGACATTCTTTTGATCTCTTGTCCTGCTGCCGCCAACTTCTCTATCTCCTCCTCAATCTCCTGGCAGACTCTCTCGCCACCACGTTCGACACCATCGTAGGTAAAACTGCCACTGTTGCGTTTCGCGACCAGAATATGCAGAGACTGCTCGGGATGCTTAGCACGTAAGGATTTGGCCACGACCTCCATATGCGCAGGGTTGCCCCATAATCTGTCAGTTATCAGTCAACACAGGCTCTGTTGGTTGTCTGCGGCGCACCTGCATATGCAGGTTGGAAGCTCACCCATGGACTAGAACACAGAGGTGCTCGGCCTCACGGCTGCTGGTACCGGTATAATCCATATCTTTTGGTATAAGGAAAGCCCGGTCCAAAGAAGAGAACGAGAAAGGAAGCAATGCGACGATGGAGATAATAAACGGTCGGAAAGTCTGCCTCGAAAGTAGTTTCGAGACAAGACTTTCTAACCAGTTGACCAGTCAAAGCACTGGGCTGAGAGAGTGACCGAGTCCGATGGTGCGGTAGGATGCGGCGACGGCGCAAGGAAAGGTCCGGTGGTCTTCTGCACAGCCTAAAAGCTCCAGTGAGTCTGCACGATGACGAGGACACAGTCTAATATGGCACGGCTTAAGGCCTGCACTACGGTGGGGACGGCTGTTGAGGTTAGAAACCCAAGATCTCGCGAGAAAAATTCACTTCGAGCGTCTGGAAGGATTTGTGTAAGAAGAAAGAAGAAGAGGAGAAGAAGAAATCCGCACGATGAAGGTATTTAACCTTTATTTAGCGTGGAGGCACCCGATAACGGTAACACGAAAGATAACAGACCCAGCGCTTTGGACACCGCTGCGCTGTGCTGTCACTGGATGGATCTCTTGGCGAGCCTGCAATGAAATATTATGGAAAATATGAAATAATGAAAATATTATGTAAACAGAACAATACAAGGACGAAAGAGGAGATATTCTGGAAGCCAGAGGTGTGTTTCTTCCCATTCTAGAATAGAAGACAGAACAATAATTCAATTTTAACTCTATCTCGTCCCCTGAAGACAACTCAATATCCAAACAAGGCTGAAATTCACGGGCTACAGGGAACTGATGCCTGTATGGACCCCTGAGGCTGAAGATCTCTCGCTAGACGAACTTCATTTTGACGACTTCTTCAACCCGACAATCAACATTACAGCAACTCTCCACAACTCCAAGTCACTCAAGAGATTCTACTTTGCTAAGGCTCTCAGCTAAGATCTCGTGCCAAAAAGTGAATTATTCAAGCTGATATCGCATTCGAGGACAAGAAGCCGTTCTTTGAGAAGTTTGCTGGCCTTGTCACATCCCTGGAGTTGAACCCTCATTCTTCGCGAGGTCAAGTCACATCTTCAACAGGGTCTCTGAGCATCTAGAAGAGACTTCATGACATTCACTCGAATCGGTTTGAAGCTGGGTAGCCTGAAATTCGAAGCTTGTACAACGGGTGCTACAAGTGTTTGACAACTTTGCGCTTCGACCTAGGAAGCGTACTTAAATACCTGGGCATAAGTGCAACATCATTCAATTAGCCTTCGGTATCGACTTGTTTCTTCTCTACTTCAACACTCTTGTTCTTCAACACGCCAAATTCTGCATCACAATCCACGACACAGTGCACATGCAATCTATCACAAGTCCACGTGATTCAGCCACCTCGACTTACGAGGTCAGCCAATATCAATCATGTTCACCTCCAAAGGCCTCTTCTCGGAGATAATATGTCCACACAAAGACACGTGCATGTTACCCAGATGCATTTTCAAACACTCGGATACGAAGGCTGGTGGTTCAACAGGTCTCGAAGTCCAGGACGATGTGACACCAAGCAACGAGCAAGAGGGGCAAAGGAAAAGAATCAAACTTGATGACGAGGCTGAGCAGACTGTCAATGGAGACCTCGACAAGACAACAGCAACAAACACGTTGCTCAATAAAGTCTCTTCGAAACCATTGGCAACAAAGTCAGCATTAGCTGAGGCATCGAACAAGAAGAGTTTGGCAGCGACTCGGCCCATTTCTCCTCCTCCTTTACGACGAAAATCTGAGAATGGATCATCAGCCGGTGTCAAACATGCTTCAACGCCAAACAGTATTTCCACACCCAAATCCAAGCCAAAACTACCAGTTAAGGTTCCCTTGAAAGTAGAAGATCTAAACCCACGCACCCTCAGCATACCTGCTCCGGCAGCACATAATACTAGACTCCAATTAATACGATTTCTACATACCGAATTCGTTCGGCTCAATAATGAGCTAGAAAAGGATGCCAAGGACGATGAAGAAGAGCTCGTTTTGTCAGCACAAGCACTTATTACCAAAGCTTTGGATATTGAGGAAGACGCGGCTATGACTCAATCATTGATATACACAAATGTAGTCAAGAACAGAGTCCATGCCTACCGGAAAATGTCCGTCAAAACATGGGTCGAAGAACGAGCCAAGGAGGTTGCTGCGACGAAAGCTCGCGAGGGTAAGTCAGCTGCCCAGCCAACAGAACCACCAAAGACACTTGAGACTGGTTTAACTCCAGAGCAAGAGCTCAAGCTTTTACCAAGACTTCACACGCCTGTCACGGGGTTAACGGCTCACGGCTACGTAACCAACATTCCAACACCTGCAGAAATTGAATCTGCCAAGGCAGGAGTCGAAGCTGCCCAAGGCTGGGAAGTTTGTGATCGTTGCAAGAGTAGATTCCAAGTCTTTCCTGGCAGGAGAGAAAAAGACGGCGCTCTTACAGCTGGCGGAAAGTGCACACACCATTACGGCAAACCCTACTTGGAAGACAAATCGACTACAGACCCCAAAGCCAAGCGAGCAAAACGGTATCGGTGCTGTAATGAGGTAGTTGGTGAATCTGCTGGGTGCACGACGGCGGACACTCACGTCTTCAAAATCTCAGAAGTCAAACGAATGGCTAGCATACTGAACTTTGAGAAGACGCCTGATAATCCGGCCAAGGACTCAAGCAAGCCTGTTTGTATTGATGGCGAGATGGGCTACACAGTCTATGGTCTAGAGCTTATACGATTGACGGCAACTTCTTGGCCTAACGGAGAAGAGCTGTTCGATGTACTTGTCAGACCTGTGGGCCCTATCTTGGATCTAAATTCCCGATATTCAGGAGTGTGGCCCAAAGATATGGCAGAAGCACCCGCATGGTCTGATCATCCGCCGAAAAAGACGCCAACGAAGACTGACAGCGAGAACGGTAAACACAAGCTCCAGATCGTCGACTCTCCAGCCAAAGCGCGGTCTCTCTTATTCTCATTCCTCTCCCCCAAAACACCACTCATCGGCCACGGCCTCGAAAACGACCTAAACGCAACTCGCATGATCCACCCAACCATAATCGACACCGCACTCCTGTTCCCACACCGAGCCGGACTGCCCTTCCGCAATGGGCTGAAAGCCCTGATGGCCACGCATCTCAATCGGCATATCCAAGTGGTGATCGATGGGAAAATAGAAGGACATGATAGCAAGGAAGATGCAAATGCAGCAGGAGATCTGGTGCGATTTGCGCTGGGAAATGAGTGGAAGAAGATGATGAATGATGGATGGAAGATTGAGAATGGGATGTTTAAGCATGGGGCTGGGAGGGAATTAATCCCTTCTTCGGAGACGAAAGCTGATAAGTTGAAGGCGTTGGCCAGAGATGGGGCGGGCAAGAAGAGGAGTAGGGAGGAGATGGAGGAGGAGGATAAGAGGGAGAGGTTTGGTGGGTTGAATTATTAGGATGGTGGTTGTTGCTTGGGTTGAGGACTTGAGTTCTGCTATGGGAAAGGATTTTATGGCCGTGAGAAGATGATGTTTTCGAGGCCCGGCCCTTACACCTCTTGACCCTGGCAGGTATTAAAACGAAAGCTGGAGGTAAGATCACAGTCAGAGACGCATACAGAGTCGAAAGAAGTCCTCTTCTGAGCGCATGGAGAGGTCGGGACTTCATGAAATGGACATTAGGATAATTAGCCTTGATATTCGAGCACTGAGGAGAATCATCATATGTATAGCGATCCAGCCGAGCAGGCTTACTTCTCCTCTGCCACTTACTATCTCTTTCTGAGAAAACTCAACGAGGCGTTCGTTCAGCTAATGATAAGTCTCTTCTATTGTTGCAAAACTGAAAACGGAGGTATAATGAGATAATTGAAGAAACCACAATATTTTCAGGCTGAATGAATGAAGGCCAACAAATAATTCAGTAAGATAATTCTACTTCCAAATTCTGATTACTAGAACGATACAATCTTCAACAAAAGTCTCGTCCATCCTAAGGGTGGGCTATCACGTGCATGGCCATCACTTTACGCGACATCGACACGCCAAAACATCATCGACGCGTCTTCTCTTCGACCTTCAAACCTCCACACAACCACACATCCTCAACCTCACAACCAGCACATCACGATGGCACTCCTCGTAGATAAGCACCGTCCTCGCTCTCTCGACCAATTAACCTACCACAAAGACCTCTCGGAAAGACTGCGTTCACTGGTACACTCCCCTCCCCCTCCCCACTTCCTCTCTACAAACACTCACTCTCCAACACAGGCACAATCCGGCGATTTCCCCCACCTCCTCGTCTACGGCCCCTCCGGCGCCGGCAAAAAAACCCGCATAATCTGCACCCTCAAAACACTCTTCGGGCCCGGCGTCGAGAAGATCAAAATCGACTCGCGCGTCTTCCAAACGACCTCGAACCGCAAACTCGAATTCAACATCGTGTCCTCGATCTACCACCTCGAAATCACGCCCTCGGACGTCGGAAACTACGACCGCGTCGTCGTGCAGGATCTGCTGAAGGAGGTCGCGCAGACGCAGCAGGTGGACGCGAATGCGCGGCAGCGCTTCAAGGTCGTGGTTATTAATGAGGCGGATAGTTTGAGTCGGGATGCGCAGGCGGCGTTGAGGAGGACGATGGAGAAGTATAGTCCGAATTTGAGGTTGATTTTGTTGGCGAATAGTACGGCGAATATTATTGCGCCGATAAGGAGTAGGACGCTGTTGGTGAGGGTGGCGGCGCCGACGGAGGAGGAGATTGTGGATGTGCTGGAAAGAAGTGGCAGGAAGGAGGGGTGGAAGGGGGAGAGGGGGTTGAATGAGAGGATTGCGAGGGAGAGTGGGAGGAATTTGAGGAGGGCGCTTTTGATGTTCGAGGCGGTGCATGCGCAGAAGTATGTCTATCCCCTTTTCTCCTCTTCTATCATCCATATTAATATACAACAGCGAGAAAATCACACCTCAAACTCCCCTCCCACCCCCAGACTGGGAAGCCTTGCTCGGTACCATCGCGAGCGAAATCCTAGCTGAGCATTCCCCAGCACAGATCCTCAAGATTCGCGCCAAGCTCTACGACCTCCTCACTCATTGCATACCCGCGACCACTATCCTGAAAACGCTTACGTTCAAATTAATCCCATTGGTAGACGATCAAGTCAAGGCAGAGATTGTGAAATGGGCTGCGTTTTACGAACATCGGGTTAGGATGGGAACGAAGGTTATTTTCCATCTGGAGGCTTTCGTGGCGAAGGTTATGCGGGTGTTGGAGGAATGGGATATGAGTATGGATTTCTAGCTTAGGAGTATGTGTGGAGTAATGGATCATGAACAAGATAGCAAGCATGAAGTCTTGCATCGAAACTCGCTGCCTTTTACTTTTTTTGCTCGTTTCAAGAGCATCACCTCGATGCCTCATAGCCCATGACAATGATTGAGACTTGAGCGTCGAGTGAGACTGGAGAATGGCTGAGTCATAGTTGGCTCTGTTGTCCGTCGAGTTGCATGACCCCGCCTAGAGCGCAAATTGCGCTCACAGCGCGAATTGCGCGATTCGCGCAGAACGCGCAGAACGCTCTCTTGTTTCCTGGCAGAAAAGTTGACATCAGCATCCACTATCTGGCCATACATGAAGGCTCCTCAGGGAGCTTTTCCTGACTTGTCTTAAGCACTGGTGCTATACTTCATCCTACTGTTCAGAATCAAAGTTATAAAGAGACTCGTCAAGGCAAGAATGGGTTCGAGAGCATCACAACAAGTCTCATGCTGTAATTTGTCCACAATTACAACAACACCAAACATCATCTCATTCAACTACCTCCTAACTCCTAACATCCTCCAACCGAACACTAGTCCCCTTATCCTCCTCATCCTCCAACCCATACGTCTTATGCACAATCTTCTCCACATCCTCCTTCCTTCTCGTCTCATCCACGCTGCCGAACAGGATATCCATATCCTCCAACGACCGCCCCTTGGTCTCCTTGATGAAGAAGAAGACCCAGACGCCCATGCTCAGGCAGAAGATGCCGAACATTAGGAACGTGCGCCAGCCGATGTGCGCCACGGCATTTGGTGTGACTTCTGTGATGACGAAGTTGAAAAGCCTTTTTGAATGTGTAAGTTGGGTGATACCGTACATAGGATGGGAAAGGGAGGGAGGGAAGGGGATAACGAACCATTGCGTAGCAGCCCCCATGCCGACACCATAACTCCTCAACCTGGTGGGGAAGATCTCACTGAGGTAAACCCACGGAATGGGCCCCCAACTAGCTGAATACCCGATCACGTACAGATAAATCATGACCACCATCGCGATGCTGGCTGGACTGACGGTGTTGACGTTAGTGGGAGGGTGGGTGTGCAGGACGGCGCCGATGATGAACATCATGGTCATCATCCAGGCGGCACCGAAGAGCAGTGATTTGCGGCGTCCGAGCTTGTCAATGCCGATTATGAGGAAGATACCTGTTGTGATCACTTTCACGGTGCCGTAGACGCCGGTTGCGAAGAGGGAACTGTCGGTTTTGGATACGCCGACTGTTTGGAAGATTTGTGGTGCCTGGGGTGGTGGGTTAGTAATGGGAGTAGGTGGAAGAGAGAGAACTTACGTAGTAGCCAATACTGTTTGTGCCAGAGAACTGTTGAGAAGAATTGAGTTAGCAAATGCATTTGATACACTTCAGAGGTAGATATAGATGTCTTAAAAATGGCTCTAGGGCGCATGATTTGGAGAAGGACTCCAGATTCTAAGGGAGGGTATTATGCTCCGAGAAAACTTACTTGTTGCCAGAACCTACAAATCGAACAATGATTAGCTACTGTCTAGACTAAAAATTCGAACATAAACATATTGCGCGGACACCATTTCGGGGCAAGAGATGCTGATCTGCAAGCAGCCATAACCGTTCCCAAGCATCTAAGAAAGATAATATTGAAAGGATAAAGGATAAGTTGTGACTTACATGATGCAGAAACCCAAGAAGAACCTCTTTCTATTCGCAGGAGCGATACACTCCTTCCACGTCACGCCTTCAGTAGCCTGAAGCTCCTCATCAATCGAAGCTCTAATCTCAGCAATCTCCTTGACAATATCTGGATCATTGGGATCCTCTCGTCTCATGTATGCCAAAGAGTTCGTAGCTTCTTCGTAACGTCCCTGCTTCATGAGCCATCTTGGAGACTCCTTCAAGAAGAAGAGACCAATAAGAAGGAATCCACCAGGAATGAGTTGGATAGCAACGGGTATTCTCCATTGCTTGGTAGAAGGCTTGATATGAAGCGCAACTCCATAGTTCAGCCAATATGCGAATGTTGATCCGATGACCAGGAATTCTTGGAAGAGACCAGTAATTCGACCTCGGACTGCTGGTGGACAGTTCTCGGCGACAAAGACAGGGGTGATGGAACTCATGCCACCAATACCTAAACCAGCAATGACTCTTCCTGCGTAGATCTGACCGATTTCGTGGTGTGCTGAGGTTTGGACAGCGGCACCGACGAGGAAGATGAGTGAGAATCCCATGAGGGAGTATCGACGACCGAAGCGGTCATTGAGGAAGGCAGCGGCAATGGCACCAAAGAAACAGCCGGCGGTAAGCAATGAGACGACGTTGGAGGAGATTTTGGCATTTTTGGAGCTGGCAAATCCAGACGAGCCTTCTGGCAGACCAAAGTCTTTTTTGAAGCTGGTCAAAGCCAGAACAGAACCCATAACACCAGTGTCGAAACCTGCAGATTTGTCAGACCTTTCGAAGGATAAAAGAAGGTGGTTGACATACCAAACAGCAGTGAGCCCATGTAGGCAACACTGGTTAGGAGATAAACTCTGTAATTCTGTGTTTGTTAGCATAATTCCATAATCTGACGTTTTCAACGAAGACATTGAAGATTAGTCGATCTCAGGAAGAATGAAAAAAATGCTTATAGCTTCAACTCACCTTGAAGAACGAAACATTCGCCATATTGAGTATTCGAAACTTTCACTGCCTGGTGGCTATGGTCTCCAAGTCGTCTCGACGGTGCTCTTCAACCTCAGAAAGCAACCTGGGCACCATCCTATCTTAATATCTCACACATCTCCAAGCAATTAGTCTCCTCCCCACTTCCCTACATTATCGCCGTGCCCCAAGATCTGCAATATCAAGAATGATAGGGTATCTTGGCTTTTTCATTCGGCCCGTTTCATTCGTGGAACTTTTATCTCAACCGCAACATTGCGGAGCCGCCCCGGGGTCTGTCTTTCATTCCACCAATACCCCTTCGCGAGTCTCTCCGTGGGTGTTGCGGCGATTCTCGAAGGGATATGGTGCCGGATAACCAATTCCCATCTCCATGGGGTGTGTTGGGGACGAGAAGGTCACTCCAGACTTTCTTTGCGGGTTTCTTCTGGGGACTCCATTCGCCTCCATTTTCAGCTTCTTGGCCCACGGCACTACCGGCACAGGTTATGGATGCGCCCTGCTTTCTCCTCTCCACTTTATTATCATATCGGCCAAGGAGAAAATATCTCTCTCACAAACAAATAATTCCGAGAATGCTTCATCAGACAGAGAAATTGCTGACTCGGGACCTGATCTGTAATCGGATCTATCCTTCATCTCATCAATGGCTGCGTCTCAGGGCCAATAGGGCAGCTCAGGAAGTAAAAGTGCGCCTTCCGTCCGGCGTCCACTCTGTTGGTTTCGTTGGCTGGATATAATTCGGTCGAGATGCAGCAGCAGATGTCCGTGACTGCATATTGTCCTGCATTGGTGTGATGGGTGTGCAGAAGATGGGTCGATACATGTGATAGCGTTTGAAACTTTGTGACAATATATATCCATGTTCCACGAAGTGGTCAGGGCGGCCTTTCTGATGAAATGTGCTTTCATTTTGAAGAAGCCAGCGCTTTCAGAGTTGAGAGTTTGAGTGGGAAATGGCAGGATGTCCCGGGTGATGGAGACGACATCGTACCATGCATGCATGAGATAATGCACCGAGATGGAGCAAATATAAACTAGCTTGGGCTAATTCTATGGGCTCTCTGATTGTTCTCCTCCAGAAGATTCGAGGTTAGGCTCGAAAGAAAAGTACAGTCCTCGCATCGTTTCACCCAAAATCACAATTCGCGATTTGTTTGTGTTTTTCTTCCGCCGTCTTAGGTTGTTAGCACTTGCATACCTGACGTTGGTGTAATTGCGAATGGAGCACGAAATATGGAAGAAGGAAGACGTTTTTTTTGTGAGAAGTTGGACAGGAGAAAAGAAATTTTTCGTCCCGCTGGGAGAGATTCGGCAAGTGTCACATTAGGAAGCAAGTCGCTCCTTCCTCCTTCCTCCACAACCACTACAACTGCTATTCCAACTTGATGCAACGCCTTGTTCTATGACCCCCCTCGCGTTGTTATCATTCTCTATGTATATGTCGCTTGCTTTCCATATCTCCTCTGAGATGTTGAACCCTTCGATCATCGAAAGCCTGGGTCGGGGTCCACAATCTTGCCACAAATGCACTATTTGATTTATTCAGTATCTGCTTCAAATTAGATCAACAGCACAGCTCGGCCCTATCACAAGCCTCAAGATGAAATCGGAAATCGAGCGGATTTCCCGTCGCATTTCCCGAGATGGAGTCACTTCTGGAGCTGATTCAGATAATCAGTCATTTCTCAAACATATTCAGCTGTGCAAGTCGCTTCTGTACAACAATATTCCAAGACATTCAGCTGAATCTAGATTCACTAAACTTGATGTTCTCAATAATACCCGCTTTGGATCTGAATGGTCCTCATTGTGAAGATTGGATTTGGACAAAGTCCATTCAAATGGAACAAGTGGCTCAAGTTTCCATTCCAAGTGTTGGTATCTTGAGGACAATCCGCTGCCAGTCTATGCCACTCATCGACTGAGTAGAGAATCACCGTGAGACAGATATTTCGAGACTTGAGGCTAGGTAGAAGAGACTTCCGAGTTGTTCCACCTCAGGCGCTACTCTCCACTTCTCGAGTCCTTGGGATGATTCTCTTCCAGTTCGCTTCCACAGATCCAAACATTTATATCACACATCAACGTCGAACTGACGTTGAGAACGATATAATCGGTCAGGATGTTACCCGTTAGATGGTTGGGCATTGCGTTCTTGCTTGTATCTGGCTCTTCTGCGTCAAGCTCCTCCTCTGGCAGATTGGCCAGTGCTTCAACTACATCTACCAAGGTCTCGAGTCTTGCTTCAAAGACAAGCACTTCAGTTAGACATGTCATTTCTGTATCCACAAGCGTCAAACTATCGCCCATTTCAAGTTCATCAATATCCTCAGCAAGCAAACCAATATCCAGCATTTCAATCAAGCCCAGCAGTCCTTCCAGTTCCTCTACTCTGAAAAGCTCCTCGACCAGCAAGTTTACCGCAATCTCTACGACCAAACTCAGCAACAATACAATTCCCGTCTCAAGCACAACGTCTTCGACCAAAATCAACACCATCATTTCAAGCCTCAAGACCTCATCAACACCCAAAAGCTCCCTCGCATCCCTCACGACCTCACCCAAAATCAGCAGCTCATCCTCCTCAACCCTCACCACCACCCCAACAGCAACAGCAACCGTCATCTTCCCCCTCTACATCTACCCCACTCCCTCCGCTTGGTCCCCCCTCTACACAGCCCTATCCACAAACCCCAACCTCCACCTCCTCATAATAATCAACCCCTCCTCCGGCCCCGGCCCCGCAAACACCTACCCCGACCCATCCTAGATCGCCGCCCTCACCCAACTGCACACCTACCCCAACGCCATCCCCATCTGCTACGTGCATACCAGCTGGGCCACGCGCCCCATCGTCGACGTAGACGCCGATAGTATCACTTGTGCGAACTGGGTGAAATACACAGGCGCCGATATCCGGGTATCGGGATTCTTCTTCGATGAAGCTGTTGCGGAGTATACAAATGCGACGGAGGCGTATATGGTTAACATCACTACCCTAGCTCGAGGTTCCCTGGGTGGGAATGGGACGTCGACGACAGTGTTTAACCCGGGCGAAATCGTGGTGGAGAACTGGTACGGGGTTGCGGATTATGTTGATGTGTTCGAGGATGCGTATCAGGTGTATACACCGCAGATTATGGCGTCGATTCCAACTGGGTTTGAGGAGCGGAGTTTGTTTATTATGTATAATTTCACGGGGACGGTGGGGCAGCAGATGGAATTGGTGGATAGTGTTGTGGGAGCAGGGGTGGGTGGTTTGTTTGTTACGGACCAGGCGGGGTATACGAGCTGGAGTGGGATTTGGGGGGAGTTTGTTGGGGATATGGATGGTGCTTGAAAAGGTGGTTTGGATGTTAACGGCCATTTGATGATCAGGTTACATTACAGCTGCTTATTGTTTGTCCATTTCAAACCTCTCTACACTTTCTCAATACTTTCTCAATGTTCACCTCGCTATCACACTTAGCAAGTAAATGACCAAATCAACTGCCACTCTCCCTATTTCACCCTCCACCTCCCTCCCAATGTATTTCAGAAAGTAGTAACCACACACATACCCAAGTTTTCACAACCATATAAACCCTTGGCATCCACCACTTCAAAGAACTAAACGTAATAACCACGCTAGTTTTTCTCCACTCATCAAAGGAGGTGGAACGGAAACACTGCCGGACATATCATGTTCGCATACTATAACATGCGGGCAAGTTAGCAATTTCAATACATTGCCACTAAACTCCCGCCCAGCTATTTCAACTCTAAATCCCGAGTGGCAACAAGAAAATAACCAGCCGCAATAAAGACCTGTAAGTCGGACAAACATACTACTAGTAAGTAGAGCAGCAATAACTAAGTAGAAGTCTTCATTCATAAACTCTGTCCCGGCAAGAAGATAAACAGCCGCAATAAAGACCTGTAAGCCGGACAGACTTACTACTAGTAAGTAGAGCAGCAATAACTAAGTACAAGTCTTCATTCATAAACTCTTTTGTCTCTAGAAATAGGAGGTGATAAGCCCGTTGGCAACTCTGATTCAATAATAATTCTGTGAGTATTGGGAGTTAGACTGTTGGTTTTGCAACTACCAAAACACGTTCCTTGAACCGTGACCGACATTCGTGGACTGATGCTGGCAGTATATGGAAGATGAAATGTGTCTTATGCAATGAATTCTGGTATAACTACAACGAGCGTATGGTACAGCTCAGGAGAATCTAATACAACACATGCTTGCGCCTTCTCTGTCTAACGCCAGCACACACAAAAACAGCTCAATGCAACCGCAGAGCTCACTCATCTGTTACCACGCCAAAACGCCATGCTATGCCCCAAAAGTAAGACCTCTACCGCTCCATCAACTCCACCGGCGGTCTCGAAGTATGCGCCAAAATCGGCTTCTCGCTCTCAATCGGACTAATCTCATTCTCCCCCATCGTCAAATCCTCCACCGAGATCGCCGGCAAATTAGGACTAAACCCATGCTCACTCGGATTATAAATCGTCGTCGCGCTCCCGCTCCTCTGTCTGCCGCCGTCCGACACAGCAGAGACGGGACTCGCAGGTAAATCCGTATTCGGCTTCGCATGCAGCTTCGCCAACGCCTCCGCCAGATCCTCGGCGTGGACCTGCTTGTTGGGCGCGTCTTCCAGCTTCATTTCCCAACCGTGAGGAGGCGACGGAGGGGGCGAGATGAAGAACAGCTTGCCGGCGTCAGGGAGCGGGAGGTGCTCGTCTTTCGTCTCGATGGAGGTCGGCTGGCCGAAGTAGACTTTGACGCGCTCGCCCATGATGGCTTCGCCGTCGAGGATCTGGCGGATGCGGATGGCGGAGTCTTCGCTGAAGAAGGAGACGACGATGCGGCGGAAGGATTTGAGCGGGGCCCAGGAGTGGATGGGTGCGGAGGCGTTGATGAGGTCTTTGATTGTTTGGAGGTTGTCGGCGCGGAAGATCGAGGCGTCTTGGAGGTTGGTTATTAGGAGGGTGTTGGAGGGGGGCGTGGGTTGGATTAGAGGCGGGATGTTGGAGAGGTCGATGGACATGTTGCTCTTTCGAGAAGCTCGAGATGTTGGTCTTGATTCGGGTGGCGAGGTGGGAGAGGTGGGGGAGAGCGCCATTGGAGAGAGCTCTGGAGACGACGACATCTTGACTTTGAATTTCTCGTCACGGTAGAGAATAATTCCTAGAATCTATCTAGAAAGTATCGAGAGTGTTGTAGAAGTGGTGTTTGTGTTGTCGGCTTGAGCGGTTGTGTCGGTGGCTTTATTGTTCTTGAAGATGGGAGTTTGATACGGCTTGTCCGTAAGAGAAAGTGCTTGGCGGCGCTTCGTTCGCCTCCCCGCGAGGCTATGCTCCCGACTGGATTTTTTCCTTCCTTGCCTCAGCCACTTCAACCAACCGCAATGGAGGACGGCACGCGTCACTTACGGATTGTCTGGAACTCAAACGACAAATGCCAACGACTCATGATCCATAACTAAGCCCCCGGCAGAGAGCGGCATTTGAATGTGCGACCGACTTCCTTCTGGAGCGTCTCCAGGGAGCTCACGTGCGTGTCTCGTAACACTGCCCGCAAAAGGAGATGAGGATGGATCTGCACCGTCATGCTTGGGTATTGGTCTTTTGCCTTGGGCGAGGCTTGGCTCCTGGAGAAATGCGGAGTACTTTGTTTCTACGGATAAACATTGGGCATGGAAAGTATCTTGCGGGTCATCCGGATACTGTTGAGCGAGGCTGAAGCAGTCTCAGTATTTGGAACCTGCTAGCAATCCTCGGCATTTGATTTGAATTTTGACTCAGCTCGGATAGAATGGCTGCTTTGTTGAGACGTGTTTACAACTCCAGAAATCTAGGATCTTCTTTGCATGAGGAGTGAGCTGTCAACTCGAGATGCTGGTTAGCTTGAGTCGTAATAGTCGTATACCTAGCGTTCTAGCCCTCGGATGTCGAGAAAGGGGGAACGTCGCTCCTGTGCTCTGCCACAATACAATCTTATTGCCCCACTGATAGTTGTACAATGGAATGAACCATGATCTGGTCTCTTGATTCACCATGATCCTCTACACAAAGCTCAGACTCGGGCAAGAAGAGAGGCAAAGGCAAAAAATGTATTCACGTGACCCCATGCTAGGGTGCGACAGGGGTCCACTTCGACGTGCCTGCATTTCTCAGCCTCTCGACAACTTCGTACGCCTTCCTCAAACCTTCAACCGCGCCGCAAAATCTTCAAACTCCAAAGGCTGAGTCTAATCTCGACACGTCAGCCTCGCAGACTGCCCACGTTGGCGTGAACCTTTCGAGGAAGCCGTCACGTAATTCCTCCTCCCTCACAGCTCCTTCGAATCTGCGCGCGCAGGGCACGTCAAGATGGATTTCGAACCGATGATGATGGATACGGAGGCGATGGGGCCCTCCGTCAAGATTACAGAGGTATGCTACTGCTGGTGGAAAGTATGCGATACCTTGATACTCATGCACTGAACAGGCTGGAGCAAATCATGTCGACTTCGAGCTCTCGAACGTGGATCTCGCATTCGCAAACTCGATTCGCCGAGTCATCATGGCTGAGGTTCCCACGATGGCTATCGATCTGGTAGAGGTTGAGGCAAATACATCTGTGCTCGCAGATGAGTTTATTGCGCATCGATTGGGTCTTGTGCCTTTGGTGTCGAAGAATGTGGAAGAGGTGGAATATTCGAGGGATTGTGAATGCGAGCAGTACTGCGAGAGATGCAGTGTCACACTTACACTTCACGCACGATGTACCGGTGACGAGATCATGAAGGTGTATGCGCGCGATCTGGTGGTGGATTCTCAGCGGGCGAATCAATGGGTTGGAAATCCTGTCATCACCGACACAGATGGACTTGGGACTGTTATTGCCAAGCTGCGAAAGGGCCAGGAACTGCGGTTGAAGTGCATTGCCAAGAAGGGCATTGCTAAGGAACACGCAAAGTGGGCACCGACATCTGCAGTTGGGTTCGAGTACGACCCTCATAACAAGCTGCGGCATATGGATATGTGGTACGAGTCGGATGCTCTTGCTGAATGGTAGGTTTGATGTCACCCTATAATGAGCTATGCTGATATTTCCAGGCCAAAGAGCAAGTATGCCGATTGGGAGGATCCTCCTCAAGAAGGCGAGCCATTTAATTACGATGCCGTCCCAGATAGGTTCTACTTCGAGGTCGAGAGTGTGGGCAACCATGAACCGGACGCCATTATCCAGCAAGGAATCAAGGTGCTCCAGCAAAAGCTTGCAATGGTCATTTCGGATCTTACAGAAGGAAGCAGTGGTGCCAATGGAGCGAATGGCTACGATAATGCACCTCGAAGTCCAGATATCGATATGGATGGTAATACTGCTTGGCAAGAGCCCGGTTATACCACGCCGTATGGAAATGGTGGTGGCGGTGGAGGACAGTGGGGTCAAGGTGCTGCTACGCCTTACGGTGCTACACCTTATGGCCAGAACGGGGCGAACGGATGGGCTTAGATTTCACTGTGCTGCCCATAAATTGCTTACGATCGTATTGCTTCGACTACGACTCTGAGCAACCATTTGGACATATTGTCCTACCCCTCACATCTGGCTTTTAATGCAGATACTGAACATGTACCACCACACCACAGCATATCACGGCGTTGGATTGGAGGCAAAAAGTACTCCCGCGAATCGATTGATTGAGAGCAAAAGGGAAAGGAAAGAATCAGCCAGTCTAGAGCAGATCTTCAGAATGAATCATGATACCCTATATTACACATTCTCCAAAACTCCGTCTTTGTATGCGTCTATGATCTAATTACCCGTCAACCCAAAAGTCGTTTGTTCCAAAAACAGCCTGGAATTAGGAGCTACTTATTCGGCTTGGTGTGAGATCTATGTTTCTTCCATCTCCTCTTCTATCCTGTGTATCATTAGGTAGGTAGGAGCAAGCAGGCCGTAAGAGTAGGGAGGGTGTCGTCTGTCCTTTTATCTGTACATCCCCCAGTCTACGGTGTAGCAGGAACCGGTTCATCAATCCCCTTTAAACTCCTATAAATCTTCTTATGCTGTTCCAAAAACAGAAACGTAGCAATAGTATGCGGGCCCAACCGAATAAAACTCGGTACCCAGCCCCTGAACATCCATCCCACGCCCTCAACGCGATATACATCTCGCATCAACGTCGCGAGCCCTTTACTCTCGTGCGAACTCATGACCCGCGTCTTGATCACGTCGACCGGCGAGCAGACCGTCGTCGCTACAAAGCCAGCTAGGAACGAGGCCGAGAAGTGTGTGGTGAGGTTATCGGATAAGGGCGTGTACTGTATAAGTAGGGACTTGAACCCATCATACGAAGCTAGTTGCGAGGCCGTCATCAACACGGCTCGCATACTATTCGGCCAGACTCCTCGAAAGAGAGCTTTCCAGCCCTCTTCCTTCGTCATGCGGATCAGTCCCTCAACAGCATTCTTATAATTCCGCCTCTGCTCCACCGGCAGCGCGGCGTCGTGCTGCATCCGCACGTTCAGCACGTCGGCTGGGTTCCCGGCCACGCCGCCGATAAAGCCAGAGGTGGAGGCCATGGCGATGAGGGTCGGGAACGAGGCGGGAGATTTCTGGGCGGATTTCAACTCCTCGTAGATCCCGAAGCGGGTCGTGGAGTAGGTTATCTGGCGGAGGAGGGAGGCGGACAGGCCTGAGTAGAGACCGCGGATCCCGGCCGTTTGGAAGACGTGGATGAAGGTCCCGACCATGGTTGAGGGTGCGTTTCCATGCCGGGTTTGGAGGCGGACCTAGAATTTTTCGCGTTCAGTGTTGTGCTCCCACTTTGGGATCAATAGTGATAGAGAGGGGAGGCATTATACCTTGACTAGAGTTTGTCAGTAGAGATATAGGGTGTAGGAACAGAGAGCAAATACCAAGATCTAGAGGATGAGTAACGCATGCAGCGAAACAACTCGCGCTTCCTCCAAACCAGAACGGATACCGGATATTCTTGGGCGTCCACTCCTTTTTGCGCGGCAGCCCGCGTTTCGAGGGATCGCTACCTGGCATGTTGAATTTCGGTTTGCGAGTGTGTTCGCATTCCGTCAGGAGCGAGAAGGGAGAGAAGAGGTAGGTATATAGGAGGGGGCGAGGTTGTGGTGAATGCGGTTGCTGGATGTAGAAAACGCGAAATAAATTAGAGCTTGCGAAACGACAGGAGTTGACGGGATGGAAGTACCCGCTTTGACTTTGACTCGGATTTAAGGGCGGGGAATTAATTTTATGGGCATAATCTACACAATAAGAGATCTATAGGTATGAGGAACTCTGATGGTGAGGTTTGATTGTCTGTCCCAAGGTTTTCGAGATTGCAATTGAGTTTACCAGTCCTGAATATCTGGTTTCCAGACCAAATCTGGGCGAGGGAAACTTTCGTCATTGAGCGCGCGGTTCCGGAGCCTCGGGGATCGGAAAAAGTATAACGCCTATTTTTGCCCGCTTGTCATCTGAAGCTTGGGGTTTGAGCTACACCAGACTTTCCAGAAAGGGGAAGTAGCTCTACACCTTCACCATGAGTTCTCTAACCAGGTCGAAAAGATTCTCGACGGGGAGTGAAGCATTGGCTCTGTTCATTGGCTTGAGCAATGCGACTTCGAGACGGTGGGGACCTTGTTCTCCCTGCCGGTACAATTCTACGAGTCTGTTGCCCGAGTCTCGAAATCGTACCATCACTGACAATCCTCACAGCTTCTACCGACACATTTACAATAGAAGGGAAATCCTACCCCAAAGACTCCTGGCACAATCTCCCTCCAAACATCACATTCTACATCTCCCGCCGTCTGCACACAACCAAAGACCACCCAATCTCCATCACCCGCTCAATAATCGAATCCCGGTTCCCCTCTCCAACCTACAAATACCACAACAAATTCTTCCCCATCGTCACGACACATCAAAACTTCGACTCCCTCGGCTTCCCGCTCGATCACCCCGGCCGCTCAAAAACAGACACATACTACATCAACTCCTCCACCGTCCTCCGCACCCACACCTCCGCCCACCAAGCCGACACCTTCCGCTTAAACGCAAGCGAAGGCTTCCTCATCTCCGCAGACGTCTACCGCCGCGACGCCATCGACAGGAGTCACTATCCGATCTTCCATCAGATGGAAGGCGCGCGGATGTGGGACCGCAGGACGGTACCCAACGGCGACATTGCCGCCGCCGTCTGGGCCGATATCGAGAGATTGCCGAAACATGATATGAAAGTCGAGGATCCGAATCCGCCGACGCATGCGGAGCGGAATCCGCTGCAGAAGGAACATAGGCGGGAGGAGGCGGAGGCTATTGCTGCGCATCTGAAGAGGAGTTTGGAGGGCGTGGTGGTGGAGATCTTTACGAGGGCTAAGCGGGCTGCTTTGGCTGCGGATCCGGGGTTTAGGGATGAGCCGTTGAGGGTGAGGTGGATTGAGGCGTATTTTCCGTTCACGAGTCCGAGTTGGGAATTGGAGGTGTTTTGGCAGGGAGATTGGTTGGAGGTTTTGGGGTGTGGGGTTGTGAAGCAGAGTTTGTTTACGAATGCTGGCGTGCCGGATCAACTTGGGTGGGCGTTCGGGATCGGGCTGGAAAGAATCGCCATGCTGCTCTTCGAGATTCCAGACATTCGACTTTTTTGGTCTAAAGATCCTCGGTTTTTGGATCAGTTTAAAGGAGTTTCCGATAACTTCAATAATCTGCGCAAATTCGTGCCCGTTTCCAAATACCCAGCTTGCTACAAAGACGTAGCCTTCTGGCTGAAATCCAGCTCGAGCGCAGCGGGAGGTGGAGGGAAAGAAATGGAGTTCCACGAAAATGATATCATGGAGATAGTACGAGATGTGGCCGGAGATGTGGCGGAGGATGTGAGGATGACGGATAGCTTTACGCATCCGAAGACGGGGAGGAGGAGTATGTGTTATCGGATCAATTATAGGAGTTTGGAGAGGACGTTGACGAATGAAGAGGCGAATGAGGTGCATGAGAGGGTTAGGGGGAAGTTGGTTGAGAAGTTGGGGGTTGAGTTGAGGTGATAGATGTATGAGATGAAAAGGGATATCAAGATTTGAGGTGAGATGTGGATATAGATGTATGAAAAGACGGAATGTAAAGATACCAAAAGCTGGTTGTATATTATGCTCAATACCCAATTTATATACTCTTCTCGCCGAAGATTTCTATGAGCAAGTCCTCCTGCATATCACATCCCCATAATTCCAGATTTCGAAACTTACCACTTCCCCTAGCTTTAGCTTTCAAGCTACAACCAACTCTTTGTTGCACACCTCCCCTTCTCACCCTCTCCAAGGCCTCCCTCCCTTCCCCATCTACCTATCTATCTACTCTCTCAACCTTTCCCTTTCCACCGTACATGAGTATCAAGTTCTACTTTGCTTACCATTTTTGTTTTCAACATCATATTAAAGAATGTCGTTTTGGTGTGATAATTAGGTAATGGATAAATAAATAAAAAAAAGTTGAGGTATAAGTTCGAGATAGAACTTTGGAGTATAAAACATATCAAAGTTTATAAATTAATCACTATTTCAAGTAAAGGAGAGGAGAGAGTTGTGTTAAAAAATATATAAAGGCTTTTTTTTGGTTTGATGATTTGATTGATTAGCTGCTGCAAAGTCAAAAGAGATGGAAAAATTTATCAATTAAGTTCGGGGTTGGCTTTTTTTTTTTTTTTTTTGGTGGCTATGTATTAGGAATGTAGAGTAGGATGACTGAGGGAGAGGGGAATATATGAGTATGGATGGAGTTCTAGGTTTGGGGTGTTTGGTGTAAAGAGTAGGGGGTTATGAAGAGGATAGGTAGTAGGGAGGGGTGATTGTGATATCAATCTGCTTTTGAGACTTTTGTGTATAAACAGAAGCCAGACTTGACGATAAACCATAGGTAGGTAGGTAATCATTCTTCCCAGTAGGGCACCGCTTCCCCATCTTTCCATTTTCCACTCTTCAGAGCTTTAGAAAGTGTATTCATTCCTTTACTCTTCCTACCTCCTCACACCCTCGTCCCTAGCCACCAACACCACTCCCCGCACCCTCATACCCCTGCTGTTCCCTCCTCCTCTGCTGCCCCTCTATACTCTGATCCTCAATCTCCCCAAACCCATCCGCAGCGTCTGCTTTCCCCCCATTCCCCACCGTCTCGCCGCCAAACCCGTGCTCTGAGATCGCTTCGCCGTATCTTATGTTTTCGGCTGTTTTTTCGCCTCTTTCTGACTTATCTGCTTCATCTTGCTTCTTGTTTTGGCCCGAAGAAGAAGAGTCTATAGAATAGATGTTAGGAAGGGAGGAGAGGAGAGGAGAGCAGACAAGGAGGAGGACGTGCCTGAGGTAACCATCTTGGCGCCCTCGTACTGCGTTTGTTCGCCTCCGGGCTCCGTGTCCATGAGTTTGGTGTTTGTTGCTTCTGACATTTTGTGGTGTGTTGTAGATGAGGAAAAGGAAGAAAGCAAGTCGTGGAGTGAGTAGTCGGGAATAGAGGAGAGGGAGGAGATTGAAGGAATGACGTATGCGGGGTTGAGACTCAACACTTTTCGAGCGCTCGTTGAAAGTACTGCTGTGGAAAAAAAAAAATGGGGAGCTGTTTATTGAGAAAATAGGACATGGTAAATGAATTCGAATCTTTGACAAGACAAGTAATGAAGTAGAGATAGATAGATATTCGCCTGTCACAGACCGTGAGCTGATTCTCGTCGTGTATCGATTTGTATATAGCGAGAACTATCTCACAACTCTGTATGGCACTGACTAAGATGCTAAAGAACTAGCAATGGAGACATCAAGAAAATATATACTATTTCCTGTTATTCTTCCATTCCACAATGCAAGAAACTCGAGATGGAGATGCAGTGATGCGCGAGAACTTTCCAACACATATCAAATTAAACAAATCCAATCCACCCACCGTCCACCCTGTGCATCGGGCGAACTCCAAATCAAGAACACCAAACCTAACCTCCTATCTCGTGCAGATTCGATATCTGTACTGTACCTTTCCAGACGCATTATGCAACAATTGCTCCTAACCTGGGATGTCACGCAGTCGTATCACATAAGCACTCTACTTCCAATCCTACACGAATCAACGAATAAGCACTCGTACCAGAGTATCGGTTCCAGCCGGTTCCAGTCCAGCCTTTCTCCGGCTACAAGGAAAGCGCACGCACTGCCTGCAGGGCCTATGTACGTGCTTACTGCCGAAATGAGCCGATGAGATATTATCTAGATGCGGAACGAGAATTTAATTGCAAAGGTGGTAAGGTTAATAAGGTTTCGCTCATAGGATAGGATATGATGCAGTGCCAAGGTAGATTTCGGGTAGGAAGAAAAGGAAAGGAAAGGAAAGGAAGGAATACAGTAGCATCCCGTACATCCTGCCGAAGCCCGAGCCTCGAGAGCTTGGGGATGAAATGGAGGGGTGATGTATGCGTGATGGACGGCGGAAGGGCGGTTCGAGGAATGGCCTGGGCTGGACTCGACTCGACTCCTCTGGTTTGCGGACATTGACGAATAGATTGGTGGTAGGTAGCGTTAGCGGGGGTTGAGACAAGGCTGATTGATGACGGTGCGTAGAGAGAGAGAGAGAGAGAGAGAGAGAGAGGAAGAGAACAGACACAAAATAATGATTGACTGACTGACTGAACTAAATGATATGTTATTATTTGCCTATCTATCTCTCTTATCAAACAGAATGGATTTCTCCTCTTCCGGCTGCACTTGAGTTCCATCAAAATTGTGGGCCGACTCAGGTGGGCTTCACAGCTGTTTCTGCTTGCTGTTTTCGGGGGATGGTCCGGCCGTTCTCGCATGGGCAGCGCAGGGCAGGGCAGGAGGCAGGCATCATCGCATGGCCAGGGGGAGTGGTGCCGACCGTAGGTACTTAAGTACAGCAGCGCAACTGCATATACATATACATACAGTAGGTGGTATCTGGATGAGACGCAGGCAATATTCTGGGGAAAAGGGACAGATTGGATCAATCAATAAGAGTATTGGTGCAGCCTCTTTCTCTGTATTTCCTCCCACAGTAACACAATACGTTGACAAATATCCTCGGTCATCTGTTGGCTTCGAGACACCACTCACCATGTGCACTGGTCTGATAGTCGATCACTGTGCGACTTACGACTTTACCTACGAACTACAGTAGGTCATCAATGACTCTCCTTTCCTTCCTCCCCCATGATCCCCACTTGCACCACCTGCCGTAACCGTTTCGCTCGCTCGCTCGCTCGCTCTCCCCACAGTGCCTCTAGACCCGATGCAGCGGGCGGGCGTCCGTCTCGCTCGGGTTGAAGGATGATGTTGCTGCTGATGGGGCGCGCGCATTATTAGTACTGTACTGTACTGTACTAGTATTGGCCCAGTGGGAGAATCGCGAATAGCCGGGGTCCTTCTCCCATCACCCATGCCAGAATTAAGGTCCCTTGCCCCGAGAGACAGACTGATGCAGACAGAAGAGAGCTTGTGCAGGAACTCCTCTGAAAACTGCCCCCATCCCATCCCATCCCATCCCATCCCATCTTTCTCTTTCTCCAATTCTCTCTCTCTGTTGAATATTCACTCTCCAGTCCGACTCCGACTCCAGCTTCAGCCTCGTCCTTGCGATTCGGGATACTTACAAACTCTGCGTGATTGTCTGTCTGCTGCTGCTTGCGTAGTACTTATTAGCGACCACTTCTTCCGCTTTGCGTGATCGGTGCGCGACAGCTCCTGTCCTGTACAAAATACCCCGCAGTTGGTGTTGGTTGGTGTTGCATTTCACACACGCACCCATACATAATTCACAACAACATCCCCAAGTTTGAAGCTCGACAACAATCGCAATCATGTCTGAAGGCGCCGTGAAGCCCGCCAACCCGGTGGTCGCGGAGGCCCATGAGGTCGACACTTTCCGTAAGAACACGCAGATTGAAATTATTATGATTGTGGTTTACTGACAGCTGTTAGATCCCCCCAAGAAGATGTTCGCCAGTAAGCCTGCCCCTCATTTTCACGCCTCACTGAGGAAAGATCAGTGAAAATTGAAATTGACATTTATTCTAGAGCATCCCAGCAAACCCCATCTCAGCGGTAAGCTTCCCTTCCAGTCAAGAAACGCTATGCGACAGTCACTGATCAAGATCCAGGTCTCGATGAGTACCAGAAGCTGTACAAGGAGTCGATCACCGAGCCCGACAAGTTCTGGGGCAAGATGGCCCGCGAACTCCTCACATGGCAGCGAGATTTCCAAACCGTACACACGGGCACCTTCGCCAACGGCGACAACGCGTGGTTCCTCGAGGGTCAGCTCAATGCCTCCTATAACTGCGTTGACCGTCACGCGATCAAGAACCCAGACAAGCCGGCCATCATCTACGAGGCCGACGACGAGGGCGATGGCCGAACCCTCACATACGGCGAGCTGCTGCGAGAGGTCTGCAAAACGGCCCACGTCCTCAAGCAGATGGGTGTGCAGAAGGGCGACACCGTCGCTATCTACCTGCCCATGATTCCCGAGGCTTTAATTGCGTTCCTGGCATGTTCCCGTATTGGCGCTGTGCACTCAGTCGTCTTTGCTGGCTTCTCCTCCGATTCTCTGCGTGATCGTGTCATTGACGCTCAGTCCAAGGTTGTCATTACTACCGACGAGGGCAAGCGTGGTGGAAAATTAATCGGCACCAAGAAGATCGTAGATGATGCTCTCAAGCAATGTCCAGACGTGACCCACTGCCTGGTCTACAAGCGCACAGGCGCCAACGTCCCCTGGACCAAGGGCCGCGATTGGTGGTGGCACGAGGAGGTCGACAAGTGGCCCGCGTACATTGCTCCCGAGCCCATGAACTCGGAAGACCCGCTGTTTCTGCTCTACACGTCTGGCTCGACGGGCAAGCCGAAGGGTGTCTTGCACACAACGGGTGGCTACCTGCTCGGTGCGGCGGCGACGGGCAAGTACGTGTTCGATATCCACGATTCGGATAAGTTCTTCTGCGGCGGCGACGTGGGATGGATTACCGGGCACACATACGTCGTCTATGCGCCTCTGCTGCTTGGTGTCGCGACCGTGGTCTTCGAGGGCACGCCCGCCTATCCGAATTTCTCGAGATATTGGGATGTGATTGCCAAGCATGAGGTTACACAGTTCTATGTTGCGCCAACAGCACTGAGACTCCTCAAGCGAGCCGGTGACCAGCACGTCAAGGCCCAGATGAAGCACCTGCGAGTCCTGGGCTCGGTCGGTGAACCGATCGCTGCGGAGGTCTGGAAATGGTATTTTGAAATCGTTGGCAAGGAGGAAGCTCACGTTGTGGACGTACGTTTCCTCTCTCTCCTATATAAAAATCTCACAATACAGAGAAGCTAACGAGAAAATAGACATACTGGCAAACGGAAACAGGCTCGAATGTCATTACACCGCTTGCAGGCGTGACGCCCACCAAACCAGGATCCGCCTCCCTCCCCTTCTTCGGCATCGAGCCCGCGATCATCGATCCCGTGTCCGGCGAGGAGATCCACGGCAACGACGTCGAGGGCGTGCTGGCGTTCAAGCAACCATGGCCTAGCATGGCTCGTACGGTCTGGGGCGCTCATAAGAGATACATGGATACGTACCTGAATGTGTACAAAGGCTACTACGTTCGTCCTCTTCCTCCCCCGTTTCCCTCCTTCTATCATCATCCAGAATCACTAACAGCAAACCCAGTTCACCGGCGACGGCGCAGGCCGCGACCACGAAGGCTACTACTGGATCCGCGGCCGCGTCGACGACGTGGTCAACGTCTCGGGCCACCGCCTCTCAACCGCTGAAATCGAAGCAGCCCTCATCGAGCACCACGCCGTCGCCGAAGCAGCGGTCGTCGGCATCAATGACGAACTCACGGGGCAAGCGGTCAACGCATTCGTGGCCATCAAGGACGGAAACGAGATCAACGACCAGCTGCGCAAAGACCTCATTCTGCAGGTGCGGAAGAGCATTGGGCCGTTTGCGGCGCCGAAGGCCATCTTCGTGGTGCCGGATCTGCCGAAGACGAGGAGTGGGAAGATTATGAGGCGGATTTTGAGGAAGATTTTAGCCGGGGAGGAGGATCAGTTGGGGGATACTTCTACGGTATGTCTTTTCTTTCTTTTTTCTTTTCCCTATCCCTTTCCCCTATTTATTCTGTCACTTGAGAAACACAAATACTGATACCAGAAATAGCTCTCCGACCCCTCAGTCGTAGATAAAATCATCGAGACGGTGCACGAGTCGAGGAAGAAGTAAACAAATTATAAAAAGAAATGAGAGAAAAGAAGATAAGGTGCTGAGAGGAGTTTGATGATGTACTTTCGTTGTTTCTTGAGTGAGTGAGTGAGTGCGATGTCATGTACTCGTAGCTTTTGCTGCTTAGCTAGCTCGTTAGTCTGGAATGGAATGAAATGGCAAATTCTTTTGAATACTGAAGATTTTGAGATGAGTGAGTGAGGGAGAAGTGAGGCGAGAACATGAAATAGAAATAAATACGTACTCTTCCAACGATAAGATGTTTTCCCTGTATTATTTATTTGTATAGTGGATATGAAAAATTCGAGAAAAAGTGCGTACTTGGGGAAAATGCAAGATAAGATAAAATTAAAATGCGAGGAAAGTTTCTTGTTGGTTTAAAACGAAAGGTTATATATTCTCTAGTGTATACTTTTATTATTAGGAAAAAAAAAGACAGCGGTTTCGAACCAAACATATTAATATTATTGTATCTTCCCACTGGTATTTTGATAAGATACAGGCAAAGGATGAGGTTTAGCAAGAAGGAACATGAGGAAGGGAGCAAGCTATTGCGAGGATATTGGACTTAGCATATTGTACGTTACCCATATGTATCATTCGCAAGCTACTAGGTATATAATTGTTGTCGACTAAACACCGAAATATCCCACGAATTCGGCTCTGGAGAGCTGCGGGTTTCTTTGTAGAGGCAAGGTAGGTAGGTGGTGAGTTGACGGGGGTAGGATTTGTAGATGTGGAATTTGTCTGAAGAGCGAGTTAAAGCAAAGGAAAGGGTTCAAGTGACGCAGAATGAAATGAATTAAAATAAAAGACGGAAAAATATGCTGAGAGGGAAAAAAATTGGGAGGTTTAGAATTCAGATCGAGGTTGAAGAAAGACACGCAATCTTCTCCTGCGCCAAATGTCTTGGTCTTCAATCGCCAGCTGAAGCCAAGCCGGTTCGGCTTTGGGTGCCGTCTTGGTTGTGGACTTTCTTTCTAGTTAGGAGATAAACGTCCTGTACAGCAAAGTGTCTTCGGCCGAAGATACATACGTTATCACCGAAGCAAAAACCTCTCTTTTACCGTACATCTTGGTTGGTGCACGATTGGACATAGGCGAAGAGGGGAAGGGGAAGGACAGGAAACGGGTAACGAGCTCGTGATGCTCGACCAGCACAGCCCCTGAGCTCCCTCACAGCCAGCCAAGAAAAGAAAGAAACGATCAGCTGTCTATGTAAACGAATGGACAGACGTGAATGGTTGGACAGAAGGGAGCCACAAACCTGGTTTTCTTTGCGGGGCGAGGGGTGTGTGTGTGTATACGCAATTGAACGGGTTGAGGGTGTGGAGTGTACGTCCGGGGGCCAATTGAAGGAGAATACGGAATATGGAGCTTGAAGTCAATTTTCTGGAATTGAAGGTGGATATATTTATCACCGCAACGCAAAAGCACCTCGCAAGAAGGTTCATGTTGGCAGCGGTAGATGAAACTTAAACGGATGGAGAATGAGATGGGGTTCAATGTTCGAGCTCGGTATGATCCGCAGTAAGGTCAGGGGAACTGTGCGGTGCCGTACTTTATTAGAGTTAAAATTTCTGAAACGGGGAGGCCACTTGGATACCGTTGGAGAGAAGGGACGAGGCTCTCGGGCGGGTTGCCGATGCGAGTTGAAGCTATGATTGAAGATAGGATGATGGAAAGAGAAAATGAAGGCTGTGTAGCCAGAGTGGATATCTCAAAGTAAGCTTATTCAAAGTGATGATGTGGAGCCAAGAATCGGGAGGAAGTGAGGTAAGAGTGGATGTCTCGATTATTGAAATACGAGGACGCCGTCTATGAAATATATAATTCTGTTTTCATTTAGAAGTGGTATTCACAATTACATTCTATTGTATTTCTCGAAAGAAAGAAAGACGCCGCATTGTTCATGCCATCCTTTGTTCAATCGACGGTTTCATGAGACTTGAGCTGGGACGCTAGTCGCTTAGGTGATCGAGACCCTTCTCTTCCTTCACCCATCCGTAATCCAAGAGAAATATCTTCATCCTCTTCTTCACCTCCTCCTTTCTCTACCTAATATCTTATGAACAGTCGCTCGTTTCGCTGGTCGATTGATACGCATCTAATTACCCATCACGACGAGGATTCAAATTTTCGACACCTGGTTGAAGTGAAGGCTTATTCATGATCTCCTCGACGACCGATCGAGCGGTTACAGCTGCATGAGTTCGGGCGCAACAACCAGACAATAAACCTCAGCTCCAGCCCCGTCTCCTTTCTCCCTCTTCACCAAACATCTACCAGCGAGCGAGCATGTACATACTGCAGAGCATCACGACGATAATCGTCAGCGTTCTTCTTCTCTTCTCTTCTCCCACCCAAGGTGCGTCCATTTTTAAAGTAAACGCTATAAATAAGCATAAAACTGACCCTGCTGAACAGCACATTCCAACGAACGCAATCCTTTAACCTACTACTCCCTCGTCACCAATGCGAATTTCAATACCCCCAGCCATCGCATACACCACCTCTCTAAATTCGACCTCACATTCGACCTCCACGACTCGCAGCAACGCATCAGATTATCGCTGCAACCGAACCACAATGTCATCGCTGACGACGCAACGATTTCGTACCTGGGCCCGGACGGAGAAATAAGGAGCAGCGAGCCGATGGACAGGAGCGAGTACCGGGTCTTCAAAGGACAGGCGTTCTTGCAGCATTGGGAGGGCGCGGAATGGACGAATGTTGGGTGGGCAAGAATCATGGTTGCGAGGGATGGTGCGGAGCCGATTTTCGAGGGCGCGTTTAGGGTTGATGGGGATCATCATCATGTGCAGACGAGGACGCATTTTATGCAGACGAAGCATCGCTTGGATCCGGTGTTGCCGGAGGGGGAGGGCGAGTATATGGTTGTGTGGAGGGATTCTGATATTGCTACGGATGTGAGTGTTGACTTTGAGGGGTTGGTGCATGGGGAGTTGAGGAGGGCAAGGTTGAGGGAGAGAGGCTTTGGGGTGGTGGATGAGAGGAGCTGTTCGGCGGATGGGTTGGGGTTTAATACTCAGCTTGATCATCCTGTTTATACGGGAATGGCAAAGAGAGATGATAATTCTTGGGGGTCGATGTACACGCGATCGATTTTCGGGAGACAGATTGATGGACAGACGGGTGGAAATTCTGCTGGTGTCAATTTGACTACGACGATTGGTTCGACCTCTGGATGTCCTTCGACTAGGAAAGTTGCTCTGGTGGGAGTAGCGACTGATTGCACCTACACGGCGGCCTTTAATTCGACTTCTTCTGCTCGGGCGAACGTTATCAACGTCATTAATTCTGCTTCGGTGCAATACGAGGACTCTTTCAACATTACGTTGGGTCTTCAGAATCTTACTATTAGCGATGCCACTTGCCCTTCTACAGCAGCGGCATCTGCACCATGGAACGTGGGCTGTAGCGACTCGGTTACGATTCAGGATCGATTGAACCTTTTCTCTGGATGGAGAGGACAAAGAGCAGATACGAACGCTTACTGGACCCTGCTCAGTACATGTGCAACTGGATCCGCTGTTGGGTTGGCATGGTTGGGACAAGCTTGTGTTGCAACCTCACAAGTAGCTTCATCATCGACAGGAAACGAAACTGTGAGCGGAGCCAATGTTGTAGTGAGAACGAGTACGGAATGGCAAGTTGTGGCTCATGAGACAGGCCATACATTTGGAGCTGTTCATGACTGCACTTCTACAACCTGCACGGATGGTACGACTGTTGCTTCACAACAATGCTGTCCACTCAGTGCCGACACATGTGATGCTGGAGGAGCATATATCATGAACCCGAGTACTGGAACCAATATTATGAAATTCTCACCTTGTACTATTGGCAACATCTGCTCTGCTATTGGTCGAAACAGCGTCAAGACTACATGTTTGACAGCTAACAAGGACGTCTCGACCATCTCTGGAAGTCAATGTGGCAACGGTATTGTCGAAGCTGGAGAAGAATGCGATTGTGGTGGAACAGCCAGCTGTGGCAGCAACCCTTGCTGTGATCCCACGACTTGCCAGTTCACGACCAATTCAGTCTGTGATCCTAGCAATGAGGATTGCTGCACCTCTTCTTGTCAATTTGCAGGAAATGGCACAGTATGCAGAGCCAGTACAGGCATTTGTGATCCCCAGGAAGTATGCAGCGGCACAGCAGCAGCATGCCCTGCTGACGCTACTGCTCCTGATGGTAAGTCCTCCACTCCCTATTCTCCTCTCACCACTAACTCAATCAGGCACTTCCTGCGGCAATTCATCCAGCTCCCTCTCCTGCGCTTCAGGCCAATGCACATCCCGTGACCTCCAATGCAAAACCCTGATGGGTTCCTACACCCAAGGAAACGACACCTACGCCTGCTCCTCCTCAGGCTGTCAAATTTCCTGCGCCTCCCCCGAGTTCGGCGCCAACGTCTGCTACTCCATGCAGCAGAACTTCCTCGACGGCACATCCTGCCAAGGCGGCGGCCGCTGCTCCAACGGCCAATGCGACGGCTCCTCCGTCGGCAAGGAGATCTCGAGCTGGATCAGCCAGAATAGAACACTCGTCATAGCGCTAGCGAGCGTTATTGGCGGTCTGTTCGTGTTAGCGGTACTAAGCTGCTGCGTTTCGAGATATAGAAGGAGAAAACGTCTCGCAGCAAGGAAAAATATCACGCCTCCTCCGGGACCCCTCCCACCGCCAGGATGGTACGGCCAGAATGCACCGCCTCCGTATCCCGGACAGACGCCGAGGAACGGGGCGTGGGAGAATGGGAGGTGGCAGCAGGGGCCCAGAGAGCCGCCTATGGCGTGGCAGCCTAGTGTGAGGTATGCTTGATTATTGTGGGTTTTGGGGGCATTGGCGTTGGTGGTGTTGGTGTTAGGTTGGGTTTTTAGCATTTTCTTGTTGGATTGGATAGAGGCATGTGGGAATAGGGTGCATTGTTTGCTTGTTTATTTATGATTGCTGAGCTGGCTCGGAGGGGTGTTAAGTTAGGAAGGAGGGGAAGGGAAAGGATGAGGGGAAAGGGAGGAGGTGAGGTGAGGTGAGGTGTGGGAGTGTATGTATGTAGATAGATCGATGGTGAATATCTGTATATGGATTGAGTACAGATTACCTCCTACTTACACTTATTTCCCTCTTTCGTATGTGAATTATCGTCCTTTTCAGAGATACACCATTTTCGAAGTGAGCAGCTAGTTCGTGAGGGGTAAGATGCGGAGTTCCATCTCCAGTCAAGAGTTACCAGAACTATACATAAATCAAGACGTCCTCGTCCATGGGAGGAAACCCCTTTCTTTCTTTCTTTCTCTCTTTCTCTCTTTCTCTCTTTCTCTCTCGCTGGTTGGTACTGTACCGTTGAATTATTTGATTCCTTGCAATTGCTATTTCTTGAGGGGCAAATATATTAGGAGTATACCGCTACTCTATTGCTCAGCAGCTAATCAAGTAAAGTTACGATGTGCAACAAAGCTCTTGCTACTATTTAAGTAGTGTATCAAATTTAGAGTTCTCTTTGACGTTATACTTAGCTGTAGATTAAATAAGGTTGCGATATACAATAACTTTTATAAGAATTTTTTTGATTTGTTTGATACTAATTTATTTGTAGGTTTGTGAATTGAATGATATTGCGATGTGCAACAAAAATCTTATTACACTTCAAATAGTACCTCAACTAGAGCTTTGTACCTGCTAGTAGCCTTACCTGTCAATGAGGTAAAGTTACGAGGTGCAACAAAACGATTTCACTAGCTTAATGAGCCAATTCTCAAGCCTCTAGTTGCCTAATAGTAAGAGTATAGACAAGCACACAACTTGCGACATGCAACAAAGCCAACTCCTCTACCTCAGACAAAGATTCACCTCCATTCCCTCAAACCTACCGTCACCTCCACCATCAAACCCCAACCCACCTCTACCTAAACCCCAACCCACCCCCTGCACAACCTCACAACTCCCAAACCCACCCTCCACCCAACATACCCCAAAACCCCCACCCCCGCACAAGCAAAAACAAGCATCCTAAAGTTCCTCCTCTCCACACCCCTCTTCCCCTGAACGCCAGGAACGTACTCCCCTGCTTCCGTGGCCGTCATATCGAGCGACGGGATGTATTTAAACTCGAATACCGTTTCGGAGCCCAGGCCGTGGTCTTTGTTGTGCACTATGATCTGGTAAAGGATTTTACGGAGGGCCTTGGTTTTTGTTAGTGGGAGGTAAAGAAGAAAGGAGAAAGGAGGAAGGCGGATAGGAGGAAGGGGGAAAGGGAGAAAGGGAGGAGGGACATACAGATATCTTCTTCCGATCAAGATAATCCACCGAACGATACAAATAACACAACCCCATAAAGAACAAACACTGCCCCGCCACCAACGCCTTATAATACCACCCCGTCCTCACCAGCCCCAACTCATCCGCCAACTCACCACCATTCAGCCACCGTGCGCTCGCAACTAGAAAATCTCGAGAAGCGTAGGCCGGCGGTTGGTTCTGTAAGCTTACGATGATGTTATTAGCTAGGATCCTGCTGGTGGGTGATGGTCTGATCTCTTCTATCATGAGTGATTCCATGATCGCTCTCGCTTGAGCGGGAGATGAAAACCAGGAGGTAGGAGTTCCCATGTAATGAGCTACGAGCCGCCAGAGCGCGATGTAATCTTCAATCTCCTGGGCCCGGAGGAAGATTCCTTGGCGCGGGAAGCCGATCCAGATCAAAGTGGAAGAGAAAGTAGCAATAGTTCCCACACAATCGAGGTCATTGATCGGGATCCCGTACTCGGGAACGGAGTAATAGGATGGTTTCTGGGTGGCGAGAGACAAGATCCGGCGCCGGACGGAAGCGTGCAGCAGGCGGACGCGGAGCGAGGATGCGAAGCCTGCTCCTAGGGGTTGGATGGAGGAGAGAGAGGAGGTTACTTGGAGGATGTGTTGGGTTGTTTCGTAGAGGCGGTGTTTGGCGACTTGGGGACTGAAGCCGCCTGTTCGGGCGAGCACTTCGGTTATGCGCGAGGCTCCCATGCCGCCGAGGAGGGATTGGTAGGCTAGCTGAGATTGTGTTAGTTATGTGGTGGTGAGATTGAGAGGGGGGTTTACAGCAGTAAGAGCCACTCCTGCGTATCTGTAGAAGACGTCTTGACCGCGTGCTATTTGGTCCCAGTCAACCCATTCCGGGATGGTGTTGACTTCTTTCCATAGCTGTCCAAGTTTCTCATCTACTGAATGATGGTCTCGTAATAATTCATATAGATCTCTCTTTGGAGCTGGCTCAGAGCCTTCTTTTGCCGGTATTCTGCTTCGACTTCGAGGCAGCTCCTTGTTTGTGGGTGGCGAGATAGCATCAAGCCGCTGTAAACATTCGTCTGCTAACTCATCGTAAGAGAACTTCAGATGATTGGTTTCTTCCGGTGTAGTATGAAGGGGTGTCCATTGAAAAGTGTAACCCCAAGTATGCCTTGTATTCTCGTCGTGACGTCTAAATGGATTTGGCCAAGACATGAGAGAAGAAGATAGATAATGAGACAAACAAAGGCTTAGATGAATGCTAGAAGATTAAAACGTACAAGCGTCTAAGAACAAATGAATATACAAGAATAGTACAGTATAGAAAGGATAGTAGATATTGAGCAATAGAAGACTTCCCCGCCGTCACATGGCTGCATCATGACTTTCGATGAACCCTGCATATTTCCATTAAGCTAAAATGCCGAGGATAGCAGCTATGCTTTAGCTTGAAGGGAGGTCAGACTTTAAGATTCATAAAAACAAGATAGTTGATGTTTCGAGTAAAAAATAAACTTTGGCTCGGTACCAAGTACATACCTGGGTACTTTTATGAAGTGTGTCTTGGTTGTACGAAGCGTGATGCGACTTTGAAAGTCGTTCAGGGGTGGCTCTCGATAAGGCTGACGATAAGAGTCTCGGAAATTGTTCCGGGAGAGCTCGAACTTTTTTGTTTCTCCTTTCTTGCTGTCAACAACATCATCATCGGGTTTCGAACAATGACCTGTCTATGTACCGCCAATACATTACGACAATTCGTCCGAAGTGTAGCTCAAGTCGACCTGCCAAATACCACGAGGCTTGCTGCATCGAGGCAGTTTCCCAGGAGACAGATTTCAGCCTTCACTTATGCTCACGCGAGTAGAGCATACTCTTCCGCAACGAAGTCAGAGGACCCGAAGCAGTTTTACGATTCGATAGAGCATGCATCATCAAGGAACAAATGGAGGATAGGGGAGAAGGAAAGCGACATTGAAGGTCAGCTTAGTAACATAGACAAAGAAGGCGCTTTTGTCGATTTTTCACCAGAGGCTATCGATGCCCTTGCTGCAGAAGCTGCATCTGAACGAGCACAGGATGATCACTTTCCTTCGACACCGAAGCACGAATATGATACGCCATTACGATCTCTCATGAAGGTTGCGCCTAAGCAAAAGGAATATGTTCCCATGGAACGAATACCCGGAGGCGTTGTAAGAAGGTTGAAGTCAGAGAATACCGGCTTCAAGTTACATTACTCCGCTCAACCAGACTGGGAAGGAGTTGAAGAACGTGCCGAAAGGCTTAGAAAGCAAAGGGAGGAAGTAGCAGCTGCCAAAGAAGCTCGAGACGAATGGGTTCCGCCACCGAAAGAACCTTGGATGATAGCGAAGAGGAAAGCCAAGGAGAAATATCCGGATGGATACAACCCTTTGAAGCGACTGTCACCCGATGCCATAGCAGGAATTCGAGCTCTCCACGCTCAAATGCCCGAACAATACAATACCGAAACTCTAGCTGAGGAGTTCAAGATATCTCCTGAAGCCATTCAGCGGATTCTAAGATCGAAGTGGAGGCCAAGTCCTGCGGAACAGACCGACCGCGAACAGCGGTGGCATAAGAGAGGTGAAAAGGTGTGGACTAGACTGGCTGATATGGGAACGAAACCACCCAAAGAATGGAGAGATTTAGGAATTGGTTCTGGAAAGCCGGATTGGATGAAGAAGAGGGAAAATCTACGCCCTCGGGCTCCGCTACCCGCTCTCATCACGATGGCCCGACGAAGAGAAGCTAAAATCAAGTCTTCCAAAGAAGATAGCCTGGCAGATAGAATAATCTGAAGGGTTTATGCTATGCATATGCATACAGATAGCTCCCAAGTTTGCTCATGTACGATAGTCGCCCCGGATCGGTTCCCATTTGTCGGAATTCCAGATGGAAATCATGGGAAAGATTGATGCATGAAATGTTCTGTTCTACTTCGAGAGGACTGTTTCATGCAGAAGTATCTAAAATTCTGGTAGCGATAAGACAAACCTAGCTCAGTCCATGAATCACACCTAAACGGGTCACCCTTCTTATCAACAAGATCCTAATATAAAGTTGAGAATGGAACTGGTATCCAATCACATTGTGTGACTAGCAACATTGTGTGATGTGCTTGTTACTGAGCTCTTCTGGGTATCGAAAATCAGCGGGCATCAGCCCGTTTCGGCTGTTGCTCTGGGCCCCTGACGCGCCCGTTTTCTGCTCGGACCTCCTGCCAGGACGCGCTGCAGTAGCCCAGGAGAGCACAGACATAGATAGAGAGAGTTAATCCTCGACGAAAACCCAGATGCTTCGTCCCAATTCTGACTTCATTGTCATTCCATTGTTTTTCGTCTGTTGTGCTCTGTCTGTGTCGAGAATTGATCGCTTTAAGATCTGCCATTGTAAGTAGCGCTTTGAGCTATGTTGTTGTAGGACCACCTCCATTCTAAGACCAAAACAACAGCATTTGTTTCCATTCCCATGCTTCCCTTCAACGCCGACCTGCACGACAACGATAAAGCTCCCGACCTTGCTTTTGAGGAAAAACAAATAATCTGAATTCGAAAACCACATTCGAATATTCTCAATTTCGTCCTCAATTGATCATATTCTCATGGCTTGACCATGTCTTCTACACCGTCGAATTCGCGGACCTTTGCCGCGAACACAGGGTTGGGACTTAAGCTGACACCCTCGAATTCTCCATACCCACGTACTCCACGATCTCCAAACAAACCCCGCAACTTTTACGAATCAGGATTGTCACTGAAGAGGATAATTGGCACCACAGTCTCTTCCCCCACCGCATTCGACAGTCTTTCTTCCTCTCGCATATTTGCATACACCGCTGGTGCGGCAGCTGTTGTTGTCAATGTTGACGATACTTCGAAATACTCCCAGCGATTCTTCAGAGCTCGCCCCACGGCCATACCTCTGAATAGTGTGCCTAATGCGACATTGGCACCTTCTACACCTACGAATACCGCGAATGATGGCAGGAATAGAGCGGTAGCAGCTCTACGAGACTCGGCATTGCCCTTCTCTCCTTCAACACCACATACAAGCCTAGAATGGGGCGATTCTCCTTCTTCCAAGACCTGGACAAGCAGGGAAAGAATAAAAGCAGCTACATGTCTATCAATTAGTCGAGATGGAAAATTCCTGGCTGTTGGTGAGGTAAGAAATGCTATTGGAATTCCATGTAGATTTATGCTTACCATAATAGACTGGCTACTCCCCCAGAGTTCTGATCTTTTCCTTACAAGACACGTCTTCCGACATTCCTTTGAGTATACAAAACGAGCACACATACGGAGTACGGGCTGTAGCTTTCAGTCCTGACCAGAAGTACCTTGCTAGCTTGGGATCACCTAATGATGGCTTTCTCTACGTCTGGTCGATTAATCAGAGAACGGGTGCCTCGAAGTTACATTCAAGTAACAAGTGCACAAGCTTCGTCAAGCAAATGATATGGCTTGGAAGCAGTATTGTCACGTAAGTTTTGGACATTCTCCTTATTCTATAGCCTCAACCCGGCACGAACATTGAATACTTTCTAATATCTCAACAGAATTGGTACACGCCATGTGAAAATATGGCGAGTGGAAGAACCAAGAAGTGCATCTCCAACCAAACAACGATTTGCCCTAGACGGCACACCTCTACCAGTAGCTAGCCAACCAGCATTAAAGACATTAGCTGGACGAAATGTTCTGCTTGGGCCCTTGGTAGAAGCTACATTTACAACGCTCGCCGCCATATCTGAACACAAGGCAATAGTCTGCTCTGAAAAGGGCGACATCTGTCTTCTCGATGACAGTGAAGGACAGAAGCTAATGAAACTTGCGAATACGGGCTTTGCTATCACATGCATAGCCATTGATATGGAAGCCCGAAGAGTCAGGATAGGAGGCCGTAATGGAAAATTAAAGTCCTTGTGCCTGGATGACTTACTCACACCAAGCACACCACCGGAGTCCCCAACGCCAATGACTGAATCCGTTTCAGGAAGCGAAGCGGGTCATATTTGTGCTATGGGATATGCGGCGAGTAGTCTCATTACGGTTGATTCTAAGCATTTGATCGAAATCTCCAGCCCTAATTCGGATGTTGCAGATCCCCAGATGTCGAACACACCTTTCCCGGCACATGGCGATTCTGTGCTGGGAGTTCGATTGTTATCACCTGAGAACGAGTTGAAGGCTGCATTTCTCACCTGGTCAGCGAACGGTACCATTGTGTTCTGGGACTTGGAGGGTTGCGCCAAATCATTTCTCAAAGTGGAAGTCGAACAACTACCTGGCACAGAAGATGAGGTCAATCAATGCCAGATCGTTCGAGCTTCGAAAGGAGCTTCATATCTGGTTACTGGAGACAAGTACGGTGTTTTGAGAGTCATCAATCCAGTTACGCAGAAGTGCACTTTCGAAGCTAGGGCTCACATGTCTGATGTTCAGGATATTGCACTGCACGAATCTGAGGATGTTACTCTAATCGCTTCATGCAGTCGAGATCGGACCATCCAACTGTTCAGACTCATCTCTGAACAATGGGTCCTCATCCAGACTCTAGATGAGCATTCAGCTAGCGTTTCAAGCCTGTTCTTTGTGGAGAATGGCGAGAAATTGATATCATGCTCTACAGACCGTACGATACACGTTCGACAGCTCGTCAAGAAGGATGTAGGAGGACAAGATGTGATGGGTGCAGTTCCAGTCCGTATCATCACTCTAAAAGCATCTCCTGTCTCTATGGCAGCTTGCTTTGCGGACCAAATGGGTAATTTCGTGGTCTCGATGCTGGACCGCACAGTGGCTACATACGAGATTTCCAGTGGACGACTCATACATTCGTTTCGAGCGACAGACAATGAAGGTCAGGACGCGGTTGTTTTGGATGCCCTTGTCATGGGTTGCCCGAGTACGATTTCAGGTCGACCAACGATACTGGCAGGAGTTTCGAGTACGGATAAATCGGTCAGGATTTACGACGGGGCCACAGGTTCCTTCCTCGATCGAGAATGGGGCCATACAGCCAGTGTGACGGATGTGGCGCTTCTAGAAGTTCCAGACTCGGAGCAGAAAACTTTGATTAGTACTGGCTCAGATGGTACGATCATGATTTGGGATCTCTCACCTAGACCACAAGAGCCTGAAGAGGTCCTTACTCTAGCATCTAAACGTGACGAATCACCACCAAAGGATACACCATCGACTCGGCCGCCTTTGCGAAGAGTATTATCGAGAGCTGAGCTAGCAGAATTCCAACGAGCATCACCTATGTCAACCCCAACAGGCAACCGCTCGCCACCACGAAACGTCCGCCGGAAAACATCTCGCTACGGCCTCTCATCCCAATCACCGACGCTCGCCATCCCACCCGTTCCTACCGTAAACTCAAAACACTTCACCTCCGCCTCAGACGATTCCTCCATCCGCCGCGCCACTCGCAACCGTTCCCGCAGTCCCCCACCATCTCCAAAAGCAAAGGACATGCGCCGACCCTCCCTCGCATCACTCGACACCCGAGGCCGCACGAAATCCGCCGGCAATGGCAATTTCTCTGAATTCGGGACCCTGAACATGGCTACGGAACAAGCATGTCGCACCCTCCGCGCCTACCGGAAGAAACTCCTCTCCTCAGAAACCGTCAAGGAAGAAGCGTTGAAGGAATTAGACCAAGAACTCAGATTAACGGCTATGGCGCTAGGAGAAAAGAGTTTGAAGAGCAAGGCTATTAGCGAGACTGTGTTGACGGGGTTGCTGGATCAGTATTCGGAGCGCTTGGTTAGTATGTTTGACGAGAAGCTGAGGTTGGCGAGGACAGATTCTTTAGAGCCGGAAGATGGTGGGGAGAAGGAGAGGCCTAAGACGGCTGGGCCGGTTATTGAGAGCTCTTCGGAGGGGAAGGGGAAGGAGGTTCCTAATTCTTGAATTTTCTTGGGAGGTGGAGTTGAGGGGTTTGCTTCTCTTTTGTTTTGTGGGATAGGGAGGGATTGGCGTTATTGGGATTTAGAGTGGCGTTGGAGGGGCGGGATAAATACCATTACATTCTGGCGTTTGGCCGTAGCTGGGCTCCTTAGCTACGGCCTCCTTTGTAAGGGACGGTTGGGTTAGGGTGGGGGGAGTCTTTCTTTTGCAGCCCTGGATGGCGATGGTTGAAGTTCGAGGACAGGACAGGAAAGAAATGCTCGCTCAATGAGAAGAAAGATAATGAGAGCTGGACGGACGGATGATTTATCTTCGATCATGTAACAGTACCCAGGAAATAGAGAAATAGAGAGACAGAGATCAAGATTCAGGCTCATTGTTGAAATTCGTGATGAGAAGAGAAGAGAATCGCTTCCTCCGTATATGCCGCTATGCTCCTAGTAGAGAATCGCTGCCGCCCTGTGTTGTATGCTCAATGCTCCTAGAAGAGAGAGATGATGCATACCCATGCCCCCCCAAATCAACGCCACGCTCAGACTAAAATGAAATCCTCCCTACCTTAGAAACAAAAAGTCGTTCGTCGTTCGATGCTCTTTCAATGCCCATTCCCACCTCCGCTCCTCTCTGTCTCACTACTTTCTCAATACCCATAACCCCTCTTCCCCTTCCCCTTCGCCTTACCCCTCACCCCCTTCTCCCACTCCTCCCTAAACTTCCCCGCGCTGCCAGCGTCGTCCTGGTACCCGGCCAGGAGCTTGGCGAAGTAGTGCCGGGTACCCGGGATGCTGTCGTTGCGGGACTGGGCGTGCATCATGAGGAGCTCGGGGTTGTCGAGGATTACGGCGGCGAGGCGGCGGCGTTGGCGGGCTTCGTAGATTTCTGCGTTTTCGTAGCTGCTGGAGGGTTAGTTGAGCAGAGTTTTGAAGGAGGGGTCGGGCCGGGGGAGGGTTTGAGAGGAGGGATTTGAGGGAGAGGTTTGAAGAGGGTGACTATGAGGGGATTTCAGGGGAGGGGTAAAGGAGAATTGGAGAGAGTATAAGGGTAGATAGATGGAGGTAGGAGAGGTACAGGCGTGCGAGGGAGGAGGGAAGAGATATTTTTAGAACTGTGGAGATAGGAATGCAATGAAAGCTTCCGAATTCATGCCCAGAACTACTGGCTCGATCAAAAATGTGACTCCTGAATAACCAGAAACTCTTACTTACGGGTTATATTTAGGATTCCCATCCATATCACTAGAATCATCCTCGCTACTAAACATCGCCGCATCCTTCCCCCTCGCCTGCCGATCCTGCATCTTGGGCGTAATCTCCTTCTTCCTCCCGGAAGAGCTCGCTTTTGAGACCTTCCTAGACATCGCACTCTTCCTCTTCTTCGGTGGCAAATTGGTGCTGAGAGCTGAGCTCGAAGACGAGGAGTGCAGAGCAACAGGGGTCGCGGTTGCTTGCATGATGTTGTTGAGCTCAATTTCCTCGGAGTCGTCACCCCATTGTTCGTTGTTTTCCTCGTGGTCAGTTACGTCCGGAGAGGAGTTGTCGGAGTCGATGGTGGCCATGTTTGCAGGTTTGAAGAGGAGGGGAGGTTCGTGAGGGGGTTGATAATCTGGGGTAGGATTGATAATGCAGGTGAGAATTGACTAGTCGTAATTGAGAGTAGCGGTTACTGGATGTGGCGTGATGGGTCGGTAAGCGAGGGCTGTCGAATACTATTGTCGACCTCACTCCTTCCCTAATAATGTATCGTGCTTTCATTCTCATTCATTCGTGAACATTTTCGTTTACATTCAAGTGATAGTTCAGTTGAAAGAGAATAAATCATGGTGAAGTGCCATATTTGTTGTGCTGGAAAGCAGAGTGGTGGTATGAATTTTGGCTGTACAATAGCAGAAACCGGGGTGAAGAATCTCAAACAGCTGCAATGTTGCCAAAGCTCTTTCAGGATGGATAGTACTTACAGCCTAGAGACCTAGAGATGGTCTATTGTCTATCTCTGCACGCACCTTGTCACCTTTTCCACAATCATGGAAAAGCTGTATAGTACCCTGCCGGCAATAGCACAAGGAGAAATGAGGTAGTTATGGGATTGATGGTCTGGCGGCCGCACTTTTATATTGCTATTTTCTCGTATGTCTTATCGTCAGTTATCGGTCTAGCGTCATTCTACTTTTTATTGCTAGCCTCGTTGAAGAGAACGAGGCTTCAAGTCAGCCTTCGTCTTCCTTTTCCGCCTTTCGATCTTTGGGACTTCAACCTCAACCTCAATTGTTCAACCACCCAAAAGTTGCTTTGCTTTTGCTTTGCTTACTGTTCATTGACAGTAGCGATCTTGCTTCATCAAATCATTGGTCTACCTCTTTTGCTTCTCTTGCGACGCGTACCCTCTTCAAGGAGACTGGCAAAGAACTATCTAAACAAAGGCAAGACGGATTCAACTCTATGTTACTCAGACTAGACTGGTAGCAGAGATGTCTCCCCCTGACCTGTTCCGTGAGTATCTCGGTATCAATTACGCCCAATTTCTCGATCTAAACAAGATAGATGGTGGTCAGCGCCAGCGTCTTCGAAAGATTACTCCGAGAATCGAAGAGCTAGTAAATCGATTTGAACCCGAGAATTCCCAAGGATCTACGTCTATCTCCGCTGGAAATGAATCAAATGAGGGCTACAAGTTCTTCACGGATGCAGACTATACGGAATCTGACCAAGCGGTTCCTCTAGACCTCGATACCGACTTCCCAAGAGTGCCAGTGACCCCATCTATGCTGTATGCCCATGCTTGTGCACGAGGCAAATTTGGCGACCGAGAAGGAGATCCCGTACACCACGCACTATTTCTCGCCCCAAACCGAGGTTTTGGTGCTCGACCGATTTGGGTGCGGATGACGGAAGAGGGTGGGTCAATGGAGGAGTAAGTATCTGTCTTCACTTTTGTTGGGCTTATTAATTGCTAATTGATGCAGTCTTCCCCCTGGCATGAAGTTCTATTGGGATCCATTGGTGCAAAAGCCTGAATCTCCTCCGTCGACTCCAGCAGACATCCAGGGACAGAAGCTAAAGTCCAAGAAGGCAACCCCTCTAACATATCTCGAGCACATTGCACAGAATCCACCCACAGTTGGCAAGAATCACTACAAGGGTGATTATGTGTATGCAAACTTCGGTTATGTTCGCGATGAAGACACAATGGAATGGTTCGACCCGGAGTCATCACAACCACTTAAAGACAAATATATCTCATATCGGCGAGAGGGGCCGATCGAAGAAGTGGACGGCAAACATATTCCAGATTTCAAGAGGTCGGAGAGAATATTTCCTAGAATTATGAGCACTGAGGAGCAGGAACATTTCTACGACGAATACTTGCAGTACGTTCACGATGATGTCGATGCTGAGGGTGACCCTCGAGATCTTCGAATCACTCCCGCAACTTTCGCCCAATGGGCTGTGGGTGCACGCAAAGGCAAGGCTTACGAGGAGGAGGAATTTACACCTGTATGATGAGTCTCGACTTAGTTTCTTGAATGCCAGCTAATATTGTGTGACTCTTTTAGGACAGTGTCATTTGGTCGAAGCGTGTCGTTCCACCAAAACAACCAAAGGATTCCAGGCCGAAAAGACGACAATTCGATATGGTTACCGGAGAAGAAATTTCAGAGCTTGGAGACTCCGACGAAGAGGCTGTTCTAATCACGGAAGCTGAGGGTGAGCTAACCCGGATCAAGACCCGAATTCCTCCTAACGTTCATTGATAGGTGTTAATATGATGGCCATTCCTCGAGAATTCAGCATGATGCTTCCAGGCGTTGCTCAAGATCTTGCTCACAAAGCATTCGGGCACCGCGAGAATGACCCAGAGAAGTACAGCCAAGGATCTATTACGTCTTCCGACCACGACACTGCCTCGGACCCAACAGTGTTTAATGAGGTAAGATTAAGCGCATGTACTCTATTATCCGTCGTTCTAATAATATTTACAGACCCGAGCCGTGAACCATCTTGGAACTCTAGGCGATCCTATGAGTGGGAAAGCTGAATTTGCTGGTTTAAGCGAAGAAATGCTGAATCTGTTAGACGAGAAGCGTCTGGCAGAAAAGCGCACCGTACAAAAACAAGAGGAACTCGCTCAAGCTAGGGAAGTTGAGATCGGATTGGCAAGGGAGATCTTTTTCTTGAATGCCCGCAAGAACCTGCAGCCGATCAGAGTTGTGAATAGAGGCAATCCTCATGGCATGGATGGCGCCGGTTCTTTCGACCCTAGTCTCTCAGAAGGAATCTCTAATTTCGATGGCTCGGACGAACACGAAGAGGAATTAATGTCTCCTGCCAGCCTGCCAAAGCAGCATAAGCAGTTCCGAAGATATTTCAAGGAGCAAATCGCGACGGAGTCAATGGCTATTAATAGGCTTAACATATACGCGGACGTCAGTGATATGGAGTATGAACGCATTCGCAAAGACATCAACGTTATGAGAGGAGTAAAGGACGAGCTGGTTCGGAGCTTCGGCGTCGAAAACATGGAGGATATCCCACTTCATGTTCCCCATCCGCTATATATGGATCGCGTCGATTTCGCTGGAGGACAGTCTACCTACGAGTGAGCATGGAGAACTGTTCTGGAGCGAGGCATATAGAATGGGAGTCGGAGCTTACTGTATGAATGTGTTGGAGTTTATTGGATGTGTCTGTTTGATACTGGAGCCTAGGTCTTTTCATTTCCTTTTTCTCTTCTCTCTGCTTCTCGGCCAATGACGCCTTGGAAGCCAAAAATAACTTCTCCAGTCTGTTTCCGAATCACGAAATAATTTGGTCTCATCGATGGGGAGGCAAAGGAAGCATAACAGCATGGCGATATCGCATGCAAGATTTGTACATTAGATATGATTGAGGGTCGTAACCCAATGCATGCAAGCCAAGCAATGTAGACTTCTTCGCACCGCCGCCAGTGAGAGGAGCAGTGATATGTAGAGATCATTACAGATACAACAAGACAGACTTTCCAACGCCCACTTTATCCCACTCCATATTCATACATGTACAGGTAATTGTTTTGCCACAGCGCCATCCAATGCTTCGCTCAACCATCAGATAGATCTACGAATTCTTCACAACCCCAACCTTGGCGGCGCGTAATATGCGGCCGTTGAGCTTGAACCCCTTCTGCTGCGTATGGAACACGGTATTATCCTCTTTGCCCTGCATCGGCGTCATGAACGTCGCTTCATGCTCATTCGGATTGAACTTCTCGCCCTCAACGCTTGGGTCGAAGCGTTCCAATCCATGCTTCTTTAGCGTAGCCATCAGGATATTCTCCGTCATCTTCAGGCCTTCGTATAGAGCGATCAAATCGTTTAGATGCTCGGTCTTCTCGGTGGCGGTGAGCTTCTCTTCCGGTACCATGGCTAGCGCGCGGTCGAGATTGTCGACGCTGTCGACGAGGTCTTTGGCGAATTTTTGGATGGCGAAGGCTTTGGCTGCTTCCATGTCGCGTTTGGTACGTTCTTGGAGGTTGCGGAAGTCGGCGACTTGGCGGACGTATTTATCCTGTTTTCTTCCTATTAGTAAAGAGTTTAGGGAGAGGATTGCGGATGGAGGTATACCTTTAAGTCAATGATCTCCTTATTCTTCGCCTCTAATTCTTTCTTCACAGGATCCTCGGCTTCTCCATTCTTGGTCTCTGATTTCGAATCTGCGGCATTGTCTTCTTTCTTCGCCTCTGTGGATTCGGAGGAGTACCATCGTGATGATGAGGATATTCGTTGGGAGGAGGTAGGGAGAGCTAGGTTCGAGGGGCGAAATTGTGGTCTTGCTAGTGATCCTCGAGGAGAGGACCGTATGCTGGAGCTCAGAGCCCTTGATTGTCGGAGTAATGTTCTGGGAATCATGGTGGGAAGCTGGTTGTCGCGTGCTTTTTTGGGTCGATGATCAGATGGCGAAGGAATTTTGGAGGATAATTTTTTGGATGTGGCTAGCGCCGGAGGACGGGTTGTTCCGGGTGGTGCGGCCGCATTTGACGTCGGGTGGAGGAGCTGATGGAAAATGGCTTTACTGTATGATATTCTTAAGACTTATAGTTTCTTGAGTCTTCTCAAGCAGAGGGATAGCTTTGACTGCTCTGTATCCAATGTGTTTCACTTGTACTTGTCATCATTATCAGCCAAAACCGAACCCGTCCACTTGTGGCTCATGTATGGTTGACTCTAGAACTAAGAGATACTCTGTAAGAAAGTCCTGACAGCTTTGAAAGCAAGGTGATGGTACATATCCAAGTGTGACCTTTTGTTGCAGAAAGTTTTCTGCATATGGAGTCACAGAATACGTCGTTTTCATGTTCATGATGTTGGCTGGCAATATCCAGTGCTTTCCTAAACCATTTCAGCACAGTCTGTCCCAGTTTGAAATCTCTAAAGACGAACATTTGAATCTCAAAGCACATTCAAAGGCGAAGAACAAGCTTCTTTCTTGATTTCTTAAAATTGCTTTATGCACATTCTCCAGAACAATCATGTGTCTGAAGTGATGAGGAACCCAACACTGCTTTCAATCCAGATTGTCCAAGCTCAGACTTTCTGCGCGATCAAGCTTCCAACTTCTCAATGCGTCCAGATCTTCAATGCACAGATACAAGCAAAAAGAGCGAGCTACTTTCGTACTGCTCTGTACATTTGTAGTTCTTGTTTCAGAGCACGTGGTCGTATGAAGTGATGAAGGCTTCTTAGACCACCGTCCAACAAGTCTACGCAGTATAAGACTTTATTCGAGAGCAAGCGTCATCCTCAAAGTGTATTCTAACTGTATATCCATAATGTGGCCAACGCTCCCAGCGGACTGCCTCTAATGCCCCCGAACAATATTAACGCTTGTTGCAAAACTCTTCTTGGTATAAGTCATGAGAGCTTGTGAGCAACTCCAGAGTATGAATACAAGACTACCTGGTCTTGAGGATATCCGCTTTTCTGATTGAGATGAGATATTCCATGTTGAAGCATGTATTCTTGCTCGTATTATCGTGCTTGAGGCCTATCTTTGCTGTCTGAAAGAACCAAATCGAACTATCTCGGCGTCTGAAGAGAAGACAACGAGAACGACAATAGGGACGACCCTCTATCTTCGAACTGCGTAAAAAGGTCAAGTTAGCACGTTGATTAATGTTCTTAGAGTCTTGCCAGAGAGTTACCTGTACTCAGTTCTCAGGGATACACTAGTCTCTCAGCCCTGTGCTTCAGAAAGTCCTAGCAACATCTCTCTTTCTGCTTTACCGTTACTCATCGCGTCATACTTCGAGCCATCTTGCGTACCCCGGGTGCTTTGAAAACTGTGAATTGTAGGCAAGGCGGATTGTTTTGTCGAGTGGAGTCATAAATGCTCTAGGTCGACGGTTACTAATAATACTTTGGCGACCGTCTTTGACCTATTGCACGTTTACTTCTTCATTGAGAATACATCAAGTTCCTCCTCGGTCCAACTTCGAGAATTTTCACACGCACAAGTACGCTTCACTTCGAACAATAGTGCTCTACCAGTCAAAGTTTACCTATTGCACGTTCATTTTGCGTGTTTTCAACGCTACCAGACCTCCATCCGTCCATCTTCGACGCCTTTCACCTCGAACACGAACGTGTGGACGCCCATAGTGCTCTGGTGATCACTTGCACGTTTACTTTAGCGTCTGCGACACTACCAGATCTCTGAACCCTCACCCGTCCAACTTCGAGTCCTTTCACCTTGGATCTGAACGCAAACACGTTGAAAATCAACTGACAGTGCTCTCGAACTTGACGTTACCTCTTGTACGCTACCTTCTACTCCGTTCGCGACAATAGCACACTCCCTTATCCTTCTTCCGTCCAGCTTCGAGCTTTTCACGTCAGATCTCAACGCAAACACGTTCAATATCGATTTGCAGTGCTCTCAACATCGACGTTTACATCTTGCATGTTGGCGTACTTAGCGTTTGCAACAATACGAGCTTCACTCATCCTTCCTCCGTCCAATGCCATCGTCTCCCACCTGAATCAAAAGCGCTTTCGAACTTGAATCGTCGGGTAAGTTCTGTCAATAGCATCAAACCTTCCAACTTCGACGTTGCTGACCTCAAACTAGAACGCTTTCGAACTTGATCTGCAAGTTAAGCTTGTCAATAGCATCAGAGCCCACAACTAGGACGTTGCTGACTCCATACAAGAACGCTTTCGAACTTGATCGACTAGTCAGGTCTTTGAATGGTATCAAACCTTCCCACTTCGACAATTTCCATCTCAAACCAGAACGCTTTCGAACACGATCGACAATCTAGATCTGCGAATAGCATCATCTACAGACGACGACATTTCCTCATCCTTCCTACGTCCGATTACGACGTTTTGTACCTCACACACATACGCAATTGAACCAACCTGATCGACAAGTAAAGCCTGTCAATAGCAACAGACCCTACAAGTTGGGCGTTCCTGACCTTAAACAAACACGTTTTCGAACTTGATCGACAAGTCGGATCTGTGACTAGCATCATCTACAATACGCAGATAAGACCTCATCCTCCCTCAGTACAGCGTCGACGTTTTGTACTTTAGATACAGACACATTCGAACTTAATCGACAAACCAGATCTCTGAATACCATCAGAATGTCTTCTCCAAGAAGTATGTACCACAATTCCCGTGATAAGATGCTTTTTCAAGCACTCACGAATCCGTTCTTTTCACATTTATCCTACCCGAAGATTCAATTCCTTCTCTCTTTTCCTGTCTTTTCTGCACCTCCTACCCAACGACTCACCTCCTCTCCTCTTCTTCCTTGTCTTTGTAGCACCCAGCCTACCCGACGATTCACCTCTCCTCTCTTCCCCGTTCTCTTCGCACCTAATCTACCCCAAGACTTCTTTTCTTTCTTTCGCTGCATTGTTCACACTTATTACACCCGAAGATTAACTTTCTTCCTGCGAGCATATACTGACGCATCTAGACACTACTCCTAAGGGCGATGGTTTTCGTAAGCCTATGACTACGGGCTGGGAGGGAGTTAGCAAGGAGAAGCTGTCCTCAAAGTGTACGTTTTATGTCTACTTGATAGAATATCATTCCCAGCATCCTTCAACTTGTCGAGTATATACTAATGAATTTAGACCACGCTACTGTCGAAGACGACTTCGAGGACGATTACAGTGTCAAGAATGTGGGTTCTATGAAGGACAAGTCTGCTATTATGGAGGAAGTTCTACCAGGTACGTGTGGTATTTGTACAATCGAATATTTCACCTATATCTATTGCTTCTTCGGGAATATACTGATGAATCTAGACGAATTTATCCCCAAGGAGAGTACTAGCATTAAGACCAAGACCACGGGCGACAACAAGTCTGGTATGAAGAGCCAACATTCTTTCAAACCAATGATTCGAGTTTATACTAATGAATCTAGGCGTTGCATTCCGCTTTGAGGACTTCGAGGATGATCTCTCTGTCAAGCCTTTCTACAACTATGGCCTTAAGCGATCCAGAACCCCATTCCCGGAGAGAGCCTGCCGTTGGGTTCCGATTCCTGTTGAATGTTCGGAGGAGGTCCGTTCACGCTCCCCGAATAATGTTACGCAGATAGACTGACATTAGCGCAGGTCCGGGCCAGATTCCCACCAAAGAAGGGTACTAAGGCAAAGTCCCTGACGGAGGCGGAGATCCGAGCCACAATGATGAGTGACGAAGACGTCGCCAATCTCCGACGAAAGCTGGTCAATGACCCACCACCAATGTCTCTCCCGGAGGCCAAGAAGAAGCAGATCCGCAAGGACTGCATCACATTCATCCGAGGACGCACAACCAGCCGCCTGGCTGCTCGTGCTGCTGCCGAAGAGATGAACAAGCAGTAGTGTTCGGCGGGTGCGTGGGAATTGGGTGGCGTTGGGCTGCTTTTTTTGTGTTTGTACAATCTGCGGAAATGAAAAAAATTGTCTTTGACTTTAGAACCTTTCCGTGACCCAGTGATTTCCGTTCATCCACTCCGTCTCTCATTTATAATAATGGGATGCAAGAGAATATTGTTCTAGGATTTCTGAGACAGTATAAGATTAACAAGTGGGGACTATAGAACTACTAAACAAGATTTGCAAATACTAAGCCAAATAGCAAATGTTTAGTAGAAGTGCGTCGTTCACTCAGACTCGCCGAGCTTTCTGAACTCTCAGCTGTTTTACAAGTTTGTCGTTCTCTCAAAAACAGCCAAGTCCAAATTAGGTATTGTTTTGGTGATGATTATACGCTTTATTTTTAAGGTAACATCGTATTGTACCACGTTTCGTGAGAGATTTCAAGAAAGATAAGTGGGAATTACAAGACTACAAAATATCAAATTCACATAGCATACTATGTAATGAAAAAGGATTCATTCATTATTATGAATTGCGAGCTTTCTAGGCTCTCAGCTATTTTACAACTTTGTCGTTCTATAACAAACCCCAAGTTTAAATCAAGTCAGGAAAGTGTCTTGGTTAGACCGTTTTTCTTCTACATACGGAATTAATAATAACGTCTTTGACTTTAGAACCTTTCAGTGATCCTGTGATTTCCGTACATCCCGCTCCCTCTCTCATCTATATTATTCAGATACAAGATGATATTTCTATTATACCAAGTTCTGTGAGAGATTTCAAGAGGGATAAGTAGGGATTACAAACTACATAGTATCAATGCCACATAGCACAGTTCAGTGAAGTATAGTTCTTTCATTTATGAACCATGAACCGTGAACTTTCTGGCCTTTTAGCTAACTTGCATGTTCTATTTCTGTTGTTACAGAAAAGACTTTAAGTTTAAACCAAGTTAGGTAAGTGTCTTGGTTAAACGTTCTTTCTCCACATGCAGAATCCACAATGTCTTTAGGACTTCTAAATTTTCAATGCTTTCAGTGATTTTCGTACACCCCACTTTAATCTATAGTATCTGGATACAAAACAATATCATATCTATAAGGGTTGTGAGACAATATAACTTGAATAAGTGCATTTTAATTCATAATATCAGAACATTAAGTTACATAGCATATCTAGCACAAGACAAGTCAAGCATTTAGTGAAGTTACATTTATTATCATAAATCGGGAGCCCTCTGGAGTTTCCATCATCTTACAAGTTTGTCGTTCTGTTGAAACACTTAAATATAAATCAGATTACAAAATACCTTAGAGTTGAACGTTCTCTCTTCCGCATGTGGAAATGATGGTAATGTCTTTGACTTTAAAACCTTTCAGTGTTTCAGTGACTTCCGGACACGCCACTCTGCTCTCATATATAATTTTGGTATATCAGATAATATTGTTCCACTGATTTCGGTACACTCCACTCTCATCTATAGTATTGCAATATAAGTCAAAGACTGTATTGTTCTAAGACTTGTGAGGCAATATAACTAGAATAAGTGCATTCCAAGTTTTGAGTACACAATTGCAGAATACTGAGTCACATGGCGAATCCAGTCAAGTATTCGGTAAACTTTCATGTATTATCATAAATCGAGCCTTCCTGGCTCCGCTGCCTTGCAAGTTCTGTTCCTTCATAAAAACTCAAGTTTAAGTCAGGTCAGGAACGTTTCTTGGTGGTGGACTTTCTTTCTTCTATTTACAGAATTGATAATGTTCTCATAACTTCTAAGTTTTCAATGCTCTCGGCGATTCCTGTACACTCCGCTCTCATGTACAGTTTTGGGATATAGGTTCATTTTGTTTCAGTGCTACCCGTACACTCCACTCACATTTGTAGTATTTGGATATGAACAATATTATACTACTAGTATGCCAAGGTTTGTGAGATAATACTAGAGAGATATGTGTGGATTACAAAACTACAAAATTTTAGGTCACAAAGAGGAGGTCAAGTATTTAGAGATGTTTAATTCACTCATTTTATGAATCGAGCCTCTCCGCGCTCCACTATCTTACAGGTTTTCAAGGAACCCCAAATTTAAAGCAAGCCAGAAAAGGCTTCTTGTGGTCAATCTTTTCTTTTATATGTAGAAGTAGGAATATTTTTGTCCTTTTCCGATGCTTTCAGAGCTTTCCGTACACTCTACTCTGTTTTGTAGTACCTATGAAGATATAAGATAAGATTGTTTCAAGGTTCATAAGACAATATAAGAAGAATAAGTGGGGATCACAGAACTAAGAGATTCTAAGTCACATATAAGAAGTCAGATATTCAGTGAAGTTTCATTCATTACGAGCCTTCTGGCTCCGCTATCTTACAAGTTGCCAAGTGATTAACCCCAAATTTAAATCCGGCCGTCATCAATATCCAGACCAACATTGACGCAAGTGAAAAGAGACCATCGAAAAGAGAATTAAAAAGTTATGGTTGTTGTCTATCCCAAGGACGAACAAGCAACAGCACGAAAGTCCTTTATTGCAAAGGAGTTGACAGCTTTCGGCCCAAGTACATAACCAGGTGTGGATAGGCCATTTCATAGCGGCAGATAGCCGTATGGATCATGGGCCATTCCTCAGCCAGGTTGAGAGGTGCCGGTTCGTCGCCAAGAGGGAATTGGATACCGAACTCTTCCTTGAATTGATGGCGGAACTCAGGATAGAGAATCTCGCGCGGAACGGCTGGGAAGGAGTGACGGTAATAGTTATGAGAGCCCTCATAGAGGATGAAGTGGCGGATCAGGCGGTAAAGGGAGATTAGGAGAGAGTGGTCCATCTTGGAGAACATGAAGCATGCGTTCAAGAGGCGGTTGAAGTCGCGCTTCATGGGATCGGTCTCGGGGATGCGGAAGGTCTGTGGATAATATGTTAGTCTAAATCATATGGTTTCGGGGAGTGAACTTACGGTGAGGACTTCGGTAGGAGAGAATTTGCCGACGGCAGACACCTCGGAGCGGAAGACGTGGTAATCACCAGTGACCTTGCTCTCGTCAACATAAGCGGGGTAGATGTCTGCTCTGTTTCCGAACTTCATAGTCCAGGCATTGCATACTTCAGGGAATGGACCAGAGAAGCAATACATGGAGAAGATCTTCTGGCGAAACAGTGCTTGGCTAGATGTCTCCCACTTTTGCAAACCCATGATAGGATCCATATCGTAGACGTAGTTGCTTGGAAGATTAACGGAAACAACTGCTTGAGAGGCGGGGTAGTTGATACAGTGACTTCCGTGATCAAAGGCTTCTGCTAGCATACAGGCTCGCGAACAGTATCGTACATTTGTCAACGGACCGCAGAAAGGACAGATGTAAGCTGGCGCATCTCGAGTTGGGAGACGAGTGACTCTGCAGCATAGGCAGGTGAAGGAGGATAGGACAGGCTCTTCATTCAGTGAGTGATCATGTCGTTCAAAGCTTGACTCATCGATATACGAACTCTCATCGTATTGGTGAGAAGAACCGTCAAGGGCTTGTTGCTCGTAATCTGTGATAACCGCCAACTCGTCCGTCAAAGCCGCAGCGTTGCTGGCAGGGGGGCATGGTGCAGAGAAAGATCTCGAAGCACGTGTATCCGAGGGCAAGTCTTGTTGAGAAACTGATGCTGAGCATCCATCAACTTCGGTTCGGAGAGCTCCAATGGCGGGCAAGACAAGTATAACCAACGGAGAAGTAGTGTGATATTGAGTTTGGGGTTCCGAAGATTGAGGGGCTCGAGGAGAATTGTCTGTGTTCTCTAGTGGTTCGTCGTCGGATTCCTCATCATCAGAATTAATAGGTGGTGCATCAGGAAAATATAGACGAAGTTCCCTGGTACAGCCGACTGGTAATTGAAGACCGTAACCGATTGGCATGTCACCGAATTGCAATCCCAGAACTCGAGGATCTCGAACTGCGGTCATTTGGGCATGTTCCGGCTCTTCCAACAAGGGATCACCTTCTTCCTTGAACCGAGTGGTCACATTTTGCAGAGAGCTGAATCGTTGACGAGGAAGGGACTTTGACGGAAGAGTCAGATCAGCCCAAGCAAGATTGCTCTCTACGAGCTCTTCTACAACTGTATCCTGCCTGCTAGCCTCGATAACAGTTGGTTCGGTAGAAGAATGGTCAGGGACTGGATCTTGCACTGGCATTTCGCCGATGGAGATGCTTGATGCAGATTGGTCAACGTCCTGAACAGGAGGCAACATCTTCATGTGATCATCCTTCTTGGTCTCCGAACCACTGTCAGCTACATGTACAATTGACTCGGACATATCAGGAACACTTGACAAGGCACTCGTATCCAATGCACTTGTGTCGACAGCGTTTTCAGAAGTGATGGAAGAAATGTTCATCTCAACGATAGCTGGGGAGACCATTGTAGATATCGTATGAACACTGTCTCGTCTGACCTTTGCAGGAGTAGTGGTTACTGGCAGTGTTGGCTCTGTGGTTGTTGTCATCACTTCTTGACCTCTGGGCTCCGGAATCTCATCATCCTTTGGCTTAGGAGGCGTTGATTCGGTATGCAGACTAGAGGAAGCTTGAGATTCAAGGGCGACATTCTTCTTGGCAGCCTTGCGCTTTCGTGAGGCCTTCGGCTTCTTGACTTGCTTCCATCCGTCATTTCGGGTATGAGGCTTGGCCTGCGCAGGTGACTGCTCATCATTGATGGGATCGATAGTAGCGGTAACCGAAACAGTCGAGTCAGCGTGCTCTGATATAGATTCGTTGTGGGCAATATCTTGTGTGATACTCTCGGTCTGAACTGCGCTAGAGCTGCCCAGAGCGTCTGCTACTTCACTAGTGTCCGTAGTCTCCGTCAGGTGTGCATCTAATTGTGTATCGCTGACAATCGTGGACACAGCTTCGGCGATAGGATAAGTGGTTGGTGGGTCGGCTTGGTACTCTTCAGACATAGAGCTCTTGCCCTTGACAGCGGCGTGGTTCTCAGCAAATTGAGATGGGGACTCTGATTTCTTGACCTTCTGGCCTTCCTCATCGCTGGTAACCTTCTCCTTCTCGTCGAAGCATGGAGAGGAACTCTTGCGCTTTTCCGACTTGGTGGTTGGAGCCTCAGCAGCCTTGGCCGCACCATTAGTGACTAGAGCCTCAGTTGTTCCAGCTGGGACAGTATGGTTGTACGAAATGCCCAGCCCGGTCTTGTCAGCTTGCTTCTTAGATTTCTTCTTTCTCTTTGATTTCGTAGATTTGGATTGTGCCTCTTCGAGAGGTTCGACCTTGTCCAACCCCTCTGCCCGAGTAGCTTGTTCGCTGCCATCCTCTTGGATCTCAGACTTCGCCTTGGAGTCCTCGGTCTCGGACAGCACCTTGGAGCCGTTGATCTCCGAATGGTCCTTGGTGACAAGTTCAGTCTTGTCGTCTTCTGAGGTTTTGGCAATTACGTCCTCAAGGCAGATGCTTCCATCGCTCTTCAAGCCGACTCTGACGTTCATGTTCTTGTCTTTCCATAAACCGGGTTCACCACGCTTCCATGCGTTCTGCACAACCAGGAGGCGGGTCATAAGGCTCTTACGCTCCGCGCTGTGATACACTTTCATGGACTTGTATTGTGCATCGGTTTGAACCATCTTCTGGATTTCGTTCGACAAGACAACATCGATGAGAAACGTAGCAAGGGCGTCGTCTTCAAGGGGTTGTTCAACCATGACTTTGAATCGGTCACCAGTCTTGTATGTAATTGTGTAAGCATCGTCCCCTAGCTCGATACCTGGCTCTGAATCGTTCGAGTCTTCATTATCAGACGATTGGGTAGCCTTGTCGATGACACCACAATCCTTATCAACTTTTCTACCTCCGAAGAAAGCTGCCGCAAGCTGCTTGAATTGAGGAGTTGCTTCTTGTCTGAGTTGAGCATTGGCGGGATGGATAATATCTATGAGAGTCAACAATTGTCAAACAGTATTGGGCCATCACACGAACCTCGCATTTCAGATAAAACGCGCTCCTTGTGTGACTTCAGGCCCAAAATGTATTGCTTGAAAGCAATCTTATCAGAGCTGCCTTGCAAACGAACTAATGCACCAGAAACCATAAGGAGCCACTCAGGAAGAGTGCGGTTAGCCAGGGCAAAGATCTGAGCATCAAATCCCTAGATCTGTAAGCCAGTGTATGGTGAGAAATGATATTAGACTAACCAAGGTCCATGTCGGAGTCGTAGCGATAGGAGCTTCTACCTGCTTCAATTGACAAGCTAGCGATTTGACATTGAACGTCGACCGGACACGTAGAAGAGTTCCATCTCCTCCATTCGGGTACATCTTGTTTCCAGCAAGGTGGAGTATGGTAACCGCATTCTTCCATGTGGCAGGGTCCATCTTGGGTTGCTTAAAGAGCCAAGCTGATAGATGTTAGTGCGCAGGACAGTCGGGAATGGGCAGGTAACATACAGTAGACGACAGACGACACGTCAGACGGTACGCCAGACGATATGCTTTCTTTGATGCCGTCAGAACTGGAAAGAGCGTGTTAGAATTGAGTCGCGTCCACAGCTTTGGTGTGCCACGGAAAAAGAAGATTTTGGTGAGCGCGAGAATTGGTTTAACCATACCTGTGGTCAGATCCAAGATCTAGTTCAATATTGTGCTCCCCAAGAAGGCCTGTGTTGCGGATAACTCTTGCACTCGAGGGTTGAGGGGAGTTCACTGTTTGAGACACGGCCTGATTCGCAGAGACGGCCTGATTCTCAAGGACGGCCTGGTTCGCAAGGACGGCCTGAACTGGGGCGGTCTGATATATGAAGACGGGGAAGCCACCCGAGCTGCCAAAATTGTATGGTCGGTTCAAGAGCTCTACCTGTTTTCTCCAAGAAGTCTTGAATTCGCTGCGTGTTTCTTCTTGAGGATTGGTTGGTTCTTTGTTGTCATTGGGGTCAGATGATGAAGTTTCTCCATCTGGCAATACATCTGCGCTAGCAGGATCGGGGGTAGTTTCAAGCGGCTGGAAACAGTCAGTGATTGATAATCGCCGCGGAAACGGGGCAAATAAAGATATTGATGGGACATGAAGCTTGATCGTTGACGTTGACGTTGACAAGGCGAAGCCGCCAGATTGGTCCAGCCTCCGCCAGACGCGTTCTTCAATTCTTTTCTTTTGATGGTCTCGAAGGAGTCCTTGTTGCTCAACTCAATTACTGCATGATTTTGACTTACACTCATATCTTTGAACTCCGCCATCGCGTTGACGAATCACTCCTAGATCGAAGAAGGCGCGGGTGTGAGGTTGTGGGAAGTTTTCCAAAAGTCAACAACGGAGGGAAACGAAGACAGCGAAGCGAAGGCAACTACGTCGAAGCGAAGGCAACTAAGTCGAAGCGAAGACTACTACCATCTTTGCTAGCCAAGATAAAACTTTGTGCTTTAGAACGGCAATTTGTCAATGATTTGAAAATGCACCTGCATCCATCTTACTGCCGTTGAGAGAGTAGACAAGATTACTCTTACGATGGCAAGATCGTAGATGGCTAAGCTACATTTGAGGCAATGGGCACGCTTGCTTAGCTAGACAACGATAAAGGCCTCAAGCATACCCATACATGAGAGATTGGAATCTGGAGGAGCGAAGGTCGACCATCCGGATCAGAATAAAGACCTCCGAGTGCTCGGGCTATAAGTGCTACAGACGTCAAACATGCATGCTAGATTGGCAGTTTGGCCACAAAGACACAGTCCCACTGAGATAAAAACAATATGGGACGGATTCTGGACGCATCTTCTTATACGATGAGCGCCATTTTGCTTATTTCTTTTTGGCGTGAATAGAACCACAGTTGAATTGCTTAGCCACCTCTATGGAGGGTTTCGGAGTAGCAAGATAGGGTAAGAACATTCCGTGGCCTTGTTTACTGGTTTCAAGAAAGAAAACAGAGACTCTGGAGACGTCCAATTCCACAACGAAGAGCCCTGAAGGGGAAGTAGTGCGCAATCTACAGAGAGACAATCATCATGGCTTAATCTCCTAAACACGGAACTCTCCTACTGAACTACAATCAATCCATGTATTGTGGGCAAGTTGATGACTATCCTACATTGCAAGCTCTAGGTTTGAACACTTCATTGCGCTCAGACGTGGTGATATTGGGGCGTCATATGGTGGTGGCACATAATTGCAGCCAACGATGACTCATCTGTATTAAATGTTAACAAATAAATACTCGCATATGTGATGGGAGCCTTGGCTGTAGGAGTTATTGAATATTAACACAACAGTGAATATGTTGACGTTGGACAACCTTCGCTTGAAATCGATCTTGCCTTGCAGGTGCGTCCCGATCTCCACGCTAAACCTCTTACGGTTACGGCCGCCACTACGAACCGAGCTACCGCAGACTCCAAAATTCCTGTCGCAAATATGCAAGCAAGTATTTGCTTTGCGTCTTTGTCCCAAGTCAAAACAACGACAGTCTTGAGCATTTCCCATCTTCGAACAAAGCAAGCGGCGAACAATCAGATACCCAGATTGCATTCCGTTCGAGGTGCGGACAAATTCAGTCTACCCTGCGACTTCTTTTCCCTACTCTTGTCAACCACTCCCTGGATTCACCTTCACACTTACAGACGCGACTGCAATTACATTTCCGGTCGCAGAGACGGCATCGAAGATCTCAAGATGGCAGACCAACCATCGATTACTAGCATTCTTGCTGCTTTAGGTATGTATTGAACGCAATTTCGAGGATGTTTTTGACTGATACCTTCGCAGCTGCGCAACGACCTAACCCAGCTCCGAATCAAGGCCAACAACCAGCAGCTTATCAACCTCCTCCACAACAATCGAATCCATATGCACCCCAAGGTGGATACTCCCTGCCACAACCCACGAATTCCGGCAGTCTCGATCTGAGCAGCATAAAGCCCGTAAATTCTGGAACTGTCAGTCTTACAGACGCTATCGCAAAAGCAAAAGCCATTGCTGCCGAGAAAGGAGTATATGACCGACCTCCTCCTTCCTATGGTGCACAGGATCCTCGAATGGCAGGCGGACGACCATACAGAACTTCGAGATCTCGCTCTCGATCACCACCCCCCGCGCGCCGCGATGCGTTCCGCGACAACTTCAATCCCTACAGAGACGAGCGACGAGGTGACCGTCCACCAGTTGCGCGGGATTACCGTGATCGGTCCTTCTCTCCTGGTCCTAGAGGTAGAGGACCTCCTGGTACCTTCTCACCTGTACAAGGCGGCGGTTATCCCCCACGTGCACGAACGCCACCCAGGGCCGCTGATGACACCTTTGAGTCTCTCAGAATCGAGTCAGCTCTTGTTGGCTTGATCATTGGAAGACAAGGTGAAAATCTTCGACGTGTTGAGGCCGAGACCGGTTGTAGAGTTCAATTCATTACTGGTCAAGACGACAATAGCCCGTACCGTGAATGTAAGATCACGGGTAGCAGGGCGAATCGTGCCAAAGCCGTGAACGAGATTCATCGTATCATCGATGATAGTGGTATGGCTGCTAATGCACGTGCTGCTGCTGAGCGTGCTCGAGAAAACCCTCCGGGACGTGCTTCCTCGCATCAACCTGCTTTGAGAGATGGTGAAGACAGCATGCAAATCATGGTACCAGATAGAACAGTTGGCCTGATCATCGGCCGTGGTGGTGAGACCATTCGTGATTTGCAAGACCGCAGTGGTTGCCATGTGAACATTGTTGGTGAGCAAAAGAGTGTCAATGGGCTTCGTCCTGTCAACCTCATTGGCTCCAGGGAAGCTGCATCACGAGCCAAGGAGATGATCATGGAGATTGTAGAGAGTGACAGCAAAGGTGGTGTGGATAAGCCGCGTGCACAACCACAAAAGGACACATCCAGAGATGCTGGTTATGGTGCTAGCGGTCACGGTGGAGGTGACAGTATCAACGACTCGGTTTTCGTACCTTCCGAAGCAGTGGGAATGATCATTGGCAAGGGAGGCGAAACCATTAAAGATATCCAAAGTACCACAGGATGTAAGATCAACGTCTCTCCCAAGCAAGCTGGTGAGACGGATCGTGAAATTGGGCTGGTCGGCACCCGGGATGCAATAGCTGCGGCAAAGCGTGCAATCGAAGATAAGGTTGAAGCAGTGGTCAGTCTACTACAAATATCTCTTGACATCTCAACTGACCTTTCTATAGGCAGCAAAGAACGGCGGTGGTCGCGGTGGAGGTGGAGGTGGAGGCGGAGGCGGAGCTGGACGAAACCAAAACGACTATTCGGACAGGTCCTACTCCCAAACTGCTTATTCTCAACCACAACAAAGCCAAGCACCTGCTCAGGCTGTCCCGGCAGCTGGTGCTGATGACCCTTACGCAGCATGTAAGTTCTGTCTTAACCAGTTTTATGGGTGGTGGGCTAATATGATTAGATGGTGGATATCAAAATTATGTGGCTTTGTGGTATCAAGCACTTGCTCAACAACAAGGAGGCCCATCTCAAGGAGATCCTTCGAAACCGCCCGGAACCTCGTAACTGATGACGCCTGCTCGGAACCTGGATATTCGACATCTTTCTTGACTGCATGACGTGCATGACTTGCATAGATCTTCGCCTGGTATTGCATTGAGACCATGACTTCGCTCTCGATCGAGTTGACATGCCTACATGCACATGATGACGATCCATGATATCTCACCGACATTTTCTTTTCACCACTTGGATCATTTGATCGTACAGCACATGGATCGGCTTGACATGCCTGAAGTCGTTCTTGGTTGAGGGCGAGTTGACCACTGATTTCGTGCATTGCCTTGATCTGACCTTGCTTGACATGATCTCGCTCTCAACATCACCGACTTGACGTTACATGACTTGCACTGACTCAACACGTTCCTCCATACACATGGAGACTGCCAACAGAAACGCGACTGCAGGTGTTATTGTCTCGCATGATTTTGACATCGCTTTCAGATTTTGCTGGCGCCCTGCATATTCTCTTGATTCAGCCTCCGAACTTTGGTCTGCTCTTTCACCTACCTTTGATTCCACAGGATTGATATTTGATGCTGCCTCGCGTTATTACTGTTGATTCTGCACTTACCATAGCTGCTTACCAGGGACCGCTTGATCTGGGGTCGTTCATAGGCATGGGAATTTGTACGATAGTGACTCTTATAGTCAAAAGAAAAGCATCAAGAGAATTTGAACTTCTGAGCCCGACAACCTTTAAACTGTGACTGTCATTGTCGGTTATTTCATAAACTAATCAGTCTCTTCTTTCTTCCACCTACCTACCTGGGGGAAACTGGGTTGTAGAGTGGTATTGCCCGGAATTCATGAGAGGAGTGAAGTGGTTCAAGAACGACCTGAATAAAGTACACTGTGAATTCCATTCCACCTCAAAGCACCTACTTTCTCACTCATATTGCCCCACAAGCCGTAGAAAACATCAATCTATAGTCCAATTTCTATAGCAGAATTGGCTGATGTAGGTATTTCATGAGGCAGGTACGGTCACGTGTGAGGCTGAGATCAGAAATTATTTGAAGAGCTTCACGCGTAGAATTCGTTGCTAAGACCCTCCAAACTCCAAACCATGATTCTTGATGTTTTAGCACGTCATTGAATTAGAGACAGGCAACGAACTTCTTTATCGCATTTTCCACTCTGCGACTCTACCCAATACTCCCTAATATCATAGCCCTTCATCATGGTTCAGATCAGTGAGGTTAAGGGCAATACCCGCGACAGCAGAACAGCAGCGCACACCCATATCAAAGGTCTTGGTCTGCGCCAAGATGGCACAGCAGAGCGACAAGCTGGTGGCTTTGTGGGCCAAGTTGCTGCTCGAGAGGTAAATCATGACGAGCTTCTGTAAACATGTATTCCTACTAACTTTTTGCGCCAGGCTTGCGGTGTCGTTGTCGACTTGATTCGAGCCCAGAAGATGGCTGGCAGAGCCATATTGTTAGCAGGTGGACCAGGGACTGGAAAGACAGCTCTTGCACTGGCAGTCAGTCAAGAATTAGGCACAAAGGTTCCCTTCTGCCCCATCACTGGCAGCGAAATATACTCGGCCGAGGTCAAGAAGACGGAGGCGCTTATGGAGAACTTTCGAAGAGCTATCGGTCTCAAAGTTCGAGAGACAAAGGAGGTTTACGAAGGCGAGGTCACAGAACTTACACCAGAGGAGGCAGAGAATCCTTTGGGCAGCTACGGCAAGACTATCAGTACATTGCTCATCGGGCTGAAGAGTGCGAAAGGACAAAAGAAGCTCCGATTAGATCCCAGCATCTATGAAGCTATCCAAAAGGAGAGAGTCACTGTCGGAGATGTCATCTATATTGAAGCAAATACCGGTGCATGCAAGCGTGTTGGTAGATCCGATGCATATGCAACAGAATTCGATTTAGAGGCCGAGGAATACGTACCAATACCCAAGGGGGAAGTACACAAGAAGAAGGAAATCGTTCAAGACGTCACATTACATGATCTGGACATTGCAAACGCAAGACCGCAGGGAGGGCAGGATATCATGAGCATGATGGGTCAACTGATGAAGCCAAAAATGACCGAGATTACCGAGAAGCTACGGGGAGAAATCAACAAGGTCGTCAGCAAGTATATTGATCAAGGTGTGGCAGAACTGGTTCCTGGTGTTCTGTTTATCGACGAAGTAAGTGAAGACTGTCTGCATAAGTCAATCAGAGCTAATCATGTAACAGTGCCATATGCTTGATATTGAGTGCTTCACGTACCTAAACAAAGCACTCGAATCTAGCATCTCACCGATTGTCATTCTTGCTTCAAACAGAGGCATGTGCACAATCCGCGGTACCGAAGATCTGGTTTCTGCGCACGGAATCCCCCCTGATCTTCTTGCACGTCTCCTGATCGTCCCTACGCATGCTTATGAGCCGGAAGAGATCAAGCGAATCGTTCGGATCCGCGTGACCGTAGAAGGTCTTGCGATCACGGAAGCTGCGTTGGACAAGATTGCAGAACACGGTTCGCGAATTAGCTTGAGGTATGCTCTGCAGCTCCTTATGCCTTCCAGCATTCTTGCGCGAGTAAGCGGTCGCAACCAGATTGATGTCATGGATGTGGGTGAGTGCGAGGATCTGTTCATCGACGCTCGGCGCAGTGCAGCAATCGTGAACGGTGAGACAGGCAATGGATTCATCTCCTAGGCGAACGCATTACGGGCATCAGCTTTCTATGGAACGGATCCTGGTTCTTGGGAACTTGGTTCGGTTATGGCGTTGAGGAATGTCTCGGAGCGTTTGTCTTTGGGAGGTAAGAGTGACAGGGGCAGATCCGAAAGCAGCGATGCAACAGGCGAGCTCAATCTCTAGAAATGTACGAGTATCAAAAGTTGGAGTTCAATAATCAATCAGCATACTGATTTGTTTGCTTTGCCCAAGAATATGCTTTCATTATGGGGTTTCTTTGGCTACTAAGCAAGGCGGAGGTCTTATTATCACTGCGAACGGACAACTTGGACAAAGAAAGTCGTCTGCGAATCTGCGCTCAAGACGGCTCTCCCGAGACAACAAAGGCACTACGCCTGCAAAAATAGCCCAACAGGATCCTGGGTATAGGGGAGTTGACAGGCAAGATCATTGTTTTCCTACTCATCAATGGACATTGCATACAAAGAATTTCTTTGCCAACAAGAAGGCCATTGATACCTTCTTCTCCATTCATTCTTCTATTTACATTCCGCTATTTTTGTGCTCTGGAGATATTTGATTAGATATCCTCCAGGTGCATCAGTAATTCATGATGTCAGTGTCGACCGAACTGAGCCATTCGATCTTGCACAATCCACGTTCGCCGGTGAGCATTTCTACAGATTCAAGTCGACGAGGTTCCCTGAAGCAGGTTCTTCCAGAGAAATACTCCGAACCACCGACACCAAACTCTCCTCAACACCGCTTGACACGCAAAAGGGCGGCATCTTTGGACCTCGACATTGCGAATGAGCCGCGTATTGGGGACTTGGCTCTCCAGACTGCACGACCGGCCCAACATCTAACATCAGACTTGACGAAGGAGCAAGTCTGCCTTTGTCAACCTGATCCCAAAATACCAAGACCTCGAAACGGTGTGTAATATATGTTCTCTTTCAAGTTCTCTGATCTCTGACTTTGATTATCTGCGACCTTGCGTCATGTTGGTTCCTTTATGATGTCTTCAAAAGAACCCTTTGACCAAGACTCGACAACTGACTTCTCTTTGTAGCTTTTATTCTTTACAGGCAGCATTACCAGGCGCAGGTCGTCACCCAACACCCTGGACTTGCAAATCCTGAGATCTCTAAAATTATTGGTGAACAGTGGAGAGAACAAGCACCAGAAATCAAGAACGATTGGAAAAGACTAGCTGAAGTAAGCACAGATTTACATCTCAGCATGGAGGCCATACTGACAGAACTCACCAACAGGAAGAGAAACAACGCCATCAACGACAATACCCAGGCTATCGATACCAACCTCGACGAGCAGGCAAGACAAACGGCTTACGACCTGCCTCAGCAGCAACATCGGAAGACCCTATCCGCTGTCCGAAGTGTGGTGGACGATACATATCTACACCGGGTACACCGTTAACGCCATTCACACCAGCTTTTGGAGCTCTTCGACCTGTACCTCCTTTCACACCATCTCAAACAGACCAGTTCGAGAGACCTCGGCAGCCAGATCAAATGCAACCCGCAAGAATGGACACTCCTCGACACGCTCCTCCCTTTCAACAACAGCAGATGCTTCGTCGAGGTCAATACGGCGCTCCCCAGCAGCTTCAGACACATCGTGAAAGGGAAGAGGAAATGGACCTGCTCAGCCCTTCTCCTGGACAAAAACGTCGCAGATTTAACGAGGAAAATAATCGAGGCTATGCTGCCAACTCGCCTGTATATCAATCTCCCCAAACATTTGCACGCAACGCTCCACCCATGTCAGCTGGCTATAGACAGCAGCTGCCAGGTCCTGGCATGATAGTCAAACCTGGATCGATGGGTCCTCCACCCGCACAGTATTCTCCAGTTGTTCAACACCCAAGACAACAGTACCCTCAACGTCAAAGTGTTATTGACGAGTCCCTTCGGTTACCTCCTATCCAAACTCAAATCGGTAATGGTGCATCTCCTGCCCTGCGATCAGATCCAAGGGCAGAAAGTCGTCAGTCCCAAGCAAAGAGTATTGAAGCCATGGTCATGACCATCCCATACGTCAACAAGATCAAAGTCCTCACTAAAATATCCCCGCCCCTTTCACCGCCTGGTCCAGGTAGTCCTGCCCAAGAAGTTCGCGGTGCTGTTATTGCTGTCGAAGGTGGTGATAAAGAACTGCTATGTGAAATTGGATCTTTCATCAATGAATACCTGAGCAAGGATCCTTCCTTTGCCGTCAAAGTATGGGGCACCGAAGCATCTCCCTGTCCTTTCAAACCAACAGCTACTCCAACGACCGATACCGCCATGGCAGATTCCTCGAACCCCCTCGCTGTACCAGAACCCGCAGAGACGACAGATGACACCGACAGCTTTGTCGAGTATCTATCTATCATCTCCCAATGGCACAAGAAATCCGACGAGATCTCCAAATACATCACCACCGCCCCACCCTCTCCCCCAACCGACACCGACATCGACACGACACCTGCGGCTCCCAGGCCTAAAATCCTCCCAGTAGCACTTGTTCCCAACGGCTTCTCGCTCACGACCTCAGACACATACGCGCTCCGCATCCCCATCAACGACTCCTACGCCCCGGTCGACCATTGGCAATGGATGGCTACACTGTGGCGCGGTATCGTGGGTCCGGATCTCACGATCTACGTTACGAGAGTTGGGCCTGATGAGATGAATCGGTTGGGTGGGGTGGAGATTAGGAGTGATTGTGGAGCGATTGTGGTGAGGATTGCGGAGACGGGGAAGATGGATGAGAAGACGGCGAGGAGGTTGGGGTTTGAGGTTGTGGAGATTGTGAGGAATATTGAGACGGGGTTTGGTCGTAGTTGATTGTGATAGAGAAGTAGGGGAGGAGAGTTGCAGGGGTTGAGGGTGGTTTGAAGTATATTTTTTGGTTTTCTTTCTGTGTTTGTATTTTTGCATTGAGGGGTTTTGTATCTCAGATAAACGATAATTGGTACTCAGTGACGGATTTGTCTCTAGGTTTGTATTTTGATGTGATTCACCTATGATCATTTCAACAACCATTGATCTTCTCCCCATCCCAAGATGGCATCAGCACTTAATAACAAGGTTTTAAATGAAGAGACCCTGCATTGATGGCGCCTAGGAATAGGCTATCCCGTTAAGGTCTGGTGGATGTTTGTATGGCACCTGGGCTCGTTATTCTCGGGTTCGGAGCCAATGCATGCCCAGTATTGCGGGGAGCTGACTGTTCCGTGAGATATGAAGTAGCCCTCTGGTCTCTCGGCAATCCTGTGGGAACTATCATGAAGCAGAAGTCAGCACTGTAAGCAGCCACCAGTCAGCCTTGTAGCAGCTTGCTGACAGCCTCGTAGAATGGATTGTGTATATATTGAGGGGAATTGCCTGCAAAAGACAAACATTTATTAAACAGCTCTCAATTGCAATCTCTCTCTAGCATAACAAGTTCTCAGATTCATCTTGTAAACAAAAATGGCACATGGATCTTGTATTTGTGGAGATGTGAAATACTCCTTCACTGGAGAACCAATTTCCCAGGTACGAAATCAAGTCCTTTTCAATCACCCCAACTAACAATCCCAGGCAATCTGCCACTGCATCCCTTGCCGCAAAGTCTCCGGCGGTGCTTTCACCACCAACATCCTCGTACAAAGCACATCCTTCACCCTCTTAAGCGGAGCCGAGAAGTTGAAAACCTATGCTCTCAAACACCCGGCCGGCATGACCCTTACATACCATTTCTGCGAGACCTGCGGAACGAAGATCTATAAGGAGGGAGACGCTGATGCTTTCAAGGGCGTGTTCATTGTGCAAGCTGGAACGCTGGATAGTGCTGAGGGAGAGAAGGAGATGGGGCTTAAGGATGTGAAGATTGGGGCTGAGCTCTGGGTTAAGGAGCGTGTGGGTTGGTTAGGAGAGCAGCCGGGAGCAGTTCAGTGCCAGGAGTTTTCTTGAGTGTTGTGAGCGATGAGTAGAGTCAACAGACGAATTGGGAGGAAAGAAACTTATGTTCAGATCTTGAAACGAGAAAAATCCATTTTCAGGACCTAGATTTATGAATCGGTAGGAACATTAGAGAGCCTTAGGCATTTGCCCTCCTCATCACTCATTGCTTGCATATCATTTCTGAATAGACTATACTAGGGAACTGGAAAACGCAGCCGTGAAGCTTATGGTTGGGAATACACGGAAAGACAGACAAGATAACGATATCTGACTGTGTAAAAGGTGAGCTGGGTGCGAATGTTGCCCCTAAGCTCAGAACAGAAATCCACAGCAGATGCGAACCAAAAATTTGATTGAAGCACTCTAATAACTTGAGGAAAAGAGATGCTCTCGAATTTGTTCAAAGCACGCAGGTATTACTCAACACGAAAAGACCGGGATAAGTTCCCGAGCACTACTCAAGTAAGATTAGGCCTGGGTAACGATAGCTTCAGATGACAAAAAGTATAAGTGATAAAGTTCGAAGAGAGGAAAAGCTTTCGGATGGAAAGTGCGGCAACTAGATTACCCGAATATTACCCGGCTGCCATGAAATTTAAACATCACTGCGACATTTGTCAACACCTCACAGATAACGCGCTCTACGAGCGCAAAGCTTCCCCGAATGCATGCCACAGCATTGCGTGTTATCCGCACGGCTCATTCATCAATCTCCAGGCGCGCCTGTCGAATAATTGGCGGTGCAAGATACCCACTCGCACAGCGAAGCTTCCACCGGTCTGCCATTTCATACAATACACCAGACGATTCGAAACCCGAGGAAGGAGATAAAGACAATGGTGCCGTACCAGAGACCTCGGAGAACAAATCCGACCCTTTCAAGGTCGAAGCGGAAACGGAATCGGGAGTAGAGCCTGTTGACAATGCAGGTCCAGACACCTCAATATTTTCAGCAGAAGGGGAGACGTTAGCTCTGTTGCCGAGGGTGAAGAATGGGAAGCCGGGGTCAGGTCGAATACGTGGTCTTCTTCGTTCAAAAGCGCCTGAAGGAGTTCCCCCTATCATACTACCTTCCTGGTTCTGGGAAAAGAACATTAAATTGGTCGGAGAAGCTGATATCAGTGGAGGTCTTACAATCGAAGGGGAAGAGAAGCTTCCTAGTCAGGATGATGGTGCACACGTTACAGCAGAGGATAAATCTGCTGAGGAACCCGCTGGCTTGCCGCATATTGAACCTATACCGACCGATTCTGCTCGATACTCGATGCATGGGGACATTTACAAAGAAGTTGTGGCCGACATAAGAGCAGGGTTGATACTTAGGCCGCCAAAGAGCTCCAACAGCCAAACGTTTAGAAGACCGGTTACTGTCTTGCAATGTCCTAAGGAGGGAGGATCTCTGTTTCTTGACTCCATAGTGGAAACCGTTGCTACGAGGTGTGAGGCAGATCTGATATGTCTTGATGCACAAGATATCGCCCAGATCGTTGGACCATATATTGACGAAGATCCTTTGTTCGCAACTACGAAATGGCAAAATTACAAGACTAGTACGGTGTCTTACAAGGCACACAAGTATGCGGGTAGGTTGGAAGAATACGAGGAAGAGCCTAAGACCGAGAAAGAAGAAGAGGATGTCGGCGAAGATGAGAAACGAGACTCGATAATCGGCTCATTCCAATTTTTCCCCGCCTTACCGAAGATGAATATGGCTCAACCAGGCTTTGGACGAGGAAGCCAATTCAAAATACAAGCTGGTAACGGTATACCTGCTCCATTATCTTCACAAGATCAATGGAACGATCTCAAACTTACAACAGCCTTCGATGCAATGATCACTTCAGCCGATGCCAAGCGTGCTGCTTCTTCTGTCGAGATCAAGTCTTTGGAAGAAGCTCAAACAGACTCCGACTTGGTAGAGAGGCCGCTTATAGTCCAGATCAAGGATTATAGAGAGCTGCAGTCGGGGTCTCAGGAAGGCCTCGACCTCATACCTCGACTCCGTGCATGTGTTGATAAGCGATGGCAAGAGGGAAGGAGCATCGTGCTGGTAGGAACAACTGCTATGGCAGATTTGGCCGCTCCCCTATTGAGGCCAGCAATCCAGCATCTTCAATCCGACGTTGTTGACGGCGACACCAAGACAATTTTAGTAACACCAAAGCGCCTTGAAGAGATCGACGTCGCCTTTGAGACGGACGAGAAAGCTCGAACTCGCAGTATCAACATTCGACATGTCGAGGACATGATTTTGAGACTCGCCGAGGGAGTACGAGATTTGGGTCCAAGCCTTGACCTCGAGAAAGACATTGATACAGCTGTTGCTTATGCTGCCGGCATCGAGGACGCAGTGTGGACGTATTCACGTGTTCATAGAATAGCAACAACAATAGTGGGCTTGGTGTCGGAGTCAGAAGCTGTGGATGGTGTCGTGTTCAGCCAGGTACTGGGAATGCTATCGTCTAGCGATGACGCCAAATTCGCATGGGCTACCGAGGAGAATGCTCTTCTTCAAGATGAATCCGATGTGGAAATAGTGCTGAAGGAAGGAAAGTCGGAGAAGAAGCGAGCCATGGACAGAATAGCAAAACTCCGCAAGCGCTGCAGTCCACAAGAATCGAGACTCCTTAGTGGTGTCGTCTTCCCGCCCGACATTCGAACAACATTCGCCGACATTCGTGCCCCACCTGAGACCGTCGAAGCTTTGAAAACACTGACCAGCCTATCACTGACTCGTCCTGAAGCATTCAGATATGGTGTCCTTGCGACTGACAAGATTCCTGGACTACTTCTCTACGGTCCTCCTGGAACTGGCAAGACATTACTTGCTAAAGCTGTGGCTAAAGAAAGTGGAGCTACCGTTTTGGAAGTTACCGCCGCTGACTTGAACGATATGTACGTTGGGCAAGGCGAGAAGAATGTACGGGCCGTTTTCAGTCTTGCGAAGAAGCTTTCACCTTGCGTCGTATTTATTGACGAAGCGGACGCTATCTTCGCTGCCCGTCACGAGGGTATGAACAGAAGTGCACATCGAGAGATGATCAACCAGTTCCTTCGTGAGTGGGATGGTTTGACTACAGATACTTCGGCATTCATTATGGTCGCCACCAATCGACCCTTTGATATTGATGAGGCTGTTCTTCGACGATTGCCTCGACGAATCTTAGTCGACTTGCCCGTGGAGAAAGATCGAGAAGCTATCCTGAAGCTGCATCTCAGAGATGAGATCTTGGATGAGTCTATTTCTCTGGAACAACTCGCCAAAGACACTCTATTTTACTCAGGTTCCGATCTCAAGAACTTGTCCGTTGCCGCAGCACTAGCATGCATCCGGGAAGAGAACGAACTGGCCGCCAAACACACAGGCGAAGAACCCTTCACGTACCCAGAGAAGCGAATCCTGACAAAGAAACACTTCGACAAGGCAACAGAAGAGATCAGCGCCAGTATCAGCGAAGACATGAGCACGTTGTCCGCGATCCGGAAGTTTGACGAGAAGTACGGTGATAGGAAAGGAAGGAGGAAGAAGGGTCCTGGTCTTGGGTTTGGAGGGACTAAGGTTGAAGAGAAGGACTCCGAGGCTGTGAGGGTCAGGAAGATGGGGTTGTGATGGTGTGCATATACTTATATTGCATGGAATGGCGCTTTGGCTTTGGTTGCATATCTATTATCCTCGGCAGGAAGGGAAACCTTGCTGAGGATTGTATAAAAAATTGTAATTGTAGATAGAGATCAATGTCAATAACGATTGTGGAATATATCTGGGGTTTGAGCGTCTGTTCTGAAACACATTTTTATTCTCTTGCTCTCTGAAACTGGGGAACAATTTCAAGTGGGATGCGGAATTTGGTCGATGGGAATTACACCATTGATATTGATGTCACGTTCAATGGGGACTGGATCACGGTCATGTTCTTCTCATTTGTCTTTCTTTGCTATCTACATCATACAGTACTTGTAGTTGCCGGATCGAGCTTCTGAAATTGGTACTTAAGCGATCTTAGCCTTTATAACCTCCTCAAGCGTGAACGGCAACTTGACACGTCTTCCCTTGACCATGACCTCGTAGTTGTGGCAAGGTTGATAGGGAAAGAATTGGACATCCGAAGACAAAGTTGCCACGTCAAGCTTTCCAGTCTTAGTGAGAACAGCGAACTTGGTTGGAAGGACGGGCTTCTCGAGTTTATACTTCATCATCCTGTTGCGTAGCCACTTCGCGAATCTTCGGACGATCGCCTTAGCTCTTGGTCGGGATGTGACGTAAAGGCGTAGAGCGTGGTAGATTGAGTCCCAGAAATGCAGAATGACTGCGAGAGTTGCTACTTGAATGTTGCTGGAGTCGGTTTTGTTGAGAGCAGTCTTGAGGAAGTTCATCACCCAATGAAAGACCAGATCCGCCTTTTCGGTCAAGCCTTCCACGTCGCCTTCCTCAACTTGGCGGTTCAACACATTCTTGATTCTAGCGATGCTCGCAACGAGCAGGTGAAAGCTTAGGGGCCACATGTTGGTTCGCATCGCCGCTCCTAAACTGACGGGGATCAGATCCGCAAGCATAAACTCGATAAAGCTCCAGTACTTCAAGCCAGTCTTCACGTGTCCGAGCCACGGCTCTACGCGATTGGATCCAACAGCCTCGGCCCAACTGTGATACATGAAGTAGTATAACGTAGTTCGGTTGCTTGCCTCTGGATCTTGTAGGGCAAGACAATATGATATCAAAGTTGGCGCAAACAACTTTGGATCTGACTGGTCGGGCGAGTAGTAGGCAGAAGGCTGGGTGAAAAAATCCGTAAGCTGGGCGAATCCGTTGCCGTAGGCCATGATGTATGATACCATATTCCGGGCGACGAGCAAATAATCGTTGTGCTCTTGTGATGCTGGTGGCAAACCCTCCAGCGTACCTTGCATGATATCCTGAACATCGTTGAAGACAATAGTGGCTCGTCCCTTCTTGATAGGGACATCGGAATCTTTGGCAACAAATGCAGTTCTCAATGCTCTCATAACGTCTACTGATCGTTAGAATGATGAATCTTGGTTTTGCCAACAGGTCTTACCTTTTAGAATCTCGATCCTGGGATCATGAGCTTTAACATATTTACTTAAGTACCCATAGAAAGCTACCATCTGAGTATTGAAGTCTGCTACGTATTTCCAGTACGGGACGGGGTCGATCAAGACCAAGAGCCATTCACTCAGAATAAGCTCATGAACATGGGGCTGAACAAGAAAGTGTAAGTCAGTCAGGCTCTTCCTCGTAACTCGGGTGTCTATAATACGCACTTCTGAGTTCCGAAGCTTGCTGGAGCAGCCTTGCATCATATTTGCCAAGAAATACGGCCAATATTTGTGGGAGACTTTGTAGACATCTCGCTGTCCGATGACCGTATAACGACCAGCCGACAGGTAGTCATCAAGATCCTGCGATCGGTCAGTCCTCGTCCCTGGAAAGTTTGTTCTTAAAGCATACCATGACACCTGCTTCCACTAGCAAGCATGCCAGACGCGCCAAGCTCTCCACCAAGAACTTTGTCAATTTCGTATCCGCCTCGACGTCTTGATCAAGAATGTTACGAACCACATTTAGCAATTTCGCAAGCACGCAGTTGGGGGCAAGTCTTCCGGTGGAGGAGTTGTAACCATGGAGAACCTGAAAAGTTAGCGACGCCATATTTAATAGAATGACGGTTTGTGCGACATACCGTGACCATATCTGCCATGTACCAGTCCGCATCGTCAAGGCTTCCCTGGCTGTCATCTTCCGGTCTCCGATCATTTTGTCCTGGTTGTCTCGGGGAAGGGCGGAAGTCTTCCACCTTTCGAATATAGGCAATCATAATGTCGACGCACAGGCGAAGGATGCCGTTAGTAATGGATCTCTTATCAGAGATGCAGAACGCAATCGATTTGACAAGGAGATCTAATTCTCCATTAGCATTCGATTTTCGCAGTTGCGGCTGCCTGAAACTTACCTGGATGGAATACTCCCGTCAATCTTTCTGCAGATGCAGCAACCTCAATATTCTCCTTCCAAACCGCAAGCGCCACGAGAATCTGGCTTTCGATCTGCATCTTATTTTGAGAAATCACCTTTGTAATCTGTGCTTTAGAAGCACCTCTTTTAGCTTGAGTGTGTACTTCTTCCTCTATTCCTTCACACTGTTCAAATAAACTAAGCATGTCCTCCTCCCGCCATCCCTTCAACAATTTATAGAGCTTTGAATCAAGAAGCTGGGTGAGTGAGAAGCGCGAGATTCTCCCCAAGGTTCTAATCCGAACCATGAAGGCCTCCTTGTGCGAGCGGCCGCGGTGCACTAGTTGCTGGAACATCTTGAGTGACGGGCGTTCTGATGGAGGGGCAGCCCAGAATAGGGTACAAAGAAGGTCGTGATGATTTCGTAATGAAGCAAGATCTCGTTGATGGATGGCTTCTTCCTTCGGGTATTGTCTGTCGTGATTTGGGAGCAAGCGCGCGACGAGATTGCGGCTGTTTTTGATGTCGTTTGCCCTTGTGAAGTGTTGCAGCGCCAATGCCACGATTTTGAGGAAGATATGAAAAGACCGGTCATCAGCTTCGACGGCTAGAGATGGATTCTCGTCGAGGCGCTCGAGAAACTGCGGGGATGTGTAAACTTCCTCGTTCCTCAGGTGAGCCAAGTTGTGGGAAGCGAAAAAGTCGAATAGCGTGCCAATGATCGAGCTACAATTCCACCAGCCCCATTCGACGACGAGATAATGGCATCTACCGACAAGAGATCTGCAATAATCGTTGAAACTCGGAGCCTGTCGGGGAGTAGATGTGTAAAGTGAAAATACTCGCTTTAGCATCTGCTGAGGAAGTTGCCAATTGTCAAACAAGGCTGTCTGGCGGGTCCCTGCGATGACGACGCCGTGCTCATCAAATTCGCACAAAGGGAGGAGGGTGTACATAGAATACCAGATCTTCTCCATTGTAGGAGCATCAATGATTGTGATGATGCTGGGAGTAGCCAATAGGGGCCCTACCACGTCCCAAAAAGATCCTCGGGTTATTTTTGCAGCAATTAATACCCTAATCACGATTACCCATGCTTCTACAAGATACTGGTCGCTAGTAATCCCGCCTTCTCTGAAGGACAGATACTGAAGATCGTCGTATAGCTTTCGCAGGGACGACATATCTTTCGACAACAAAAGCTGAGCGCATTTACGAGCTGTGACTTTTAGGATGTCTTCAAAATCATACGCCACAGCAGCATATTCTGGATCTGTCCGTGCTACAAGTAGAAGACGCAGAACAAGCGTACAGATCTGAGACAAAACCTGTATTCCTACACGCACGGTTGCCTCACTGGTAACCTTGCTAATCTGAAGGCGGGAAGAGAAGTCTCGAGTGGCTTCAAGCATCCTGGACAAGAACATTCTCTTGTTGTGAGGCGTGTTAAAGATGCAGCTTTGTTGTGTGTAGTTTAGCATAGATGTCACAACATCTACAGTCGCTGCTCCTGCCAAATTAGACGATGTAGGATCGTCTTGATCAAGCTGGTCCATGAGCCAATCGAAACAAAGTCCAAATTCTGAAGAGACGTTCTCGTCCCATCCCGCCCATGAAAAAGTCTTAGCGAAATTAAGCGAGACGACGATAGGAGTCGAATCAGGAGTGTCGTCAAGAACATTTTGCATAGATTTGGAGAGACCTCCACTGCCAATGAACGTGTTGGAATGAAAGTATACTCCAGCGGGCAGGGGTAGGATATCAAAATGTTGCGTGTACCTCGTCCCAAATTTTGCAAGCCCTTGTAATTTACTAGATGCAGCTTCTGGAGCAGCAAAGTCGGTCGCAGAATCATTCAGAATTAGAGGGTCACTGGGCTGTCGATAGACGGCGGCCCCAACATCGACATGACGAGGGTGCGGTTTCCGACGACCTACTTTTCGAGGAGGTGGCCGCAGGGCTTGAACTTGAGGCTTGTCTTCTGAAGCTCCATAGTCCGCAGCGGGGCTTGCTTCAATGGAGGGCCGTACGACATCCTCGTCAGCCAAAAATCGAGTGAGTTGTAGATTCGCTGACGGCGCTGGTCGTTTACGAGTGTGTCGATACAACGCGTCTAAAGCTCTCTTACTGGACTTGAAAGTGGTGGAAGGATAACGATGTGAATATTCCTTCTCTGCTGCTTCCAGCTGAGCCGGCCTAGCCAAATGGTGGGCAAAAGGTGGTCGTCTTTGCGACCCTCGGTTAGCGAATTCGTTTGGCTGACGCCTCTCTGATAGTCTCAATGGTTCAGTACGCACTTCGTCATTTTTAATGAAGTCGTTCATGGACTGCTGGCGTCTGGAGACTAGCAGCTTACGGACTTTTTGAGAAGGCTTGGTCAGGTCAAGGTGTATCGCAGGCTTGCTCTTAGTTGTGGGTGGTTCAAAATATACTTGATGACTGTTTTCAATCTCTGAGAGCGGAGCTCTGCCACGCACGCGTTGTCCATCAAAATCCGGAAGCTGTTTAGGCTGCAACATTCCTGCTGTCCAGTCTTTCAGAACAGATAGCACATCCTCAGTGTCTTCGCGAGTAGGTAGCCGGAAGAACTTCCCTGCAGGCTGGTGCCTTCCTTGTGTAGTGTTAGACCTTGCGGCTCTCCTTGCAATCTTGATGAAGTTAGGCGGCGATTTCTGGTTACAAGCAAACATGTCCGCAACATCTAAGATTCCAAGTTCTGGGGGAGGTGCCTTTCTCGGAGTGGTTACATCTCCTCTCCTTTTTTCTTTGTGCTGGCGGCGCGGCTTTGGCTCTCCTCGAGACACATTCTTCGGAGCTCTGTTAAGGTGCTCTGTTATTCTCGGCTGCCGTTTATGAGTTTCGCTCCCTGTTCGACGGAAAGAAGTTGATCCAGTCTTCTGCCTTTTGGAAGGGCGAGTCGAAGTTGCGGCACGCTTGCGAGATGGCAACATGGCATCGATCTTATCCTCTTCTTCTGCATAGCCCATACGCGACCCCGTGAAAAGACTCTCGAGTTGAGAAGCATCATCATCTTGCATGTCAAGATCCGCTGGTTCATTTCCATCGGACTCGTCTGAGAAGAATGTGAAGCCGTTGTCAGTTGTTGCTGACGGACTTCGCTGATCTCCAAACGTGCCTGATTGAGTTCGAGGAAGTGCAACTCCACGGCGAGGCATTGACTTGACAGGAGATATACTGCGGCTATCTCGATTCGTACGTTCTGGCGCGCGTTGCTTTTGATGTTGATCCAGTCGAAGATGTGATGCAGGGAGTACACCTCGGAACTTCCTGCTGATGTTTCGGATCTGTACCGACTCGTCAGATGATGAGGACGAAGCGAAGGGATCATCACTGTCTGAGTCTAAAGAGATAGGATCTTGAGGAGGTTTAATAGCACTTGTCGCTGGCGTCGGGAGATCAGCAGTCATCTGTAATTGCAACTCATCCTGGCTGAGCCAGCTAGGGCTCGGTTCCAGGGATCTGGTGCCTCCGCGAGACCCTGCCGATCGACGAGACAGTGTATTGGGAAGTGGCGGACTTGTTGCAGGTGGTGAGGCGGGAACTTCAAAGATAAGATCATCATTGATGGTGGGTCGAGTTGACTTCTTAGATTGCGTAAGGATTCGGGGTAGAACAGGACGCTTGAACTTGTGAGAATATGACTTCATGCGAACCCGCTTGGCATCTTTCTTTGGATGCTTCTGGGTAGTTGTCTGTGGTCTAGACTTTAATAGTTCGTCTATATCGGGCAACTCATCTTCCTCATCGTTCTGAAGCTCATCCCGAAGCTCGTCTTGATGCGTAGTCCCATCATCATGCCGATGCTCAACTGGTGACGATGGTTGGAAATCCCAGTCAAAGTCCATGGCTTGGCTTTCTCCCGTGTCTCCTTCGATCCCCGGGGTCTCCAACTCTCGAAAATCGGGATCTGGTGATGAATTGGATTGTGGCACATGCCGTAGTTCCGACTGGGACGAAGCCAATCTCATGGGCGCGATGCCTCTTGCCTTTAAAGTTCGTCGGTATTTCTCTTGTTCAATATGATAGGGATGTAATTGAATCGCATTGCGTTGTCGTAGAGCTCGTCTCATAGGATAGCTTGGCTCTCGGTCTGAAAGCTGTAAACCATCCTCTTCGGCGTCTTGCCCTTGGGTAACTCTGCTAGTGTTGGAGGCATCTGAGCTAGTCCTACTGCGACCATTCTTCGGCAATGACAAAGCGGAGAGTTCTGGAAGACTTCTTGGAGGAGAAGAGAGTTTTGAGGAGGTGGGAGATGTAATCTGTACATAGCTCATCGATATGTCGTCCTCGGCCGGTAATTCGTTTTGCGAGCCTCCACTACCCGTTCCTCTAAGCTCAACTTCCTCGTCCAAAAGCCCTTCAAGGTCCGGGACCTTGAAGATGTTGGTAGAAGTTGGTGATGGATCAAAGTGGTCAAACAGATCCTCGAGTCTCTTTGTAGGGGTTGTGGTAGGGCTGTTGGCCTCTCGTGGTGAAGTTTTGTTAATTAAGTCACTGCCTCGTTGTTGAGTGACTTGGCTCTTTCTTGCTTCGTTTTCTGGATGGATTTGCTCTGCACTGGCCGTCGCGATGCCAGATTCTCCATTCAACGGTTTAAGAACAGGTCCGAATGCTGGTTGGGCGACCCCGCCATCCTGTTCCGTCTTCTGGCTTTCAGTGTCCTCCTCATCCTCCGAGTCTGGAACCTCCCCTCTCTCTTTCCAGGATGCCATTTGTCACAGGTACCATCCATCAGGCATCAAGAGTCGGCGTTGTCCAGATCGTTTCAGTCTGAGAGACTTGAAAGGAAGTTTTGAAGTTCTTCCAGATGCAATGTTCACGACGCGTGAAGTCGCGAACCCTTGTAACGCTAGGTTATTCCCCGATGTTCAACCGATGCAAAGAAATATGATCGCTACAATAGCTGGACACTTTTAATATTCTGCGAAGGGCATTGTGTGGCCTTTGACTGTACCTGAACTTCTAAACAGCTCACGATGAGCAAGGTTCGGGGGATCTTCCCTTTGTTTCTGGCTACAACTTTCGGTATCGTCAATGGTACTCTTCCCATGCTCAATTCGATAACGCGCAAACACTTACAGTAGTTCATAGGTATCTGGGTCTTTGGGCCTGCTTTCAGAGAGCAGCAGGAGAATGATGGGCAGGTCAAGTGTGTACAAATGACTCGGAGTTGATACAACAGCGGCTGAGCGTTGAATCAGGACGGAGCTAGTCGTCTCTGGTCAAGTGGACAACGCTCGAGTAGAACAACTACGAGATGTCGAAGCAGCGATCAATCGTGCTTCTGCGAATAAATCAATACTGCAACCGGCGGAGAAGCAAAGCTCCTGGTGGACAACTTTGGGTGACTGGAGTCGAGGATCGAGAAACGACAACACGAGGGAAATGAAATCCGCCACTCCTAATTCGAATATTCCAACTACTCCAGACCGCATAAGTCCTACAAATGTTCCGACTTCCTCGCCAACGCTGGGTATCGCAAATACACCTACCCTTGCTCAGAAGCTGGTGGAGAAGGCTGCGGAAGATCCGGATCTGAAAATGCTTTTGAAGACAGTTGCGGAGGGTGGAGGTTCATCAGAGGAATTGAAAAAATTCCAGCGTCACCTCGATGACATCGAACGAGAATAGCAACTTGATCCAAGCTGGGCGCTAGCACATACAAGTGAAGCTCTTCGCCTTCACCATAGTCGTTACTTGAATACCAGAGGAAAAGGGTCTATCAAGTAAGACCTCACAAGCAACGAAATTTGGCTACGTTAAGGTCTCAAGTCGAGAAGTTTCATTGTCTCGCACTTAGTGGCGCAAGGTTGCTTTGGGAATACGGGTTGACTGCCTGCCTCTTACTCAGATACGCGGCCCTCTTCTAGTGATGCTTGTATTAGCACCATTGAACTCTTCTAGCTCTTCTATCTCTTGAGGACCTTGTTGCTCAAGTTGAGAAATCTAAACTTTTGGCGAGCTTCAATGAAGTCCTGTTCTTTCAACTCTATTCTTCATGCTGTACAGATTTATACCATTTCCCCATGTTTAATCATAAGGCCGTGCAATTGAATCTCCGTGATGCTTAAAGTGAGCCTTTAAGAAATGAAAGGAGTTTCTTCAGCATACTCGAGCTTAGGGTGGATTCTACGTGAGTCCGCGCTTGCTTAATTAATCGAGCTTCTCACCAAAGTCTAGCACTTTGAACACTTATAACTTTTCATTGCACATTCGAATTGAGGGACTTACTCTGACAAATATGTGTAAATAAGCCAAGGGGAAGATACATTTATTCTTGCTACATCTAGACCAATTTTACTGCAATTTCTAGTTTTTATTGTAACAAAAGTATAACTTTTATAGCAAATTCAAACTTATAAGTGAAAGACTTATTGTTTATAGTCTCTTTGATTTTTCTTTTTTGGGAAAGTCTCTGAGTGATTTGGACTTTTGATGCAGAATGAATGATGAGAAAGCTGTTTTTACCACCATAACTAGCCCCGCGCGGACTCACGTAGAACCCGAGCATTGGGTTTAGGTACACTACACCATTGTAGCTTTGGTAACGGGTATGCAAGAGCTTACCTAGGTACGAAGAATGGCTACCCTACATGTATCTAGCTGCGGTTTCAACATCAAGCTTTCAAACCTCTCGGTGGTTTTGCTGTCCATCTTCATGCAAGCTTCACAACCTGGAAGAAATGCAAAGCTGAGGTTCACGTGACTGGGCGTATCCCTGCTGATCTGCAACGTCATCGAAAGTCATCCCGGTGCTACTCCTCCACATCCTACCCAGCACTAAGTCTCTCAACATGTAATTTTTGCCAACACCGCAACATTATGGCATCTGGAAAAGACACCGCTCGTGAACATGAGCAGGATCTCAGCACAATCCTCTCTACCGAGGAAAGAGTCGAGTTGACTCTCCTCATAGCAAATATCACGGAGCTTATGCGCAAGCAGATAGCAGACACGTTTGATGCCTCTGTCACCAGTGCGAAGAAACCGCAACAGGCTCTACACATCACAGACAAGAATCCTAATGTCGACGTAAATAAAACACATGAAGAGAGTGAAGAGGAAGAGAAGGCGCGGAAATTAAGAGAGAAGCGCGAGAAAGAACTCTCTGCTCCTAAGATGCTAGAGCTAAGGAAAGATTCTCTCGATTTCTTTGACAAATGGCGAGAATCTGTGATATCAAGAGTGGGCACTGCAGTCAACAATTCAAAGGAGACGGTCCAGGAGCAGAAGGAGACCGCGTCGGTAGATGCTACACCAAACAGTGCACCACCAGCAGAACCCAAAGTCATACGTATGTTCTCACACGTTGAGGTAGCGTTTTCACACTAATTAGTATCCCTCCTCAGGGTCAAACACGAATATTGAAGAGGCGGATGCTGCCTTAATCGAGCTATATCCTCCAACATCAACCGCCCTCTACTCCCTCCAAAAAGACAAACGGATACTGTTGCTACACTCGATGCTACTTCTCCTCCTGTCGCTAGAGCATTACATTGGCCATTCACGAGTACTCCTGTTACATATCTCGTCTTCCCTGCATCTGCCACTCCATGTTCTCACCGAGCAAGAGATCAAGGTAGCCCAAGGATTGCTCGAAGCTGCGAAACATATGTCAGGTAGCGAGGAGACACAGAAACGTAGCGACGAGAACAAAGTTGCTAGGCGATGGAAAGTTGGACTTGCGGGCGTCGCAGGTGCGACTGTGATAGGAGTTACCGGGGGCCTGGCTGCTCCACTCGTCGCAGGTGCTATTGGTACAATCATGGGAGGTTTAGGTTTGGGTGCTACAACCGCGGCTGGGCTACTGGGAGCTTTGGCAGAAAGTGGCGTCATAGTCGGAAGCTTGTTTGGAGCTTATGGTGGACGAATGACTGGAAAGATGATGGATGCCTATGCGAAAGAAGTCGAGGATTTCGGGTTCCTCCCTCTGAAGGGATCGAAACACCGTGAACCACTTCCCGAAGATAGACGATTACGAGTCACAATAGGAATAAGCGGTTGGCTGACTCAGAAAGAGGACATCATCACCCCATGGAGAGCGCTAGGTAAGGAGAGTGAGGTATTCGCCTTGAGGTGGGAGTTGGAAGCTCTTACAAAGCTCGGAAGCTCCTTGGAATCAGTGGTGAAAAGTGCTGCTTGGACAGTAGCAAAGAAGGAAATCATTGCACGGACCATATTTGCTAGTTTGATGGATGCTCTTTGGCCGATAGCTTTGTTGAAAGTATCAAAAGTGGTGGACAATCCATTCTCCGTTGCTAAGAATCGGGCAGACAAGGCAGGCCTTGTTCTGGCCGACGCCCTGATCAATAAAGCACAAGGTGAACGGCCTGTGACTTTGATTGGCTACAGTCTAGGCGCCAGACTGATCTACTCATGCCTGATGAGTCTTGCTGAGCGTCGAGCCTTCGGTCTTGTTGAATCTGTGGTTTTGATGGGTACACCAGCTCCCTCGGATGCCGCTGTATGGCGAGCGATGAGAAGTGTCGTATCCGGCCGCCTGGTCAATGTTTACTCCGAGAATGACTATATTCTAGCATTCCTGTATCGCACCAGTGCTATTCAATTCGGCGTTGCAGGTCTGCAGGAAGCTCAGGATGTCCCAGGTATCGAGAACATTGATGTTTCTGAGATGGTATCTGGTCATCTTCGCTATCAATACTTAGTCGGCTCGATCTTGGAGAAGATCGGTTTTGAAGACGTCGATGTCGAAGAAGTGGCGAGGGAAGAGGAGACTTTAGCTCTTTTGGAAAAAGAGGAAGAAAAGGAGCAAGAGAAGAAACAAGGAGACAGTGTCGACCCAGAGAAGGAAGCGGCAGAGATGGAGAAGGATGTGAAGAAGCAAACAGACCAGACTTTGATGCAAAGGGCTGCGGAAACCTTGCATTTGGGAAAATGATTGTACGAATATACGAACACAATGATACCAAGAATAGAGCATACAATGGATTCAGTACACGTTCACTTGACAGACATTAAATTTGATCAGGTATTAGAGTAGCATTATGATTTGAGTTCTTGATCAAGAACGTGGGCATCTTTAGAGCCTGTCTCTGCTGACATATCTGATCCTTCCGGCAAGTCTTCCACCTCACCAGCATTCTCATGCATTATACTTCTCCATTCAGCAGGATTCAATCTGCTCTTTTCTGCCTGCCCTTTCCCGCTCCTAACCACAAAGTATCTCGATCCATTCATCTCAACCGTCTCAGCAGCTGATCCCATCACATTCCAATCCTCCACTCCCTTGGTATCTACCTTTATGTCCCTCCTCCTTCGTGGCCTTCTATTCTTCCCAACAATATCCTCCTTCGCAAACGCCTCTTTCAATTGCTCCATCCCTATTGTAATCTCCTTAATACCCTCTTCTGTTTCATCACGAATACTCCGTAACGGCTCCACACCATCTGTATTTACTTTCTGGATATCGCGAACAAAATGAAGTTGTGAATGCAATATCTTAAGCATCTTAGCTTCTTCAGCAGAGGACTTTGGCAGAGGTAGTGCGGAAAGACGAAGTAGGTGGTGGAGTTTCTCGGGGGTGATTTCGTCCTCTGGCAGGACATTATCGTCTGGTATGAGCGAACGGACGGACCAGGTAGGTTTGGAGAGAAGGGCTTCGACGTCTAATAGCTGTTTTTTGCTAGACTGCAGTTCTCTGTCTTGCTCCTGGTCATCGTTACGCGATTTTCCATCTTCCTTGAATTCTGCTGCCGCACCCATGGCTCGCATGCCGTCTTCTTCGAAGAGAGAATCTGTTGTATGCGTGCGTGCTGTTGGTATGGAACGGAATCGTGGAGAGCGTAGAGTTCGTCGCAGGGATATGCGACAGCTTCGACATATGTATCCAGACATCTTGGGGATATTTGCAGAACTATTTTTTGCTATGGTCAGCTTTTGCTGGCGGATATAAATCTCGAATAACTTACAGATAAAGCTTAGAAGTCTTGTCGTAGCCCGTGAAATATCCTTCACAAGAAATCCAGGGCAGATCAGATTCAAAATCTTAAATTCGATGCATCGGAAAACTCCAATGTCCAACATAGAAGTCGAAGTTGACTCTGGAGCTGTTGTTTATCCCAACCTGGAGCTTCGAGGTGAAGCTCCAAAAAGCACGCTAGTGATTCGGAGGCGACTTTGTCAGAGCAGGCCCCAAAGACCCCAAATTCTTGACACATGCCAACCAAGAACAACACCACAACGCCTGATCATAATCTCTGACTAGACTAAATCTTCTTTCTGCATATCAGTCTCTCATATTAATATCGCAATCATGGCTCAAGATCCTCGCGCGTTGATGCAGAAGGTACACAGTCTACCCCGCCATCTGCCACGATAAGCTCAACTAACAACTCCCAGGCAGACAAAGCCGCATCGGGAGCTGGAGGAGGATTCAGTCTGTTCGGTGGACGACAAGAGAAATGGGAGAATGCCGCAGACCTATACACCCAAGCCGCGAACGCTTTCCGAATGCAAAACCAAAGTACACCTCTCCAACCCAGCCGACCCACCAACACAGCTAATACAATACATAGACAAAGAGGCTGGTCAAGCTTTCGAAAAGGCTGCCCAAATTCAAACCCAGAAACTCAACGAACCAGACGATGCTGCGAATACTCTCACGGAAGCCTTCAAGGTATACAAGAAGACAGATCCGATAGATGCTGCACGATGTTTGGATGTAGCGATCAACCACTACACATCGAAGGGTAACTTCAGGCGTGCGGCAACACATAAGCAGAATCTGGCAGAGATATATGAGATTGAGCTAGGGGACCAGAAGAAAGCCATTGAGAGCTACGAGTTAGCCGCGAGCTGGTTTGAGAATGATAATGCTGAGGCGTATGTATATGTTACCCGGGCAGTGCGGACCAGGCTGACGAAAATAGACTTGCGAACAAACTCTGGCTGAAGGTTGCAGATCTGGCAGCTATGGAGGGAGATTACTATAAGGCCATCGAATTATTCGAGAAGGTGGCTTCGACAGCCGTCTCGAATAACCTTATGAAGTGGTCAGTGAAAGACTATTTCCTCAAAGCAGGACTCTGTCATCTTGCTGTTGGCGATCAAGTCGCTACAAACCGAGCATTCGAGAAGTACAGAGATATGGACCCCACATTCCCTAGTCAGCGAGAACATCAATTGCTGGTAGACTTGTACGAGGCAGTGGAAGCTGGTGATCAAGAGATGTTCGCCGACAAGTTGTTCCAGTACGACCAGATGAGCAAGCTCGATAAGTGGAAGACCGTCATCTTGTTGAAGATCAAGAATTCGATTGAGGAGAAGGGAGAAGACTTCTCGTGATCAAGCAGCGGGTGGATCATTTCGGCGTTTAGGTTTCAGGTCCAACATTTGTTGGTAGGAGGGTTTACATGATAGCAGCATACAGTGAGACGTTATGACACATAACAATACGAAGACTTTCTCAAGACACCGAGACATCAAGTCGTGACTTGTTTACCTTCTCAGTATGTATTCATCGCCAACTCGGTTTGTGTTTATCAGTCAGTTGTTGATGGAGGACTTGACTTCTGCCTATTTGACTCACATATCTGCTCTCTGCTATTCCCATTATTATTTTTGTAGCAAACATGTCCTTGAAGTGTTGAATGACTTTCCCTCTTCTCAGACTTTCTTCTTTTCCATATTTTCCTAAATTGCCTCGGTGTCTGTCCCTATCCCAGTTTGGTATCCCCCTGCCCTTTCCCCAGCTATCACGAGCTATAATACCCGATACCTTCGATTATGTACAGCCTATATTGAATATTTCTATCATGTCAGCAAGGATCTTTGCTATTCACCTGTATTCTATGATATTCTGGGAAAGCTACATTCAAGTTCAGCTGGAAGGGTGAATAGAGCTCATGACAATACTCGTTTGGGACGAGTGTCCCTCAGAACGGCTATAAAGTCCTCCTCGAGTCTTCAACTTCTTCCTTCATTCCTCCATCTTACAAATTTTTCTTCGACCCATCTACTACCTACTAGAACCAGTGACAACAACGACAAGCCTGCGGCTACTGCGAGGCTTGTCCTACAGCTTCGAACTTCTTTTGACGTTCACGATTTGACTTTGCGCAACGCTTCTGGAAATCCTAGTATCGCAAGAGAACACCGCAAAGAAGAACAATTGTCCATCGCGAATTCAGCCGCTTTGCGCCCAGGGTAATCGCATAACTCCTCAACCAACCCTATTTAACCTCCGTGCTCCACCTCATAATCTCTCTACCAAGGACGGCATTTGCTTTGCTTTGAACAGACCTCTCCCCAATAGGAATACTTCTCAAAATGCCTGTAACTATTCGACCCGCATCGCACATCGCGAGCGCCTTCCGGCCACGTTACAATGAGGAGGCAGTCACAAACTTTAACGAGCTCTTCACATCTGCATGCTATAAGGAAGCAAAGAAAATGAAGAACAACAACATCATTCAAACTTCTTTCACGGATGTTACCAAAGACTCCAATGTCTACGCTCAAAGCAATGGATTCGTCGATGGCGCCGTCCGTGCCTACAACAATCATCAGCATCTGGAGATTCGGCCGGAGGACGTTTGGTTCAGTATTCTATCGCAACTCAACGTTTATATCAAGACGCATGCCGAGGAGCTTCGAGACATGTTCGTGACTCATCAAGGTCAGAAGCATCTAGAAGTTATTGCCATGCAAGAGATCACCGGCGATACTCAATTTGGGGTGGATTGGTCCAAGTTTTCACTCAAGATGTCTCAGTTGATTCAGGAGAATGTAGTGGACCCCAGTCTCAGAGATTGGATTATGCCTCGATTTACAACAACAACAAAGACTGATGAGGTTGTGGCATCGATCCTGATGATGTCGACTTTACAGAAATACTTCACCTATGGTTGCTCAGTCCTGTGCGGACTGCCTTCTGTGACTTTACTGGGTGAGAAGTCCGATTGGGAGAGCTTGGCTGGAAAGGCGGAACGGATTGGTACCTTTGGCGACGAAGCCAAGCTCTGGTTCAGTCTTCTCAAGCCAGTCCTCGCCCGATTTATCGCCTCCTTCGATGCCCCGGAAGCAGAAGAAACCAAGGATTTCTGGCAAAAGATTGCTCACTACTCAGGTGGTGGCTCTGGCCCAACATATCTCAGTGTAGGCAGCTTAATTTACCACGAGTTATTGATGATACGTTCTAACAAAATTACAGGGTTGGATCACAGCTTTCTGTTTCTGGAACAGCGAAGGTCACCTTGTAGCCGATTCCGACTTCGAAGATTGGGGAGGATCGACGCCTGTTTTACAGCTGGATGAAGCACGATACCATCGACTCGAGACTACCGAAATCCCTCCCGGCTGGGCATCGGTGCCTGTCATGTTGGACTACTACGGAGTCGATATTCCATGTAGCATGGTCGCTGGTTCTGTAGGCATCAGACTTAGGAGTAGTGGGAATGATTTCATCAAAAGTGGGTTCAATGACACCGACTTCGACACTATCTCTATCGAGTCTGGATGGTGGATCTACGAGGGAATGAACGACGAGGAAATCAAGGCAGTCAAGGAGGCGAGAGCAAAGGCGGAGCAGAGCAAGAAGGAGCCTTTCTATCTTATGGGCACTGAGCGCCAAGTCTGGGCGCATCGGGGTAAAATTCGCTCTTCTGGAAGAGCGGATTTGGGATTATCTCACTCAGATAACACTACACTTATTGTTTGGGAGCCAGGACAACAAACGGGCGAAGTGGCAACAATGAGACAAAAGCGTTAGATATCGAATTATGGGGAACTCACGAGAGAGGTTTTGCCTGACTTTAGCGTTGAATTCAATTCACAAATTACTGGTGTCTTGGTCTTGGAAATGAAATGTGACATGCAACAGTGCTCCATGAGTGGTGTTCTAGATTTTCCAAAGGGATGACCACACGTCCAGTCTCTAATGTCTACTATGAAGCACTTCCCGGTAGCCATATTAGGACAAAGGGCATGTGAAAAACAAATTCTTAATTCGCATCAACATACTTGACTCAAAAAAATACTGTATATAATACATAGAAAGGAAAGAGCCAATAGAACCTTCAAGACCACTCGCGTCAACATACTCTCCCACACCCAAATTCCCGCTAACGACCCTCTACTCAACCTTCGAACTAACCTGCCTAACCTCCTCATGATGCTCCATCCCCACCCCCTTGACTCCCTTCTCCTCAAACCTCAAACTGGCCCTCCTAGCCTCTCGATCCGGATCCCCTACCACGCCATCCCCATCCACATACCCAATCTTCGTCTCTCTAAACCCATCTAACTCTTTCCTGCACCAGAGATTAAGATAAATCGGAAACGCAAACGCCACAAAGAAGCCCGTGAGCGGGACTGCCATCGCGACATGGTAGTCTTTGCTATCTGCCAATAAGCCTGTTAAGGAAGGGAAGAGAGCTCCCCCAGAGACGGAGGCGACGATCCACGATGAGCCGCGTTTGGTATGTCGACCGAGACCGCGGATCGAGAGGGTGAAGATTGTGGGGAAGATGCAGGATTCAAAGAAGAGGACTAGGGAGAGCATTGCGACGCCGCCTTCGCCGTGGGTGCCGATTGCGGCGGCGATGAAGATCATGATTGCTGTCATGAATACCACTGTTATTAGGTTAGTAGTGATTCCATGAACGTCGAAGCGTGTATAAAGTGGTGGGAAGGAGAAAGACGAATGCATGTGCATGTTGGAGAGGGACACTTACTGAGCACAATACGTGGTTTCACAAACATCATCAGCCCAGCAGCAGCAAATCGACCAATTGCAAAAAGACCCTGGCCAATAGCATAGCGATCTGAAGCAGCAGCAGCACTAATCCCAGCCGACTCTCTAGCATAGTTGATAAAATTGGCCGCGACACCGACCTGCGCAGAGTTAGCACAGAAAGCAGAGAGTCATGGGAGAAGACCATACCTGAGCACCAACATAACAGAACTGAGCCGCAACACCAAACATAAGTTTGTACTGCCTCCTCATAGGTTTATCCTGATATCCCGTCAAGCCCGAGCACTGCTCAGCTTGCAGCGCCATATCGGCATCTGTGACCTCGGGAATGGGACTGAAGAAGAACACCACAGCAAGCAAGAAAACGAAAGCTGCGATACCGAGATATGTCCATTGGACTTTACTCAAGTCATTGGGATCAGTATGACTGAAGAAGACTCGAGATGCGAGGAGAGGTGCCATGACAGAGCCAACTGCTTGGAACGATTGAGACAACTCGAGACGAAACTCGGAAAGTCTGGGAGGGCCGCAGGTTGCGATGAAGGGGTTGGCGGAGGTTTCGAGGGTAGAAAGACCAGAGCCCACGATGAAGAGACTGCCACAGAATCCACCGAAGCTCCGGTAGACGGCGCTAGGCCAGAACATGAGAGCGCCGACTCCGTAGATGCAGAGACCGGTTATGAATGTCCAGCGATAACTAGGACTTCTTAGCACTTTCGTCAAGCAGTTGGATATTAATGTGCACTCACCCAAACTTTCTGACAATCCATCCAGAGTATGTCAATGGTCCGATGAAGTAAGCTCCAAAGTATGCACCTTGTAGTCCACCAGCTTTGGCTGCAGTGATGTTCAAAGCAGTCTGGAACTTGGCATTGAGGACATCAAGTAGACCATATGCAAATCCTGGTATATGGTTAGTGGACTTTCGTGGAGAATGTGGGGCAACTCTACTCACCCCAGAGGAAGAACAAGAGTGTCACCAATGTAATGGGAAATATGGATTGTCTGACTGTCAAAGCAGATGCACCCGTAAGGCCACGATTGGAAACTGATTTTCGGTGCTGGTTGTTGATAGCTTCGACGGTTGAAGGTCGTCTTTGGTCAAAGACTTCCTTCAACTCTGGTTCTTCATTTTTTGACCACAGCATGCTTGATGTGTGCGAAGATCTGCTTCGAGACGGAGGATGATATGTAGATCGTTGCCGAAAGTTTGATGAAAGATTCTGAAGTTTGGGATATTGTAATCAAGATGAAAGGCGATGAGTGGAAGCTGTACACAGCTCACTTTTCTAAGTAGAATATCATACGGGATTACGCCTTCATATATCTAGACATATCGCCGTCTGTTGCAAATCTTTACCCCTCACCTCTACTCAAGCCACTTCCACGCAAATCCTCTACAATCGAGCCTTCGCTGAAGATCTCGCTGTAGCGTGGTACCGGTGCCTGCAACGACGGCCGAGCAAGGGACTAACATTGCCATGCTCATTGGGTATAAGATTCCACAAAAGATGAAGACAAACTGGCGTGCAGCCTTCTCGGCGTTGCCGTGGCTTGGCATCAATTTTGCTGCTTCAACAGAAAGCAGGAAGCAAAGAAGCAAATATCAACTATGGACTTTAATGATCGAAATTTTGGGCTCTGCATGACTCGAATCTGGGTCTGGACCAAAAGGCATGGGAGAACGGGTCGGTACCAGCATGCATCGCATGCCAAACATGCATGATGATGTTCTTGAGTTCTCAATCACGGCATGATTGGCACTGGCTATCATAAAGTGTGGCATTTCTAGTCCCACGATTGCGGATCCTTGACGATTCTGCAAGAAACTAGGCATAGTGTTTGCGTCGAGGCAATATTTCCCGACGCCCCCAGATCTTGGCACTCCCATGGTGCATTTCCCCGCAGTAATTACCCCAGATGCTTATCTTGAGGCTTGTGATAGACTTTGAAGATTGCTTGGATCGACCTTGGATCTATTGAGAGCTGTTCCTCTTGACGTAGCCGCAGATTGATTCGGTAATATCAGCCACAGCCACAGCCCAACCTCAAACCTTGATCTCCTCATCCACAAATGAATGGAGTTGAATGGACGCCTCAAAGGTTATTATCGATATGAGAGGCAAGTATGGCACCAAGGAATAGTGAACCCTGCGAGCGAAAGCAATGTCAAGCCACAAGTTGGGTCATCCGCTGTTTGTGAGCCGTGTTGGGGCGTTTGACGGCGAGAATTATCGCGGACGGACAGTGGCCCCAGAATTCCGACATGGGGCTCTTCGTTAACATTCGACTCATCGGCCATGAGAGTCTGGATCGTTATAAGCAGTACGGTAGTGGTCGAAGACCGATCTTGCCCGTTGCTTCCCGGTGACTGAAGCCTGGAGGTAGACAAAATCAACTGCATCGTTGAGCGGGCTTAAGAAAGAGGAACTTAGCGTGCCCCGTTGGCATTATCTGGCATAGACAGGCAAGTATCAAAGCGACGATCTGGTTGTTGCATTTGTTGCATTTGTTGCACCAAGTCCGTCTTTTAGAACACTTGATTGAAGAAGGATGAAGTTCGTGGGAAAACCGAGGATGCTGACATAACCAAGCCACTCGGAGCACACGTGAGTCCAAGTGGAAACTGAAAAGGAAAGAAGTCGTCTATCTTGCTAGGAATCTGTTGCATATACTTTGATAGGTACTGCTATACTGCAATTATCCATACAAGTTAAAGAGCCATCTCAGATGAAGCTCTCGAATTTGGCAAACACGTGATCACAACCGGCTCCCTTCAAGCTTCAAAATTCCCTCCTTCTCATCATTCCAAACCGTCTCCTAACACTACCTAAGAATCTTCTGAGCCAAGGTCTACCTGCCGGCCTCTCACTATTCACCCTTGCATTTACTCTACTCAAATGCTCGAAATTGCTATCTAACTCATCTAATGGCACAAATTCGCCAGGTATCTCACGACCTTCTATGACCTCTCCTACACCGAAGTCGATCCTCTCGATTTCTTCGGCTGGAGAAGGATGGAAGCCATCGCCTGTCCAAGTATTGCCACTGAGGAGTAGGTGCTCGTCTGCCTGGACTCGATGGTGGGGTCGATTCGGGACTGTGGGTGGGAATCGTGGAAGATGGGGTCGAGTTGTGATGGTTGGTATTGATGGTTGAACGTCAAGATCGCTAGCATCATCAAAGACTTCTCTTGTTGTGTGCGTGAACCGAGGGTAGGCATCTGGTTCCCAGGCTGGCGGTTCAGGAGTTGTTTGTAGAAGCTGAAGATTATCTGTAGGTGGGATCGTAGGAATGAATAACTCTTGTCGCAGTCCTGTTAGAATTGCTCGAAAATCGTTGTGGTAGTGGATATTGAATCGCCAAACTTGAGGATGTCGGAGTTGTTGCATCAAGATTGGTATTGAGTCGGGCTGTACCGTCTTTGGCGTTGAATGGCTGCTGATACATTCTTTCGATTGCTCGAAGTCGTCCAATAGGGAGGCGTTTCCAAAATCCTCGCCACCAATGGTAGGTTGTGCTGAAGGTCTAAGAATAGATGCAAGAGACTGAGGCGGGGATGATCTAGCCTCACGGCTGTGAGAAGTACAAACTTCACCTGGCATCTGCTGCTGTGAAGATTGTCCCAGGCCATCAGGGACATTTGACGCTTTCATACTGCCGAATGGATTGTCGATACTTTCTGAGGGTAAAGATTGTATAGTGCTTAGAGTGAGAAATGTATATTTTCGATGCTCTTAAGAGGTGATTCCTACTTGTCGAGATTGTAGGAAATTGTTCGAAATGATGAAAAATTGGAAGATGGGAGAAGATTGAAAATGTTGAAAAAAGTCTTTGGTGCGAAATGACTCAATGGACTATTACACTATGAGAAGCCCGCTCAGTTTCGACATGCCACTTGACCATTTCGCAGTAGAGAGATATATTTCCATGGGGGGAGAAAGTTTGGTTGTCTTCCAATGTCTGGGCCCGAAATTTAAGCTTAAAACGATAGGGGCTCGCACTAACAGCAAAACTGGGTAAAGATGCTATGTCTTCATCTTCTTGGAGATCTCTAGCAAATAGTCCCTGATCAAGCACCGTTTGAGCTTCCCCTACTTTAACTCTTCCAGTCCCGCGGTAGCAATCGGTCCGCCTCGCGACTTGCTAACAGCTTCGGCACCACTTCCTTTCCACGCGCTAATGATGAGACCAACAATATGATCCATACCCTTTGCTTTCTTGACTTGTGCGAAGACTGTCGGGCCACCTTCTCTCATCTTTCTAGCATCTCGATCCATGACTTCTAGATCGGCGCCAACTGCTTCTGCTAGATCTGTCTTGTTCACAATCAAGAGATCGCTCTGCGTGATGCCTGGTCCGCCCTTTCTTGGAATCTTATCACCACCACTAACATCAATCACATAGATGATGTAATCAGCGAGCTCTCTGGAGTAATTTGCTGCTAAGTTGTCGCCACCAGACTCTATTAAGAGGATATCGGAAGTAAATTCTCGGTGCAGGTCTTCGAGCGCGGCAAGGTTGGCAGAGATATCTTCTCGAACGGCGGCGTGGGGGCATCCGCCGGTCTCGATAGCTCGAATTCGAGAAGCAGGTAGTGCCTTGTGCTTCGTCAGAAACTCAGCATCTTCTCGTGTGAAGATGTCGTTTGTGACTGCTGCGATGGAGTATTTCTCGCGTAGCGCCAAGCAAAGAGCAAGCATTAAAGCCGTCTTCCCCGAGCCAACAGGACTGGAGAATGTTAGTTTAGGTCTGATTTTAGATTGTAGCCATAGTAATGGCCAAAGAAAATTGAGAAGGCAAGTGCGGTCTGCGGGAGGTGCACATCACGTGATGAGATGTGACAGCACTCACCCTCCAATTCCAACAGTAAAAGCTCGTTCAGACCAGTCTCTTCCTTCGATAATCGGCATCTCACGTCCCATATAGCTTCCAGGTCCATCGAGAATCTCGTGTGTGTGTCCGTGATCCACCGCGCCATTATGTCCTCCATCATGGGAATGTGTGTGAGACATCCTGATAACCTGATAAGTGAAGAGAGATGGCTGTTATATGTACGATAAACTTGCGTGGTACAGCTGAGCTGAAACGTATGAAGTCTGACTACAACACAAAGGACGACGATGTTTGTTGATAAAGCTTCGTCGCCAAAACCTTCTCATTACCCCGCATTAGTCAGCACATGGTGGTGGGGGTTAGTGTGAAACTTGAAGCTCGTTCAACGTCGTCTCTCATTCTAAATTTAATTCAAGTTTCAGACGCCACCCTTCCATATCAAGGTAATCTTTCAAGTCATAGATCTTGGTACTCAACTCAAAGATGCCGTCATAAGATGACCCTCCCCGACTTTGCGTATGTATATCAGCACGGCAACAAGTTCCATGGCAGTATTTTAATGTTGATTGTGTCTAAAAGCTCTTACGAAGAGAACCATTATGGAAATTCATTCAGGCGAGGGGAAATCTGTCTCCAAGTTCATAGTTGAAGTTTGGAAGCCTTCCCTTTAGGATCATTGGATCCTTATTCTTTGCTTTCCAACAGACGCTCCTGCGCCTTTCAACCCATGTCGTCAATTTCCCTCAAATTTGGGAGTCAGTCTATATATACACATACACGGGTAAACGCTCTACAAGGATTGAACTTTGACCTAGTGAGAGGGCCCTAAATATGAAGTTTCTTATGATGGTCTGATGTTGGTCCTTGTTGGATTACTGTACCAGTACCTCGGCGGCGGGAATCGCAACATAACGCACGACTCGGCCGCATTACCGTTGCACCATATGCAGTCTCACCATTTCTGTACCTGCGATCCAACAAGTTTTAGATCAACGCATTTGAACGTTTGGTAAATCATTGTATTCGGGGACTTGACAAGCGTCGAGATTAATCTCGGAACAGCGAGCGCTAGAATCCTCCCTCTGGGTGCGGAGGCATGGATATGGCCCATGAATCTTGGTTTTGCTGGCTGAAGATGGAGTGGTAACATCCACCTCGAAACATAGACTTGTTGGTTTTGGAGTACTTGAACCAAGTCTTGCGCCTCCAGCAGAGCTCCAACACACACCCATTAGGCTAAGAAAAGCGAAAATGGGCGTCTATGAGCCATGTCACATCGGCTGCGCCCAAAATGAGTCGATTTACGGCGAGTTAATGAGTACCAACATCATGTCAGACACCACAAAGTCAGCAGCTTTGCCGCGTGGCCTGTGTTCCAAGGTAGAAGATGTTGTGAATCATGTGAAGTATGAATGTTGGGAGTATGGGTCGTGATCGATGGCCGGACATACCAACCCAAGGGAGACGAAGCATCTTTCGACTTACTCGTCTTTGTTTAATAGCTCTCCTCTCGCGAAATCATACATCGTCAGTATCCATCATCGCAACAACATTTGTCGAATCTGATCGGCACCATGAAGCAAATCTCCCTTTTCTCAGCAGCCCTCTGGCTATCCAGCGTCATGCCATCACTAGCCTGCATGCAGATCGAAGGGAGCATCCTCAGGGAAAGCGAAGGTGGCACTTTGATCACATTTGCAGGAAGAATCTACGATAATGGAAATTATGTATGTGACAATACAGGATACATTGACGGAGACGGACTCTATTCCATCCACTGCAACCCGGGCTACGTGTATGCTTTCACAACAGATGGTACCTTTGCCTGGTAGTAAGTGAATCTCTCCATCAGAGATAGTTTTCAGGCAATGAATGCTAAGACTACTGGTAATGTAGTGGATATCCTGGCTATTCCACTTCGTTCGTTCAGCCTATCAATGTGGTAATGACTCCACTCTCTCCTGCATCCTTTCTTCGCTTTGGTAAGAGGATAACACTGATAGACAGGGCAGGTTGATGGGGGTCTGAAGGTCACTTGGAATTTTCCCCTCTATCGCTAGGTAGGTTAAGTCATGGAGATTCAAGATCGAGCGGGTCTGTTGAGTGCGTACTGAGGTGAGGATCCGTTGTTGGAGGCGCGTATTCTAATCACAAAACGTTTATTGGCTTGCGCCAGTATGGAATGCTCAGCATCAAGCGTTGTGATACCATGGGGTCTTTCCTTTAAATGCAGAACAGAAACACCTCCTCTCCCATGATTGCGATCTGATTTTAACATTTTCATCCAATTCATCTTCGAGTCGTTGCCATGATTAAACAAACAAACGAAGTGCGCCAGAATTCTTGTTCCTTCCTTGTCCCCTCCTCGACCTTTTTTATTTTTATTTTTTTAAGAAAACAAATTCACTTGTTCAAGATATTCTCTGCCCACGAGTCTGGGCTTAAGTAATGCTAAAGATTGACTAAACCTTTACTTTTGGAATGCATCCATTCTGGCATCTGGAGCGTGTCTTTGGAACTGTCTCCACTTTTTCTCGACGCTTTGGGATTAGCCCAAGGGTTGCATCATAACGTCACCTCAGCTCCTTCACTTCATCAATCTTCAGACTTAATAGCACGGCATCGTTACCCAAGCCGTTGCATGCATACGCTGCGAATTCTCCGATCGATTCAGTACAAGGGCGAAATGAAACGATAATGCATGAGCTCTTCGTATGGTTCCCCAGCACGAAGTGTCAGCTGTTCAAGGTCGTCTTCTTTCAACTTCAATTGTAAGTTTATCAAGATTTTGCGAGCTCGGGGTGCTCTTTGAGCCAGGTTGTTCACAACGAGACAAGGGATGAAGCCACGATGGACTTTTCGTGGGTATTTTGATTTCTTGTATTGATGCCTTTCAAAGCCTAGCATCTCGACGTTGACTGAAACTGCACAGAATAATAATACTAGTCTCTTGGTCTCTAGTTAATACCCAGCGAGTGTACTTGATATGTCTCCCCTTCCTACCGACAGCATAAGAATATTCTTCTACACCGGACCGAGCACCCGAAGGTCCCGATAAACCAACTCCACCATGCATATTACCATGAACGCCTGCTGCCATGAGCATGAACATGAGCCGCAACCCTACCAGTCTCAACCGGCAAATCCAAAGGCACAGCTGCCGCTTGCGTTGCCATATCCGCGCCGGTGAGACTCGGCGTTACATCCGCTTCATTCAAACTCTTTTCAGACTGCGTCGGCTCTGGTGGTGGAGGGGTATCATAATAGGACTCCAAATCCATCAGTTGCTCCAGCTCTCTACCTGTGAGATATGCATCAAGCCTGTCTATGACACTGAAATCGGCATTTGCAAACTCCACGGGAATCTTGCTCTCGAGTGCGGATTGTGCATTACTTCGCTTGAGATATGCTGCTGAGGCGACGTCTTCGGGTGGGGAGTCGGTGTAATAGGGATCTACGTCGTATCTTTGCCTAGGCCAATCATAAGGAGCGTCGAACATTCTACAAATGATAAGCGGGTCAGCATTCCATTGGAAGCATCAAAAAACAGAGTCTTACGGATCGTCGAGCAATGCACGGAATCCGTGATCATAGACTGTAGATAATTCATGGAATACCTTATACGAGTGGGTGTTGAAAGTATAGGCTGAGAATGTCGCTACAGGAAAGAAGTTAGCGCATCATACAGCCGAGGATAGCTTCCTGATCCAGGTGAGTACTTGCCCCAGCATGAGCTATGATACGTTTGGGAATCGAACTGCGAGCGCTTGGTATCAGCTATGATGATGCTGATTGCTCCTTAGAGTTCGTAACTTACTCCGTATTCCTGGATGAAATGCTTTCCAGTACCTGGAATCCCACGATTATCATTCGCAGCGAAGGGGCCAAACTCCCACGTTACGGGTGGTGGTGGCTTCTTATGTGCTTTCCTCAATGCTGAGCAAGGAACCCAAGTGGCAGCCTTCCATTGCTTGAAGTCAACTCCTTGTGCTCCGTTCGCGGGTCCATTGACAAGGCGCACTACTTGCGGATTGGGCGCTTTCGCTTCAAGCAATACTCCCATTGGGAACTCGTCCCTACAAAATTTAGATTCCTGTTGATATGTGTTGCGCAATTGAGAGAAGGGCTGAATTACACTTGGCATCTGTGTACCCTGTTCACGGCGACCTGAGCCAAGGTGCGAAATTCTTCGCGTCGCCAACTTGGCCATTCATCCTTTGAACTACGCCCTCCACGACGGTCTATGTGGAACGTTGTACTTATAATGACCTTATCAATGGCCCACCGCTGATTGTCACAGATCTGAAAGAACGTCAGCTGGCAAAATACAAGTAGATGCGGCTCCGAATACTCACTTCATCCCAACCAAGGCCATATCTACAAGTATACGTCACTGCACAGTCTTTGTCTTTCTTCCCGTAAGCAGCCTTTGGTGCCCACTGTCCATATTTGATACCTTTGCCTGGTTTGCCAGCGGTAGGTTGTTTGGGTTTGCTAGGTTTTCCGCCCTTCGGAAGAACGCCAACTGGAATTGGAAGGATTGGAATGACGCCGATGGCAGCTCCTGCTGCGGATCCCGATCCTGTAGTTGGACAAGATGCGATCCCCACAGCAATTACAACTGCTGCGGCTGCGAGGGAGATCCCTGCTGTGAAGAAGGCCAAAAGACCACTTGTAAGACCGATGGTAGCTGTTACTGCAGCTATGCATGCTGGATTCTTTCCAGATCCCCATGCCCTTTTACTTACCCCGTTTTGTCCGACGAGAACCAAATCCGAAGTTGTGAACTTGGGAGACGGAACAAAGCCAGTACAACAATAATATTGGCTACCTCCAGAGCAAGTCAAATTGATGTTGAGATCGGAGTTGAGGACGAACTGGTTAGCTACAGAGAGGTCAGGTAAGAGTAAAACATCGAGTGGCTCAAAACAAAAACGGCGCTTACTGTTCATAGCAACAAGCGACGAAGAAGAGTCAGAGCAACCCCCTTGCATGCAAGAGAGGCCAACTCCTCGCCATCCCTCCCACGAGCACGTTCCTGTATTCGTTCCGGGAGCACAACATAATGTCTGATACTCATCCCCAGTGCAGACGGTATGGCGAGAAATGCCCAGAACTTGTCCCTTTGCTGTGGTCTCGGGAAAGTAGCCCTGCGCGCATGAGCCTCCGCAGAAAGACCAATAGCACGAGTTTCGAACAGTTGCTTGTATCTCTGCCTGTTGCTGAGCTGCTTTCATTGCCGCTGCAACTTCCGCAGAGATACCGTTGCTAGGTCCTATGCCAAGTAGATCGCGGTTGCTGGAGTGAGCTGTATCGTCCTGGTCGATTGCCCATATTAGCTTTCCACCTAGACACCACCTGTTGGCAGCGTCTATCTTCAAAGCTATCGTTTCACCGTCATCGTAACTGACCCATTGGTTCCCCCAAGAAACCCATTTTACTCCTGCCACTGAGTCCATTTCTGGTGTCAGGCCCTTTGTATGGATGATACGGAGAATCTCGGCATTGGAAAGAGTTCCAGCTGACTTTGTACATTCCCCAGGATTGCCTCCTGAACTGAAGACGCAACCAGGCCTATTGCAGCTAGGGTCAGAGAGAGTGAATGATCGTCCATACCAACCCAAGCCCATGTTCACGTTGGCGGGATTAACGTTGTTTCTCCACAACAGATCAAGACCTTGACGGATTTCGGTGAGGTTGGTATGTGGTCGGACATATGGCCCAGTAAACTTGTTGGTGGAGTCCCAGACACCATGAATATCGTATGTCATGACGTTGAAAAAGTCGAGATACTGTTCCATGCCTTTGATATCGAACCAGCGGAGATACCAGAAAGAAGCGGGAACGGTGCAACTTATACCATACAAGTTGCCAAAAGCTGCCCGCATATCCCTCAAGAGAGCAACGAAGTTAGCGGTATCTGCGTTGATGCCTCCTCGATCCGGAGCGCCAGGGTACTTCAGCTATCAGCTTTCAATCGGGGATTCCGGCTCAAAGAAAAGACTTACCTCCCAGTCGAGATCAACACCATCAAAGCCCCAGGTCGTCATGAATTGCAGAACAGAATCGATGAAAGTCTTCCTGTTTGCAGCCGTGGACGCCATATCACTGAAAGCTTTCTGCGTGTTTGGCGTGTTGGTGGGGTCCTAATACGGGTTAGCCGTGCATCTCGAAGCCAGATTTGATGACGCACATTGAATGACCAACCTCCAATGGAAATCCATGTCCGGAGAGACGACTTCTGTTTCTTCAGTTCTGTGAACTGAGGGTAAAGCTTCATGTCATCTGGATCCATAGGTGTAACCTGAAACGTGGTTGGGTCGAAGTATGCAAAAGCTATCAACGTCAGTGCATGACTGCCATTTCGCAAAGCAATCTACCAAAGTTTATGTGGGTGAGACCAGTCAAGTCAAGGTCTGAAGGAAGTCGAGAATCACAACTACGCTTCGAGGACCATCCTTCATAATACCCGATGGTTCGCCCAGAAGTGACACCGCCACACTATACATTGACATAGTCGAGTCAGTATTATTTCTTTCGACATTCAGAGGTATTTCAACTCAGAGAGAACCACATACCGAAGGCTCTTGAGCGGAGCCACATCCACCATAATGCTTTTGGCAACCATCAAGGCAGAACTCCTGTCGGGGTGTATTAGCAAAAAGAAGCCTCAAGACCTCAGAAAGTTTACATCTGTAGTCCCACAGAAACCAAATTTGCTGCAGCAGACGTTGATCGGACAAGTGTTATTTCCTGGTACACCGTACTGGCCGCATTCTGCCTTGGCATCACAGTTTGAGATACATGTCTTTTTGCCACACTCTTTGGGGGAGTATCCGCAGATCCCTGTCTGATATTCGTTAGAAGATGACACTTCCCATGAGGATGCATACTTGCATTGCTGCAGCAAGCACCATTGACGCATGGAGTTCCAGGCGCACATGTTCCTGTGGGCAGATCCCGACGCTGCAGGCTTCCAGTGCTGTTACTGGGCCCTAGCAAAGCCTTGATCAACGGATTGACTGTGACACCCGAAACGTTGTGGAATTCAGGAGTTGAACTCGAATGCAGAGTGTAGAGAGGCTTGTACAGCGCGCTGTCATTGTTATGGACCTGGATGCTTGGGCTGGTCTGATTGAAAGCGAAAACGACTGGGACTATGGCCATACCCAGGCCTACAGTGTTGAGTACGCGCATTTTGTAGGACAAAATGCTCGTAGGTTGGATTCGGATCGAGATTTGGAGAATAACTTCGATCTTAATGTTAGGCGGCAGGTCACCTCGATCGACCGAGGACTCGGAAGGATTGGTGATGTGCTCGAGCCTCTGAACTATAACTGTTCCTTTTCAAGATATACCAAAAGTATCCGTACTGAGGAGTAATCGAGAGAATGATCAATGGCACGTATATGTGAGGTTGTACCGTGCGAGGCGAAACAGATATCGTGCATGGGGTGGCAGTCGCGACCGTTCGGGAAGGCACAGTTCAGAGAGTCATATATCCTTCCTCTTTCAGACCGAGCTGACAGAAATGGGTTTTGAGCGTCCTGTGTGTTCAATTTTGGATGCAAAAGGCTGGCACACTTCACTTCCCGAATTCCAGCTTCAACTGCAATCGAGCATCGTTAAACATGTTACGGATGTTCTTCTTCTCGGTGGTTATCCTGGCGCTCTCACGAACGGCGAATGCTGGCTTTCAGATCTATGACTACCTAGATCGGCTGGCGATACAAGAAGCCTGGGGAATATCAGACCAATGTTTGGCAGCATTGTAAGACAAACCCAGCCTCCAATCGTGGCGTACGCTCATCACGCAGAAACTCTACAATTGACTGCGATCAAAACAACGCAGTACTGGCAGCTCAAGGAGCAGATAATACCTGTGAGTCAAGGAGGTTCGTGCTTGGATATCTATCTTACTCACTCGTTCTTAGATTGGTATCCGCAGAACGTGACAACGCTATGCACATCAAACTGCGCCTCATCTCTCTCAGCTTGGCATTCTGCAGTAGCTATGAGTTGCAACGGGCAGACTATCAACTACGATGGCACACTTGTTCTGGCTGAGACAGAACCATTGATGTGGACGACAGGACATGATCTTGTATGCATGCAGGACAGTTCTCAAAATTGGTGCTTCTTAGAATCTCAGGAGTGGCAGGGAAGCGATTTTATTAGGTATATCTCGAACTTCATCTGATTCAATCGACAAAACTGACATGAACTATCTAGATGGGACCCAGATGTCTGCAACAATGAGAATCCTATCGACAACCCTCCTCAATGCAACAAGCCCGATTTCTCGCCTGTAGACATATCGCCGGATATGATGTCAGTGACGAACCTTTACGATTCTTCGCTGTACTGCAGCGAATGCTTCATCAAAATGTGGCGCCAGAGATTAGTCTCACCTCTCCTACCGAACAGTACGTTTGCAGACTACCTACTTGACCAATACGAGGACATTCAATCAAAGTGTTCAACCAGCCTGCCGGTGACGACCTACAGCAAGAATCTTCTTGTCACTTCTCCAGCAGCTACAACCACGACATCTCGAGTTTCAGACACATCTACTGCAGCCCCAACTGCAACGGGTACCTGCTTAGGACAACTGATCCACCCGGATTCCGTCAACTTGGTTACTTGCAACGATATAACAGACAAATACAATGTCACAACGGGAGACGTTCGTGTGGTCACCGATGATTATTATTGTCAATTCAATACAAGCATTTGTTTGCCGCTTCCTTGCGAGCTAGATACAGTTTTGGGATCTCCCTCTTGGTGAGAGACAGTTGAAATACTTCGTCGAGATTCAAATGCTGACAATCTGCAGTGACAATCTTACAGAGTTGTATTCTACCCCGGACAAAAATGTTTCCTTGACGCAATTCCTCTTCTGGAACAAAGCGGTTCAGGGTAGTTGTGGTTTCCTAGCAATAGCGCAACGTGTATGCAAAAGGTGGGCTTTCGGCTCCGTAACGGGGGAGTTGAGATACTCGAGCTGATATTCCTAGCCCACCTGGAGGGCATTACACTCCCTCGGCTACTTTCGCCGTACCAACAGCTGCAGGATCATATTATACGACGGCCACAGCATCAGAGCCGACACAGACCGGGACAGTACCTGCTTGTGGCCGTTACTACAATGTTGTCTCAGGAGACACGGTAAGTATCATCGCGTACCCACCCTACGACAAGAACTAACGTCATTAGTGCAATGGCATCTGTTTGAGATTGTAAGTACGAAAATCTTGACTACGTGAACAAGTACTGATGACGATAGTGGCATCAATGAAACTGAATTACATGACCTCAATACCTACCTGAACAGTGGATGTACTAATCTCTGGCTGAAGACAGCTGTTTGTGTTGCCCCAGTCTCGAAAGGACCTGTATCGACAGATGGTACGTGTGGGCCATCACATGACTATGCCATATGTGATGGCACAAGCTTTGGAAGGTACGCATTTAGCTTTTATGCTATTGCAAATGGCTGATGATATCAAAAGGTGCTGTTCAGTAGGTGGTGCCTGTGGCAATACTTCTGAATACTGCAGCCATAACAATTGCTATTCTGGAGCTTGTCAAGCACCAAGCACAGCAACTCAGAATGGAACCTGCGGGCCGTCCTATGGAGGAACGACCTGTACAAATGCTGTATTTGGTCAATGTTGCAGCATCTATGGCTTTTGTGGCAATGGTACAGCCTATTGTGGTACTGGAAATTGCTACTCCGGTGCCTGCCAAGATTCTAACAACCTTTCTACCGACGGCTCCTGCGGGCCTCTGTTCGCAGGCAACAAAACATGCACAGGAACCCAATTTGGAAAGTGCTGCTCGAATTCGGGGTATTGTGGAAGCACCCACGATTATTGTGGAGCAGGAAATTGTTATTCAGGAGCTTGTGACACTGGTTCAACTGTTTCTGTTAGTCCTGATGGTACTTGTGGGCCAAGTTCAAAGAAAGCATACGTATGTGATGGGTCGAAGTTTGGAACTTGTTGCAGTACATCAGGGTTCTGTGGTAGTACAAAAGATTATTGTTCTGGCACGAATTGCTACTCAGGAGCTTGTACTAATTAGAAATTAATCACTGAGAGAATTAGCTTTTAATCAAAATTACAGATCGACAACCAATTGGCTGGATCGTTCTTCCTCATCAACTAGCCACGACTCACCTTGGTGGTGTAGATTATGAGAAGAACGACAAACCGAAACGTGCTGCATTTGGTGTTGTTATTTCGCATTGAGCCTAGCCGCCTCGCCAAATGCTCCTGAATGTCCCTGCCAAATTCGCTTCAGCGGAGCGGTTAATTTGTTAGCGTGGAAGCCGGACTTCAATCCTAGGTGTTTTTCGACTTCAACCTCAACCAAAATATCACACCGACTTCGTATGAGAGCCCCTCTATATCAATCTCTTGAGGAAATCTCTTGCTTGATACCTGCTGTGGTATATTCCGCCTGGCGATAGAGAAATCTTTCAGGCTTTTTCATTCTTCAATACAACCCTTACCAAGTATGTCTGCAGAGCTAGAATCACCCGCGTTCGACGTCGACCGTTGCATTGAGCTACACAACCAGATCACACGAATAGGCTGGGGAGGTAGTGGTCAGAACCCCGAGGGCGATGAGATGCAGACGTGGTGGGAGATGTACGGTGCGGATTGTGACGAACAAGACCTCACTCCTCGTCTGATACCCGAAGTCATCGACTTTTTGAAAGGAGCTTTGCAACCCGACCCTGACGAAACAGGATCCGATTCACCATACCAGAACTTCTTTTACTACATCCAAGGCCTGGCTATCCCGGAGACGATACTTTCAGAGAATTTCATTCTGGAAGGTCTGGATGAGGATCCGCCGAGATACGTGCTTTTGTATCATGTCACGGATTTGAAGACTCATCCTTGTGGAATTATGTGAGTAAAAGATGAATGCTTGTTTGCATCAGCTAACCAGTAAGTTAGATTTGATCAGCAGACGAAGAAAGCTAGAACCGTATTCTCGATCACGATCGATGATACGATTGTCCCAGAGGAAGAGAGACTATGGATGCCTCTCCAGGTGATCTTGGAGCAGTATCTCGACATGATCGAGCTTGAAAAAGTCATCATGACAGGTGATGACGCTGGGGATGATTCGGACGATCCTGTCGACGAAGACTTGAGAGAAGATGAGAAGGTGAAGATGGAGCGAAAACCTTGGATCCTTCAATCGCATAGCAACAAAATTCTCGAGAGGACCCTCAGTGTGTATCAAAACTTGCTTCGAGCAATCGAAGCACGAATGCCCAGCCCAGCATCGCAATCTCCTCCTTCATCACCACCAGCGAAGAGCCAACTGGGAGAACAAAACCCTATCACGGAAGCGAAAGACGAAGACTTCAGTCAAGCCATCTCAGCATTGATTTCCTCGAATCAAGCATCTGAATTTTGCTTCGTTATTAAGTTTCTCCAGCAAATGGCTCATCCAACTCGGTCGCAGCTCAAATTCTTAGCCCCAGGATTGCTCCTCCCCACACCTGAATTATTATCAAATCAGCCATTTCGAAACATCGATTTTCATAGCAGTAGTTACTACAACCCCGTCTTGCTTTTTCCCGCCAACAACGAGGACGAGACAACATTCCCAGAAAACAATCACAACCCATTCAACTATCCATATGACGAAACGCTCAATTCATATCGTTCAGGACTCTGGATCAGTGAAAGCAAGCTTGAAGGCGGGGATTTCGATGATTCATGTCGCTTGCTTCTACCACGACAAATCATCGACCGAGACGGAGAAGAGACTGAGCATCACGCGAAGAGTGCAGATGGATTCATTCTGGAGGATGTCGACGGAGAGGGGTTGGCAGCTGGCCTGTATCAGACGAGCTGCAATCCATTCATTTTACGGCACGAAGTGGAACTTTTCCGGGTGTTGGTACACTGGGTTCAGATGGTAGAGACTGGGAGCTGGGAAGTTGGTGCTGAGGGGGTGAGTGGTGGGACTGAAAAGTGGAAGGAGGCTGATGAGAGTGAAGAGGGGAGTGATCGTTATAGGTTGGAGTTAACGTGGTAGCATAAGCAACCCTTCATGTTAGGTAACGTTTTCCTTTACGATGCTTCCCTTAGCTTCGAGGGCTGTATCATGATACTTCGAGAGACAAAGCTGTTGTATTGAATAAGCAGAAATACTGTTAAAGAGTCATGGCGCGAAGTCACTTCAGTGATTATGACCTTGAGATGAAACCTTTGAAGAATACATTCAAGTTATAGGTAGAAGTGTTTCCGGACTAGTTAGGTAATTGATCCTCGGCAAAAGCTCAGTATCCCATCTTGCTCCCATTCCCTTCCAACATCTTCTTAGGCGGTTTGACTATATTGACTCCCCGTTAGCTCTTGAATGCAGTCACTGGGCATACATCCAACTTACACTTCTGAGGCAGCTCGCAAGACGTAAACACATTGAAGAACCTAGCAGGTGCCTTCCATTCCGGATATTTCTCAGCATCTCTCGCTATCGACAAGGCCGTCGAACAATGCATGGTATGCTGATATTGACCAATTTGGCTATCAATCGGCGTTCCTCGAAGAATTGCTCGGTGCAGCTTTCTCCAGGTAAAGGAACAGTGCGCGTCATGATACTCCATGGAAACGTACACGGGACTGGGACCGCCTGTTCGTCTCATGTGTTCCTGTGATAACTCCTCGTTGCCCCATGGATCGGCGTACCAGTGCCAGTCACCGTATTCCAGGAATTCTGTCTCGAGTTCCTTGTCATAGCAGTCTGGGTGCACCCAGCCGCCTGGGATGAGGTCCATGATGCAGCCATTCTTTGTCGCTTCCTCCGATGAATTGCCACAGTGCCCGGAGCCATATGGCTTGTAAAGATATGGGCCGGATCCGATGACTGGAGTGTAAAGACCTGATAAGTAGAAAATAGCCGCGAATAATAGGCCAGTGATGAAGTAAAGGATGGTACGTTTCTTCACTCGAGGCTTGTCGCCCTTATTTGAGGAAAAATATGTGGCTTCAATGCCATCAAGAGAGTCTTCTGTCTCATATTCGTGAGACTGGCGATAATTGTCAAGTAGTTTGTCTTTTTGTTCTTCCATTTTGACGATCTGGAAAATTGACAACAAGAGAAAAGAGAGAGTTTGTCTCCCTACACGCGAGACTAGGTAGAACAAAGAGCCCGCTTGCTATGGCGAGCAATTGATCTGAAACTCGTGATTGTGGCACAGACGGTCCAGGAGCCGGGGGGTGTTGAGAGTTGGGGGCGGAGGAGGGACGGCGTAAGAGAGCGGCACGACTACCAACCTGCAGGTCCAACCACGACTGCGCCTTGGCATTTGTGGGGAATTTATGCAGATCAATGTACACTAATCGTGGTAGAGAAACCTCCGCAGTACATATGTACGCCGTCTGACAGCGTCGGGCATGTTCGGCAAACGGTTATGCAAGTGACGCAGTATTTGCGGTAGTTATATCGATCAACTTATAGCAAGGTACTAATTGCGTGACAAAACTTCATCACACGCATAAAGTTTTGCTGTAACCAATAGCAATAGGAAACTCTTCGCAATGCCTCTTTCGCGCCGTCTGACAGCGCCCGACATGTTGGCCAAAGTTATATCAAGTGACGCGGAATTTGTGGGGAAGTTGATTATTGTGATCAATTCATACCAATAGCAGTAAAGCTACCGTAAAGAACCCTTCCCTTCACAATACTGATTTACACCGTTTCAAAGATTGGGAAGTTTTAGTTTAATGGCTATATCAAGTGAGGTATTTGTGGAAGTTGCCTAGGTAGGCTGGTCCATTGATACCAATAGCGGTAGACCTGTCGTAAAGAGCCCTTTGCATTGCCGATCTACGCCGTAAAATAGCATCGGATATGCTACCAGTAATCAAATAGTTATTATGAGTGACACAGGATTCATAATGTTTCGGGCAACAGCATTGAACGTAATAGGCAAATGGTCTGACTTTCTACTGTAGAGCGCGTGCAGCGCGACTATCAAATGGTGTAATGCTGATCAATCTACGCTAGGAGCGGTGAAGAATTTTTTACAATGCCTTTTTACGCCGTCTGACAGCTTTGAAGCTTTGAATGTATTAGGTAAATTGGTTGGCATTTTGAAGGGCGACTATCAAACCCTGTGGTGCTACAGGAAGAATTATTCATATCAAAGACGGAGAAAAAGCAGCGCTTAGCGGGAGAGAGAGGCGGTTATGCCAAAGGTAATAGCCCCCAAAGGCGTCAGCGGTCACGTCATAGATACTCTGACTACTTTATCAACTCGACTTGAACAGTTAGATTCCAAATCTCGCTTAGCCGATAGAGTACTTGTGAGTGGCAGGATTCCACAAGGGGTGGAGTTCTGAAAGTCAAACTTCTGTACACTTCTGAGCTGAGATTTGAGACCGGCTGGATGGTTCCAAGCGAGAATTAAACATTAAGGTTTTAAGATTGACTGATACTGTACTACCCACTTCTCTTCCATGTACTGTACTCAAGTCTGTGATGCGGTGAATGTATTCCACGTTTACCCTTTTGGCCCTGAACATTTCCATGTCCATACTCCAACTATATACGAAACTTTTCGTTTTGGATTACTTCCTATGATGGCTCTCAAGCAAGCGGAAGCACCCTCAGGACTGCAAGACAGCTTGCGTGGCGGCTACAAGAAACTAAACTCCGATGAAGAGGGTGACGACCAACACCACGCCTCCCAACTGCGCTTCCAGTCTCGATCTCACAAAACTCACCACTTCCATGTTCTCGCCGTCTTTATCCTTCTGATAACGTCGAGCATATTCATTACCATCTTTTTTCTCAACAAAGGCAACCACGTCGAGTATCACAACTTAAGGCCCCTCAGTGACTCAGCAAATCCCGACATCAGTTTCTCGGAATGGAGCAACTGTGGTCAAACAGCTTTGGAAGCCCTTGATAAGGGCTGTGTATTTGATCTTATGCTCTCGACTTGGATTCACGAGTCCTGTTACGACGACGAGATGATGAATAGGTATCTTCTAGAGGGCAATCACACTTATTTTCATGATGAAGATATGGTGTATGAGATGCCCGAGGAGGAAGCTAGGCGAGGAGAGTACAAGACTTTATGGACGGACGGGGAGTTCCATTTGCGGCACTGCGTATATCTGATGGACATGCAATTAAGGTCGTACAAGACGGGACGGCCAATCGAGGTGTCGATATATGACTTTGAGCATACGCAGCATTGTGTTAACATGACACTTTGGCATGATCGGGATGGAAAGAAGACGAAAATTCACGCGCTGCATGGCAGATGTGGTTTTCCAAAGAAAAGATAGCTGACTTGATACTGTGAGGGTTAAGGCTGAGCATGTGACATAGCCTTGAGTCAAATGTAAATAAAATCAGAGATTCCTAGGGATCTTCTTCTTCTCCGCAGACTCCAGTATCGACTTTGTTCGTGTTCTTATTCCTCGACAAAGATTTGGTTATGCTACAACAAAGGCACGTAAATGCACAGTTTGTTTGAAGACGGCATTAATCTTCGTAATAAAGGTTTGCTGGAAATCAAGTGTAGCGTAAGATTAAGGCCAAGTCAGTTCACAGAGCTGAAAAGATGGGTGGTCATTGAATGTATTCAGAATGACTACAGCCGTGAAAATAACAGGTGAACTCTAGATCTACCACGCCTCGCCTAAACTCTGGATCTCAGTCGCACCAAACCCTCGCCACCCAAACTAAATCTTTCCCAAAATCACATTACAAGATGATCTTCTCATCAGGATTTGCTCCGTTCAGATGATTAGGATTCGTAAGTTCCGGTGCCCTATACTTGTACCAGTCGTCCGCAGCTGGCAACTGTTTGGCTCCGGGTGGCTTCCTGACAATGCTATTGTACCTGTCAACGTCGATCGTGTTTTCAATACGCCAACTCGTCAAAGCATCAAAATCGACACACTGTCGGTTAATACCGAACATTGGGAATGGTCTATCGTGATTTTCAACCCAGTGGTAAGTAACAAGGTTGAGATTGCCACTGCACTGAAGCTCCTGCATAAGAATGTCGACACAGTGGTCGACATGAAATTTCCAGATGGGCCTGTCACGACCACCAGAAACCTTTGGATAGAGGTCACCATATGCTATCTGTCGGAGAGTGTTCAAGCAATGGACTGTGGAGAGTCTCGAAATTAGTAAATGTCTCCATATATCTGCATAAAGAGTAGAGATTTCTTGGAAAGGAAGCAATATATCACTACTCTTCAAATAATCTTCAGCAAAAGATATTCTGTAGAGAAGACTCACGTTGATGAAATACATCGAGAACTGCCACATAAGCATCATCGCCAAGACTCCAATCCTCATCATCTAGCTTGGCGGCAGTAGAAGGGTCTACACCCATTGCTCGAAGCTGTGCTGCTGTCACGGGAATGACTCTGTTTTTTTCATATTCCTCCCATACACTTTCTGTCTCATCGTTGATTTGCCGCGCAATAGATGGGTTCTCTGGTGGCCAGAAGGTGCCATTGATCTTGGTGATCTGCGAATTGAGGCGTATACGGTCATGAATCGGCGCTGTTGAAAGTCAATACTCATAATACAATTAATCTGGCAAGGCAATTTATGAGATTGAGGTTGTACTGTATGATGAAGTTCTCCTGAAATTCGCATTGAGAACAATGTAGTTGTTGTAACACCAGGTTCCGAAGAGCAAGCTTGAAAAAATAAAGACTACAAAGTTCAATGACGACAGGAAGATCATAAAATTCTTTGTTGGTCGACGTGTAGCTCTCAGTGGTGTCTTCCCTAAGAGCAAAGTCTGTCCCTCTTCATCGTCGCCATCTGAGATTGAGTCTCTCGACTCTGTCGGGCTCGAGATTTTGCTGTACTCAGTGTCTTTCATGATGGATGCTAAGGGCAAACAAAACCCGTCTCAAACGAAGAGAGATAGAATCAAAAATCTCATCAGATCAGCACGACGGAAATCAGCAGGATACTGAGCGGCAATGCACAAACCATGCCCATTTTGGTGGTATTTCCGGCACTTGGTTCACAGCCATGGTGGGGGCGGAAAGGTTCTGCGATGAGGGGTTTGTTAACTTCAACTTTGGTCCTACAGACCGCTGCTTGCGTCAGCCTTTGATGAAACACACCACTATGCTTTTGCGGCGTGAAATAGATCCATGCTAGCTTTGTTAGTATATGATCCAATGTGGCCAAGCACACGAGAAGACCAGTAGGAAACAACCTGTTTCATACAAGGTTGATCAATGCCACTTAGCACATCATCAACTAATACAATTCGCAATTTACCAACCAAGTTAGCAAGTTGACACTTCTGCTTGAGGATACAGGCACATGACTTCTTTTTCTGTCAAACAATATCCATTCTCTATGGGCATCCATTTATACACTGCCGCAAATTTAGACTGAATACTATAAAGGTCCGGATAGCTGCATTCAAATTCGTGAACCTTGAACTCCAAGAGCTTTCGATTCAGATCATAGCAATACTCAGAAAAATCCAATTCTGCTCTCAGTTATACATTACGGTCTCTCAAAACCCAACACTCTCGCCATCATGCACAGCACTCGTATTATTCCTGCTTTGATCAGCTTCTTTTTTGTGGCTGGCGCTATCGCTCTTCCTCAGCCAGTATATCTACCACTACCCATTGAAAGTAACCAAGTGCTAACAGCATCAAAGGCCCGTCATAACTTGCCTTCTCTGGAGTACAATGACAACAATGCCGTTGAAGACAAGCGCGCAATGCCGTCTCTTGGTAAGACTGAGATGCTACACCAGTAAACGCAAAGAAGCAAGCTAATGTGCTTACTCGTATAGAGTACAACGATAACAACGCTGTCGAAGACAAGCGTGCATTGCCATCCCTTGAGTACAACGATAACAATGCTGTCGAAGACAAGCGAGCATTGCCATCTCTTGAATACAACGACAATAACGCCGTCGAGGACAAGCGCGCTTTGCCGTCCCTTGAGTACAATGATAATAACGCTGTCGAAGATAAGCGTGCCTTGCCCTCTCTCGGTAAGTTTGAGACGCTGTGCTACTGAAGACAAGAAACAATCTAATATGCTCGTATAGAGTACAATGACAACAACGCCGTTGAAGATAAGTAGAGAAACACTGAAGAGTGCTGAGCGAGACGAGGCTGCTTTTTGACCCTCGGACTCCGTGTTACTCTCTTGGGTGCTTGGTGGGATTTGTTGATGACTCTGGGAACCGAGGCAAGGGGCAAAAATGAGCTTGGGAGTAGTTTAGACAACTCAGATTATGTTCATAATCACAAAATATACTACCTGCTCAAACTATTGTCCAATCTGCTTGTTTCAATATGCGCATAATTTCATAGCTGGTTTGGAACAGGTCAGAAATGTTGACATCAGCTTGTTGAGATACGTTTCTATACATGATGTCAGTAAATGACATAGAAACCAGCACTTAGACACAAACTTCCCGAATTAAGCGGGAGTCTTCTGCTTGATTCCCATTCACGACACTGCATAATGCCGTCAGCTTTCACACTTTCAGGAGAAAAGACGTCGTCAGTATCTTCACCTACATAATTTCAAATAATTGGAAGGGCCATGTCAGCCTTACCCCGGCCCTCGGTAGATTCTGCATGCGCAGTTTCGGCTCCGCTCCAGCAACGATGATCGACACCCGATTATCGGTAGATCTGCATGCATGTATCTTACATGTTGCATAGCCAAGAAAGTGCAAATTGGGGAACCCGAGGTGCATACTCGGCTTACATGTGAAGGGTTATTATTGTGGGCTTGCGAGGGCGGGGAGGTCAAAATGATTACCGAGTACCAATACTTGAATGTTAGGGGTCCTGCTTACTGCGTCTACGCCGTACCCTCTTTTCGGTCTATCTTGTAAAGAGTTTCATAATTGCTCTTGTATAGTAGGGATGATAATAGTTATTGGTCAAGTAGGTAAATGTTGGGGGCCATGCTTATTTTTACACCACATCTACCCCGCATTGTTTTCCCGATCTACCTTGTAAAGAATCATAAATTATTCCGATATAAGAGGGGCCACGGTTTAGCGATCATCATTGGTCAAATGACTGAGTGTTGGGGCTTATGCTTTACACCGCGTCTGCGCCGCATCCTAGCGCTTCCGAATCTAGCTTGTAAAGACTTACGAATTGGTCAAGCGCTTAGATGTTGGGGGCCAGGCTTATTTTTGCAGGTCGACCCCGGATCCTAGCTTTTCTCAGCCTACCTTGTAAAGATTTGCAAATTGACCAAGTGGGTCGGATTGGGAATCATGCTATTTCTACGCCGCATCGCGCCTTCTATCTCTAAGGTGTACAGTCCTAGGGGGCTTTCTTCGGCTCCATCAGTCGCCCCTTTCTGCTCGCAGCCGACAGCATGCAACTGCTTTCTTCCTGAATTCCTGTTCTTTTTTTTTTTCTCGTGGTGAGTCAACTGCTATTGACAAAGAACATGGCCAAGTACGATCGCGTTTCCTCCGAGGACTCGTCGAATGAGCACCTACTGCCAGATGACTCTTCCTCACTATATTCGCCGGTAGCTCTACGTCGCTCAAAGGGTTTCGGTTTCAGCATTTCAACGGCATGTCTATTAGTATACTGCGCGTTATCGACCACCGCAATGGTGATATTCATGGTCGCAATCCTAAATCAGTTGCAGCCACAGAGTCACGACAACAACTGCCAGGTGAATAAGGTGTTCAAGGCCGCGTACGGTCACAATACTGCCTTGATGTCAGTGGATCACAAGTACGATGCACTGTGGGAGGTCCAAGACGGCCAGTCTCAAGTGCTTCTCCTTCCAGACGAGGATTCCGGTGGTGAGCTAGTGCCAGGAGCATTTTCGATGTTAGTAATGTTCCAGAGGAGACAGATTCTGAAATGGTATAACTGATAGTGTTATAAGGTTCCACCAACTACATTGTCTCTCCAGCCTTCGGCATGCGATACAAATGGCTCGCGAAGGTAAAGACCCTGGATTGGACCAGAAAGATAATACGCACTGGCCACATTGCATGGACTACCTGAGAAAGGCAAGTTTTCCATGATCATTTTGAAGAGGCATTGAATTTAACAACATGCAGACTATACTCTGTTGGGCAGATAGCACTATCGAGCGAGAGACACTCTTAAGCAATGGCAGTGGGTCTCAGACGATAGATGGTACACATGACGTGCGGCAATGTGGTGATAGTCGCGCCTTGATCAAGACAATGCGGGATCAAGGCAAAAATGTTACTACAGAGCCATTTCCTCCCTAAATAGCTGCGCTGATAGTTCTAAATAAATCATCTCTGAGACTTTCTTGAGACGAACTTGTAAACTAGTGTGCCTACTCAAGTGTGACTGAAATTCTGTAATTGAAAGATGGTACGCGAATCATTCCTGTCTACATTCTTATATATGTAGAAACCCCACGAAAAGAAATTCATTGTTGTTGTAATAGTTCAAAACAGCTCGCGCCTTTCATACTCACTTAACTGTTCAAAGCAAAGGAAAGTCAAAAAGATAGAAAGCTAGCTCCCAGGAATATAATCTACTCTCTCTAGGATGAACCAGGAAGTGAAAGCTCCCATCAAACTAAGATAGGTCTTCCTTCATCGGTGGTACAGCCAAGCTGCCATTAAAACGTTCCCACACCCAGTCCCGAATACTTGGCCAGTTGCGACAAGTATGAGGTCGGTCCGAGTCAATGTAGTTTGCATTTAGAGCTTTGTAGTAACGAGTTGGGATCGGAGTCAAATCACCATTGCACAACACCATCTGCCGTAAGTGATCGAGGCAGTGATCTCGGTGCATGATACCGTGAATAGCATCAGTCGGATACTTCTCTGGGTAGAATGCTTTTCGGAGGTGGTCTAAACAGTGAAGTGCGTGCGTAACTTCAAGCCTGGTCAATGTTAGACCGTCGCAGGGAGAGTGAATTCTATCATGTAACTTACTCGGTAGCATTACCCCCCGCCACAGGTGCGTAGAACTGCTCATATCCAGGACCCCATGCGTCCTTTGCCTCATCTTCCGAGAGAAGAAAGAACCGGCCTGAAAGTCCAAAAAGTCGTCAGTAGATGTGAGTGTTACGATTTAGGTGCTTCACCCACCTTGATGTAGACGATCCCATGCATTATCAATTTCTTCGCTCGGGTCACCAACGTACTGTGTTCGCGGCATCCCATCTGCAGGCTGAGGTACGTATTCAATACCATCTTCAGTGAAGCGTGGGCTTCCCTGAGAAAAGCGTTCCTCAATTTTGATCAAGTGCTTGGCTGCGTCGAGTTCATGCTCGAAACCCCGTACGAACGAACTGCGGTTCTGCACAAGATATAACTGCGAACCCAGCCATACCGATAGCAGCGCAAAGAGCACGGTGGCTGTCGCCCAGAACTTGACTGCCAAGCGAGCCCAGGTAGACTGTTGTTTGCGAAGTGGCTGAGCCTCGAAGTCGGCGGTCTGAGGAAGAGCTTGGTATTTTTGAGACATCACGTGCACAGCGTTCAATTAGAGTAGTAAGTGGGTTGTGTTTGTTCAGAGAAGATTGAAAGCGGGTAAATACACACAAAAGCTTGGCTCGGGCCTCCTATATAACTATCTGTAGGGGGCGCCAGGCATGAAACGATTGTCCAACATGCTCCGCTGCAGTGCCTCAAAGTCGCATGCGATGTCAGCAACACGCAACACTGCCTATTATCATTCGCTCCCCGTTAAACCGCCTGCGACCTACCATACAATCATTGATATTTCGCCTGCTGCACTCATCTTTATTTCACTCAAGTCAACATCTTCTCTAGCTTTTTAAGCTTTCGCCACATTATCGGAAGACGTATTGAAATGGCTGATCAATTGAGCACTCTTTTTACCCCCGATTTCTTTGAGTCTCTCGTCAATGCCAAACTTCCTTTCTCTATGACTGAGCCGCTTGACTTTGAAGATGTTGGCCAGAAGCAGTGGAAAGGCAAAGCACCGATCCCCAGCGGATTGGTTGAGCGTGTCTGGCCTGTTCTGGAAGCTCTCAGCAAGCTCGAGCTGGCATCTGTACCCGATTTATTGCAATTTCTGCCACCCATCGCTGATGAGAATTTCCCACGTCAGGCGCTAGGACTACAGCTGCTTCTCGACCAGATGACCAGGTCTTTATTGAGAGGCATTGACGGCCGATGGCGAAGCGCATTTTTCGATATCATCAGTGTTAGATATGCGCACACCTTAGACGCGCTACCCGAGGACCAGAAGCCGTGGGCATGGAGTCGCTGGAAGACATTTGCTACGCTCGACTTCTGGGTCCTTGCTCGGACTTGGTATATCTGCCCATTTGTCCACTCCGACAAGCCCTCGGACGCAGAACGGGCGCTGAGATTCACTGAAGAGACTCGAAATATCATTGAAAAAGAGACTGGGACTACTGATCCGCACCGTTCGGAGCGAGACTTCATTTTGTCTGACACTTATGGTGTTTCCAGGGTGCTCAAAGAAGGACCACCTGGAGCTGGAGCGACAGTCCAGTTGTATGCGTATTGGATGTGCAAGCTCATGGACCTTCATAAGCCCGTAATAGACCAATTTGGACACTATCCCTACAAAAATGCGTACTTCGGAAGAGAAAATACGCCGGAGGAGGATGCATGGTTCAAAAAGCGGGATGGAAATCCCATGACGTCCGAAGAACTCAGAAGTCGTCTGAAACGGGACATAGATGCCGGAATCTGGGCGCATCTGGGCGCTGGCCGTAACGTTTGAGGCATTAGGAACAAAGCTGTAATGAACGAGATAGATCCTCGGATCGAAGAATTCTCCTGCAGCCATCTAGAACCTCACAAGCCCTGAGCGACTTGTAGTGTTCCAGATGAATTGAATTCTGTACTCATTCAGTAGGGAGTGCCTCCCTAGGGATTGTGGAGATTGGAATTGGCAATCAGTAGAAATAAAGTTTCCCATCACTAGCAACTGGAAAGAATTGTTGTGACGGTTTTCCTTGAGGTGACTATTCTACGAAAGACTGTCCCAAGCCGTTCAACAGAGAATTAGAGAATGCCACGCTACCTGCTTCATGATCCCAAAAGTTCAATACCATATCGCCAATCCCATGTCATTTATCCATATCTCCCAAAGGAAAATCTACCCCAAGAGCACATGCTCTATAATGCCGCGATTGCGCATTCATGCCTATTTATATTAGTAGTAATCACGGTAAGCTTCAAGACACTACTCACCAAGAAAAGGAACCGCGCAAAATCAGAAAGCACGCGAAGGCCACCAACGGACTGGAATTGAGGTAGCGCAAAACTTTGCCGGACCAATTCTGTGCAACATCAGTATAACTAGTTGGGCAATCGAGCGCAAGACTTACACTTTTTCTTCTCAGCAGGCTTCTTCTCAGCAGGCTTGGTGCAAGTATAGCACTTGAAGCATTTGCCCTCCTTGTTCTGCGAGTGTGCATTGAAGTTGGGACAATCCTCCATTGGAGAAGGCCATTCTTGTAATCATTGTAGGTGGCGCAATAGGTCTTGTTGTAGACGGTGCTGCCACAGTAGCTGAACTTGGTTGCGAGCTCGGCGCACATGTTTGCGATCGTTGAGTTTATGGTTTTGATGCGGAGGCGCAAGTTAAATTCGGTTGAGTTGAAGACAGAGGCGGAAGTGCAAAGGTTGAGTGTTTGAGAGGTATTTTGTTTTGTTATGAGTGCAGAATGTATTGGAGTTGTGTTGATGTGGTTTATATAAAGAGGAAGTAGAAGGAAATTCCCATGGAAGAGGGAGATTAAGCACCCCAAACCTTTACGCTGCTAGTGTACCTCAATCGCGTTGGGACTGCACTAGTGGCATACTCCAAGGTGGATCTTTGTCAGGTTAAATTCTAGACATTCATTGCTGTTAGAGCACCAGCTACATCTACAATTCTGTGTCCTAGCTCGTATGCTTATGGTCTTGATAAACTACAACACTTTCAACATTGTAATATTTTGAACACGAATAAATTTGATGGATTTAGTTTTCTGCCTTACTAACAGAGATAGATTGTAACAATTAAGTCCACACTGCACAATCACCGATGTCACGAACCAATTATACAATAAAATAGGGATTTACCCCTTTCCATAAGCGAACATTAATTAGACTAGTGGAGTTCTTATTCAATCGGAACATAGTACCGCATTTTATTTTCGGGATCCCATTGAGCCTTGAGTTTCCTTAACTTCTCCAATCTCCATGCCTCCCATCCGTAGACCTCCTGCAAAGACTCGTTGCCATTGGCGTAGTTGACGTAGGCGCGGAGGTGTGCTGGATCCTCGCTTCCTTCCAGTAAGTATTTCTGCAGCCTTTTTCCAAATTCATGCGCAATATGGTCTATGGCCGAGTTGGGCGCATACATGATGTACGAGGTGACCAGTATATTGTCTTCTCGGTGCGGAAAAGCTGTACTCTTTGGGCCGACGGCTTTCACGGCCTGGGTCGAGTAGGCCTCGAGCAGGAAGAAGGAGCCAGAAATCTCAGGGACTTTCTTGAATGTCTCGTCTATCTCATTGTACACTTGCCTGATGGCCGTCAAATTATGTGATTTCAATCCGATAGGGTAACGGAGGGAGGTCATTCCGTAAGCGCAACCCGGGCCGTCTGCGTCCTGGAACGTGGCAACAGCAAGATCATGTATCGACCCTTGGCCGATTTGTACACTAAGAGGCCCGATGTCATGGAACGGCTTGGCGTACTCTTTAGCTGTGTTAGGTGAGCCGTTAAAAATGACGCCGAACCATAGTATGGGCTACCAAATGATTAGCTTTTAAGTGCATGCAAGAAAGTTGGGCGTGGATTCGGCTGACATGATCAGGATCGATTTCTTGCACTTTTATGATATATCCCCAATAGATGAGTTCTGGTGGCTGGCCTTGCAGCGATCTATTAGCTAGGTCGTAGAGAGCCTCGAGCTTGTCTCCCGAGTAGACGAAGATCTCCCAAGACCATGATGGAGCGCTGTTAACATAGACACGGTATTCCCACTCTGTTACGAGGCCAAAATTATGCCCTGCACCCCTGATGGCCCCTGCACACAGAATTTCGAAGTCAGTAAACCTCTGTTGTGTGTTATAGGGAATAAATATACATGTTCAAGGAGTACATTCAGAGCAGCAAATCTGTAACATGGCTCTGGAACAATAAGGAGAAGGAAATTATCCTCCAACAACATGAGACTTACAGAATAGGTCCGAGTTACAGTTCTCCGACACCGTCACGAGTTCACCATTCGGGAGTACCAAGCGAGCTGAGATGACTTGATCGGCCATGAGTCCATACTGGCCTTGGAGCCAACCGTGGCCGCCTCCCAGAGCCGGCGCAGAAAAGCCGACGGATTCACAGATGCCAGTCACTTATGGACTCGTTAGGATCCAGATACTCTCATCAAGCTCAGCTACAGACTCACCGGTTCGCTTTCCCAAACCTATGAGCGTGTTGACAATTTCGCTCACATTTGCTCCACCGCCAATCGTAGCTGTTTGGCCATCCTCGGATAGCTTGATATGGTTCAAAGATCGAAAGTCGATTTGAATGGCATTCTTTGCCTGACTGAGGGCCTTGGTCGCGCCGTGACCTCCCGCTCTGGCAATAAATGGGATATTATGTTCACTGGCGTAACGCACCTGTGATATACGTAAGTGGAAGAACTACATTGTGGACTTGTAGCGGAGAGAATGATGCACACTCACAGTCTGCTGAACATCGGATTCAACGGCGGCCTACACCACAACAGCAATGTTAGGTGCTTCGTACTCTCTCCATCTAGCAACAAGACTGGCAAATTTGGAATCGCTAGGGAGGACAATAGATGCTTTAGGAGATAGCAGAGGGCCCAGACCGGCCAGGATTCCTTCCCTGTTGGACATGCTGTAAGGCAGTAACTCGGTGAGGATAGGGAGATGAGCGCATAAAATCGGAAGATCAGCTTTGAGGGAGATAAAAGAGGCAAAACACTGGCTCTCGTGAGATATTAGAGACAAAAATAGAAGCGTGGATCTTGGCTGGAGGTCCTAATTGTTTGACTAATGATGGATAGCATCTACATTGGAGCACCCAATGATGGCAAAGATCATGGCACGATGGAAATTCTGTTGGAAAAGGAGGGATATTTCGTAGGTCAGCACTTCCATTTCTCCAACTCTCATCATGGCTCATTAGTAATACAACCTTGCAGCATTAGCGCTTATTTTGCCCCTAACTCGAACCGACGTGCGGCACGGGGAGCCTGACGTAACCGAAGTGCCACGGCCGAGTTCTTCAACCTTTTCGTTGCAAATAATCATAATCATGACCAGCATTACTCATTTTCTCGTTCCATCTCATCAGGATCTTTCAGACAAAAGACGGGAATCACTCCAAGCGCCGTAATTACCGCCAAAGTCCAAAATGGTACAATGACATACCCTTTATCGACACCAAATGTAAACATTGGACCCATGATAGAAGGTCCCAATGCTCTCCCAATAGAGCTCACTACCACAGAGACTCCGTTAAATCTCGCAAGATATCGTGGGTTACTGACACTATTCATGAGCAAGATTGTTGAGCTTGGAAATGCAACATTGGTACACAAGCCCTTGACAAACCATATCAAAAGTATTACCGCTTCTTTGCTGAAGGTGCCAGGAAGGAGGGAGGCGAATGGGGTCATGAAGTAAGCGATTGGGAAGACGACGCTGCAGGCTTTGAAGCAGCGGAGGGTGCCGAATCTTCGGACACAAGGCGGGAAGATGAAGAATTGGAAAAACATGCTTGCGACGCCGTAGAGTGTGAAAAGGGTGCTTATCTGACTTGTGTCTGTGTAGTATCAGCCCAAAACTTTGCTTGTTGCTTATGAGGGAAAGAAGCGCCCTGTGGTGCTTGGAGATGGAGACGAACCGATGCCAAATCCACCACTAAACTTGAAAGGCAGGCTGACATCTGCATCGTTCGGATTTTGAACAGGATGATGCATGAATACGGGAAGAATCTGGTCATAGCTCATGGAGTGCATGCACAGTAAACCATAAGCAACCAGATTAAGAGAAGATTGCTTTGAGAGGACATCTCTCCATGTCACCATTCCTTTCTGATCTTCATCCTCTTCCTCTAGAATATCGTCGTTGCTCTCGCTTCCAAGGCTTGGCTCGAACATCGTACTACTCGAGCCGCTGAGCAACGGCTTTGTTTCGTCCTCATTTCCTGGGATAAACAGATATCTGACTTTCCGTAGACCTTCGTGTGCTCTGCACGTCAGTCTTTTGCCCATCCTTAACGCGACATCCTCGTGGTCCTTCCGACTCGGGAGTGTTTCTTTGAGAAAAAATATACCAATGACTATTCCACCCAGAAAGAAACCCGCAGATGCTACATTTGGCAGAGCGTACGGGAATTTTTCGAAGAAGTGTGGGCCAGCAGGAGTTCCAGGTAGCCTGTCATAAGGATTCGAGAGTGCGCCACCGAAGGCAGGTCCAATTATAGATCCTAGGTTCCATACAATTGGCATTACGCTGAACGCAACTGGCTGAAGCTCCTACACCGAGGTCAGCAAGAACTACGAATCGTATATAGCCAAGAACAAACCTTCCACGGACACAATTCTGCGACCATGGTCCGTATAATACCGGCTACACCGTTTCCAAGTCCCGCGAGAACGCGTGCAGTGAGTGCCATTGTCAAATTGGTCGAGAAGCCCCAAAGTAGACTTGTAATCATGGTGATAGTAAGACTCGCGAGAATGACCGGTCGCCTTCCCAAGTGATCGCTCAATATGCTCCAAGGAATTGCTGCAATGCATTCGCAGGCAGAGTATAGAGAGGCCGCAACGCCGGCCCATAGCGCGATGTCATCTTCTGCCACTCCAAAACTCTCAATCATCTCGGGTAGGTAGGGAAGGATGGATAGCATGGACAAGGGCTCTGCAAAGCGACATAATGCTGAAAAAGATGTTAGCGAATTGATTGGAGAAGCGGTGAGATTGATGGTGACCTAGAATCGTCAATTGCTGAACTGGGAGCTTTCTTTCTGCCATGACTGCGAGTTGGAGACAATCGTTGAATTTGGCAAGGGAGGGAAGAATCCACAAGCAGAAGAACAGTCAGATATGCACACTTTCAAGCATCACTTGTGAGCTTGGAAATATGACTTTGAAGTATATTGCAAAAATCCATGTTGTGGTCCCCTAAATGTAAGATCTTACTTTCCCACTAAGAGTAACACATGTCTCAGCCATAGGAAGGGAAACAAAAGAACGAGAATCAATGGGAAAGAGTAGGAGTGGAGTGGAGTGGACTGATATGCATGCTCCACTAGATCTGCACTAGGTTCACATCCTGACGCTTCCATGCAGTAAAATCGACGAGATCAGCCAGCCTTGCTGGATCTCAGCTTGAGGAGTCTAGAAGACGTCGTACATCTACCGGTCTAGGACGACAGCAAGAAACAGCTCGCTTTTCAATCGAATCATAAATTCACAACTTGCGGCATCGCCGGGGGCAGCTCAACAATCGAATGTCGTTGAGACAGTGTCTCATTGCTTTTGATCCGCAAGCCACCCGTGGCCGGGCGTGATCCGGAATGCACGCGATCGTGACAAGAAATGTTTCTAGACGTATTATTAGCTAAGTTTCAAAGCTTTCCATAGTGACAGAGCTAGTGCTCGGTTATACAGTCGCAATGCTCCCTTGCATTCGTCACAAGAAGGTGCATAAATGTCCCGGGCTTACCCAAACCTGAATAGGTTAGAGGATCAAATATTACCCCTCTCAAAAAAAAAGATTCAACTTACCAGTTTTTGACTTAGCTTGCAACTTTTCTATTGGCCAAATTCTACAACTGTTCGTACATTAAGTGATTCCCAGCTACTACGAAGGGCAATGAAAGACTGGGGTTTCTGAGACCTCACGCTTATTCTATCTTCTTCTCCTCTTTGATCGGGAACTGCTTGACCAGCTCATTCATATGCAAGATAGCATCTCTTGCTCCCGGCCACGCCCTCCTCTTCCCTGTCTCAAAATACCGGAATGCGTGCGCCGTTTCAACTCCATTATTAATCAGATATGACATCTTCGGATCCCGGAACCAGAACTTCCAGCCTTTCCAACCCCAACCGAGATTCTCCATACCTGTGCCAGCAGCTTTATGCAGGAAAGGTTGATATTCCCAAATCTTCACTGCCGAGATATCCATATCGTGGTCCAGCCGCCATCTTGATGCAACCCACTCTTGATGACGATCGATCTGCTTCTCCATCTCTTCCAATGACGGGAACGGCTCGACACCTCGCCACAAGTTGCTCACTGCCATCGAGGTCACGTCAGAGAAAGAGAAGCCGTTGTTCTTGCCGAACGCAGAATAGCAAAGCAGGACCATAGAGTCAGCGTATTTAGGAGGGAAGAGGTTCATCCACAGTCGGACGAAGTCTTGACCACCATAGTTGGATGGTCGGCTTTTGTCTAAGAATGGAGCAGCATCAAAGTCAGCTTTGTAACCCGTCGCACATACGACATAGTCGATATCATCGAGGACCGTCCCATTCGTGAATTCGATTGAGCGAGGTCCGATGAAGCGCTTGATTCCAGGTAACGAAGTCAAGGACCCATCTCTCAGCGATGGTATAATATGGTCACATACAGCTCGAGGCGAAAGAGTGATAGATGGAGCGGGTAATAATCCCCAGGCTGGATCGAGGTCGCCGTACATTCGCTTGATCATGATCCCAATAAGTCGGTCAAGTAGCCACCTCGTCAGATTTGGGAATGTGCGTTGGAGCCAGAGGGTGATTTGACGTCGTCGCCAACTGGACATCAAGTCTGGTGGGTATCCTTTGCGAAATTTGGGGACGATGAGTGCTCCTCGTCGATGCGACATATAGATTTTCGATGCAACGGGTAGAAGCGCTGCTATGACATCTGAGGCCGTGGCGGATATCCCAACGACAACAATCTTCTTTCCTTTGAAGTCGTCGGACCTGCAACGATGAGTGCGGAACGGATTGAGTTAATATTCTTTCACTTACATCCTGAACTGTTGGGTGTGCATAATTGTGCCTTCGAACTTCTCGACACCGTCATACTCCGGCACGCGTGGCTTTGTCTGGTAACCGTGACAGAACGCTACCTTGTCGAACTCTTCGACTCGGGGTTCTCCGTCTACAACGAGGTCTATTTGCCACTTGCTGTCGTCTTTGTTTCTTGATACTTGCTTCACTTGAGCATTGAACACAATATCCTTGAGCATGTCAAAGTGAACTGCGTATGATTCCATATACTCTTGAAAGTCCCATTGAGACAAGTAATGCGGATACTCTAGATATTTGTGAGTAAAGCCCGCATGAAAGAAGAGATTTGAGCCACGTACTGTCTGGCATTGGAAAGTCCGACATGCCGCAGGTATACTTGCTAATATTCGCAGTGGTAGCTGAATTTTATCAGCGATCTCGCTTACATCTTTCTGGCAATATACTCACTAGGAAGGGCTGTTGTCATCTTTTTGTCATCTGTGTACGCCCACAAGCCGCCAACTTGACTCCTCCGCTCGTAGCATGTGACCTTGAATCCATCTTCACGGAGATTCTTCAGCATGGACAACCCACTGGAGCCTGGACATTTTGGTTAGCATTAAATAGTCGTAGAGCAACCGGAACTCACCAGCACCGATAACAGCGACCGTTTGCTGCGCCATCTTACCGTAGGTTCTGATCATGAACGAGTTCCTTCAAGAATCGTGAACTTTAAGGTCGCCGTCTGATATCAAAACGGTGGCGGACTGGCGTTTTAAGGACATCTAGCGCTTACATCCGATTCGAAACTCGCCATCAGTCGCTTGGCTTGCTCGGAAACTTTGGATGCTGATTGGCTTAGTTTTAACCCAATACGGCGCACGATCTGCGGTGGTGCGGCGCAATACCTCTTAATCTCTTATCATTGAAGTTATTTTGAACAGAGCAACGTGCAAAAGCATGATTACGCTTTTTTATCTCGCGATGGGAGATATAAAATCTAGAATGATAGCATAGAGGCTATTTAATTCATGATGGTCTTTCGCTTGTGGGACTCGTTACGGGCACTACTCACCCACGAGGCTTTGGCTTGTTGCCTTATCAGCTGATCAACTTTGTATGCCACAGCCTCATTCTATACTGTGTTGACTCATTTAGCCTGGGCATCCCAGACTTCTGCAATTATACCGTTGTTACTGATCAAGCCATTCTTCAAATCATGGCTCTTGGACCAGGCCATCTGCGCTCTTGGTCAGCCCAAGCACGCAAATATCTTGAATCCTTGGCCCCTTTTTCCTACGACGAGCCTTTGCAAGGACGAAACATTCGCCTTGTGCAGCTTCTCGCTCCAGAGAACGGTAAACCAATCCAATGCAAGCTAGTTCAACGTTCTCTGGACAGCAACGTGGAATATCAGGCGTTGTCATATGTTTGGGGAAATTCTAATGACAAGAGGGCAATTGCTTGCAACGATCGTCGATTCGAGGTGACAGCCTCTCTACACGAGGCTCTTGTTCAGTTGCGCGCAAACAATGGAATCAGGAAGAACTCTCTTCTATGGATCGATGCTATTTGTATTGATCAGAGTAATATTGCTGAGAAGACTGCTCAGGTCAAGAGGATGATGGAGATATATTCCCACGCAAGTTGCACAATTATTTGGCTGGGAACAAGATTCGGATCTTCAGGAGAAGACATCCTCCGAGGCGTTGAATTGTTGTCGAAAATATGTGCTGCTGTCGCTGGACTCAGTTCAATCGAGGAGACTATGAAAATTGCTGACCGAATGATCGCATCCGAGGGTGAGAAACCGGATCAAAACGAGTCAGAACTTTGGAAACTTTTGATGAGAGACTGGTTCGGAAGGATTTGGGTTGTTCAGGAGTTCGTGGCTTCTACCTCGTGCTTGATATACATTGGGCCCATTGTCGTGGAGGGAGGAGTCAGATTCTTCCAGGCTGCCAGTATTCTTCGCTTCTCCCGCAGTTGGGTCTTATCGCCAAGTTCCATAAAATTGACTCGAACCCATCCAACGGTTCTTAATGCAGGCCTATTCTGGGGCTTGAAAAAGGAGTTTGAATCGCCCCAAAAAATGAAGCTTCATGAGCTAGTGGTAGCAACCGCGACCTTCGATTCTACCCTCCCGGTAGACAGTATCTTTGCTCTGGTTGGTCTGGCATCCGATGTAGGACCTGAATTCATCGACTACTCTCTTGATATGCGAACAGTCCATATCAACATTGCCAAAAATGCTCTCGCATCATTTAGGAAGGGGGATCTTGCTGCGTTTGACTTCTTAACGTGTGCCAGAGGTGATTATGACCTGGACGAAACCGAGAGCTTCAAATTGCCCTCTTGGGCACCAAATCTCAGACAGTTTAATCGTTTCAATCTCCACAAGGCGCTGGGTTTCCAACCACTTGTCAAAGCCTTTCCGTATTCCATAACGGTTCCACTTCCTGGTCTGCAGACGGTGAATTTTGGCACCGATGAGAGCCTTCAAGTGAAGGCTGTATTTCTGGATAAAGTGGCGAAGGTTATAGATGCAAACGTCGATATGCCACCAGCAAAACTTGACGGTGAAATGGAACTGAATCTGAAGTACTTCGACGGATTTCAACAATGGGAAGCAAAAGCCCATAGCCTTGCCATGTCCTTGAAACGATATCCTACAAACGAGGATATCTTTGTAGTCTACTCTAAGACCCTTTCTTTCGACCACCTAGCACAAAAGAACCCAAACCCCGATACTCGAATACTATCAGCCGAGTACGCAAGAGATTACATTGTTTTTCAAGACATGATGAAAACGATGCGAGAGACCAACTCTAGCAAAAAGAAAATCTTGGCGCCGTCAAATGACTTCCTAGACACTTTCGACGTGTTCTCCCCTGGACGCTGCTTCTCCACGACTCAAAATGGGTACATGGGCTGGGTTCCAGAGGGCGCACAGGCCGGAGACGACATTTGCGTGTTCCCCTGGAGTCTGATTCCGTTCGTTGTGCGTCAACAAGAGAAGGGGTATCAATTGATTGGGGGTTGTTATATAGACGCCTTCATGAAAGTTGACATTTTTCGTACCAGGCATGAGAATGCAAGGGAGATCAAGATATATTGAACAGTCCGTTGGGAAGATATGGATGCCCTAGCAACACCTAGATCCAGTAATAAAACATGGAAAAGGAGTAGAGACATAAGTTATCACTATGAAAATGGAAGGTCGAGCTCCACGTGTAACAAGAAACGTAGTGATGAAGTTGCATAAGAAATCAATAACCAACGTCTAAAACCAGGCTGATTGCTAAACTAGAAGCCCGTTCAGACACCTAGGAGATTGTGTGATATGCTCCAGTCATGATTGGACTGAAATGCATGGCAATGCTCCACAATTCCTCTCAACGCTCTCAACGTCCCTGACAGTGAAAGTGATCACGAGAAGATCAGCGCCTCGAATTTCGCTCTCTGTCCGCCTCGCACCGGCAAACGCTGCCTTGTGCCTCATGATTCTCGTATCCTCTATAGTTGTATCCATAGGCATTTTTACCACAATGATTATGCGCATGATGATGGTGCCTCATAGACTCGTGGCGTTGCTCACAGCCAAAGCAATAACGTTGCCCAGGAGGATTACCATACGTCCCGTGCTCGTATCCATATCGACCATTGCTGTCGGCTTGGCGGCATCTGGTGCAAGCTTCGTGACGGTATGACGACTCGCCGTTGCGATGATTCGGACCAGGGTTAGACCGCGAGCCTCGATTGCCACAAGATGGGCAGCATCTGTCATTGTAAAGCTGAGCTCGAGCGCAGTTGCCAGTATCACAGGACCCAGGCCGTCTTTGTGAATCGCGGCGGAAGCTTGGGCAGTTGAAGGAGCGCTGAAGGCGAAGTTGATGGAGGAGGTTGCAGTGGGATTTCGAGTAGAGGGGGTGACCACAGTCGTAGATGGTCATCGTATTGTTACACATCTTGGCTTTTGAAGGTTCGGGCAGCGTAGTTGTTTGTATATTGAGATAGACGACGGTAGCTTGTCCTCATTGGGGAGTAGAACGCGCAAATAGTCTTTGTATTGTGCTGTTGTGGGGATGAGGTACACGAGAAGAGTTGTTTACTCTAACTTCGAAGGTAAAAAACAAACTATATACTCAATCACCCAGCAAAAGACCCGACTTTTAAGACGACAAACGTGCTCCGCTTTTGTCGAGAGATTTCAATTTTATCTGTTCATTGAACATATTTCCCAACCCCACATTTCCACCAAACATAGCTCATCAACCTTCTGGAGAGCGGCACACAGACCGACAAGAGACAGCCATGTCCACCATGTAAGCGTCTGATACATATCTGCGGATACAGTTTGGCAGAGCGTCTTGGCAGTCATCGCTTTGACAACGTCGCTATGGTCGAGATTATTCACACCATCCCCTCGCAAGAAGAAGACGTCAACCTAGCAGAGAACTACAGGAGAGTATTTACTCATTGCAAGAAGTCTAGTTTACTCTACAAACTGCACTTCGAGTGCTCCACGTACTGGAAGAAGGCTTTCAACAAGTTCGCCATGCCGGGCGAGAGACTGCTTGGCCTCGAACCCGCAACATATGCAGCTCTCATTGTAGTTTTGACAAATCACAGGATGGACTTCTGCAACTGTAACCACCTACAGCTAGATGGACAATTCACGGAGAGCTGTTAGTGGACGCAGAAGAGCTACCAACTGTACCGTCCAACCTGCAGATGCCAACAAGCTCCTTGGGCGGAGGATCTACTGCGTTTCTTGATCGAGGAGGAGTAACTCTGTGGAGGAAATTTGAAAGGCTACTGCAGAACAAAAATTGAGGACAATGCATCAGTGAGAAGCTGATGGGACCAGAGGACTATGGCAGCAAACCTCATATCAATACTACTGGGATTGAATCATGATTTTCGTCTTTGACATTGACAAGATATTGGTATGCATGAGAAAAATGTTGATCAGTGATTGAACGTTCTTCGTGGTCTTGGGAATGTGCATTCTAGGGCCCGCATCTTTTTTTCATACTGGTATTTTGGACAAGAACTTGATTCTCCCTATGCTTATGGGACGTATACGACAAACGAAACACGAGTGCAGAAGCATCAAGCATCACATCTGCAAAACGACGGCGATCAAATCAGCACTAGCGCTAGAGCTGATTGACAATGGCCATAGCTTCTTCTAACGCCCGACACATCTGAAGAACACAAAGATCACAGATTCACGAATCAATCGGATTTTGTAAATTTTCGAGGGACAACAACTACCGTGCGGGAATGCGACCGTGGATTGATAATCCAGCGGCCGCTTTGCCCATTAAAGAGGGGTTCGGGACAATGTTCCCGTTGAAAGGCGTCATTCACGAATGAGTAGATGCAAGTAGGTAAGTCAGCAAACCTCCCTAGTGACTTCGTTCATAAGTATAGAAGCTTTCCTTCTTGTCTTCATCTCTACGAAGAAGCAATTGACCTCAGGGACAAATACAAAGATGGCGAAATCAGGAGCAAAGATCGTTTTTGGTACAGCTGCAATAGCTAGGCTATCCTTAGAGGAGGGGAAAGCAATGCTGCAGATCTGCGAGAAGCATGGCGTTAAGGAGCTTGATACTGCATATGTTTATGTTTGTCGGTCCTACCCCAACGATGGCTTGTACTGACAGACAGGTAGCCAGGCAGCGAAGAGACACTCAACAAGCTTGGTGCAACCAAGGAATTCATTTTGCAAACGAAAGCTCCCCTCGGATCCAAATTGACCCAGGAAACAGTTTTGGATGGGATGAAAACCAGTTTGGAGAGGTTGGGAGTCGACAGTGTTGATCTCTTATATCTGCACGCTCCTGACCCAACTACACCGGTCGAGGAGACATTGGTTGCTGTTCGCGAGCTTTACTCTGCGGGCAAGTTCAAAAGAGTAAGTGCTTCTTTTCCTCCAATTGAACCGACATGCTAATCAGACAGTTCGGTCTATCGAATTTTCTTCCCGAGGATGTGCAGAAGATATACGATATTCAATCCAAAGCTGGTTCAGTCCTCCCAAGCGTTTTCCAGGGCAATTACAATGCAGTATCCCGACACATCGAAACCGACCTTTTCCCCCTCCTCCATAAATTGAAGATCAGCTTCTACGCATATAGTCCGATCGCGGGCGGCTTTTTGGTCAAGAATACGGCACAATTGCGAGTCAAGGATGATGCAGGACGATGGGGATCCGGTAATCCCATTGCCGATATGTATACAACTATGTACGGCAAGGAAACATTGTACCAGGCCGTGGACGAGTGGGCCGAGATAGCGAAAGATGCTGGTATTAGCAAGGCGGCCTTAGCATACAGATGGATTACATATCACAGTGCTCTCAAAGCTGAGTATGGAGATGCTGTCATTGTCGGCGCGTCTAAATCGGCACAATTGGAGGAGACTTTAAAAGCAGTGGACGATGGACCCCTCGACGAGAAGATTGCAAAGAGAGCGAGTGATATTTGGGAGAAGGTGAAAGACGATGCACCATTGGACAACTACCACTCCTACATGAAGGAGCAACCTTTGAGCTAAGTGTATATCCCAGTATATCATATTTCAAAGGTCACAGACTTATCCTTGGGGTCATTCTTAAGCGTTTCTCAAGCATTATTATTGAAAAGCCGATGGGACAAATCAATGTCTATGGTGGTACACTGGAGGTATGGAATAAGTGTATGCGCTTTCTAAACCCGTTGCGCGTCACGACCGACCAACCATCAACTTCCCGACCGACACTTTATTCCAGTCTGCATCTCTTCCTTCATCTTTAGACCTGTCCCCGAACCATTCATAGCACGTCTTCATCTTACCAGCCTCCTTTGCTGCTTGCCATTCTGACTCCCAAGTGGGATATTCTCCCCACATTCTTGCGTGGTAACTCTTCTCACAATGCTCAATTCTACAATAGTCGCTGTCAGCAAGTCGCTCAGCTTCAAGACTTACGGGGAAGAGATATACAATTCTTGAGTTGCCTTGTTCATCTTGAGAATTAGCCATCCAAAGCCAGATGGAACTGCTGGCATAGGCTTTCCGGTTGCCAGTTTATGTGATTCGTACACCTGGTTCATGGTTGCAAACTCTCCCACCACAGCAAGGATTCTATGGCGAAATTTCTCGTGATTCTGCTCGCAGTCAGCTCATAAAGTTCTGGGAAGTTCTACTTGGAGAGCACTGACTCGGAAGACACCAGCTGCTACTTTTCCAATATCATCTGAAGCCTGCAAAACCATCAGTTCTCATTACTTACACCAACAGGACATGGCACATGCAATAAACCCCACTTCTGTGTCATCTTTCAGTCCCTTCTTCAAAACAGATGCCGAAATGGATCCAATGAAGTCGTTGAAATTCTCCATGAAGAATCCAGGTCGTATTATGCTGTCACATGTCAGTCTTTTAGTCACCCTTGTTCTATTGTTCATAAACAAAAGACTTACGTCCAAGGAAAACCTCTTTGTCCCAATTCCATGCACCGCAACTCTATATTCGCTTTGGCTCTCCCAGACAACATCAATTCAGCCTCGTACTTCTCGCCTGCCCGAAAAGAGCTTGAATAAACAAACGAATGGACCCGATAATGAAACGCAATATCCGCTAGCAACTATTCCACATTATCAGCTCTCTTCTCCTCATATCATCAGCGACATGACCTACCTTCCCCTGCCTCTCCTCCCCATCAGCATTATTCCCCAGCCCCGGAAACGCCAACACGGCAAACACCCCCCACATCCCACCATACCCCCTCACTTTTTCGAAGATCTTCACTATCGAATCTGTATCATCAAGATCTCCTTCCACAACAGTAACGCTGTCTCCTATCGAAGCAAGATTCTGCGCTATCGGAGACGAGATCTTGCGCGTGAGCGCGTAGATTTGAAACTCTTCTGCTGACTGTAGCAAAGCACGAATCAACGCCTGCCCCTGCTTCCCAGTCGCTCCCGTGACGAGGAGATTGCGGCGCATTTTCCAATGTTGGCCTGTTGTCTATTTTGACTTGCCGAAAGTTCGTTAGTTATTACATGAATCGAACTTGCAAGAAAGAATCAAGTTTTTGTATGCAAGCAGCAGCTGACGATGATCTCAGCGAGATCAAAATAGATCATCGGTAAGCTGGCCACGGTAAGGGGAGTGGTGCACGTGACAGGTGAGTGCTGAGAGGCTGAGGTTGCGAAGGATGGGCGGCCGACGCTAGTGTTGTCGTACCGCTTTGAGGCATTGCTTGTCATTGGTAGATTGGGCTTGTGTATTACGCATGTGCGGATGTTGTGCGGTGTCACCGTTTGATTACTGGTGGGAGGATAGAGGGTCGAGAGAGAGGGGACTAGCGAAGAAGGGAGTGAGGCTCTCGGGTCCTCGAATTTACTCTGTGCATTACCACCTCGACAAGACGTCCTCATCATTGGTTTATGCTTGGAATCAAGTGAAAGATTCGGGCGTTTGCATTGAGACTTCAAAGGGAAAGAGAAAGAGTCAACTCAAGTTGCATGTGTGCTTGAATTATTTCTTTCTTTAGGTCGGAGTGATGCAAGAAAAAGCGATAAGTTTGAGCTCACTTGGAGAGTACATAATTCACTATGCGCATGAAGGAATTCAAATGCGATTTTATATAAGAGTGTTCCATTGTTTCGATCCTTACAGCGTAACCCTTTTAGGAGTCATCGCTGCGGATTCTATGTATTCTCGCTCAAGTCTAGTCTTGAGCGACGAGATGGGTTAGTAATATCAGGTGGGACGGTACTTTACTTGTTGTCTTCTTTTAGCAGTCTTGGTACATCAGGCTTAGTCAAGAGCGTTCTCTCCTAACAGTTGTGTTTGCTGGGCTTCATACCATTCCAAATTCTCGTTGATCTGCTTTTTAGCCTCAACGATAGCTCGACGTGCAAGATCCTACCTAGCACTTACTTCCGCCAACGCTTGTCCTTCGCGGAAACGATGTTCAGGTAACCAGGCTACGTAAGCGGCACTTAACCTCACAAGGAATTCTATGGTCTGAACTTTTATCTCCTGGCGCACCCTAGTAGCGTCGTCATGAGCCCTTCGGATGCCCATTTCGCGTGCGAGGTATTGGGGCGCTACGTCCTCGATGCGCCGTAGCGCGTCATTAGCGTATCCCTGCTCCTCTTCCAGATCGTCGAGTCGACGATTGATGATGAGCACAGTATCGGCCACGAGGACTTCGACGTTTTCGGAGTCCTCACGCTCTTGTTGTGGGATGTCCAAGATTTCTTGTTCGAATAGCTCCAAAGCCTCTTTACCATGGAGTACGATGTCGCCAGCTCGATGAGAGTGAGTCTTGGTGTTGGCGCGTGGTCCTCTCCAGCTTCACACTGGGGACAATCTACTCTCTGACAGACGGCTGGTCGGACTCGTGCGATGTATGTGGAGATGACGTCCAGGTTTTCTGCGGAGAGTTGAGCGTAGGAGTAAGAGGTAGACATGTTTGTGGTTGTTTGTTGGTAGTAGGTAGGTAAAAGTGGCTTTCTATAGCTGTATTTGCGGTAAGTTGCTTTTTGGTGCTTGTTATGTGCTGATTGTGTTTGTGATTGTGTATGATTTGTGCTCAGTTATGGTGGAAGTCCACGCTTTTATGCATGATATTCATGCACTGTTTCCTTGTTCCTTTCTTCTACTAACGCACTGGTGTGCCAATTTTCTAATCAAGAAGCCATCCCGCATGAGCTTTCAAGATACTGGGTCTAGTACGAGATTATTCAAGGTTGAGCACTATGCTTTGTCTTGTTACTTTGTCCTCAGTTCAATGGAGAACAACGTCTGTGTCCTTGGAAGCCTTGAAGATTCCCTGGAGCTGGACCAAAAGAGTACACAATAGCTTTGTTGCTTTGTCTCGAAGTTCAAAGGTCGCTAGGAAAGTTACCCTCGAGATCGACTTCAGCGGTCTCCAACATGTTACGGTCTACGATAGTTGTTGTGACGAATTCTATAATTTCAGATAGTCATTTCATAGATTTAAACCAGCTTTAATTACTCATAAAACCCTTATTCATGAAAAAAATCCTCGCTAGACAGCGAAATAAAGAGGATCAATTGGCTTCTTGCTGCATCAAGGATGTAATTACTGTATATTCATACACTTCAACAGCAGATCGAAAAGATGGACTGTTTCCAATTGTAGCTTAGTAATCCCGTCCTTCTTTTCAAGCATAGTGGCAACTTGATCTTTAAGGCTTTCGGGAAATTCAGCGACGGTTCTTGCTGTTGTGGATTTGGTTCTTTTGACCTCTTCTTCAGCACTATAATTCATTGGATCTCATTGATACTGAGCATCGTTATCGTTCTCGGATCCTTTGCCACAGGCGATAGCACAGTTCTGGGCCACAATTTGATATATGAAATAGCAGACGACAACACAAGACGACCAAGAGCTTTGAGAATCAAGCGCGCTTGAACCTTGGACTCGCTTTATTCGTACTAAAGTAAGACAATAGTGCAACTGAATACAGATCATGTTTGACCTAGACTGGGACTGGTCTGGTAAATTTGGTTTTTTTAAAGAAGGAGAAGGATTTTTAGAGAACGTAGTCAACCTTTCGCTGTCAAAGGAACATTACCGTAAGTACCCCGCCAATCGGAGGTCAGCGCCGCCAGAACTTCGCTTACACAGCAGACCCACCTTTCCATCTCACTACTTCTCACATCTTTCCATGATTTTAATTTGCCAGAGAATAATGAACCAAGCATAAGAACACCTCAGGAGTCATCGATCCATCTACCTTCAGTTTTTGTTATGGAGGATAACCGGAGTGTTATACAGAGTGCAGTGGAAAGGAGAAAACGGCAGAATCGCGATCGCCAGAGGGCTTGGCGTAAGTATCTTGCTTACTTATCTCTACAATGGACTTTAGAACAATCTGTGCCTACCTCCTCAATCCCGTAAATGTGTTAACTGACCAAAAGCTAGGTGACAGGAAGAGAGCTAGTGGTCCAAAACAAGCGACGACCGTTACCGACACTCCTTGGCGGGGTCAATGGTATGCTGATTGCCACCAGCCAGGGTGATATTGCGGCAAGAAGAACACCTTCTTCAAGCACCGATCACCAAATTGTCCCCACACCTCGAACTCTTAAGCACTTTGTAAAAGACCCGAAGCCAAAGATAGGCAGACTTATATCATCGATGTTACCATATACGACAAACGCCACTTGCGACCAATCCACACCTACAATTATTTTCCCACTCGCACCAGACCATTGTCTGATCACTCTAGTCCAGTTCAATGTTGTGCGCGCTATGATATTCAACATGTCGATATTATCGCTCCTATATTGCCTCCCTACTCCATGCACTCGTGCCTTCGGTGTTCCCAATCTGGAGACCATCCCACCAGAAGAGATACCCCCAGATCTACAACCAACTCCTTTACAAAAATTTACACCTCACCCATTTTGGATTAGTGCAATTCCTGTTCCAGCAATGAGAGATAATCTGATCCTCATGGCCGGGCAATATGATAGTAATGATCTCTGCTACGACCTTGGTCAGTCTTTGTATGAGGGTTTCGATGATGTAGAGCGACGCGGATGTCTAGTGTGGGGAGAGCCTTGGTGTGTATCCGGATGGGAAATAACGGAGGGCTTTGTGAGGAAGTGGGGCTTTTTGCTCAATGGATGTGAGAACGTGATCGAGTCAACAAATCACTGGAGAGAGGTGCGCGGAGAAGACAGGCTAAGTGTGGACATATGAGAAGACAGGTGGAGCGGGTACGGTGTTACCAAAGGAGTTCAAATTCGATGATACTCTACTGATGGAGTCCAAGGGTTTGATTAGTATGTCAAGTACACACACTTCCCCTCCCATCCGCCCTGACAGATAACTTTCTCAAAAGTCCAAATCCCAACATCCTTTCGACTAATATAATACCCAATCTCAGGACCCTTCTCCTGAATCCTGCCGTCTCCTCCTTTGATGCCCCATTCCCAACCAACCCTCAAGCCACCATCACCTCGCGCCTTTCCATCCGTCAGAATCAACGGCCGCATAATGACAAAATCTCGCACATGCTTGCCTTTATCCTGGAAAACAACCTCCTCCATCCGTTTCTTGTCCGCCAAAGAACTTGAAAGCAGGTAATGATATGGCAGATAGATAGGCAATGGAATACCCCTCTTTTTGCCACAACCAGCAGTACTTATAGCTATCAAAAGCGGTTTCTGGCCTGTGCTATCGACTGTGATAGGAGGCTTGGACGACGAAGAGAGATTCGAGAGCGCGGTGTAGATTGCTCTAATTGCCGTTTCACAGATTTGAGGATCAGTCAGGGGAAATGGTGTTTTGATACTCCATTGAAAAGTTGGGTAAGCGCCGACCCCACTTGCGATCACGTCGACGAGAAGTTCTGGGTTGGTCGGATTGATGAGTACTTTTGAGATGGCAGTTGGGTCTTTGACGTCCCCTTGATGGATGGTTAGGTATTTCTCGATGGTGCTTGAGGGTATGTTGTGCTCTGTGAGTAGGAGGTTACGGAGTTTCTCTGGTGTTCGTGCAACTGGAGTGGAACTTTGTAAGTCAAGGTATTGTAGTTGGAAGAGATGGGGGACGTACGAGCTGTGCAGTGATATCCTGCTTCAAGTGCACATGCCAGAAGTGTGCCTACACAACCACCTGTCGCGCCAAAGCAAGCAATGGTCAACTTTGTTGAAGTCATCGTGTGCTTTGTTTTGTTTTGATTTAACGGAAACCTTTGCTGGAATTGATAGATTCGGAAAACTGCAGATTTGCGACAGCGAAACTTGTTTCGAATCAACTTCCAGAACAGCTGAGAGGCTCGTTATATATCTATACCGTCTCCGATCTACTTTCGCTTTGAGTAGGGATGCTGTACATAGAGTAAGCCTCAGCGTTACGTTCTAACCCTGTTCAGCTGTAGCGAGGATCAGCTGAAGGCTATTGGACAGCATTGAGCGTTACGCTCTAACCGTATTCGGTTGTAATATACCTGACTTGCTGGAAGTCTTTCCCCTGCAGGAACATGATTGATGCCATCAATTGTATTCTCGACATTCAGAGAAACACGGGAAGCGCGGGCGATGAATAATATCAGATAACTTTTGAGGCGCTCTCGCGAGGTGCATGGATTCACTTGAATGAAAGGTGCATGGGCAAATGAAGATATTCACTCTTCCAACTGCTAAATCCAGCGGTAAACGCTTGATTCATAACACATATGGATGCTCTAGGAAGAGGTGATTGTAGGATATCGAAGCTTCGTAGCCCAGGCTACATACTCGAACTTCATAAGGTGAACAATGGAAACAAAAACATGTACACCGATAAACTCTGTTGCTGGTCTAGGCAAATCCAAGAGCCAACAAACACAGCGCCTCCACCCCATGTTCATATCAGACACCGCTTAGCCAAGCCTTGGAAAGCGATTCTCAGAATCTGTGATACACGTCCCACACCCCATACAATCGTCTGAAGCCAATTAGACTTGCCAGTGCTCCAATTCCAGTCAGACACTGCGTACCGAACCCGACCCACTTACTTGCTTCTTCAAAGTCGAAGCCACTGTCGGAAGTGGGAGGCTCTTCTTTCCCTGCCGAATCAGATAAACCTTCGCCGGAAGAATCCGAATTAGCATGGTGAGAGGAGTAGTCGAAGGCCTTTGATCTCGGAAAGTTTGCATTTGAAGCATGTGCATACTTCTCCCCTTCAATATTCATGATCCTAATGTGATCTTCAAATATTTTTTCTTGCTTGGCTTGCATTTTGATTAGAGCTCTGTTTTGCTCCAGAATTGCGCTAATTTGGCTGTTCAACTTCTTATTGAGTGGGTGCATAGAAGCTCCAATGCGACGTAGCAGGTGAGAGGCTGGTTCCTCGAATAAGGCTTTGAAACTGCTGATACCTGTTCGAACCTGCTTCAGAGGCTTTTCAGCGGCACTGAAAACAATCTCGGCGTCTACCTGAATGGTTGATAAGAACCGAAGGACCCTGTCTTGCTCATGTAGTTTAGTTATCCTTTCTATAGCTTTAGCTGACTCGAATGAATTCTCGCCAGACATAGCATGCCCCTTGAGTCTGCCAGTTTGTTGAAGCTCATTAGCGATAGCTCGTCTCATTTTGTGAAGACACTCCTGAAGAGTTCGAAGTTGGGCGTGTGCGATATGGGATAAGATTTGAAGCTCTTGTGCTTTGTTGTCGAGGCGTTCAAAAAACCCAATCCATATCTTAGCGTTCTCTTTATGAACTTGAGATGTGGTCGCCTGCGAGTTGAAAAGTTCGAAGAACCCAACTTTCCAACTAGCAAGTTCTTGAAGATCAAACTTAACACTTTGCATATCAATGGCCACGTCCCTGTTGAATTACAGAACGCCAGAGACCCAGTCATCAACTGTGTCTGCTGCATCTCGAGTGTTATCCTTGATAATCCTTACTTGATTAGATAGGCAAATTCGCTGAGGCAGATCGCTGTTGATGATATAAGTCTCGTGCCGTGTAAGATTATCTGCAACAAGCTCAAGTTGAAATGGCAGGATCATCAAGGATCCTTCAACGTAGAGCTTGTCAAGTTGGGTGATTGTTGGGACAATGTCCTTCGCACTCAGCTGCACCACTCCAGGCTCAGCACCAGGGAGTAAGAAAACATGTGCGAATACAAGGAGACAATAATCCAAAGCGACAATCTTGAGCAAGCATTTGGCTAGGTATAGCGTCAAAGCCAAATAATCTCGTGCTGATGTTGAGAACGCCTTGAACCAGGTCGGCATTAAGTTCATTGCGATTCGATGGGTCCAACTCGCTGCGTCTCTGTTATGCTGATCGATAATATTTTGTGCGTGTGCAATTCGTTCTGTGTGAATCTCGGGGAGGTGCAGCGGTTTATTGGCTTCTTCGCTTGACATGTTCTCGGAAATGGCTGTTTTGAGTGGATCGGAGTTTGGAGGTTATTAGACGTCTGATATGAATGTAGTGATTGCAATGCAGAAAGAATGAATTGAAAGTATTAATCGGAAGCAAACTTCTGGCGAACGAAGTCTTTTATATCATTGTTCAACAATCTTGTTGTGTTTGTTCTGGTAACAAGAAATTACATGGGCGTTTCATATCCATAGTTGCTGGAATAGTCTAGCTCCGAGCCTCCGTCGATGCACATTCTCATTCTGGCGTTATTGATCCAACAAAGGCATTTCGAAGAGAGACGACCGAAAGCCTTAACAATCGAGCAGGCCTGATCCAGGGGTTTGACGACCTTTACAAAGACAAAGAAGTTGTTACATCACCACCAGTCGCGAGGTAAGACGGAACTCGAATGTTCTCAATCTCCTTCCAGGTCTCAGTTCTGGTAAGTCTAATCCTCGAACATTAGCTTCTCCGACAATGGAATCTAGAAGCAAATGCCAAATCCAGGACGTTCGGTACGATACAAATTGTCAAAAGAAATGGAAACAACTATCCAGCCCTTTTTATGTAATTTATTGGGAGGAAGTCTTGGGAGGATGGCAAATCGTTTTTGTACGCCGCAGTCATCCCACTTGACCCGGACTTACCCTTCGCCGGAATTGTATTTTTTCATGACAAATAATAATGCTATTAACAATTGATTAGTGCTCTATAGCAAATTCAAATCATTCGTTGAGCCCGAGTGTTCTTGTCCTCTGTATAAACAAGTCATTGAAATTAGTAAATAGGATGTGAGGAGGTATAGACTTAGCGTGTTAATCGGAGGACAGCTCCGAGCCTTGGATTTTTTCTGCATGGACAGAAATAGAACGGCTTTTCTTTATTGCAATTATTGCAATACAATCAAATTACAAGTTGGACTTCTATACTGGAAAAGTCTGTGCATTGCGAGTGAGAAAAGGATGACGCTCGCTAAACTTAGGGGTTCGCTTATATGCTGGGGCATTGTCTCGGCAATACTTATCTTGGAACGATCACAACAATTATATTGCATGAAGAGACTGATGGGTTGGATTAGCTGCAGTGTAAGAACAAGCACTTCTAGTAAATATTGAGTGTTATGGACTGAATTATCTCCCTGGATCTGATTCTCGCTTCGACAGCAAGATTTTCGAGAGCCGTAGAGGGGAATACTGTGGGAAAAAATGATGCGACCGGTGTTACCTAAGTCCTTGATAATATGCTTCAAGTTGAGGTTATGATGTTTTGATATATGATTTATCGTATGGATGTCAATTTATCCGAAACCACTTTGAACACGCAACACGATGAACTGCACTACAACTGTTCGGTTTTCTGAACCAAGGCCTAGCAAAATTCTGATCAGGGGCGACTGATCAGATCTTCCTAATAGCACACTTGCCAAACTTCCGGAAATTTCACAAAAGATTGCCAGAGAATTTTGAAGAAAAATCATCAAGGGTGAACGCCGAACCAGATCCCTCATCCTTCGTCCCGAGAATCTCAAAATGTTGAATTTAGCACAGTAGCACCACAAAGTTTACATCGAGGCTCTGTTAAAGCAAGCTTTGATACGAGGAGACTAGAGAATCCAAAGTCATAATAATGCGAGAGTCTGCAGATCTTGGCCCACTCCGCTTCCCGCCATCTTTCCGCCCCGCTTCGCACGTGTCTCTGCAGCAGTTCCTGAATGGAATTTCTTGGCGGTACAATGTATCCATACCTTCTTTTCTAAGATCAAGGAGCTCTTCCAAGGTACAAGCAACCAGAAATGTCTTGTCGAGAAGTTGATGATTAGCCTTTTTCATGTCTGGTGCCGTCTAGCCGAGAATCCCAGCAGAATTGTTGAGACTTGAGGCATAAAAGTTAAGGTCACATGACTTGAGTGGCAAAGAAAGCTCTAGAAGGCCGAAAGCTTAAGAGCTTACAAATCCAGTGAGCAAGCAAAGAAGGTGCTAAAAGGTATTCCAAGTCTATATATACTGGGTACCTGTCCACTGTAGTAGTAGTTCTTTAGTTCAGATAAAGTCGATATAGTCAACCCCTAACAACAAGAATGTCATGATCGTCCCGCATATGTCCAGACCCAGTATCCTGGTCTGGCCAGGAACGTGATGAGGCACATAAAATCTATATCAAACGGCTGTTTGCCAAGCATCGTGGCCAGTCTTCGCTCAGTACCAAGCTCGAGAACTTCCTAACACCACGATGATTTCATTTGGACGCCTCGTTGTTGCCATCTTCGCAACCGGCTCATCTCTCCCGTCCGTACTTGCCTGGTCTGCTCCAGGAAATGGCCGTAATGCGTATCTCGACAAACAATTCAAATAGACTTTCTATTATGGTTACAGTATCTTGAAGCACTACGGTGGCAATGGTCCCTACTCAGATCGAGTGTCTTATGGCATTGACCGTAACCCTCCAGCTGGCTGTGCGGTCGACCAAGTCATTGGTCTTTTTCGCCATGGAGAACGTTATCCAGACCCAAGCACTGGTAAAGAGATGGTCGCTGCATTGGACAAATTGTATGCTGCGAACACCACTTTCAAGGGGGACTTGGCTTTCTTGAATGACTGGACTTATTTCGTTCCTTCGACATCATACTACGCTCAAGAGACATTTACAGGTCCGTACGCAGGCTTGCTGACTGCTTATTCGCATGGAACTGAGTATGGAGCCCGTTACGGGTATCTTTGGGACGGTCATTCGGATATTCCTATCTTTTCTAGCGGCTACGAGCGTGTCATCGAGACGGCCAGAAAGTTAGGAGAAGGTTTCTTTGGATACAATTATTCAAGCGTTGTGGCGCTGAATATCATTCCCGAGGCCGATTCGCAAGCAGCTAATAGTCTGACACCGAGTTGTGTTCATGATAATGATACTGCGGTTTGAGATAGCTTGACGGGTTCACTGCCAATCTTCGATGTTGCGGCTGCGAGGATCATGTCACAGAACCCGGCGGTGAACATCAGTGCTTCCAATGTGTACTATCTCATGCGTGAGTAACCCAATTGAGTTTCTTCAATAATTCATTCTCTAACAATAGACAGAAATGGCCGCATTCGAGTTGAACGCTCGTCCCTTTTCTGACTGGATCGACGTATTTACGTTGGACGAGTGGGCCAGTTTTGGCTACACTCAAGATCTGAGTTATTATTACTGTGATGGGTACTATCACTCAGAAACTACCTGAAAACCAGATACTGACTTCTGATATGGACCTGGTGACTCCAATATGGCAGCTGTTGGTCAGGTTTACGTTAATGCAACAGCAACTCTTCTCAACGATGGCCCCAGGAATGGTTCATTATTTTGGAGCTTGTAAGTACTGTACAGATCCCGTGCAAGAACCAAATTGACGAATTGGCAGTGCCCATGACACAAACATAACTCCAGTCATTGCAGCACTTGGTATCCTCAATCCCTCCCAATCTCTTCCCACCGACCGTGTAGCATGGGGAAACCGGTGGTCAACTGGCAACATCGTCCCGATGCAAGGACATGTCATCCTCGAACGTCTCAGTTGCAATGCCACAGCAATCGCGCTCAAAGACACGTACGTTCGGATTGTGCTCAATGAAGCCGTCGTCCCTCTCCAAAACTGTCAGAACGGTCCTGGTTACTCGTGTTCCTTGTCGAATTATACCAATTTCGTCAGCACGCTGCCGAGCTTCACCGAAAGCTGTGGAATCCCTGCGGACGTTTCGCAGCATTTGAATTTCTTTTGGAATTGGAACAATATGAGTATTTATGATTACCAAAATGGGACGATACCGTATCACGATGCGGCAACGAATGTGTAGTCTATTGAAAAAGTACATTTTTCAACGAATGGAGGATAGACTTTAAAGTCAAAAGAGCACCTTGATGCTGAAGATACATGCGAATCGGCAGGTGGCTAGCTGGAACTGGTGGAAGCTGAATAATAGAAATCAGTATGATAATTCCCATAACATGGAGAGTGCAGTCATACTTCTTCCCACCTTGTGTTTCTATCCCCACTTTTTCTCTTTGATATTGTGAGACTTGCGTAGATTCTGATCTATAAGGTGTAAGATCCCTTTTGGCTCAATCTTTAGTCCCAGTCTATACGAACCTAAAGGTATCCCATAAATAGTACCGGTATGACAATTTGCTCCATCTTCCACTGAATGCTCCAGACCAGCACATCAAAGCCACCAACATTCACCCAAAGGCCTGACATAGCGTTGAACATCTTAAGTCCGTTCATGTGAACACGATTAAAAAGTTTTGTTGCACATCGCAACGGAATTAATTATCGCAAAAGCGTCAATTGAAAAATCTGCTCCAAAACCTTGTCCATTCTAATATCCAACAACAATCACAATACTGAGCGCTAAAACGAGCGATCAAAACTTCAATTGGTACCTTTAAAAGGGATTCTAATTTTCTGAAGAAAAATTTCTCGATAGATCTACGACGATTGGGTATTTGGGGCTTGTTGAAGAGAAAGGAGATCTGAAGTGGAGGTTCTGTTTCTGAGGGGGACAAATGCCGAAGTCACAGTCGGTTAACCTCTCAATTGCATATCTCGAGTTAGCCTGTTGGCATCATCTATTAATCTCTAAAAGCAAATTCCCTTATTGTGAGAGTGAAATCTGGATTTCCATCATGGGAAAGTTGGGAAATTCCTTTTACACTGTTTATCTGAGTGCCTCATCTTTCTGCGCCCTTTCTCGGCACACCTCCTTTGTTCAACGCTACATAAAGAAAAGTCGTGAGTTCCGTTTGCATCAGGAATGCAATGACTCTCAAGTCGCGTGCTCAAGTTTTTCCCAACGCACATACTTGTTTCAGCAACCACCATGAGTGAATCTAGCGAATCCACCGTCACGTCAGAAACCTCAACCCTCATCTATGGACAGGAGTGTTTTGATACATACCAGTTGAAAGTCATTCAGCTCTGCAACTCTCTCAATCTCGGTGCTCCTTCATCGATCACGCGCATGCAAGGCGGATGTTTCAATCGTGTCATTGGTCTTTCCTTCAGCTCGAAATCTGTACCTTCGGAATACATCCTTCATATACCTCGGGAACCACTCGAAGCCCGAGAACGCCAAAGCATCAAAGATCAAGTTGCTATATTACTTCATCTGACTGCTTACCTGCCGGTTGCAAATGTGTTGGCGTACGATTATACGACCGAGAATGCTATTCTGTCACAGTATGTGATTCAGTCGAGGATACCAGGAAGCTGTGTTGAAGCTATATACGAGGGCTTGGATATTGAGGAGAAGATCGAAATTGCGGAGCAAGTGGCAGAACTTATTGTGAAGATTGAATCAATTGAACTGTCAGCATTTGGAAGATTGGTTCAAGAGTCTCCGATGCCTGATTCTGCCCATGATCTGTCGCAGATACTCAACAGAAATATTGGAGTCCAAGGATACCGTCAAGACCTCACAAAAGATATGCCGACGACCTCTCTTAAAACCCTGCCAGAGCTACTACGCGCTATGTTCAAGAGCCATGGTGTGGGAGATGCTGGTGACGAAGAACTAGTGGGATATTGGGATCGATTACACTTGATGCTTAGCGAGATGGAGTCCAATGGTCTTCTGTCAAACGAGACAATCACACCGAGACTGACACATTGGGATCTTTCCTCTCAGAATATATTAGTCGACAAGACAGACGGTGTCTGGAAAGTGACTGGTGTAGTCGACTGGGATGATGCGATATCAGTACCAGAGATCATAGGAAGGAAGCCTCCTGTTTGGCTTTGGGCTCCTGAAGTGCGCGTTGAAGATGTGGATGTGACTGATGTTGGGGAGCTCAACGACGGTCAACAGACCATCAAGGAGCGAGTAGAAGAGGTTTTTTGTAGACAGCTTCCGCGTTGGAGGGATGATGCACACTTGAGAGGCAAGTGGCTGAGGAGAATTTGGGCATTTGCACGACACGAATTCTACTAGTCAAGATTGGGACAGGTATAGAAAGCTGATTCGGGATTGGGACGCATACTTGGGGGCTGCAAGCCTTGGCGAGCTTGTCAGGAATTCCGCCCTGGAACCATAGCTATAGATTGGACTTTGGGCTGTTGGATAGATGCCGTGCAAGTAGTGTTGTTGCAAGATTGAATGGTGATCAGAAAATAGAAAGCATCATGGGCTATTGTTTCAATAGGACGGTTCGGAATAATTCGAGCTCAAATTACCCTTTTAGTGGTAATTAGGATCATGTAACACAACAATATTGATAATAAATCTTCTACTAATCCCAAGTTCATGACAATCAACAGCCACAGCATTCCTCCAATATTTCTCAACTTTTCAATTATACTCAAGGCTGAGAGCAGTCTTCAACGACGCTTATAGATTCCACAATCTTCCGTTTTTAGATGGGCTTTTTCGTTGCCACTCGCGACGCACACAGTCTGATGTGCCTTGTAGTATGGTTTCCTAGATGGAGTCTTATTATGACGACAGTTTCCTTTGGACTTCTGGGGATAGTGATGAGTTGTTGCCGTTTGGACGGCTGAGGTTTTGATCTGTAAAGTAATAAATGGTATATATTGAGGAGATTGAAGTGTATAAGACATAGATTAGGTCTCTCGTGCCCCAGTTAAATGGGTTTCAAGCCATGGTCTTCGAGTAAGCAGATGTCAAGGGAAAGATGCTTTGAGTGAAAAATCGAAAATCGCCGGAATTGTACAAGCCAGAAAATTTGACAAAGATCAGACAACAAAGAAATTATAGGTTTTTTCTTATTCCTCGCCCGATGATTCATCTTCAGGTCTGATTATCGTCATTGTGTGAGCTGGCCAATAAGCACTGTCTCGGTCCATGGGCACATGATTTGGATCCAGTCGCATATTCAGGTCATCAGACCGCACGGCATCCTCCCATTCTTTTCTCTTCGCTGCCGCTGCTATATACTCCTCGGTGTAGTCGGGAAGCCTTGTATACGCCCAAGTTGCTAGCAGAGTCGGCAAGTAACTGACTTCCATACGATTTCCCTCGGATGTTCCGTCCTCAACCGTGACCATTGACCTTGGTGCGAGGTCAGGCATCATGTCGTGTTTTAACACCTTTCCATCGTAATAATCTGCGCAGTCGTCCAAGCCAATCCTTCTGAGAAGATCAATAATTGTAAAGCTACTCTCAGCAGGGATAGGACCCATATTGAATTCTTTCTGGCCATCCGCTAGAAATTCGCCCCTACGCTGGTCGCCAGTTTTCTCCCATAATTCATGCTTACAGCTGGTGACCATCAGATCCATCAATTCTTCTTGTGGAGTACGCATAATATACTCCAGGATTCCCACAACAGTCCTCGTCCACATGACTGCTCTGGTCCCGCTTAGAGTTCCCTCGTGCTGCCTAAATTCTATCGTTGGTTTTGCGTCTTTCGTAGTTCCGATTTGGATCCCATTTGCAATAGCTCTGACTCCAGAGAAGTTGTATGCTCCATTTTTGGGGATAAACATTTGACTTGCGTCTGCTGTCAGGTCATTCATATTCGGGCAGCTCATCAATTCCAGTAATCCTTGATACGGACTTGGTCTTTCGCCGTGGGTTGCGTACCAGCGTTCAGCAAATACGGAGTGACTCCTCATCAAGATTCCATAAAGGTTATCTACTCGATGTAGAGGATGCAGGCTGTTCAATTGAGGCTCAAATGCCCAAAGAAACCCACTTTTACAAAGTTAGCACTGCCGCGTCTGATGATGTTCATGCCCAGAGATCACCATAGGGGATTTCAATTTACTTACACCAGGTTTCTCACCGTCTCAAAAGTGAAACTCCGGCTTCCATCTCCAACATGAACATGTAAACCCGTGGTAGTATTGACTTTGACTTTATACGTCCTTCTCAGAAGCTCGCAAACGTTCCGAACAGCATCCAGATTTTCATTTGTGAAAGAAAATGCAGGTGTTACAACTTCTATGTCTACCCATTCGTATCCTTCTCTTTCTGGTTCGGGAATGGTGACAGACGTATCATAAGTGACTGCCCATCTTTTGATGTCAGTTACCGCAAATGCTGTGCTCAGAGCCGTGGGAAAGCCACTATTCTGGAGAAGCTCGACAACATGACGGCGAACGGCCCGGGTAGCGATTTCCTTGGCGTGAGCTTGAAAGCCATCAGCAGCCTCGGAGGAAGTTTCCGATTGATTTTCTTCTAGAGGCTCTACAGCATCAATATCCTCCTGATCAATTTGGAATCGAAGTGTTTTTGATCTGGGAGCCAGATTTGGTAGTGGTTCATTTTCGTCCAGAATCGCTGCAATCAAGAACTCAAACTCAACCCCAAATGTCAGGGGCGCTGCTGGAAACCCCATTCTCTCGTATATAAAGTCTCCGACTTGAAATAAGGAGAAGTTTTGGACTCGAGCGAGTTGAGGACCTTGCCCAGAAAGTTTTCATTTATTTGGATCATGAAAAAATCCCTTTGTTTTGAGAAAATTTATTGGAACAAAGGTATCTTAAATTCAGATGTCCTCATGCAGATGGTATCTCCTGTTCCTTTGTTCGCTGTTGCGATTTGTGGTCAGTCCTGGTGCTGAAAGACTTGTCCAAATTTGCCGTTCCCAGTGTGAGGGCATAATCGAAGTACCCAATCAACAGAGTCCTCTTGGCCAAGCCCAAAATGTAATTCTCATTAGTTAAATTCTGTATGTTAACAAATAACGATGCAAGATCAGGACGAATCCGTAGCAAAATATGGTCGTTCTCGGGAGACCACAAATTGGCGAAAAGCACTTCGCTGGTATGGAATGATCTCTTCCATCATTGGCAAAAGGAATGGCAAAAATACAGTAATGAAAGGAAGTATTCATCATGGAAACGTGGAAAGAGGAATTTCCTCAACTAACTTCGAAGTGTTCGACTCGTCCTGTGGCATGCTCGCCTCCTGGCCATGCCAACGGCTGTGTCATGGAAAGTTTCCAGCATTCAGCTTAGGATGTTCCAATCGGCGAAACAAGCTCGCAAGTAAATTTGATAGGTAAGGACAATTATCAGGTGGACTTGTCATGGAGAGTAGGATTGATGTTTGCGTATAGAGCTACTGTTTATGTGGCCATGCATCCTTTCAGTGGTTTAACAAGACAGAGAAAATCGCACCCAAATGTGGCTTTTTCAGCAGCGATTTTGGAGGGCCCAAGGTTTGGGATGAAGTTCATGATGAGAGGATGGGAAAAGGATAGGATTGATTTCCCTTAATGGGATTGCGTCTTCGCCCTTGCTTGCCTCTAGGTAGACTAAAAGCAAGGAACCACTCTTGTGAAAGTCAATAGATATCAAGGTAGACCTGAACATTGTCTTAACACACGGCGTGCGATTCAAGAGTCCTGCGCAGTCCTTAAAGATGGGTTTCAATTGGCAAGAAAACAAAAAGGCAAGTTTTCCAGATGTATTAATTTCACCATCCAATCATATGCAGTTCTAGCGCGCTATTGTTAAATGCAGCCTGGCTGTCACATGTTTAGCAAAGGATGCATTTTTACACTTCACCAAAGCAATCACGAACACAAAATTTCAGTTCCATCACCAGTGGAGAAATTTGAAATAGTGACTGGAAAGTTGTCTACTGTCGAAGTTTCTCTATCTTTGGACACTCTTGTTTCAAGCTATTCGTCTTGATTGAAGTCTTATCCTAAAACTCTGCTACACGTGACCTGCATTATTCAGAACTCCATCTTGATTGTCGAAACGAGCTCTTTGCTGCAATTGCTTTCCCTATTCCTAGTAGTGTCGCAGGTCCCATGATCTCAAAGATTGTTACATCAGCACTTATCTCTCGCGCCAGCCAGTTGCGTAGTTCAACTCCGGCTAAAGAGTCCACTCCGTAAGATTCCATCTTGCTAGTCAGCTCAATATTTTCTTCTGGAATACCTAACACCTTGGACATCTTTTTTCTTAATCCTTCGGAGACCAAGAGACCTGCTTCTTGCAAACTCTCTGTACTTTCAAACAAACTTTGATACTGCACTGTTTGCGTGGAGTTATTGATTGAAGACTTCCACGTAGAAGCAATCTGATACATGTTCCGGAAAAGGGGTTGGCGTAGATAGTATGGGATTTCTTTCCCTTTCGCACAAATCCTGGAAGGAATGTCTATTCCAACAATCGGTTGGCTCTGGGCAGCAGTAAAAGTACGCTGCTTCGGATCACAGTAGTAATCAAGTACAGCGAAGAGTTGTTCAACAGTAATGGGTACCATAAGTCCGACACGCATAGCATAGTCCATGAGATGTGGACTATCTGCGACAATGCCCTCAGAAAGAATAACGCCAAGGTCTAGTGCTGTGGCTGGCAATTGCAAAGAATTACGATATTGGGCCAGTGAGTCCTGGTAAGTGTTACCAGCCGCGTAGTTGCTCTGGCCAGCATTCCCGAAAATACCGGTGGCCGAGGAAAGAAGTACGAAAAAGTCCATATCGTCAGGAAGCATGGCATGAAGATTCCAAGAACCGAGAACTTTAGGGTTCAGGCTCTCTTTCCAGTCTTGATATGACATACTTTCGAAGGTAGAGTCCTAGGAACATGTAAGTAAACATGTTGAGATTGCTTATGGAGTGGAGCACGTACCCTGAGGACCATCGCGGCCTGAAAGCATCCTTTGATAGGGGGCATGATCTTTTCACAAGCCAGCAACACCTCCTCAAGGGAATGCGCCTCAGCTACATCACACTTTGGAGCTTGGATCCGGACTCCCTCTGCACCGAGTTGGGCCAAAACGGCCTGTGCTTTCTCATTTCCTTCGGGGCCTGAACGAGACAGCAAAAGAAGATTCTTGGCGCCTCGGTCCACCAGCCAGCGCGCGATGCTGAGGCCCAGTCCACCAAGACCACCCGACACCACGTAGGTTGCATTCTGTAGCAACCGACATGCAGGTTTAGTCTTTAAACAGGTCTATTTGACCAATCAGCAGGGTTCGTGATGGGAGTCCATTAGACAACAATGACTTACTGGCACTTCTGAATCACTAGAGAATTCAATCACAATCTTGCCAGAGCTTTTACCACTTTGAAGAAGACGAAAAGCTTGCTCAGTCTCGGAGAGAGGAAAAACTTGGACCGGGAACGAAGGGGTCACAAGCCCCGCGGCTGCCAATGACATAACTTTCCCGAGTAGTGCTTTGATCACACCCGGCCGTATGAGAGCAAGCTCTGCAAGATCTACTCCGTAGAAAGATGTGTTGTTATTGAATGGATGCATTGGAAGACTGCCTCGCGAATGGATATCCCTCTTCCCGATTTCGACGAACCGACCACATGGTGCGATGCACTCCCACGATGCCACCAGACTTTGTCCTGATAACGAATTCAGCACAACATCGACACCGCGGCCATTTGTCATTCTCCGGACATGTCCTGCGAAGGCTGTGTCTCGGCTATACAAGATATGGTCTTCGGGGATCTTATAGACATCCATCAGCAACTGTTTTTTACTTCTAGATCCTACCGTAGCGAAGATCTCAGCTCCGATGTAGATAGCAATCTGTACAGCCGCTTGTCCAGTCCCGCCAGACGCAGCATGGATGAGGATAGTTTCCCCTTTCTGTAACCGCGCTACGTCGCAAAGACTGTGGTAGGCTGTACAGAATGCTACAGGCAGAGCTGCGGCCTCTGTGAAGGGCATGTTGTGGGGAACTTTTGTGATGCAATCAACGTGAGCTCTCGCATACGACCGAAAGATGTCGGCGCCGCAAAGAGCAACGCGATCGCCCTTCTGGAATTCCAAAACGTGCTGCCCGACTCGCTTTACCACGCCCGAACATTCACATCCAATGTTTTCCGAGTTGATGCGTTGCAAGATGGTGAGAACATCTTTGAAGTTAACGCCAATAGCGCGGACTTCTACTTCCACTTCATCGTGCGCAAGCGGCTTCTCCATGTTACTGTCCTCGATGAACTGTAACGAGTCGCTGAAACTGGGCGTCTTGAAATTCAGTTTCAGAGGTGGCCCTTCCCCAAATCGCTTTGTTCGCTGTGATAGCGTGGTCATCGTGGAAATGTGGTCATTGAGGCTGTCATACTCAATCAGGCGGTTGATATAGAGCAGCCCCTCCTTTTGCAGATATTCAGGCTCATAGCTCCCCTCCCCAAGACGCGAACTTGAGATGCGGAAAACCTTCGCTACTATTTCGGCATACTGGTTGACAGTAGCGGAGGACTGTTGAGTATCGAGGGCTAGCGTCACAAATTGGACCTTGAAGTTCTCCTGGCGACAGACTCGACTTAAACCCTGCACAATTCCATAGTCGGGACCTATTGGAGACTGGCCGCCTCCATCTGAAACCCACAGTAGGCTAGCAGCGGACGAAACAAGGGTTCGGATGGCAAGATATCCTAGGCTATCAAGATTTCGCAGCAGGGAGGAGCCGACTTCATTGATCAGAACATAATGCTGGGCTTGTATGTCATCCATCAGAGCTGCTTCCTCGACAGTCATAATCTCGGTTCCCAATATTTCTTGTTGTCTGAGTTCTTTCTTTATTTCCTGGGAAAGCTGCTGCTGGAAAGAGGCCGCGTTGTTCAGAAGGATGATCGGCTGAAGCATAGGTGGCAGCTGGTCCGAGCCTGCTGGAAGGGCTGTGGACACCATGATACTCCACCCGTGGCATTCTTCACTCTTGTAATCTCGAAAAACGATGTCAGTACCACTGAAACCATTGTCGATTAACACCTGGTGCCACTTTTGTTCCGTTATACAAGGACCGTTTTGTCTGTAACTTTCCGTGGCTATCCACCATCCAGGCAGAATTCCAAATGCAAATGAGTACCGCGGAGCCTCAGTATTAGTGACTTCACTGAGGACAAGCCTGCCGCCGGGTCTTAAAAGTTTGCGGACATTTGCCAGTGTTTCCTGCAATTCTTGGGTTGCATGCAGAACATTAGCAGCTAGAACGAGATCATATGTCCCCTCTTTGTATCCTTGCATCAACGGGTCCTTTTCGATATCAAGGACACGAAATTCCATCCTACTGAAGTGGCCAAACTTGCTCTTCGCTTTATCAAAAAATGATGGAGAGACGTCTGTGAAGTCGTACTGTCCGTAGCGAGGTGATGTTGGAACTGGTGCCAATAACTTCAGCAGTACTTTAGTCGTCGATCCAGTGCCAGCACCAATTTCGAGAATATTCATTCCCGCGTCCTTGTGAGCCAATGCGTCCAGGTACTGGTTAAAGACGTCAAAGCACTGAGGGGTTTCGTTCATCTCTTCGTAGAAGCCTTCCATGAGACCTTCATCTTCAAACAGCAAATGCAATGGGTCCACCACGCCGGAGAGCACATCGGGAAGATTTCGTCCCACTTTGATGAATGCTTTCGCTTGACGGCTTGCCATCATGCGATTACAAAGAGAATCTAAGTGGCTCCTACTCTCGAGCTGCTCTAAGCGTTGAATGCGTTCTTCCTGCGGCATTTTGGCCAGATGACCATCGAGGTGCTTCTGGATGCACGAGGCATACCTCTCTAAAGATGGAATAGGTTGTATATCTCTTGTTCTTAGTTCTTTCAACCCTGTTGCAATAAATGCCAGCGAGAGACAATCACTGTCCCGAAACCACTCAATCGGCTCGATTTCCGCTTCATAAGCTCGCTCGCAGTATCGTAGGATCTCTTCACAACTCATTGTGTCGAGATCTACTTTCCACTCCATCTGAAAACATAGGTGATCTGACTCTCCCTGTATATCAAGGTCTGCTTGCGCATTGGGAAGAGTGGTGACTTCAAGGCCATCAATTTTAGCTTTAAGCAATCCATCTGTTCTGCCAAGGACAGTGATATCCGACTGTGCAGTACGTCGACCGTGATACTGGGCCTTGACATGAGCGCGGACATCTCCTAGAGATGATACTCCGGCACTCGATATCCACAACGTCTCAATTCTGGTGGGCACCATGGTTTGTTTTGAAGCGAAGCTTCCTCTACTCAATGCTACGATAACAAGTTGGAAGAAATTATCCAGTATCGTTGGATGTATAATATGATGTTGAGTAGAAGACAATGATTCATTAGCACTTGGAGAGTCCTGCGGGACGGCATCAATGGTTGCGGTAGCTTCGCCCTCTGTGTTGAAGTGTATCTGATCCAGCAGCTGAAAAGACGATCCGTAGTCAAGCCCGATATGACGCAGTTGCTCGTACATTTCTGCACGCTGCATTGTGTAGGTACAAGACCTGGCAGCTGCCGCATGGTGTCCGTGTATACTGCTCAACATGTTGACTGCTTCCTTGTCATTGTATACTTCAGATGGAACGTCGCCATAATCTGCGTGTGTAGATCCACGGCAAATCTCGTCCCACTCCTCATCATTTCGTCGCTGATAGATTCGGAAGTCGTATCGCATGTCTTTCCCGCTGCCAGAATTCGTTGTTGGAACCAGACTGATTTGCGTTTCGGCTGCTTCGTCGGCACTGTGAAATATGAGAGCTCTGTGAAACTCTACTTCCTGAATCTTGTAGCCGACTACTTCTTGATCAAGCCTCTCTGTCACTTGCTTTGTCGCTTCGAGGGCCATGGCAAGCATGCCTGCAGCGGGATACAAGATGGAGCCATTCACCTTGTGGTCTGATATCCATGGCAGCTCTGCTTGTCGAATCATGAGCCTCCATTTTGGCTCTTGAGGATTCCAATCGGCAACTTGACTGCCAAGGAGGGCATGGTGAGGATGTTGTCGAAACCGAAATCCTTTGTTCACGGCGGACTCACCCCAATATAATACTGAGTGGTTGAAAGGATATTGTGGTAGATCTGTCAATACCGCAGGTTGACGAGAGGAGCTGCGGCCATGTCCATTCAGCCGGATCATGTCAACGGAAAAGCCTTGACATATCAAGCTCCCGGTGGCGTTTAGAAAGGTCTCATTTGCGGATTTCTTTCGTATTAAGCTGGAAACGTAGCTGACCTCGGCACTTCTGTTCAAGGAGGACAATATATCCCGTATAGGACCTTGGAGAGCCGCATGCGGGCCAATCTCGAGCCATGAGTGTGTAACAATGTCTTTTTTATGCCTTCTGTCAAGCTTTTTGGCCAGAATGCTACCTTCTGCAACGGAACAGCATTTCTGCATTGCTCCGAGAAAGTTGACGGGTAACACCATATTTTGGACCCAATACTCTGCGGTACAGAGTGTATCAGTAGATACAATCTCACCTGATACGGACGATACCATTACAATCTCTTTTGATAGCTTGACTTCGTCTTTCTCTAACGTCTTGAGTCGGTCGAGATACTCCGATGCTATCTGGGATACTTGTGGAGAGTGGTATCCCAGGCCAACTATTAGTTTCCGTGCAAAGATTTGCTGCTCCTGTAGGTCGGATATCAACCAGTCCACTTGATCTTCTGGCCCTGAGATAGTCACGTTATTTGGGCTATTAATACAGCTCACAGTCATAGACTGGGCATCAAACCTAGGACGGTGACCCACTTTTGTGAGTTGGTCGCGAACTTGTTCTTGAGATAGTCCAACTGAGACCATTTGGTGCTTGCAATTTGTGGATCTCTTTTGCAGCTCTGAAGCTAAATAACCCCTGTGATAAGATAGACGCATTGCAGTCATTGTGCTTACTGCTCCTACGCAGTATCTTCCCGTATGTTAGTCATGTGGGCCCAAATCGATGCTTGAGGGTACTCACGCTGCTGCAATCTCTCCAGAAGAGTGACCAACTACAACTGAGGGAATAACACCAATGTCTCGGAGTAAGTCAACCAGAGCAATCTGAATTGCTGTGGTTAATGGTTGGCTAAACTCTGGCTCATTGATTCTTGTGCTGTTTTGATCGGCAGCAAGCTCTTCTGGATAACATCGCAAGTTAGCTAAATTAGACGAAAGACGAGAAAATTAATGCACCTGTAAGCACCCAGTCACATCCAATGGTTGCTAAGCAAATTTGTGCATGTGACAGAGATTTCTCGAAGACGGGGTATATCCGGAGTTCTCGCCCCATTGCATACCACTGAGCTCCCTGACCGGTAAAGACGAAACCTAGATTGCGTCGAGTCGCAGGTAATTGCATGGGCTTCGACATTTGCCCTTGTATATCTTGCAGCGTTGAGACAGAATCGGCGACAAGATAGGATTTCCATGGTAGTGAACTGCGTCGTAAGTTCAATGTGAACGCTAGGTCGTCCAAAAAGGTGGCTTCTTGCCCCGTTTCCATGAGGTGGGCGAAGTGTTCGCCAAGCTCATTTGCAATGCGGTATACTCCTGATTCATCTGCAGCGGACCATGTGAGCAATTTTGCGTTCGTCTTCGCATCGATGTTGTGACTCGTGTCTAGTATACCTGGCGAAGACCTCCCATTCAAGTGAGCGTGTTTAATTTCAAGCGAAGAAACAGTAGTACGGTGGTTGCCACTGATGTTTCTTGATTGAAGATAATGATGCGCATCATCAAGGACGGCATGAGCATTTGTGCCCCCAAACCCAAAAGAGTTTACGGAAGCTCTTCGGACACCCTGACAAGGCCAGGAAATTGGCTCCAATGGGAACTGAAACGAGTGAGTATAGAAATATGTCACGTTGAAGTAAGTACTACCTTCAGCTTGAGGAAATCGGCATCAATTTGAGGATTCAACAAGTCGAAATTTGTATTTGGAGGGATCACACCCTTTTCCAAAATCTGAACTGTCTTGATTATCGCTGCTAGACCACTGGCACCTTCCAGATGTCCGACATTAGCTTTCACAGCGCCACTGAAGCGAGTCAGTCCCATTAAGAAGTTTACTCAATTATGAACTGGTGTGAACAGATCAACGCTAACTTACACGTATAACGGCTCATCTCCTGTCCTCTGGGCTTGAAAGCATTCACCAATCGCCCGTGCCTCAATTGGGTCACCAAGTTGTGTTCCGGTACCTAGACCCATCTTAGTCAGAAAACTTCACATCAAGTCCGCTACCCTAATCTTACCATGTGCCTCCACAAATCTCGTCACTCCCATATCAAGCCCTGCCTTGAGATAAGTTTCATGAATCAACTGCACTTGAGAAGCCTTCCTTGGTTGAGTAACACCGCCTGCTGTGTGCCCATCTTGATTGACCCCACTAGATCTGATTAATGCACGAATGGTGTCACCATCTCGGAGAGCAGTTGACAGTCGCTTGAGAATAAGCACTGCCACTCCTTCGCCCCTAGCATACCCATTGGCACGATGGTCGAAGCTATAACATTGGCTGTCTGGTGAAAGGAAATTCATATTAGATAGCGCTATATTGAGCTCCGGAGAGAAGATGAGGTTCGAACCAGCTACAATACCCTAAAAGACTTAGCACATTTGCGAAAAAACGTCCAAAAGAAGAGCTCACTATGTCGGCTTGCCCTGTCCAGAGACCATTACATGACAAATCCATGGCAACTAGTCCACTGGAACATGCAGTATCAACCGTCATGCTACTTCCTCGCAGGTCAAAAAACCAGCTCAGACGATTGGCGAGGATAGATCCCGCAGATCCAGTTGCACTGTGCTTTGGAATAGACTGCACGTCTCTCCAGACCATCGTACAGTAGTCCGTGATGAAGCACCCGACATGGACTGAGGTATTCGAGCCCCGGATTCTCTCGAGAGGTATGCCGGCTTCTCTGAATTAGCACAGCTCGGAATAGCACCACACAACTCTGCCTAGGTCAACTTGCCATTTTCCAATGCACGATATGTAGTTTCGAGAAGGCATCGCTGCTGTGGATCCAACATAGCTGCTTCGTGAGGTGGGATTGTAAAGAATGGTGCATCGAACGATCGAATATCTTCTTTGATGAAGTGCGCTCCGCGCGTACTCATCTACTTTAGACTTAGCCGAATGATTTCCTCAAATATGGTATTATTTCTCAGATTACCTTGTTCATTTTGCTATTGTCGGAGTCGTAGAAAGCATCGATATTCATACGGTCAGGGGGATAGTCTATCATTGCACAACGTTTCTGTAACATCATCTCCCAGAAAGAACTCTCGGATACGGCTTCTCCTGGAAATCTCATCGATATTCCCACAATAGCAAGAGGCTCGATGATATCTTGTTCGAGAATCACATTGTGTATTGGAACTTGATCTTGATACATGTTGAACGAAGTCTTGTTGTTGGCGCCTAGGACAGGACCCGCGGAATCTTGGGGATAACCTTCAGCCATTGTAATCGATAGATCTCGCTAGTGTTATGAGGGAGCTTCTTGTATTGTCTTGTCAAGTTGAGTGAAGCACTGTCTGCAATCCGAGTACAACCAGATTAAAGAAACGATAAGTTCACCTCTGAGAGCCAAACACTATCCCGGTCGAGGCCGCAACCGTCTTTTATCACCTTGGGGTTCCCTTCCAGCATGCAGATCACGCAGAATTGATGAGGTCGGAATGACAGTGGTAATCTAATATTACGACAAAAGGCACTTCCGTAAATGTCCCACAACTATGCTTGAATTTTGAATGAGGTCCAGAACAATGATAACACACAAACAAGTTCGAATATCACTGTCCTCCCTGACAACCATACATTATTCACCGATGCAGGGGTAGAAACTCTTGCCAGGACGACGGGGCTAATTTTCTTGCGCGTGCATTCTGCGCATGCCAGCCCGTGAGATCACTAACCCCATTGGCCAGTCGGAAGCAATTCCCAGATGTTCATAAGATCAGAAAAATCGCAGAATAGTGCTGGAGACGACGGAGCTCAGTCAACGTTGCATTCATTTATTCTGGAGCTGCCTTGGTCGTGACCAAGACCATGGCTATAAAACCCCTGAACACGTCCAGAGTTGACGATTAGGTAGCTCCTTTTCGAATTTCTCCCTGCTGCACTTCTCTGAACTGCCGACGGCTCAGCTATCCAACAAAACACTGAAATCCAATTAAAATGCATTTTCTCTGCCTCCACGGTGCAGGAACCAACAACAAGGTACTTGATTTTCTCGTCCGAAATCCACGTTTACACTCCCTGACTGTTGATAGATCTTTGACTTGCAGACAGGTGTGCCTCACCCCAATTCTCACCCTGGTTTGCAATATTGGCAATTAAGATCCTTGGAGCTTAATTGACTCGGGGGAAATAGCCACACTTAGACATGAACTTGGAGATCACCACACATACGAGTTTGTGGAAGGAACTGTTCCTTGGCCTATGGCGCCTGGTAAGCTCTCTTTCACGACCCAAAATTCCTGCACGAGAGAGGTGCTGTACTCACACCTTCCGCTTTTGGCAGGGATCTCCTCCATTTCTAACAGTGGAGAGTCGTACTACTCGTACTTCGACCCAGAAGCTCCAACGAGCGTCCTTGACGCGTTGCATAGCCTAGACGCATATATTCAGGCTGAGGGGCATTTCGATGGCGTTCTGGGCTTTTCGCAAGGAGCCTACCTAGCTGCGATTTATGTTGTTTGGAAAGCTCAACAAGATGGTACGACCGAATTTCGACTACCTTTCTCGTGTCTTCTTCTATTCTCGGCCGTCCGCGTCCACAATCCCCGGGCATTTGAAGAGAGGGGTGAGATCGAGGTTTTAGACCCTAATTTGGCCAAGGAGTTCATTCAGATTCCCACTGTCCTTATTTGGGGAAGCTCGGATGAGTGGAAGGAAGAAAGTGTCGCGCTGAGTAAGTTGTGCAATCCGAGACTTACGACAGTCTTTGTTCATTCTGGGGGGCATGAGATTCCGGGAATGGTTGCAAAAGGGGACATCACGGCGGTCGTGAAAGCCATGAGAAGGGGGATTTTTGAGGCACAATTCTGTACTTAATTCGAACCTCAGATCTTAAATTTTCAGCTATTCAAGTTGCCATGATTGGCTTTTTGGCCCACATCAATAGCGTAACCGGCACCTGTGCCACTGCAAAGCCTATCATTATCTTCATCTGCAGATTGTAGCCATGAGCGAAAATGGACCTGGTCATTGACTGCAATGATTCTGGCAATGAATCTATAGTACCGACAGATTGGAGCAGTAGCTCCACTTGATCAGCAGCCAGGATCCGTGATAACTCTGAACGCAAGAAGTTGTTCGTCACACTAGTTACTATTGCAAGGCCTAACACCCCCCCGAGCACTCTCAACTGAGAGATTGTTGCACTCCCAACTCCTACTCGACATTAGCCAGAGAACTTGCATGAGGAGCACAACTTACCAAGATCTCTCTTCTCTACCACATATGGAATAAGTAGAATCAGCACGCCATTGAACAGTCCCACCCCTATGCCTGTAAGAATCTGAAATCCATATTGAGAAGAATTTATCGTTGTGGATGTTGAAGTCATAGACAACCCCACCGTTCCTGCAATATTGAGAATGCATCCAGAGAGAAGGATCCAACAATGGGGTATTTTCGATTTTCCGAGAAGGATGGCCGCGAAAGCTGAAGAGGTTGGGACAAAGAGAACGAACGCAATCAAGCGTATTCCTGCCCGAAAAGCTGAGTCCTTGTTTATAGTCTCAAAACGCTGTGGAATCTGGACGGTGCATACCAAGAAGATGGTCCCTGCAAAGTACGAGTTTCTGTATTGTGTCAGCTGGGAATCCGATGTACATAGAGACTCCTCATACAGAAACATCCCAGCAGCGACACGATTTTGTACGAAGCGCCAGGGAAATACTGGTTCAGGGAGTGTTCTTCTTGTGGTAATGTACCATTCCCACATAAGGAAACCACCGAGTATCACAACGGTCAGCATCAGTAGTGAAAGTACCAGTGACGCCCGAAAAGGAGTCCCAGAAGCTGCTTGCTCTAATGCTGTTACTAGGAACGTGTTGACAGCGAGTAGCAGAACAGTCCCCAAGATGTCCACTCTTTGGACGGACTTCAAAGCGAAGCATCGTCTCCAATCTATCCATGGCTGTGGTTGGCGAGAATTTGTGTTTGGTAAGAACAAAATTAGCATCACCATAGCAATAACTCCAGCAGGAATACTAATGTTTCTTATCAATCTCCACAAAATCAACAGAGGCAGCTGAGACAACTTACTTCAGCAGAAAAATCCATCTCCATAATCCGTGAATGTTAATCAACCCGCCGAATATTGGCGCAAATGTGAGTGAGCATGTAACGACCAAAGTGTTCATGGCTGTATACATCGGCCACTTTCTTGGTGGCACCAATTCATAGAATATAAGCACGACAAGGGAGAATATTCCAGATGCTCCAATTCCTTGGAGACATCGAAAGATTATTCTGAAGCGTTTTCAATTAGCTCGAACTCGAACAATCTTTCTTTGGAGTATGAACACTCACAATTGTACCAGGGTTCGACTTGCCCCACAGGCTCCAGAAAAGACAATGAAGAGGAAGAGCGAAAGTAGTAATAGAGGTTTCCTCCCAAATATATCGCTCAACTTTGCCCAAATAATCATTAGTCCTGTCATAAACGTTAGGTCCCGTTTCGTTTTTCACTGGGAGTCTACCTACCACTATACGCCAAAAGAAACGAGTTGAACACCCAGGCGCTCTTATCAAATCCTTTCAACTCATTTGTTATTGTTACGATGGAAGTGCTGACTATGGACGACTCCATCTGCGCAATGAAAAGAGTCAGAACGAGCCTGAATGCATTCAATCATTAGCAACAACTACATAACGATACAAGGGGCTGTACGCAAGGGTGCTGAGACGAAGCTTCCACCCAGTTATGTAGCCATCTTCAGCCATTTCCTGTGCAGTCGCAAGGTCATTGGACTTCTCTGAGAGTTCGGTTGCAGCTGCATCTTCTTTGACGGAGCAGTTGAAGTCTTCCTCGACGTTCTTCTTTTCTTGCTCCATCTTGTGCTCTGCAACAGTAAGTAATTGCAATTGCAGTTTTATCTGTAACCGTGACTGGAAGAAGACTGCGACGGTGGTTTAGTTGAGAATAGCAAAGCAGAACGAAAGACAATCTATGGTGATCAACACACTCTGAAGCAAACAGTTCTTCGAAAGCATGCGCTCGGCACTTGACCGGCAATTAGGCTATGTTTTAAGCAGCTGCTCAAGCCGAGAAATTTAGAGATCTCCTTTATGCCAATACTTGACCGGCACTTGGGTGGCCTAGTACAACATTGCTGCAACGTTATCAATGTTGCACAGGTCTCAAAAATCGATACCCTCACGTTGATGTCAGACACAAGTACATGATCATCCCTGCCATAACTCAGCCTGTATCCACTCAACTGTGATTCTTTAAGTCCCCGTGCAAGAATGTTGGCAATAAAGACGTAGTTGCTGACTGAAGCTCGTATTCGCATATGCTGCATCTCGAAACGCCACCCTCGGCGATGGAGCGCGACGGACCGTACCGTGACATGCATCACAACGGCACACTCGCCACTGACGATGCTTCAGCTCTCGGAGATGAATGCAGTCGTAGTCGCAAGGATGAAATGGCGAATGTTGGAAGACTGAAATAACACGGGAATGCCGACGTTCATGTGAGTCTGCCGTTGTATGCAGAATATGATCACGGCAAATGATCGATACTTACACCCGCCTCAATCTTACGCACGTTCAATTGACTCTGATTGGGTTTCAATGTTCATGTTGGTTCTTGGCGACTCCGCGTTGTGTTGCGGCCAAGGTCTGGCAGGGGGAATTTATCCAGGTGCAGTCAAAGTAGATAACTAACATCTGCAACAATTTAAAAAGAAGATCAAGGAAGCAAGGAAAGACTGAGAAGCCATCACTTCATTTCTGCAGGGCATTCCTGGCCTATAGCGGGTGGTAGAGCTGCCTTCTTGTCTAGAATGTTGGTCGCAAAGGGGATCTTAGTGCGTCCAAAGGTCACCCATCCATGGGATCGGTACCGATATAGCCAATATATGCATGCATGTGGCTGCTCCTATCGATGCTCTTCGTGCCATGCATGCACTTCGCAGTCGCCGCTTTTGACTGCTGAGTGAAACGCTCTCGTCAGCTGCCCAACTGCATCAATAGGCAACAAACACCGATCTTACTCTGAATAAGGTCAGTGTGCAGAGGACAGCTGTGCCCGGCGCATGCCCCAGCGTCTATGTCTGAACTCAAGATATCACTTTGGAGTTGCGCCACGATCAAGGAGAATCCAAGCTGTGAAGTGTGTGATATCAATTATTGAAAAGACTGTAGCTCACATGCACCAAATGCATATGAGAGCGTATCAGACACAATACTCTCCACTGCGCAGACTTCATCATGATCCCCTCTTCTTGAACTGTACCAGTGGTCCATCCTTGATAGTGATGTATGCATCTTTCACTTTAAAGTGATCTTTGGACCTCATGCCCCATTCAAGCTCGAGAGCGCCTTGCCCAAGGATACTTCCTGGTGCCGGTCGTACATCCATACGATACAGTGTTCTCCCAATAGTGATCAAGAGCTCCAAGATTGCTAATTTCTGACCCACGCAATTACCAAAACCCATTGAGAAGGGCTGGAAAGCTGACTGTGCCAGAGCAACATCTTCAGCCGTCACACCTGTAGCTTCATCAACAATCCAGCGTTCCGGTCGATAGACAGAAGGATCTCCGTAGACCTCTTCGCTATGCAAGATCGCCCAGTGCGCAATGCCAATCATAACGCCCCCCGGAATAAATTTTCCATCGACCTCAATACCCCCTGGCAGCACCTCCCGAATCATTTCACTTGGCCCAGCAGGAGTCATGCGCATGGCCTCATCGAGACAAGCACGAAGATACTGGCAAGACGACAATTTTGTGCCTCCAGTGATTTCATCGACTGAATCAAATGTTTCTCGCATTTCACGTACAACCTTGTTATAAGCGAGAGAGCTTCGACTGATGTAAAAGAAAAACGAACACAGAGCAGTAGACGTAGTATCTGCGCCGGCAATGATGAGCAGATTCGCTTCTCCATTGAGTTCTTCTGGGGACAGAGCTGCTTCACCGGTCTCTGGGTTCTTTGCAGTGAATAGATAGTGAAACATGTCTTTGCGTACGTTTTCTTCGTCGAGTGCTTTCAGTTGTGCCTCTTCCTCTTCCTTGGTGCGTTCCAACACATTAGCATCAACGAAGTCATAATAATCTCTCACCTCCTTGGGCGTAAGGTGTTGGAAGATATTGTCCAGACCCCTTGGCTTTAGCCAAACCCATAAATTCAGCATCGGAGATTGGGTAATCTTACTCTGGTCAGCACTGATATAGATGATGGGTAGGGGACGTTGTGAGAAAAGGACTCACAGGATATATGAATTGCATATACCCAGAAATTGTATGTGGTATGATCTTGAAGGGGTTCTCCTTTTTCTCTTTGATCTCAAAAGACTTCCCAAAACTCAGATCTCCCATGATATCAAAAGTGAGAGATTCTGCTAGAGTAGTCATGTTCTGCGGCTCTGACCAACCACTACTGGTATTGTCAACGAGCAACTCACACCATCGATCAACATGTCTGATAATGAAACTCTCGGCAGCACGGACTGCTTTTTCCGAGAACACGCCATTCAGAATCCTCCTTTTTCGTGCGTGTACTTCTTTGTCCACGGTGCTCAATGTATTTAGATTTTGGACGTTCCTGGGCCAGACCTCGTAGAACTTTCCTTTCTTCACGTTCGCCTTAGCACCATATATGATAGGATAAGCATTCGGGGAGGTAGAGAGGACACCGTTCGGATGGAATCGAAATACGCTTCCTGTCCGAAATATGCTGTCAGTTTACCAATAACGCTGCTATGCTAGATTGCTACTTGCCGTAGACTTGATGGCACTGCCAAAGCCAGATATGGCGGTAGCCAGTCATAGCATGATAAAAGTTTGGCAGTGCAGAGACCTTTGCCCAGAACGGACCCGGAAACTTCGCCAATGGGCTGAAATAGAGGTTGTAGACAACATTGCCGATGATCTTCCAAGACAAAGATTAGCAGATTCCATAGGTATGTCGTAGATATTTTCTCCTTACATAGCAGATGATGGCTGTAAAGCCAATAAGCAACAAATGGCCAAACATTTGATCGAGCGAAGTCCAGATGACCCTAAGAGAAGCTGCTGATGGGTGTCGGATTTAGACTTGCTTGAAAAATCGACTATGGTGTCTACCTCACAGGTGTCTGAAGATTATGATGAACTCAGCAAAGTCTCAGCTGAGGAGAACGTTTCTCTTTGGAGCAAGTTTCTGTTCAACAATACAAAAGAGCTGCGTTGGTTCCAGCTCTCTGCGACTTCGAACGATCAATAGCGGCGAGTCCGTGCAACCTATCATGTTTAACCGAGACATGCCGACCAACCCAAATTGTTGCTACGCCGCATAAAACCAACTTGTGCTCACATCCGCGAAAGTTTTATCATATTTCGTGCATTGGTGGTCTACTTTTTGGTACTCACATGCTGCATCGTTTCTGCTCAGACGCATGATTTACATGTGTTTGGTTGCCATCAAACGGCTAAACAACATGGCTAGAACAAGCGGATGATATACATGGATGCTGGTAATGTTGGTGGAGTAAAGTGGCAGGGATATGGGCAACATATACACTGGAAATGGTCGGAACGGTCCGAAGCAACAAGCACAAGGATTCCATTGGTAAAAGGTGAAAACTTCATGAGACGTGGCGTACCGTCCAGTTTCCTGGGACACATCTCCACAATGAACACTACGGTACGCCCCTCCTGCGCATTGCAATCCACTGCTCTTGTCAACTTTTGATAGGCGCGGCTAATATTCTCGGTCCTTCATCTTGACCTAGCTAGGTCTCCCATACTTGCGATATCTGCGAGCTCTGTGACCCGTTCTGTGACCCGAGCTTGAAGAACAGTTGTGTCACCTTCTGTTCTATGCCTTGCTGCTGAACAGGCTGAACATCGAGCACCAAGTATAGCTCCCTCGCGATCGAAGGAACACAATGTCCTGGTCCTTGCCATTGGCCAAAGAACAAGGGGCGGACTCCTAGGAAAGCATCAGTCCTTCAGGTCCGGGGATGGTGTTTCAGTGTGGTTCGGTGACTTTTAATCACTCTGTCGAAGGACAAGACGCTGTCCTCAAGCTTTGATAAAACGTTTCGATTACAGACCACATTTGCCAGTCCTCTATGTAAGGTTTCGAATTTTGGCGTTCATCGTCCTCTGTGGTTAGCTTCCTATGGCTTACACACAATCATATTCGCCAGAATACCTGGCTGCGAATCGAAGTCAAAGACTGACCAATGTGGCTATTGTTTTCGGTGTCCTCGAGCCAATATTCGTTGGACTGTTCTACATTTCTCGATGGAAAAGCGGAACAGCCCATCGCTGGGATGTGTACCTTATGCTATTGGCACTTCCTCTGTGCTTCAGTCATGTTATAGTCTCCTTCTGTAAGTAGACCACTCCATTAGCCATGTAGATCTTGGAATTACGATCGAGATTTAATGGTTTTCGTAGTATTTGTAAGATATGCTGGAGATGGTCATCATGTGGTCGCAGTTCCAACGAACGAAATCATCATTTGGCTCAAATTGACTGTGGTTGAAGATTTCACCTACGTCGCCTCTTGCACCTTGCCCAAGATAACCATTCTTACTTTGTATCTGCGAATCTTTATCGAGAAATGGCAGCGCTATTCGGTCTTCGTCGTCATTGGAGTACTTCTTCTCAACTACATCGTCTCAATGTTGTTGAACTGTGTACTTTGCAGGCCATTTGCCTACAACTGGAACAAAACAATTCCAGGCGGATATTGCATGGATATAAAAGAGATGTACATATGGTACAGTCTTCCGAATATCGCGACGGACATCATCATCATCATATTACCCCTTCCGACCATTTGGGCTCTTCGGATGTCAAGGAGTCAAAAGATTGGGGTGATAATTACCCTCCTTACAGGTAGTGTGTAAGTGATCCTTTGCTTACATATGCAAGGGTCTTGAGCTGACACTTTTCTGCCCATAGCGGAATCATTACAGCGATACTGCGTCTTGTTATCTTCATTACCATCGATGTGTTCCAAGACATTACTTGGCTCTCGATCGATATTATGACATACACTACAGCGGAGCCCGGCGTTTACCTCATTGCCGCTTGTCTGCCCTCCCTACGTCCTCTCTTCAAAGGAATATTCAAGTCCAAGAATTTTAGCATTCAATCACTTCGCTCTTTGCTTTTCAAAAAGACTCGGACAGACGGTAACTCCTACTGTGTTCCCAACGCCGGAATATCAGACAATAGGTTCCATCGACTAGACGACTTCACAAAATCTGCTGCTTTAGGAGATGGGACAGGAACAAAGGCCACTGTCACCTACTCCAGAGAGATGGGAAGCGAGGTTACACCGTCGCCGAGCTCAACAAAAGTCGACCTCGAGAGTAGTTGCAACACCACCGATATTCGGGTCCAGAGAACTTACTGTCTGTCTTCTGAGGTCGGGAATGTAGAGCGCGTGTGAGTTTTCAGGTGAATGTCTATGGGGGCGTACGACTATTCCCGATTCTATTGTTGGATGATCTTGGTATGCTATTTGACAGCTATAGGAAGGCTCGTGGTGTTGGTTCTGTACTTCCCTACTCAGAATCACCATGCTATTGGTGATAATTATCCTCTATCTGTGTCAACAATGTTGCTAGTCTACCTGTGCCTCCAGTTTTATTTGCTTTCGGCGTTAAAATGAAAACTTTCGCACCGAAGATCCCTTCCGAATTCTTGATTCAAAAGAATAACGTGCTTGGTAAACAAAAGATATTTTCCCTAATTGAATACTGCTAGAAAAGGTCACAACGACTATGTGAGAACAGACCATTTAAAGAATCTAAGACCCTCAAGTTTCGCTGCTCCAAGACTCCTGGCCAATCGAGCCTGTCAATAAAAGTCCCCCATCGTTCCCGAACTCGGTACTTTGGAGTTCTTCAAATCTGGACAAATCATAGACGAGACTGTGTGTCTTGTCCCAGCTTCCCCAGGATCTCTACAATCTCACTTGCAACTAGCTTTGGGTTGTCTCTTTGGATAAGATGCCCACAGCCAGCGGCAATAATAGGTCCCTTACTCATCTCCGGCGAGGTTATTTGTGCAAGGCCGATATGGTACTGGTGCCAAGCCGGGTCAAAGTATGTCTTTGTCATGATTGTAGGAAGACCAACTGTCTAGGTGTGGATTTAGTTCATATATTTAGATCATTGAAAATGTAGCTTACTTTCTTCACCTGAAGCGGGAATATCTCAGGATCATGTTCGACGACCGTCACAAATGGCATTCCTGACTTCGATCTGGGTAGCGTCGGAGAGTCTGGGTGTGGCAAAAGAGTGGGCAGGGTACCTCGCCAGATTCCCTCAGGGTTTCTGCTCTCACTACCATATATTGGGAATATCTTCTTTCTTGCGTCTGCACAAAGATCTGGACTAACTCCAGCGGGTAAATCTGATGCAGAAAAGCCAGGAGATTCGGGATCGGGGAATAGTGATACTGTGTCTGAATTTGCGAGGGTTGAATCCAGAAGAACCATTGCTACCACCGTTCCTGGGAACTCAGCAGCGTAAAGTCGAGCAATAGCGCATGCTACAGAACTCGCGACGATCACGATCCGCAGACTGTCGACATGAATGTAGGAGGTACCAATACAAGTTTCCTTGATGAATGTGATCACTTCTCGGAGGTCGTGGGCGGCGTCAAGACAATCACGACCGTGGCCTTTGGGCCTCCCGGGCGCTTCTGGATTCCGACCAACTGAAGCTCCTTGACCAACTCGATCATACATCAACATCGGAGGGCACTCTAAGAGACCTTTCTTGAGAATCGTGGCGACTGGAAACCAGGCCACCTGTGGAATGTTGATGCCATTAAGAAAGACAATAAGTGGCTCTTGCCCCGGCTGCTTGGATCCTGGAGAGAACGTGCAGCTCAATTGGACGGTGGGAACTCTACCCAGTTTGACAAAGAAATTCTCCATGGTAACAGCCTGTACAATGCAAATATATGTGCCGAAAAATATATGATTGACAGTCTTTGACACAAAGAAGGTGCCTGTATTTGTTGCGTAAGAGGCGTGTTATCCCATGAGTTCGTCAACGGGCTGATGCGCGATATATCAATTGCATGCGCTCGTATGCCTAGTTTTGAGGGGTTCATATGCATCACGAGTCGGCTGATGTTGGCAACCAGGTTCATGAATCACAAGGATCCTTGCATCTCGATAGTGTTGCTCCTCTGCGTGGCAAACAGCAGAATAGAGAATGCACCTTATCTATGAGGGGAAGGCGATTGTCACTGAGAGGAGCAAGGGAAGTGAGGCAGACATGATACTGTAACATTGAAGTTCAATCCCAGAGTGCGATCCTTGTTTCGAAATAGCAGACCTTGGCAAGCGCCTCGCTGAAAAGTCGAGGAAAACTGGAAAACATGTATTGTCTGCGCGTATTAAAAATCATATCTGGCGCTCAATATCTGCAACTCTCGGGATCTTGTGCAGACTAATCTTCCCAAATTTAGCCACCAACTCGATCTAATCCGTCAGTGAACAAACACAAAAAGTCGATTTACGAAACATACGCATTGGTGCACCATTTCTACATCATCCTTCTTCACGCCTAGCCTCCTGATCCCTCGCAGGTGCCAGGTAGTCTCAACTGGCATATTCTGAATCATGATGCCGGTCAATGTCACCAACTCCGTCTCAACAGGGCCCAGTATATCATGGTTCGAGAGAAACAGCCCGTATACGACCTCCCAGGAGATAAATTCAAAGTCTTTGTGGGCAATAAACCTATCAGATCCCGTCGTCAAAGTATGTTTGTACAAGGCCTTGAGCCACTCTTCTCCCCTGGCGCGATTTTCAGGTCCTGCTTGCCACCCTGCTCTGAAAGAGGCCTCTTTCAGCTTGCATGTTTGAGACTTTTCGGGGTGTTTCGTTACCTGGAAAATGAGTAGTCCCTGTCTTCTGGCCGCTCAAGTTTGACTATGGCAAACAAAGCCTGAATGCATTTGGGTGCTCCTTGGATTACAATACTTTTGACCAGGCCTTCGCGTAGGCGGCGCACGAGAGCCTGGCGGGACTCGGAGGTTGAGTATTGAGATTTCTTGATGAGGTATGTGTACAGAGTTCCCACATGATCAGGCTCTACGTTGACTAGGGCAGAGAGCTGAGAGAGATCAGAGATAGTAAGTCTGGAAGTGCATCTTAGAAACCTACGGCAACCAGATACCATGTGTCCTCTTCAAGCGTGTCGGGGAACGTAGCTTCGAGTACTTCGAATAAGGCCACAGCCATTTCTGGCGACGGATCTTGGGTGGTGCTCATTGCAAAAGGAGTGAAGTAGATATGTCGAAAATATGGATTTGAAGGGAGGGGTTGTTCTCTCCCTTTATGTTGTGGGTTACCCTGTTAAAACCCTAGTAACTCACAATGGCGCTTAAACCCCGTGAACGGGAGCCGGAGTCTGTGGAATGAAAATATCAATATAATACTGAATCATTATTTAAGAAATCAATATATATGAAATACTTCAGGGTCGATACAAAGGGTGAGTCTAAGATTGTGGATTTTCAAGATTAATTTTGTGAATTTTGTCAAAAACTTAATTCTTTCATTCATATTAATATTCGTATTCGGGCTTTTCCGAGCTCTGGCCAGGGATCGATACTCACGATTATGAATTCCGAACACATGCGCTATCTGTATGATTCGATTCTTTCCAGTCCTTTGCAGTTCGCGGATGAGGGAGAGGATGATTCGAGCTGTGGTCCTGGTGGTCCTAACCGGCAGCGCTGAGACAGGGCTCACAATGCGCTCACAACGCTCAATCAATCTTACAGAGGATTCTTAGGAGGAGAAGGGCCCTGATATCGAGGCTCTAGTGTTCCAGATTGACGCTCAATACTACTGTAATTCGGCGAAGCCTCTTCGCAAACCCTATTACTACTCGCTTGCGACTCGGGACCTCGACGTGTCATTAGATCAATATCTTCGGTGCAGACACGACGCCTTCTGCCCCCAATTCCGCTCAAACTCTCCATCCCTTCGCAGCCTTACACCTCTAAAATGAAGTAACCTTTAGTCTGCGCCACGAACAAGCATCGTAGCCGATATGGTAGCCTATTCCGACCGGATGGCTTCTGTGAAAGTCCTGGCAGTGGCCTTATCCACTTCGGAGTTCTTTTGAAATCTTCCGTCGTCATCTCATTATTCCTACCTACTAACTCTGGAGATAGTCCAAGATAGAGCAGCAGCAACATGGTCACACAGGACATCAGCTCGCCAGAGCTTCATAGCGAGAAGTACTCAGGTAGTCTCTGCCTAGAGTGCCAAACGGTCTTCAACACCTGGTACGAACGAGAAACTTGGAAATGGGGGAGGTCGAATATCTCGCATCATCCTATCCTCGACCTTGAAAATTGTCCTGTCCGATTTGCCGCATACTCTTTACCTCCATTGGAGATGAATTCCTCCGATGGATTCAGGAAGCAAATCCTCCCCACGTCAAAAGCACTGTGATAGTCACAAAAGCTCGTCGTTCCAACTCTGAGCTCTACGGACTGAAATTATTATATCCACAGCTGCCATGGGATATGAATGCTTTACAAGGTCTTAATCCCTCATCGGTTCACATGCGTCCTGCTCGTAAGTACACCACAGCCTTATATGATCTCATTTACTCACTGTGCTTCACAGCATTGGGTAGCGATGCTGTGGTAGGAACCATACAAGCAACGACAGACTGTGAAGCAACTTGGCAATTGGTTAGGACTTGGCTTCAGACATGCGAAGAATCTCACCCAACATATGCAAAGCGCCACATAGAATCAATCCTTCCTACACGACTGATCTCCGTAGGTACCACGAATAGCGAGCTGAAAATTGTACCTTCGCAGCTCCTGTCCTCTGACATACAATATCTCACGCTGTCTCATTGTTGGGGGAACAAAATTTTCACGACACTTAGAATGGAGAATTACTCTGACTTCTTGACCAATATCCCGGAAGCTGGTCTCAGCAAGACTTTCAGGGACGCCATCTATACCACAAGAGAACTGGGCTTCAAGTATCTTTGGATCGATTCCCTCTGCATCATCCAGGGTGACGACACGGATTGGCAAACCGAATCCGCTCTCATGGGACACGTGTACTCCAACTCTTCTCTCAATCTCGCCGCAGCTGATGCACCGGACGGTGATACCAGTCTTTTCTTTGACAGAGACGACACCCAGTCGCTTGCATGGAGAGTATCAGTCCCAATCGTGTCAGGATCCCACGAAACCAGGGTCTGGGACTGTGAACTTGCATCCCTGGCAGAGGACACGATAAGTCATTGCGTACTGGGCACCCGAGCATGGACTTTCCAGGAAAGGTTTCTTTCTTCAAGGTCGCTATATTTTGGACGTGCTCAGACATGATGGGAATGTCGTACTATCGTGGCGCATGAACTATTCCCCAACTCAATCGGGCACGATTTTGATTCGGTCACCCAATTATGCCACAGTCTCATGGAAGGAGAACCAGACTTCGATGTTGCCACTGCATGGTACAGAGTGGTTCTCAAGTATAGCGGTTGCAGTCTAACTTATGCTCGCGATAAATTAGTTGCTGTTTCCGGCGTTGCAAGGCTTCTTGCTCCACGCTTCGGTCCGAGATACCTAGCTGGATTGTGGGAGAAGAACATGGCCGCCCAACTCATGTGGTTTTTATTTGAATTACCAGAGTATCACCATCCAGACGTTACCTCTCGGGCGCCTTCTTGGTCCTGGGCTTCCACAGACAATAGAGCCAGGATAGCCGATTGTGTGCGCTATGGATCATATACGACTTTCGTAGAAGTCATTAAAGCAGAAACCACTTTCCTAAATGACTAATTTGGAGAAGTGACTGGAGGATACATACACATTCGTTGTCTAGCTATCTTGCAAGGCACCTTGGATCTTGCAAATTGGGAAACGAATGACGGGCGCCCGCTCCGAATTGATATACTAGGCCATGGAACTGCTGAATGGGGCATCTGCCCGGACCGAAAAATTTCAGAGTTGTACGACACTTCTTACTTTGTTTCTATTCTAGAAGGTCTTGATATCAATGGAGATCTATCAGTCTGGGGTTTGATTTTGAAGCCGGCGGGGAATAGGGAATTTCGACGAGTGGGCGCTTTTGAGGTTGATAATGACAAGGAAGTGCAGGAGATTCGGAAGACCATGTCAGAGAGGAAATCTGTGGAAATTGACGAATCCTTTTGGATGCTTGAGACGGGGTTTTCTGCAATTGATGGTCAACGTCCTCAAACTATTAGAATTATATAGTGTACTTTCAACATTTTGAGGATCCTCTCTTCTATACAAGTAATAAAGACAGAAGAGATTATTTTTCACACGCCCATGATACAAGAAGGATGAGCTTGAACTAGAGAATATATAGTATATACTAGTATAATACATAAGATATATTGCTGTCATCTCGTTCATCTGTGTTCCCGCCACCAATACGTTATATCCCAAATAAAATCCAAACCTTCTCCAGATCCCCATCCACATTTTCTCACCTGCCCTGCCGGCCATCTAAAGATAACCACGTTGAAGACGCTTTCCAATAAAGGATAACGAGGGGAGAACCGATTTACCAAGCGAAGATTAGAGAGCAAGGCTTAAACTTCGAAATCGGTAAAAACAAGACAAATTAGCGGAGAGTAACTTTTTTGAAGAAGTAGAGAAGGCCAAGGAGGAATTAAAGTTAACGAAGGGCTTTTTCCAAAAGTTTACAAGAAATGAGAATATTAAGAAAGGGGCTTTGGGGGAAAATAGTAAGGGAAATAAAATAGATATAATCGAACGTTTAAAGATTGAAGCATGAGGCTATAGAGGCTTTGAGATATTTAGTTTCATATTCAAAAAGGAGAGACACTAAACTCCAAAAATGAAGGAATAGGAGATAGAATAGGAGCTGTAGACTCACAGGAGCTGTAGACTCACAGGAGCATTCTTCTGGGAGCCCAGCCCTCCTAGAAATTTTGTCCTAGCCGTCATAATGATCTAGGAGCCATGATTTTCCGTGAGCATTCTCCTGGGACCGCTGTCCCAGAAACTTTCTCCCCGCCGCCATGTTGGGGTGGGAGCGTTTTCCTAAAAATTTTCTTGCGGGTGCCAATAAGAAAGTGTAATCGTGAGGAGCCAAACGAAGCGCAAGCCTAATTATCCGAACAGTCATCGATATGGATCTAGAAATCAAATACAAAAAAACAACATTGAAAAGACCCAAGACTCTGCAGAGAAATTTGTAGAAGGATATCTAGGTCGTGCACTAAATAAACCTACTTTTTAAGATTTGTGCACCTATCGGTTCCAGAAATAAGGAACCTTGTTACATATCATTAAGAACGAAGTCGAGAAAGTGGTATTATAAAAGGCTAAACCGCGATAATTATATTCTCAGAATTGAGGGTTCCCATCTGGCCCCACGTTTTGTTTCAAAAGGGGATGATTCAGGCCCGGTGGTGCAGTCAACCCTCCTACGATTTGGAGGGATCGCGGGTCCAAACTTGGCTCCCATGCTCCAACTTTTATGTACCTGTTGACCAGTGACGCCAGCAGGCGAAATGCCTAACGTGAGGCCAACCCCAACCCCTAAGTAAATCATATTTCAAACTAGAGCAGTCCGGATCATAGTACTACAGCTCGCACTGCTCTGATTTAAAGTATGCTGATTCGGCACACTACAGCTACGAGTACACTGACCTTTAACACTTCAACCTAAACTACTGCAACTTATAATACTACAATCTGCAATATATCAATTTGAAGTACGTAGATTCGGCATACATTCACGTCTGAATATTGTGCGTTCTAGTATGACGAATGCTTAACTTCACGAGATTCAGATTCACCTCAAAGAAACGCGTGTTATCGTACGACTAAGCCGGATGAGACATCCCAATACATATGCAAACAGTATTCACGCATTTACGGAGGTCCGAGCGTCCAAAGGGCCAAGGTATAAAAAGCGAGTTCTCCCCGCACCTTAATCTTCAAGACACACATACTCAGAGAGTCCTATGACCCATGGTTGACTCCGGCTCCTGAGAAGCTGTAGCTAAGCTCTTAAGAGTGCGGATTATCACACCAGAGCAAATTTGTTAGTGCTAGATGGACAATCCGCAGGATAGGTCGATGAAAGAAGTGTGTCCTTCTCGTTGTCAATTCGATATTGCTATCAACAAAGAAAACCAAATTCGCAATAGCCGAGCAATTTAGTATCAGAATAAGGACGAAAATACACCTCTTATTTGAGAACATTTGGGCTAATCTCATCTTGCAGTTTAGACAAGTTAATTCAAAGAGAGCATCAAAGCGCGACAAGAATTCATGCTAGTTCTGACATGCTTGTACTCTGGTCAATTGTGAGTCCGGCATTCTTGTGGTCTGAAACAAAGAGATCGCTAGTACTAAGCTCTGCAAAGATTCTCCAAAGGCTCTGACAGCTAAAATAATATGAAATCTGGCAACTTGAATTGTGAATAGAAGCAAGTAGTTTATACAGTTGTGGTAACTTTACAGCAACGTGGTGGTTTGGCCTGAATTTTGCACTGCGACCATCCACCAACATGAAAGCTTGGTCATTGTGCAGCGCACAAAACTTCTCTGCCAAAACTTGACTTGAGGACTAATCTCTGAGACTTGAATTTAAACGTGGTCATTGAGCAGGAGAGATCGCTTGCATCAAATGATGACAAGAGTGGGCTCTTCTTTGCAAAAGTGAATGAATTGACACAGAGATACTTTGACCTCGCTGGAGAAGCGAGAAAGATACAAAGAGAGGTCGGAAGATGATAGAGCTAAATGTGAGATTACAAAGACTTTGTACCCTGTCACAGGTCTTTGACTAGCGCGGGCAATTGCTCCATCAAGTTCTCTACAGCCCATCTCAAAGTAGTCTCCATGTCAATGTCCAAGCCATCTTGCTGGCATTGTATGTTCCACTCCTTAAGAATGTCGTCTTTAAAGTCTCCTTCAACGTTTTCGCCCTTAAACATCCATTTGTGATCTTCGACGTAATTCGGCCAAACGATGTTGTCCACGTAACCCGGCGGGTCTTCCCAGAAGCCCTCAAGAGTCACATATCCGCTCCGTGCCTCTCTTCTAGCTTTGGCTTTTGCGTGACTTACCCGGAGAAAAAATTTGATGTCCATGTGTGGTTGGATTGCCGCCATAGATTTTGAGTAAAGCAAGAAACCGTCGAAGACGCAGAGTCGTACTGCTTTCGGAGAACCATCGAGGACACCGAAGCCTAGGTTGCCGGATGATGTCCAGAGCTTGACTCGAGTTTTGAGTTCGGCGATCGTGGCATCAGAGACAGGGCATTCTCCTAGGGAATTCTTGTCTTCCTTCGAGTCGAGGTCCGGCTGATGCGAATTAGGCTTCTCTACCTGCGAGAACGAAACAGACTTGACTGACCGAAAAAGTGCCAGTCTTGCTGATATAGTCGAGAGACTTGGCAATGTCTGGAATGTTCAAAGATTCTGCGCAATCCCAGTCGAGCAAGTCATGTTTCTTTGGAAGACTGTACTGTGGGTCAACTACACGTGATGATTTGGCAAACAAGGCAAAGAAAGAACAGGAACTAAGAGTCGAAAGAGTTCCGAACTATTGTATGACTTGTTTGCATTCTTTCTCTGTCCTCTTTAAACGGGAAAAGAACTTACTCGACTTCGGGTCTGTAGAAGTCGTCCTCATGAAGAACGAAGGTGTTCGGAAAGATGTCTCGTAGTAAGCGGCTTAAAGTCGTCTTCCCACTAGATGAGCAGCCACTGATCCCAACAACTACAGCTTTGCGACCTTCTGTCATTTTAAGGAAGAGAAAATGACTTCTGCGAAGACACAGATGGAGAAGGCCAGTCGTCGTCTAAACGTACGCATAGTAGCGAGCGCACTAAACTCGAATAGGATCCTTATGCAGGTCTTATCGGGAGAACGATGATAGAACGAAAGAACAATGGTCGAAGATCCTCATCATCCGAGAAGTCAAATCAACTACTTGACTCACTACATAGCATGTGGAGCGAAGTTCAGTGGGAGTCATCATAAGAGGACTCTCGTCCTGGAGCTAGCCCGTTTCTATCTTAGTGCATAAGCACGGTTCTTCATTTATATCCGTGGCCGCGTCCGCGTCCTCCCTTCTTCAGAGGAAGCATGCTGGAACCGTTTCTATGAGACACAATCCTCGAAGTATCGAGAGAAGGTTCTGTTACGGAGCAAAATCAAGTGCCGAATTGGCAAGAGAACCTCGTACGGCTACTTGTCCGAGAAGTCTGTTCGTGTAGATACGATTGTTCAGTACACAAAGCAACATTAATGGATTCCGTACATCCGTCTCTACTGCAACAGCATGCATGGCTTTAATATCTTTAGAGACCATGTGGAACTCCTAGGCTCTTGAGTCTCCTCCGAATGTTCCTAGCAAGTGCTAGACTGCGCTTTTTAACGTCATCAGCTGTGATATTATAGTTTCTGCAATAGCTTAACTACTGAGGTCGGTAGATATGTGATAATATATATAGAGCAGGTTTGATATCCTCCTATTTCACTGTCAATAACCCATTGTTACAAAGCTATCTCTAACTTAGGAACTCGGTCACCATGTCTTCCGCCAACCTACCTATCGAAGGCACCAGAACCAGCCTCGACCCCGAACTCAAGATTACCTTTTGACACGAAAGCTGCTTCGGAGAATAACTCAGGGTTGTACTTAGAATGCGAGTTTGATATTCCCTTTCAGCGTATACCGGAACTGACAAATTATCAGGCAACGGCATCTTCTCCTTCGCAGATCACTATCTACCCCGCGGCACCCCTCCAGCACATAAATACGTTTCCCCTGGCATGCAGTCGATTGATTCTCTGAAAAACGTTCCCCCAGCGGCCGTTTTCACTTGCGGTTTTGATCCTCTGAGAGATGTTGGCGTTGAATACGAAACAAAGTTGAAGAAAGCTGGGAATAAGGTTGCTTGGCATCATTTCGATACTCTTACACATGGCTTTCTTCAGCTCGCGCCTTGAGTGCTGAGGCTATGAGGGCTACAAAGTTGGTTGGCAGTGAGATGAAGAGGTTGGCGTATGGGGAATAGGGTAGTTTATAGATTATAGCATATAAGATAGAGAATAGAGTTGAGTAATTTGTCGGCTTTGTTTACTTGATTGATGAAGTGACAAGGGGACTCGGGTCTTCAGCAACCGTACATATACTCGCGATACGAAATAGAAGTATTAGCCCCCAAGAGACAAAGTCAATCTGGAAGCTGTACATGCGACGATTAAGAATCATAGTGCAAAACATAGCTCAATCCTGTGTATGCATAGGAAAATAATCACATATTGCCATGTGTATCAAAAGTAGACAGTTCTCTTTCTTCGAACAATTTTTACTCTATTTCTATAGGATTTCTTACAAAACGTTAGCAGTACAAGGTGCAACGAGAAATGCCGGGTTATTGTTGGGCAATTATTAGCAAACTAAGATGTAACCTTCTTTAGCTTGTCGTCTCTATTCAAGACGGTGCTGATTGTCTATATTCGAATTGCTTTGCTTTACTTGGATAGCTCTACTTGAATAGCCTTGTTATAGAGGTGCGACGTGCAACAAAAGATTCAAATGTCCCAAAATCTTTGTGACATGTGAGCCCATCCTACAGCTTGCCTGTACAATCATCAAAATGTCTCGTCGGACAACGCCTCAATTCCAACAGTCTAACATCACACATACCCGACTTTCCAACAGCAATCAAACCACCTCACAAATCCTCTACACATTTTATCAGCAAATTCCCTCTCACCGATTAGAAAGGGGAGAAACTTACCTTCCTCCTCCTCCTAAAATCCTCATAAAGATCCAACCACACATCCCTCGTCCTACACTCCTCCTCCCACCCACTAATCTTATCACACCCCGGCGCCACCTTTCTAATCTCCTCCTCGCTCACCACCCACGGCTTCCCCAACGGATGATCCGAAAAATGCACCAACTTCGCCTCATTAATCACCACATCCGGATTCCACTCCTCCTTCTCCCTGCCATCATCGAGCTCAACCTCCAAATTCAAGAACGGCTCATGGTCCTCGGATCTATATTCGCCTGAAAGCAACGCGTAGGTGCGGTGCGGGATGGTCAGGCACGCGGAACCGAAGAGCGAATTCATGATTTCCATGTCGTAGACGCCGTATCTGGCTTTCTTGATGGCGGTTTGCACCAGCGCGAAGGAGGAGGGGGACGGGGTGAGCACCATGATGTGGGAGGAGAGGAGGGGTTTGGTGAGCCAGTAGGCGCGGGGCATGGCTGCGGGGGTGGTGGGGAGGAAGAAGAGGGCGTCCATGGGGGAGAGGAGGGTTGAGTCCGAGTCTAGGACGATGAGGCGCGTGTATTGGGTTTGGTTGAATGCGAGGAGTTTGGTGTAGGAGTCGGCCCAGTTGGGTCCGTAATCTATTTGTGGATTGTCAGTTTGGGTTTGGATGAGGAGAGGGGAGTGGGGTACAATATGCGGTATTTTCATGCTGCACTTTCACCGGCTGTAACTTAACGCTATATTCATCTCTTGCTTTCAGCAACAATGTCGTCTCCACACTCCCGGAAGTATCCAGCAGCGAATAAGTCTCAGGGTACATCAACAATCTCTCAGCCCGTGTTCCCAATCGATGTAAACTCTCAAAAAGCATTACAGCGTTACATAGATACTCGACATTCGTTGCATAAAGAGCGTAAGCGAATTGAGACCAATCGACGTCTTGAGTTAAATAGGACTCATTTGGAATCTGAGGCGTGGTGAAATAACATGAGGGGCCGGTGAGGCGATTCAGCACGTGAGCACTTCGGAATCGAGACCGGAGGTAGAGGAATATGAGCAGGCCGAAGAAGGTGGCGATCGATGCTCGCACGGGTTTGGATTTAAGTAGTTGTCGAAGTGTGGGTTTGGGTTGAGGTACAGCTTTGGGGTAGGAGTAGGCGACTCCATCGCTGATGGGGAGGAAGGGGGAGTTGTGGAGGAAATCTGGAAGGTCGGATTCTTCGACTTGGCGTCTCATGATGAAGCTTTAGAAAATGATCCAGCAAGCGAGGTATTGCTGGCTTCAGTGTCATGAAAAATATAAGATGAAATGCTTGTAAGCATCTCCGTACTTGTTAGACGAGCGTAGCAAATGGTTTGAGAAACGTACCCCTTTTCGAATCGCTTAAGGTCCGGCGATGACGGCCACCTCGAAAGCTCTATCGGCTTACTGCCTACACTCCCGTATCTAAGCAATTCATATTCATTTTTAATAAAAGGGACGAATGATTGCGATTCGAAATGCTGAAGTTCAAATGGTCCAAAGGTTGATTGTTATTGCAGGTCTTGCGACGCGTCAAATACGGCGGCCCGTCTTGCAAGACGTCGGGTCGCCAAGGAGTTGCGCAGCACGTGGGAGCGAAACTTCGGGCCAGACCTAGCTAGGTATTCGCATTCCATTCCGGAGTATGGACGCCGAGAATTTGTTGCAGCTGTTGTATCTACATGCATGCTTTGATAAGAGAGGTTTTCTGACAGTGAAGGTGGTGACGGGAGGGGCTACTGGTCACGTGGCATTGTCAAGTCGCAGTTTGGATTTGGATTGTTTGCATTTCCTCTATGTGGTATCCATGGCTATATATATACAGTCACGACACGAATTTGAATCAATGAAGCTTACTATCACGAGGTTCTGCTTCCTGAGATAGAATAGATGAGGGAAAGCAGGGTATCGAGTGATGAATGAAAAATGAGAGACAATCAGAACGAGCAATGAGTCAGTGAGATATGAGAGCAGAGAAAGTCTCTGATCGGGCGTGGGAAGCAAGACCTACCTCGATGACGGGATCGGACACTGGAGCAACTTACCTCAATGAGGAGTTGGATCACAATGTTTCCGCAGACATCGTCTTTCAAGATTTTGTCAGCATTGCATAAATTTAAGTACAAGTGAGGAGGTTGCACCTTGTCATCCCATAGTCCAGCCACCCTCTTCCACTAAGCAAGTCGGACGCCTGCTTGCTTCTGCTTCTTTCGTTGCTGTGCTGTAGCATTGCTCATACCTCCCATCTGACTCCCATCGAGCGAGCTCTGGGCTTCTCTTCGCTTCTCGTCCTCGATCTTCTTCAACATCTTCTCGGTCTTCTGCTTTCCGCTTCCCTTGCCGTGGAATTGATGAGACAGATGCTTAAAAGCTTCCTTTTGGTTCATGCTTCTTCCAAAATCGTCGATATACTTCAGTTCGACGTTTGGCTTGTATTCTTTGTTGAAATGCTCAGCAAGCTGGCGTGATTCGACCTGATCTCGGAACGTGTTCTGTTGTCGTGCATACTCTTCTTTCTCTCGAGCAGACATGCGATCCAATCGTCCAGTAGCACGGTCTCGTTCTCTTTGCGCTCTAGCTTTCTTTTCAGCGTCAGCCTCGCGACGTTGCTTCTCAGCTAAGAACAATTGCTTCTGTCTGAAGATCGCATTGAGATCTCCATTCTCTTCCTGCTTAATTAGACCTCGCTCTTTTAGAAGTCTCATCGTGGCGCCGACGCCCCGATCAAGTGTAGCTTCTGCTTCGAGGCCGTTGTTCGTCACTTCATCGAGAGCTGATGCTTCTCGTTTAAGTCGTTCCAAACGATCCTCTTCGTCTTCGACGTTGGCATATGATCGGTCCATATCAATATCACCTTCTTCATCAGAGTCACCCATCGCTGTGACAGCCTCAGCTTGTCGTGATGAGGATCTTCGCTGCTTCCGTTCAGGTGCACTAGGCTTCTGTAGATTCGCAACGAATTCTGACGTCTCGTCTATTATCAGACCACCCTCTGCCTCCTCAGTATCCGCCGCTGGCGTAGCTGACTCCTCTTCTCGAATTTGTTGTACGAGTTCTTCTGGCCTCAGCTTTTGTCGTTTCTTGAGAGCACCTCTCCTTTGCTTAGCAAGCGAAGCTTGAAGATCATCGTCGTCAACAAAAGACGTGTCTTCAAAAGTTCTCTTCTTGACAAGTTGAGCTGGCTGGTCGACTTCCATAGCTCCGTCTTGTGGGGTATGTGCTTGTTCGGCCATTGGGAATATATCGTCCTCGTCTGCAGCTTTCTGTCGAGTAGACTTCTTCTTGGACTTTTTGGGTTTCTTGATCTTGATCTCTGAGATGTCTAGGTAGTCGGACTTTGGTTCGTCTTCTACAACATAGTTAGCAAAAGACATCAATGTAGAAGTCGCTGGATTGTGATACGTACTCAAGAAATCAAGGCTTATTGCCTTGGGCTTGATCTTCTGTGCAGATATGCCTTCTGAAGCAGCTTCGGCCGTACTTCCCATACCATCCAACGTGAATCGCTTGCCCTTCTTACCGTCGATCTCCTCGTCGTAATGGGATAGAATACCTTTGCCGGTTTCCTCGTCATCGTGTGGGTTGTAGACAGGCTTCTTCTTTTTGAGTTCCAGTTTCTCGTTCAGACGCTCGCGCTCTCGGAGGTCCAGGTTCTCAAGCTCATCCCCCTCCTCTTCGTTCTCGTCGATAGTGGCATCCTTCAACGTCAGGACTTGTTCTTCGCCTTCCTCAAAAGTATCCAGTTCATGCCCGACTTTGACACCAGCAAGATCTTTAGCCGTATACTCCGCAGCGGCTGCTGCTTCAGCTTCCGCCAATTCTTTTTCTCTCTGTCTAGCTTTATCGATCTCCTTCTGTCGCTTCTTCTGTTTGATCAGCCAGGTTTTCGCATCCATATCGCCATCATCATCTGCCTCTCCCAGGCCCTTGCCTTCCAATTGCGTGAATCGTTTAGCAGCATCTCGAGCTTTTTTGATAGCCGCGGCCTTTGCTTCGCGCTTTCTCTTCGCTTCTTCGGCTTCTTGTAGTTTGCGATAATTCTCGTAGCCTTCGGCTTGTCGTGACTCGAGCGTACTGCCTACTTCTTCAGCAGGAGCGGAAGATGCTTCTTTAAATACAGGGCCGGCTCCAGGTACAGGCAAAGGTTTCATGCCCAGAGACACACGTAACCTGTTCGTCTCCTCGATAGAGATTGCGTCTGCCATGGTTGCAGTGTTGTGTGTGGTGTCGCGCTGTAACGTTGATTTGGATCTCACAAATTCATGGCGGACAGAATCGTAGACTACGCTAACTATATATGGCTAAAGCTAAAAGTGGATTCATGCGGCCGCACGCAGCTTCGAAATTTTATTTCGTTCGCGAAGAAGCTTCTTCTTTTCTTTCCACAAACACAGATCTGTGCCCAGCAGTCCCTTCAGCTCCGGTTGTAAGGTCGATTGCTGCGGCAGTTCGATCGTTCTATGGAGCCATCAACCTTCACCGGTAACTCATGATGTCAATCATCCGATCGACAGATCTCAGAATGATCGGTCACTCACGAAGCCTGAATTCGCCGCGAGGTTTGAGTTCGGTGGACGAGTGCTCTGAAGGACGTTAATTCCGTTTCGATACCGAATGGCCGTTGGCTGATGAGGTTTTCGACAAACCTAGCTTCCTACATGACGAATCTGGGGATCCCTTTCTGCTTTCGAACCTACCTCGTCGGCGCATTTACAGATGGTCGGCGTTATTGCGTGCCTCTTCGCGGGATAGAGGTGCTTTGGGCATATAATGTCGAGCTAGAAAGACAGTGGAGGAGGCATACGATGGGCAGGTGGCGACAACTTAGGCGCACGGGAAGACAATGGCCGCGGATTATGGTCTCGATGGCATGCACCTGCAACCACTTGTGCTGGATACGGCCCGATGATGATGATGGACCAGCGTTCAGTATACATCACGGTCTATACATGTGTCTGCCAATACAAGGTGAGATGGGTACAGGGCTAATTATTATCAATCATTATCCAATGCAGAGAAGATCTTCCATTCATCCAAGACCACTCAGCTTACTTGCCTCAAGTCCGAACTTGCCTCTACCTTAGCCTCTCTCTCACCGTCTATGCCGCCGCTCCCAAGTCGAGCAACTCTCTCCTTGGCTCATCGTAGCCTCGAAAAAGATGGATCCAGCAGCTATCTCCAACAACTGGAATCAACCGCGGAAAAGACTCATGTGCATAAGATTGAGGCGCAAATACAGAACCGGCCACACTCTACATCTCAAATCACCATTGTACTGAACATGCGGCTCGAGGCTCTTGAGCAAGATTTTGGGAATGTTTTGGAGTTCTAGCCAGGCCCAGATGCGGGAGATGCCGCTGTCATCTGTCAAGAGATACATGCATACCGGTTATTCTGAGCCGAACCTGGCGGAGCCAAGGGACGGAGACACAACTACAAAGATCATAGCCCAGAGATCAGAGCACCACTCTTGACAAATGCCATGTAGACGGACGTTCCTCGGAGTGAATTATGTTCCGTGAGATCTGATAGACTTTGAAAAGCTCAGATGACTTAAGGTTGTCTCCATAAATCTCTCCCCATTGCGTGTGTCTGCACCCCTCTTCAACGAGGACTTCGGCCAACCACTTCATGTCCTCGCATGTAAGATGTCGGTAGACAACGTGCCTCGCGTGCCAGACTCTGGGGTGGAGTACCAAGAGCCAAGGGGACGGACCGATAAGGATGGAGTTGTGGGCAATGTGGGGTCCCCAACATGCGGGGTTGGAGCCAGAAACAGCTTGATGCCCTCCGTGAGATGCAGGACGCCCTATAAATGTTATGCAGTTTTATATTTCCTCTAAGCGAGCCTCGATTCTAGCTCTACTGCCAGCATCTTGACCTCCAATCATAGATTCACAATGTCAACTTCCCTGTTGTGTCTCCCGCACGTCTGACGGGATAAAGATGCGCCTCACTCGGGACTGACTACCGAATGCGACCTGGCACAAGCCTCCACACCAGCACTTCCCCTGATTTTCACCGAGGTCTCCAGCTTGCCCTTGCGATTTCGACCTGCCAGAAAGCGAACAGATCCTCACCTCGTTCACGGCGCTCCTTCTCCATACAGCGAAATCGTCATTCCATGCAGGCCCAGCGCAGAAGTCACGAACGGAGATTTGTGAATGCGGTTGATGCATCTCGACTCAGTAGCGGCGGCGACGACGTCGGCCAAACTCGACGGTCACGAATATCGCCATCGAGGAGCTTGGACTGTGAAGTCAAGGGGTGGATCTTGATATAAAGTCAAGATGTATCTCATTCATGCTGCTTTCCTTTTTATCCTCATCCCTCTCTCTACCTGCTTCAATATCACCTTTCTTGGCTCGACTCTTTCTCAGCCCATCATGTATTCTTTCGCATCTCTCGCGGCAGTTGGCAGTCTTGCTATCCAAGCCGTTCTATCTTTACCTGATCCAAGTCGAGTTAAGGAACGCGAAGCAGAATTTGTGAAGCGTTCTGTTGATTCCTTCATTGCTACGGAAAGTCCTATTGCCTTGGCAGATATGCTTTGCAACATCGGATCTGCAGGAGCTTGTGCTTCTGGTGCAAATTCTGGAATCGTTGTGGCGTCGCCTGATAAGACCAATCCGGATTGTAAGACTTTCACAAATCCCTCAAGAGCTCAAGTTGACAAGATCCAGATTTCTATACCTGGACACGTGATTCTGCCTTGACATTCAAGTGCATTGTGGACACGTTCATCAATAGCTATTCTTCGTCCCTGCAGACCGAGATTGAGAACTACATTGAAGCTCAAGCTTATATCCAGACTGTGTCGAACCCTTCTGGTGGTCTTTCCAGTGGTGGGCTTGGCGAGCCGAAGTTCAATGCAGATGAATCTGCATTCACGGGATCGTGGGGCCGCCCTCAAAGAGATGGTCCTGCTCTTCGTGCTACCGCTTTGATTACTTACTCGAAATGGTTGATCAACAATGGGTATTCTTCCACTGCCAGCTCTTTGGTTTGGCCAATCATCCAGAATGACTTGTCATATGTTACACAGTACTGGTGAGTCAATATGCTTCCAAGTGGTCAACACCGCTGATAGCGTCTCAGGAATAATACTGGCTACGATCTCTGGGAAGAAGTTGATGGCTCCAGCTTCTTCACGATCACTGCCCAGCATCGTGCACTTGTTGAGGGTAGTGCTCTAGCTTCTCTTCTCGGCAAATCATGCACCTATTGTGATTCTCAAGCACCTCAAGTTCTCTGCTTTTTGCAAAGCTTCTGGGGTTCTTCTCAAGGGTACATTCTCGCGAACATCAATGAGAATAACGGACGTACTGGCAAGGATGCCAACACGCTTCTTGGTGCCATCCATCAGTTTGACCCCGCAGCTGGCTGTGATGCAACCACCTTCCAACCGTAAGTTCATTACTACACGTCACTGATAAGTCTGACATTATACAGCTGCTCCGATCGTGCTCTCGCGAACCACAAGGTCGTTACAGATTCCTTCCGATCTATCTATACCATCAACTCAGGTATCGCTGAAGGAACAGCTGTGGCTGTCGGTCGATACCCAGAGGATAGCTACCAAGGAGGCAATCCATGGTATTTGAATACCCTTGCAGCAGCTGAGCAGTTGTACGATGCTCTGTACACTTGGAACAAGCAAGGATACATCACTGTAACTTCCACTTCCCTCGCATTCTTTCAGGACTTCAGCTCATCTGTCGCGGCTGGCACTTACGCATCTTCAACGTCGACCTACACCACCCTGTACAATGCAGTCAAGACATATGCAGATGGCTACGTGAACGTCGTCGCCACTTATGCACAGTCAAACGGCTCCCTGTCCGAGCAATTCTCAAAATCCAACGGTGTCCCCCTTTCAGCATACGATCTCACATGGTCATATGCAGCTTTCTTGACAGCAGCAGCTCGCCGAGCAGGTGTGGTGCCATACTCTTGGGGAGAGCCCAGTGCTTCAAGTGTGCCAGCAGTGTGCTCCTCAACCTCAGCCACGGGAACCTACTCCACCGCACCGACAAGCTCGTGGCCATCTAGCCAAACTCCCATCTCAGGCTCAGTAACCACTACCTCAACATCTGTCACAACCACCGGAACCGGAACTACAACTTCTACCACCTCCACCAGCACTACTTCATCCTGTGCGACCGCCACATCCGTAGCTGTCACGTTCGATGAACTCGTGACCACGACGTACGGCGAGACGATCAAGATCGCCGGCAGCGTGGCATCACTCGGAGACTGGGATACATTGGACGCCGTTGCTCTTTCCGCAAGTTCCTACACTTCCTCTAACCCACTATGGGACGTCGCTCTGAGCTTTGCTCCTGGAACCGTCATCCAATATAAATTCATCAACGTCGCCAGCGATGGAACAGTCACCTGGGAAGCGGACCCGAACCACACTTACACTGTTCCAGCAACTTGCGCTACAGCTACCACGGTCAGCAGCAGTTGGCAATAGCTCATGAAAGATGAGTTGGAGCCGGAAAGCGGAAGAGGCGAGATGAGAAGAGAGGATGAGAATGAACATAAAAGCACAGGTTGGAAAGTCCTAAGTTTCGGCATCGCATGGTTTTGGCTCCTTACTTCTAGTACATAGTTTATTCTCTTCTGTGGTTCCTGTGTTCTTGGTCAAGTCATTTTCTAGATTCGTGCTTTTCTCGCTTTCTGCGCCATTTGCGCCATTTGCGCGTTTGGCGCATTTCGCACTATTCGCGCTGTTCTCGCTGTTCACTTGTGATAGCACCAAGTACTTTTGTATAACGGATCTTGAGCTCTGCTATCAAACTAATTATTCTATTTATATTGTTAAGATCCTACATTATTTTCAGCATCCCACCAGGTCCTTGGCTTGTTATTCCAAGCAACCACACTACAATTGAGCCTCTACTGTCAGATGGTATCTAGATTTTGTTTAGTCAAGACGATAGACTCGAAGATGTTGAGATAATCTCGGGAAGTGAAGGAATGAGAGTCAAGCATGAAATTTATATGAACCATTCCACTGGTCACCTGCGATGGAAGATGGAAGTTGCGTTGTCATCACGTGTCGATGCCATCTTACCGAGTCCACCTCGGCGTCTCTTCTCGTCAACCCTTCATTCTTTCTTTCCCGACGTCTAATTCAGCATATCAGATCTAGCTTCTCAAGCCCCGGCCATTTTGAATGCAATATGTCGACAGATCCAACGATGCGACCTGTTGCTAAATGATGTCATCGACGGACGGCCTTCATTCGATGCGAAGCGTGTACGAGCACCGTCTCGAATACTAGCTAACGTACTGTTCGAATTGAATATCAGCTCACTTCTCAGTATTTGCTGATCATGAATCTTTTCCATTACCATAGCGAAGAAGCTGCCTCCATATTCATTTCTCAAAGTGCGGAATTCCTCCCGAAAGTTTCGTTGTGTACTTTCTTCTTTATGAGCAATTTTTTCATTCACCTCATAAGCAAGTCGTCTTCTAGGCGTCGATTCGCGGATGCATTTATTCCTTGATGATCAGCTGCGGTTCGACATGGTTTCAAGTCGATCGCAAAAGAATGATGTTTCGTGCATTGCTGTCATTGGAGTCATATCTTCAGATGAACAGCGCACAAGCTCGTATAAGGAGGCCTTTTTCTTTCATGTTCGAATCAAAGTGCCGTCATTGCCGTCGAGTGGGTAGTGGCAGTGCGGGGGATCTGTTCCAAGGTTGCGCTCAGGCTCGATCGTGGTTTCGAAACGAAACGGTCAGCCACTGACTAAGTAGCTCATGCGAGCATTCGCCCATGCTCGCAATACATATGGCGTTCCATTCCTCTCGGCATCCGGGGATGTACTGTTAATTCTCGGTGACATGCTTTCTTGGCCATGCGCATCTGGTGATCTTCCAAGCGGATGCCATATGTCAATCATGCTTGGCTGGAGAAGATCGCCTCCTCTTGCTGCTCTTATGAAAAAGGGATCAAAGCAGAACGGTTAGTGGATGAATCTACTCCTATGGTTAGAGCTCGAGCCAACCTAATGTGGGTTCACTATATCGTTGCGATTCTCCCACTTTGAGCTTCTCCTGGCATGCGGCAATACCCTCTTGCTTGTTTTCTTTTCCTCTGCTCAGCCTTATTTCTTTCCAGCTTCTAATTAGTCGATTTCGAGCCCGGTGCTCGAATCTGTTTACTTCATTTCTTATGGTCACTCCTTAGACAACAACGTCTTTCAAGATTCTGTCTTTTCCTCCACATCAACATCACCATGCAACTCTCCAAAATCATCTACCTGCTCTTCGCAAGCACCGCTCTCTCCGCGACCACACCTCCAAGACGAACCAGCACCAGCCTCCGCGCAACATCCACGCCTGCAGCCAAAGTAGCCACCCCACGAGTCCTCAAACCCGCGACACCGCCCACAATGTCCGACATCAAGAACTCCCTCGCAAACTGGAACACCAGTGTCTACACCGTCAACGCCTACCTCAACGACCCTCAAAACACCACCAAACTCGCCTCCGCCACCGTCTTCGCAAAAGACGAGCCCGTCCAACTCGCCACCATGATGAAAGTCGCGGGCCTCTCGACGTCCGGCGTCAACGCGGGCAAGATCCTGATGGGCAATTTTGGGAGTATCGTCAGTAATCTGGATAGTGTGCAGAGCGGTGCGATGTCAACGAATGATGCGACGGCGGCGGTCAATTTTAATCGCTGCTGTACGGTATTGCCGGCGATAGGAATGTTGTGGCAGGCAGCGGCGACGGCGACGAAGGTCGGGAATGTGTCGATGCCGGCGTTGGAGGAGCAGTGTGGGATGATGAGTTGTGCGAGTGGGGTTAGTGGTGGGGAGGCGGCGGTTAGGGCGAATGGGTCGATTGCTGCGAATCGATAGGTGTGTAGAAGGAGGAGTGGTGGTTTGGTGTGGGTGTTGGTCGAGGTGGTGTTTGTATATATGTTTTCAATTCACTGTCTTTTCTGGTTGTTGGGAACGGTTTATACTTTTTGAGTCAGTGGCAACGTGATGATCGATGTCACTTGTGCTCGTTTAGTATTTGGGAGCAGGACGGAGTCCAGTATTTTCAGTACTCACTATTCCTGTTGACGGGAAGGATGACAGCTGTCGGTATTGCTGGAGATGATTTGGCTGCGAATTCCCTTTCGTTGTTCAAGAAGACTTGAGACGTCGAGACGGCCGACAACAGCGGAACGATATAGGCAAAGAGGCACCAGCGGAGGCATTGAGACTTGCGCTGGTTGCATGGTTGTGGCCTTGTGGTCTCAAGCTCGTTAGATTAGCGTCCAGCAATTACTCTTCCAGACCTTGACCCAAAGATTGCGGAACCTAGACCGCTTGCTCGAGATGCGAAAATCGAGGATTTGGGGCTCAATGTTGACCGATGGGTATTTTAAAGACAGAGATTTAAAGATATTGGACGATGCGAATATGCTCTACTAGCAGAAGCCCAGAAGAGGCTTTTTTTTATGATGATCAGAGAAGGTTTGCATGTCGGTTAAATCATTCCTGGAGAATCGGAGCATCAGAGGAGATTTCAACAGTTTATGTCGAAGAAGGTTCGGAGAGAAGGATTTGGTTCGAAGAATCTTGTTACCTCGGAGGGGGTTTCTAAGGATGGGAATGTTTGATTTAGCGACTTTGGGCTATCAATGGCAAAGTCAATTGCAACGCTATTAGCGGAGCAACACTACACTACCAGTTTTGTATCGAGGCACTTAGATGAATCTTTCGGTTTAGTCATACCCTCCGTTCTGCTGGCAGTTCCTATTGAATCTAGTCACACGTGACTGTTTTCAGACGCGGGGTAGGCAGCGAATTCGGACGGCCCACACTTGTTTCTCTTTACCAGCTTACATGGACAACCCAGACACTGTTATCCCATCAACATAAGTACCGACTCTACAACTATGACCGAGAATCGCTTCAATGCTCAAGCGGCGGCATGGGACACAAATCCAGATGTCCATGTCGCAAGCTCTCTCGCACTTCAATCCATTTTTGACCACAATCCACAAATCAAAGGCAATGGCAAGGATCTAGACGTCTTAGAGATTGGGTGCGGCACTGGCCTCCTATCATTCATGATAGCACCATACATCCGCTCGTTGATAGCAGTCGATACAGCCCAAGGCATGATCGACGCATTCAACATCAAGCTCGCCAAGCAGCCTGAAGTCAAGAACATTCTTCCTGTCTGCGCCTTGCTCGAAGGTCCAGACGATGTACGGATTCGCTTAGATCCTTTGAATAGGGGAGCTGACAACAATCTCCCTCCTCGTCGCTTCGACCTCATAATTAGCCACCTAGTCATGCATCATATCCCATCTCTCGAAGACATCTTCAAGACTATGCACGGATGTCTGAAATCTGGTGGTTGTATCGCACTGACAGATTTCGAGGACTTTGGTCCGGAAGCTAGGAGGTTCCATCCAGAGGCTAAAATGCAAGGTGTGGAGAGACATGGGATTCCAAGGAAGGAGGTCGAAGAGATGTTGTTGGAGGCGGGTTTTGTGGATGTCAAGATCGAGACGGCGTTTGAGATGGATAAATTTGTGGAAGAGAGTCCAGGAGCTGGGGTGGTGAGAGGGGAAGGAGGAACGAAGATGAAGTTTCCGTTTTTGATTTGCTTAGGCAGGAAAGCGTAGTATTTGGGCTTTGCTGGTGTATACATGTTAGATGAATGTGCCAAAGTCGTGTCACGTCTATTACTAGCTATAGCTGCGAAGACAAAAGGAACTAGTTCACAGAAATCTAGTACTTCTCTTGAACGGTGAAGGCGGAGAGACTTCTGTCCTAATTCATAAAAAAAAAAGAGAGATCTTGAGTTGTGGAAAACTTGACAAGTACACCTGAGACAATGCAGAGAATAGTCATAAGGATGTCTCAAGATTCATTGACTTTATATCTGGTCGTCTCATCCGACTATGTACACAAAAGACTCACAGATCATCATGAAAACAGTCAATAGACTAGTTGCAAAGTGTCCATTCACATGGGAGCATCAGTTCTGCGTCTTAAAATGTGACATTTCAATATACCACAGCTTTGTGATCAACTTTCGATGTAATCCGTGCATCAATCCTCAACATGGTCAACCATCAAACGCATAAGCGGATCCACGAAGCCACTATGGCCCATAATCCTATCAACGAACCTCTCTTCACACAATCTCGACACAACTCAACATGGTTATCCGAGAAAATAGTTTCCTTCGCACAACGCAGAGGTGACAAGCTTACTCACATCCAACAGAAAGCTTTGATATGGTTCCGAACAGAAAGTATTTTCAACCTCGGACCCGCAGACGAGCATCGAAAAGACGAGGACGTCATGGGCGCCTACAAAACTCTGTTCGACAGACTTTTCTTCTTCGGCAGCTTACGCCCACATGTAAAGTGTGTTATGCAGAAACCGAAAGGGGCGGAAGAGCATCTTATGGGGCGCACGGATCAAGATAAGAGCTATCAGTTGAAATGGAGCTATCCATTTCATGAGAAGCGTATGGAAGCTTGTATCACTCTCTTTCGGACAAAAACCAAGAACCGTCCAGAACGATTCAAAGAGTACCTAGCAACAATGTTACATGAGATGATTCACGCATTCCTGGATATCTGGGGTTGTCGTTCTGAGGGTTGCTATAATGTTTGGCAGCGGCAAGGTGTTAAGGGACATGGACATGCTTGGCAGGATGCAGCACTTGCAATAGAGCTTGCTGTAGCAGATAAGTCGATGCTGGGTATTGACTTGGACTTAGGAAGACAGAAGAGTCTTGCGGTTGATATTGTGTATGAGAGAAGATCTGTACCTGAAGAGGAGGAGTTGAGACGGTGGGGTATGAATCAGGGGGAGGTGGATAAGATTGGTAAGATTGTGAAGGATCAACATATTATAACCCAGGTAATGGGTTCCAGATAGGATCTAATAGTATGTAATTGCCTGTAGTGAATGTACGTAGTGGACCTCTACTTCGCTTGTAAATTACGTTCAGGTGCCTTGCCTTTTCGGGCCTAGATCACTACTTGAGGTATAACGTCTCGTCTGATGTTTTCCATGGGATCTTAAGACGAAGAACCTTTACAGAAGCGGCTAGGATGGAAATCATTCAACGGAAGTTGTCCCCACCACCAAATCCTCATGAACAGATCCCCAAATTAGCTACTCTCCACGGAAAGATCCATATATAATCAAATCCAGACCAACTCCACTATGCCTTGGGGATCCGTCCATTGCCCAGTAAAAGGGTTGGCTGCAATTCAATATGGCCCCCGGAAAGGAGATGTCGCTAGAGGGGTAGACCTCGCTTATTGTTCAAGGGCTTGAGGGAGATTCACAGAAATTTGCCCGCAGATATCTGGACCCTAGGCATGTCTCTAAAATCGAATTCCATTGTTTCGCGTCTTTCGTTGTATGTATCTGCCTTGCCAAATTGCAAGAGCGCACAGATTTACTCGGCATATACTTTGATCTTCTTTGCTTCAAGAGATCAAATTCATTCTGATTGTTTACTCTGCTCTGAATATCAACTTTTGAGGTACCCAGCTTTGGTTAACTATTCAAATTGGAGTCAGTAGTTAAAATGAATCGAGTGATCAAGAGAGCTGGCAGGGTTGTATGATTGACGAATGAATCCACGAGCTTTTACGAAAAGAAAATCGAAAGCCTATCTCCAAGACTGTAACCGAGTGAACTTTTGAACGCCTTAGTGTTTCCATGGCAAATATGCTCTCTTTCTCCTCGCAAATCAATATATATCCTCTTCTCCTCCTAGTCATCCAATTTGAACCCCCCAGGAACCAATCTTTGAAACACGCCTTCTGGATCAAATTGCTTACTTAAACTCTTCATTCGCCACAAGTTCTCTTTTCCGTATCCTTTCATAACCTTCTGATCTTTATACGCATAATTTAAATACGAGTATTTGTTGTACAAGCCCAGGGACTTTGATAGGGTGTCAATTTGCGAGAAATAGATTTCAATAGCTTGAGTTATGGGAGAGTCATTGACTGAGTCATGCCAGGTAACTGTCGCGAGGAAGACTGAAGTTTGGCGCATTAGTTGAGCCTCTTGATCTAAGAAAGATGTAATAGCAGGGTAAACTTGCGAATCAAAGGCCCATCCGAAGGGTCAAGTCCCAGAATATTCCCGCCATTCAACTTGCCGTATTGAGTCAAGATTGGTGGGAAGGGCTCGGCGGTGATGCTCCAGGTAACATCCTCTTCGATAAGGGAGAGCATGTTATAGACGGTGCTGTTAAATATTTCGAAGATCTGGCGGATGAGGACCTCAGAGCTGACATACGTTCGAGTAAAGTAGAGCCACCTTCAGCTGCTCAGTATTATCTTTGTCAAACAAAAGCATGTCAATTACCGTGTTGTTCCCTCTTCCTCTCCCTCACTATTTGTGATGGCAAAATCACTGAGATTCGAGACTCTCATAGTATTGATGAGCTGAGGGCCGTAGCTTGTGAAAGGCTCCAGAGTGGAGGGGTAGCCAGCTATACTTGTGTACTGGACGTTACTGATGATAATCCAAGTCCGTGTAGATGAATCGAAATTGTAGGTAAAGATCAGAGAAGCATTTTCATCGTATGTGGGGTCGCTTGAAAATATATGCAGGGCATTGATGAAGTGCTCGAATGCCTCTTCGCTGAAAGGGTTGATAATCAACCCTCCCCAGAAATCTCCCTGTGGGAAGGCCAACAGGTCTACCCGCGTTACGATGCCAAAGTTGTTAGAGCCACCTTTCAAAGCTTGCCACAATTCTTGATTGGACGTCGCGTTCGCATTTATAATCTCTCCGGATGCCAATACAATCTGGAGACGTTAGAAACCTAGACTGAAGAATCGCGTAAGAACAAGAGGCGTTGTTTAGTATGCTGGACTGAATTTGCTCACTGCTTGAGCCGATCATCCGCTCTGTTCTGATTACTTACCACAGCTTGAATACGCACTGGAATATAAACATCCGAAAGATCAATATTCAAGCTCGGATAGATGATCAGAAGAGAATTGATCTTTTAAGCAAAGAAGATTGGGTGGGTGCCTAGTAAAATGCCCCAAATTTATACTTCTCTTACCTGATGGTTCACAACACTGTCGCAGGCAAATCCCTTTCTTGCTGAAAAGAATGATATGCCGCCTGTAACATATCAATTTTTACACCTCCTTCCATAGACGTGGAAGAGTGGCGGGAGGAGCCTACCGCCCAAGATCAAACCTCCAACTCCAACACTTCCCCACCGGCCTCCAACTACTACCAATCCTCTAGCTCCAAGGAAGTTGTAAACATCCCCCCATTTCATACCTACACCTACCCGGGCAACTGTTCCCTGCTTTCCAACATCTATATCCACCTCGTTAAATTCTGCAAGGTCAATACTTACGCCGCCTTGTATGTTCGCTAAACCACCCCAAATCCCGTGGCCACCGCTCTTCACTGCGAATGGACAGTTGCTGGTAGATAATATGGACAATGCCGTAGCGATTTCTGCAGGCGTGAAAGGATGAAAGAAACAAGCGGGCGTTATTGAAAACTCCTGCTCAGTAAAGTATTCGCCCGAAGATGCCGAATATGCTGTGCTGCTGGGAAAGTAGACCAGTGCAGGAAACACCGAGGACAATTGTTGACACTGATGGTAAACATTAGTTCCTTGTTACTCCTGAAAATAAGGGAGAATCACGCAAGTGGGGCTGCCTCCAGCTGAGCATCGTCCAATGAAAGCAAGTGAGAGAGGGGCAAGGATTTTCAGCTTCATACTGTCGCTTCCCTTTGGAGCCTCAAATCAGCGAATCGATTACTACGATTGCAAGGAGCAATGACCATTCGTGAATGAGACACTTGAGACGATACGTCAAGTTTTATGTTCTGAAGATGTATTCAAGGGATCGAGATTTCAAGATTGGGAAAGGTATGGATGACTAATCAGAGTACAGGACAATGCCTGTAAGTATTGCTTACGTGCATAATGCATAGCATACGAACGGACATTCTTCTACTTTTGCTTCTGTTCGGCAGTGAGAAGTTGCAGAGGGAAAAATTCGTGATGTGAGAGTTAGCTCGATGGTGCTCAGAAAGAACTAGCGGAGAATTAGTCTTGGCGGGCCCGAGGACCTGCTGGCGACTTGCCGTTCTTCAGAACTGTATTGATAGAGTCTGCATCAACCAGGATAATATGGAGCGGAAGCAGCAAATAGGGATTATGAGAGAAATTTGTTCTGCTGCAACGACAGTTTTAGTATAGTTAGGCCCAATCGACACACGCACAGCATAGAACGCGAAGCCTTTAATTCATCAGATATTCGATTTACATCTCGGGATGACGGGTCCCTACCCGAACATACTATATCGATTGGCTTTCGATATAACGTGGCCACATGTGGTTTGCCGCCACAAAACGCCGTCGGCTGGGATGCACTGCAAAACATTATTCGAATGACTCTACTTTTCTCGACTCTGGGTAGTACAGGAGGTAGTTGTGTCGTCGCATGCGAATTTTTGCTCGGGCTCTATAGAAATAGAGTGGCATGGTAGTAATGGTGTACACTTTGAATTAAAGTGCATTATAATATCCATGGAAAAAACGCTTTTTAGAACGTTTGAAGGTCATTTAGGCTGTGGGCCTACTTTATTAAGAGATGGCGACATTATCTGCGTAATGCTCGGCGGGGCTACTCCGTATGCGTTCCGTCTAACCAAGGCAGGCCAGTTTCTATTTCTCGGGGAATGCTTTGTATATGACTACATGTACGGGGAATCAATCACAGAATGTGGAGAAGGGAAGTTGGAGTTGAGGAATTTTGTGGTCAATTAAGCTAAATTAAGCGAGAGCCCCTATTTGAGATAGTGAGGAAGTAATCTCATTCAAGAACCCCTTCTATTACTCCACAGGCTCGCAACTTATCGACCGACTAGAGTTTGACGCTCAATGTTAAACGTTGAGTTGTGAGTATTGACAGTGAATCATCAGGTATTGAGGCCTCCGCATCGCCCACAATCACGTCTATCTTACTCATGATATAAAGTCTCCTATCAAATCGTTTTAACGCAAGATTACACAACTTCCAAACCCACCATCAACCATAAAGTCTTATTTGAAACAGTATTTCAACATGACAGAGACGAATCATGTCACCATGGTAGAAAGGCCAAAGCATACTCCGCTGCCTATCGCTCTCGAAGGCTTCGTGCCAGGTGGTCTAAAGCCTGAGGCCTACAGCATATCAGATCTTGCAAGCGTGTTGATCACACACATACGCCGCACTGACCTTACAAGCATACAGCAGAGGGGCCTAACCAGATACAAATACCAAGGGAGCTTGAACTGGGGCGAGCCTGGGAATGTGTCCGATATGAAGAAGTTTTTCGACATATTCAACGATGTGTACTTCAACGGCGTTCTGACGGGGTATTGCAAGCTCGGCACAGTCCAGCCCAAAAACAGCAAATCGCCTGAGTTCCTCCGTTATGATTATGTATACAGCTGCGTGTTGCGAAAAGGCAAATGCCGAGATGCAAGATATAAGAGGGACGAAACCTTTGCATACATCATGTACGAGGAGGAGCCTCCAAATTCGGCGAAAGTGTTCGATTCCACGTGGAGGAAACTGAACGGCCTCCTTGCTGAGATGGTCTTGGTATGTTTCTCCATCTTTCACTGCTCCTGCGAGCACGGCTGCCAAGCTAAGTCGACAATTCGTAACCGATGGCGTGGATATGATGTGCACTGCCAAGCAGTAGCATACACAATAGAAATTTCGTCAAAGAGAAAAGACTTGTTGGGAATGGGAACGGAATTGAACGGGCTTAGGCGCATAGTGCTCCCGGTTCGAGCTGGAGATGAGTTACCAGAAGCTGTTGAGTTAAACCAAGCTGAACTTGAGTCGGGATTTGACGTGGAGGAGCTGCGCACCGGAGTCAAGCGCATATTGCCCATAGACATGTTCTCCCTGGGCTTTGAAGAAGAAAGAGTCTGTAAGAGGAATGTTTGTCTGCGGTCACATTGGCCGGTTTCCTGATTCATTCTCTTATCAAATGTTTCCATAATAGATAGTACTATTCGCCATTGCAAGCGTTAACACTTGGGTGATCTCATATTGTCAAATACTTTTGGCAACAAACACAATATCAACAAGTAAAGCCTCCATTTTACCAATAGTCTAGCATGAACCAAAATATGAACTACGGAGTGAGATCGTTGGGTTTCCTTACAAGTTGCTACAACACTTTTAAAACCTCCTGTCTCCTCTACCTAAATTCAACAGATTATTGAGTTTTTTGCACTTTTGAGCGAATTTATCTGCACGTTCTAGGAGTCAGATGTGGGCATGAAGATTCAAGGAAACTCTTCAGCCGCAACGATGAAGAATTCTATTTACAATCACAGCTGTGTTTTATTCACTTCAAAATGCCGCAGAACCGTCATCTGGTGATGATATATGGGGCACAACACGATCCATTACCTATCTGCAAATATTGATCACACAAAACAACCAAGCAGCAATCCACATACCCGAGCTCACCGAAAAATGGAAGATACAACTCCGAATCACATTCCGCCACCCATCTCCAGAGATACTTTTCAAGCAGGCAGCATGAAGCCACATACATACAGCATGACCGCTATCCGCGATGCCATTATCGACCACCTGAACAGATCCGAAGACGAGCTCACGGAGAGGCAAAGATTGGCTTTGGAGAGATACAAGTACCAAGGCAGCTGGAACATGAGCCAGCCAACCAGTCTGGAAAATCTGACCAAGTTCTACAACTTTTTCAATGACATCTTCTTCAATGGCATCTTAACAGGCTATTGCAAGATTGGAACTTACAAGGCTTTTCGTTTGATACACGGGGAAGCAGCGTACTGTCAAATACAGTTCAAAGATACCTAGATAAATTGATTCTCCCTTCGAATATACCACGATATCTCTTATGTTCAAAGAGACAGAAGAAAATATGCACCCATCCTACGCGCACCCATTCTCCGCTATGCTAATGACATTGGGATACTTGTTGTACGAAATGTCCCATGCGGCGTTGGAATTATTCAGTTGCAGCTGTAACCACGGATGTAGGCAAGATCTTGAACATGAGGACGAGTTCGCCGGCCATGGGGATTTTTGGCAGGCGATAGCTAGCGAACTGGAGTTAGCAACCCGTGGGGATAAGGGTGCAGCTCATCAACTATTCAACCTGCCGTTGGACTTGCAGAGGCAGACTTCATTATCAGCTGCCCTATCAACTGGTGCAGAGTTACCTAAGGAGCCAGGACTTAGCATGGTTCTGCGACAATGGAGGTTCGATTCTGGGGGTTTATTTGAGGACTGTGAAAGACAGAGAGCGATAAGGACAGCCTGGAGACGCGAGGCAGAAATGGCCGTGAAAAGATATTTCCAGATTGAGAGGAGAAACATGTGTCTTACAAGCGGGTGGGTGGAAGGCAATAAGTCTGATTATTAAATCAACCTTTTCTTTTCATGAGATACTTGACCTCCGTACCTTCGATAGACTTCGACGAAAGATCGCTAGCCACCAAGGCGGTATTATTCTGAAGTGACTCGAGGTTTGTGGCTGTTGGAATGCGGTTGTGAGACTTTCAGTGAGAAGTCAAAATAAATTCTCTAGCACATGTGGAAAAGTTTTAGTGGTCAAATTCGTGTTGTTGCCGCCGCAAAACCTTCTTGAAGAATGGCGAGTTAAGTCTAGTAATATGGAAGTGTTGCATGCTCTGAACCATATCCTTACATGGGACACTTCACTCCTCAAAGTCCCACGGGCGGTCATCAGCTGCACCTTCCGTCTCACTGTCCTCGATCCAGTCTCCAAATGATTTCCCGGGGTGGCGTTCAGGATAGCGGACTCTTCGACCCGCATGGTGTTTCTGTTTTAGCAAACTAAGCTCTCTTTTGGTGACAGCGTGCGTTAACTTGGACTTTGCATGAGCATACCAAAGTGAATCATCTTCTTCTTCATGAACTTCGTCCTCGGTATCATCTTTCCGATCTGCTTCAACTACGCTGTCGATGTCCTTCTTCCCCGTCCTTCGGAACACTACCTCTACGCGAGGAATACTCCAATTTGGCAGCTCGTCCGCTTTGACCTTCTGCAATGTCCTTTCGGCATGTTCCTGGAGCCAAGAAGCTCTTTTTCCGAACAATGTTCCTTGCTGATGCTTTAGAGGCGCGAACTTTGTAAAATACTCCGTAGTTCTGGCTTCGTGGCGTTCGATTGTTCTGTAAGGCGAATACCAATATGTTCTAGTCCATACGCCAACAATTGCTGTTTACGTGTGGCACCCCTAGTTTATCAACTACACCTGCCATTCATGAATGGCAGGGCCCGCCATTCGGGAACAGCGCCACTGATAAACAGGCCGGGAATAAGGCTCTGACTTTAGCCCTAGCACCTCAAGCACCTCAAGCACCTCCAGCACCTCCAGCACCTCCAGCACCTCCAGCACTTCTAGCACTTCTAGCACAGCAATAGGGCATAGCACTAATATCCATTGCTTCAATACATCTCAAACCTAGAGCATAAGATTCTAGGTAGTGTGATAGAGGTGAGGAAGGACTGAGGTGCTAGAGGTGCTGAGGTGCTGAAGTGCCTGGAGTGTGCTGTGGTGTTTGGAGTGCTGTTCCCGACTGGCACCCCGCCATTCATGAACTCTTGCACGAAGTGGAGCCGTTCACGTATGGCAGGTCTAGTTCATAAACAGGGGGTGCCATACGTAAACACCCCGCCATTCGTGAATGGCAGGGGTAAAGTTCATAAACAGCAGGTGTTCGCGTATGGACTAGAACAAATAACGATATGGGCGAGCAGGGGAAATTCGGCCCAGACTCTTGCTCGCGCTGTGGCAAAAACCTCGAAATCGACTGTTAGATGTCGAATATTCTGAAATATCTCCACATCCTTTTGAATTTGCGGCCGCAGGGGACGGCTGCTATTCAGCTTTATGACCATGTCTACCAGGATCAAGAAGGAGGTCCAAGTCTCTCCGTTGGTCGCACCAATGAAGAAAAAGTCGTAGAGTGTGTTGAAATAAGCTCGCTTCTCCCTGCCTTCCAACATGTCGAGTGGCATCAGTGTATACACTTGCTGTGCAACAGAACGAGATTCGCGACAGATATGCAGGACAGAGGGGACGTCTCGATTCTCTGAAAAATAAAAGTCCGCATCGTAAACCATTTTGCTAGAGCATCTCCTAGGATCGTGGCCGCAGTTTCTGAATGTTTCGAACCAGTCCACGGCATGTACATTGTTGTATCTCGGCTTGTTCATCCGCGAAGCAAACGACCCTGACATAAAGTTAATGTCAGTTTGAAATCATTAGAGAAGAAGGGGAAGGAGCTGTCTCAAGAGCGAAAGACTTATGAGCAAATGAGCATTACTCCGCTTGTAACTTCTCAAATAGTCTCCAACCTTGAAGCTTCCACCCCTTTCTGTAAAGTGGTTGGAACATACAAATTCGTAACCGTAGTTCCGTCGGCAGGTCATCAAAACGATCGAAAGTATATGCCGGCACCGCTCGATTTCGCATCGCAGAAATGCCATACTCCTATTCGACGTTAGACCCTCGAAACCATTGGCCGTGTTCCAATCCCCTTAACGTACCTCTATATCTTGTAGTTGTGTCCTTACAAAATCATCTGTAATCTCTTCTTGCGCAATTCGGTGTTTATGCATCACTCTGAGAAGCTGGTGCTCGTAATGTTTGCGAGTAGACTCGCGGATGTCCTTCAACCATTCCTGCTTCTGAAAGAGCCGTAATTCGTCACGAAACTCGTCTTCTACCTCGCCGTCCAATGCATCCTCGCCCGGGCAGTGAAGCCAGTCTGTCATGTTTCCGTTGATGCCAGATGGAAGTGGTGTACGATTGAAGCGATTAGGAGACGTGACTTAACGCGTCTCAGGGGAAAATAAGCTACCGCAAAAAGCTTGGGCCTTGTCACATGACACCCTTACGCAAGATTGCTTTATCACCTCGAGATCACTTCATGCGAAAAGAAGTTCTGTTTTACCGTACTTACTCTTTCTCTGTATACCTAGATACCTACTGAGGTAGACATACACGCCTGTAATTATCACGTGGCAATCAAGTTTTACTCTGGTCATGCTTTCAAAACCTATTATATTTCCAATTATTATATTTATTTCTGCACTACCAATTACCCTTTGAAACTCGCGCAGCAAAACTCTACAACCCCTTCTCAACCTGCACCGTCTCACAGCTCTTCTCCTCATCTCCATCCACCGTCTTGTCTGAATTATGCGCATACTCCTCCAACCGTGGCTGATCCCTCCACTTCTTCGCCGGGATACCATGGATGAAGAATCCATTGATCTCCTCGATCGTGCGACCAGTGACTTCTCCCACACCGAAATACACGTAGGAGAGGGAGATGAAGCACAGTCCCGTGTACACAAATCCCGTCTTCGGTCCCAGGTTGGCGTTGTAGTAAAGATATGGCAGCGTGAAGACCGTTGCCCAGACCGTGATCCAGAAACAGCCAACGGCAATGGCGTAGATCTTGTTCCTGTTTCGACCTACTGCCATTTCTGAGGCGATCGTCCATCCAAGTCTAGCGCAGCGTTAGCAAGTATCTAGGTCATACTGGGAAGAGAAGAATTACGGTCCCCATGCAAAATTGAACGCTGTGATCTCTATTATGATGAATGCGAAGATGACTTTGCCGAATGTCGGAGAGGGAGTGCCACCTGGGATACCGAGACATCCGACTAAGAAGATTGAGATCGTCATCATTATCGTTGTGGTGAGAAGGAGAGGTCTTCGAGGCAGTTTGTTGGCGCAAAGGACGGCAGCGAAGACAACTACCACTTGGATAATCTGCCCAGGATTAGCAGTTTTCGAAAAGGTTTTCGGGATAGCATAGGGCTTCCAGCCTCCCAAGATTGTCCCATTGCTCAGATTGAGCTGTGTGGAGGGAGTAGCTGGCGGGGTAGGCTGGGGAATCAAAGCGCTCGGAGTAACTTACAAAAACAATCAAAGTCATCAAAAACGGATCCTCCAACCCAATGGATTTCGAAAACACAGTCCCAAAGTAATAAAACCATTGTATACCATTGATCTGTTGTGCGATCAAGGCACCAGCAGAATACAACACCTTTCGTCTCTCAATCGGATCGCAGATCAAATCAATCCACTTCGATTCGGAAGCCATTTCGGCTTCTTCGTCCAGATCTCTCTGCAAGACATGAATGTCATTGTGAGGAGTGTATTCTTCACCATGATGGACGCGAATTAGAGCATTTTCAGCAGCTTCTTGTTTGCCATTGCGGAGCAGCCAGCGGGGGCTTTCGGGAACCCACCAAAGGCCAGCTAGCATCATGAGAGGGAATAAGAGTTGCACACCCATTGGTACACGGTATGCCGTAGTGGTTTTCAGACCTTCTGTTCCTCGATTGATGCCTGCGGCGATAATTTGAGATACGGAGAGGACGAGTTGCCAGCACATCAAGAGTTGCCCGCGAATAGCTGTAGGCGCTATTTCCTGAAAGTATGTCAGTCCAAAACAACGTCAGAGTGTTTGTGTTGATTTGGTACTCACTCCTATATACAATGGAGAAGTCGCAGATAGGTTACCGACACCGTAGCCTAGAAGAATTCGGCCACCGATAATCATACCAGTTTGGTGATCCGCAGCAAGCTGGAGGATCACTCCAACAATAAGGACTAGGGAAGCAATGGCAAATACACCTTTGCGGCCAAGGTAGTCATTAAGCGGTGCAGCTGAGAGGGAGCCGACAAGTTCGCCGATGTTGATGACCGATGTCATGAGAGACAGTTGCGAGGAAGAAATGGCGTAGGTGCCATCCGCCCCTTTCGTCCCAAAGTGTTCAATGAAGACATCCATTGCAGTGACACCAGTGAAATAGACGCCATCGTAGCCATAAAGACAGGCGCCAAGTGCCGCAAATGCGCAGAAGAGCCAAGCATAGGGATGCTTGAGGTTAACCATGTTGTCGATGGGAGGGACCAGTACTTAGATGAAAGGGCTGAAATGTGAGAGTTCAACTAAACACACCTCTTCGATTGTGATATGGCAAATTTTGGGTCCGTTCTTTCCAGTGCCAGGTTCTGTAGCTTTATAGTCAATCACTCTATGTAGTCTCTCATTGAGTCATGTTCCCCTGACTGCGGGGGAGGCTCCCAAGAAGTCTGGAAATCAAGGATCCAGAATGCCAGCATTCCCCACAAATGCAAAGTTTGTGAGATCATTAAAATGCAAAGAGGCTGCATCCGGGGAAGAATGGGGGTTCACTGGTGCTAAGCGGGGCCCCCGATTTTTATTTCGAGCCAAGCGAGTGTGCCGATTGGTTTAACGACCATTTTTGCGGCATCTTGGAGTATGCCGATTCGCCAGTCAAGATGCCGCCCAGATGCCATAGAATGCCGTTTAAGAACTGATTTTGATGTGGCGGCAACATCCCAGTGCTAATCTTTCGGCGTATCCTGGTGGAAGGTTCACATGTCGACCCAGTCTGTCGGTCCGTGGTCGAGAATATAAACTCGTGAGAGCTCATTGAGATAGTATTGTTCCATACTCGGATGTTTCTCCTTTGATTCATATTCTCAAGCTTCGACTCAAATCCAACATGCTGACGTCAACATCTCTCGTCTCTTCCATTCGGCGGCCGTCCAGGGACACAGCAGCAGCAGATGCCATTCCAATTCTAGTGGACAATGAATACCACCTGTTCCACTTGACGACACCTCCTTCAACTGTCCATCATCCCGAAAGATTGAGATCCTCATGGTCACACCTCCGCTCCAAATGCCTCACTCAGTGGCAGCGAAATGAAGAATTTGCTCTCTCGCCAGGAAAGAGTCCGCAGTCCCCCGATGCAGACGGTGTTTGGACGGGATCCGCAATCACAGGCCCTGACGGCAACATGCACATATTCTACACAGGTTATAATCTTTCCGAGAATGGCAAGCAAGTCATCATTCATGCGACTTCCGAAGATCGATTGGGCTCCCGGTTCACCAAGTCAGCGGACCCAATTAACATCACATCTGATAGCTCCAACCGAGCAGCGTTCGAGGACATAGACTTCAGAGATCCGTACGTCCTTTACAACGAGGAAGAGAAGCTGTACTGGATGATTCTTGGGACGAGACTGGCGAGTGGATCACACTGGACACGAGGATGCCTCGCATTGCTCACTTCGAAAGACCTGCAAGCATGGACTTTAGAACCAGATCCATTCTATGCTCCAAACGACATGATGTGTCCTGAATGTCCAGAGCTCTTTTCGCTGCCCAACGGAAAATGGTATCTCGTCTACTCGAGATTCACCACACCTAACGCAGGAATCGTATATCGTGTTGCTGATTCCCCACGTGGGCCGTTCCGAACACCCAGAGATGGTTCAGGAGGCAGACTCGACGGACGGAGGTGGTACGCTGCAAAGTCATGCCCGAAAGCTCATGACCTTTCGAGGAGAATCTTCTTTGGGTGGATAGCTGATCAGTGCGTGGAGGACGGAAAGTGGTCATGGGGTGGGGATATGGCGATGCCCAGAGAGGTGAGAGCGAAAGAAGATGGAAGCCTGGTCATCAGCCCTGTAGAAGCAACTCTTGACCATGTGTTCTCAGCATTGCCGTCATTTGACATCCCCAAGATAGAGCTCGAGGCTATTGGAGGAACCATGACAAAGATTCTTGACAAAGTCAAATGCGAGCGGCCGTACATGATTACCTTCGACGTCGTGTCATCCTCTGCAGCATCCTTTGGGCTCGTCTTTGATGTTGACAGTGATCTGAAAGGATGCTATCTACGTTTCGTGCCAACTTTCAATGGGAGATGCACAGTCTCGTTGGCCATGGCGCCGGCTCCTCTCGACGACTTCTGGGCAGATCAGTACCAACTCTACCTTCCAAGGGCAGTGGATGGTCCAGAGATAGTGAAGCATGAAAATGTTGAGGCAAATAAGACTGTCACCATTTTGAGATCTGGAGACACATTGGAGGTCTTCGTCGGAGGGAGATCACTCAGTTATAGAATACTAGCATCGGACGCTGCATCGCGAAAGGGTAACGGCGTAGTTCGAGATGTTGGAGTGTTTGTGGAAGATGGAATCGTTCAGTATTCGGACTTCAGAGTGACAGAGGGGATGGATTATTGATCGGCGATATGCTCCGCGGGGTAGAAATGACATTCTCTGTTGGCAATTCAATGTAGATTCTTCGTTCTCCACATTGATATGTGCTACGTCTGGTACTTGCTGACGGACGTACTTTACGCCCACCACAGTCTAAACTTCTGAGACAGCAAAATCTCGTGAATGTCGACGTACTCATACTGGCGGAAACTCTGATGGTTGTGCACTGAGCCAGTCAAAATTGCTGAGATCGAGGCCGGCCAAGTTTTCGAAAGGATCGAAAATTCCAGTATAGTCTGTCATATCAAGTGGGCTGGCAGCAACTGTAAGAAGATCGTCCAGTTGGACCGCAAGAGCATGTTCCATGCCCTTCAAAATGGCACCTTCGAGGCGGTTGACAGCGTATTTCATCGGCTCGCAAGCTTTACTCATGAGACGAAGAGTCCATAGATATCGATTCAGCTGTTCTCTCCACAACGTCTTTTCCGGCTCAGATCGCGATGTGACCAGAAGCAAAGTGATAAACGATCCAATGAGCGAGAATCCAAATGGCGAGGCTGCCAATATTAGAAAGGATTCGTGCAAGATTCAAGGTGAAAACCAACCAAAATACCAGAATGCTTCGAGGTGGTCAGGGCGGAGGCCAGAAACAAATGCTATGGCCTCCTGAGCTGTCTCATGAGCGAATTGTCGAGTATGTGTTAGAATGTCAACATCTAAACACAGAGGCTCAAGTGCCGTCGACCTGATGAGGCGTCGTAGAAGCGTGATTTTGACAGTGAAGTAAGATAGATGGAGGTACCCTGCATATCGTCAGCTTCCTCGCCAATCTGCATGTTATCTAGGCTCACCATTAGGACAAAGCCGACTGGCGGTCTGGTAGTCCATCCACAAGGAACGCGGAAGGCTATTTCGCCACGTGTTCAACTCATGCAGTATTGGCATCGCCTGAGAATAAAGCTGGCAAGTGTCTTGATTTCGACTTGCTCGGAGTGAGTAAAATCCTCGTAGGATCTCGCTTAAGATTCGAGTAAGCTGCACCATTTGAACAACCTCAGTAGCGCCTGATAAGCTGTCAACCCGTGTCTCGCCATCATCTGCAGAGCTCCGTGTTTCGAAGTCAGAGATGTCAAGATCAACCACCATCCAATCATCGTCATTGATGTGACTTGGTCGCCCATGTGCTAAAGCAGTCCATTTGTCTTGCATATAGATCGTCCATGAAAGCCTTTTCCGTAAACCTCTCTCCCAATCCGGAATTGACCACAACGAAGCGTCGAGATGCAGACCCAATGCTTGGCCGATGCTGATTGCTTGGCCAGTGCATCCCCAATTCCAAGTATGGTCTGGATTCAATGGGTCTTCGGGCTTACATTGCAGCAGTAATAGCATTGCTTCAATACTGTCAAGCTTGGGGCGGTGATACGAATTCTGGATTGCTAACAATGTCTGTTTCCGTAGATTCGAGACGTCTGGCATGGGCCGATTAGAAAGTTCTCGATCGTACGCCCACCATCCTAGCGCAATGAGATACATTGCACCAAGGAGAGGGGCTGACACGCGTTGGTAGGATTGGGAGTATTTCTCAATGAAGCCTTTCTTGTACAGTAGAGGGAATGAAGGGTGCATAATTCTCCAAAATAAGTCGAGCAATCTTGGTCCATGGGGTCGGATGCAAGCTTCGATAGCATCATGCTCAGTCTGGTGGAATTGGAACTCGACTGCTTTGTTATCATTGACAACGTGAAAGGTTACAGGATACTCCATTCCTTGATCGTTCGGCAGCACTCTGCGGATGCTGTGCGATTCTAAACGGAACTCCTGGTTCGGAGAAAGATATGGTCGATGTCGCTACGCATGATAAGTACATTTGACCACTGGTGTTGGATTGCACATACCATCAATATTGGCTCCATATCGCTCGTGAGTCCGTAGAGTTCAGCGAATTTGCTTGACGCAAGTCCAAGGGAGGGATCAATAGCAAGCTGACTCGGACTCGTGTGAGATTCGGCACGTGGGGCCACATCTTGGTCGTCATTCTGATGCAACGACGCACTGGTCGGGTTCGGGTCTGTCTGGAACGTCAATTCCGTGGCAGAAGCATTCGTGCTGTTGTTGCTGACTGGACTCCAAGCTGAGTTGCTTCCGTTTGTTGGATAGCTTGGTACGAGAGTTCTCAAGACATGGGGACCCCGCGAGCTCGATGCAGGCTCAACTTGAACTTGTGGCCCTCGAGAGCGAACTCTGGGTCTTTCTGGGACATTTTCTCTGAAGGTGCAGACTTCTCGACGTGTTTCGCAGTTGGTACATATTCTGGAAGCTGGATTGACGACACATCGTGACTTCCGTTTGCGACATGCATCACATGGTCGTATTGCTCGTCGAGGTTTTTGGCTGCTGTTAGAAGAAGTGATCTCTTGCATGCAGGGCTTGAGTTGTGGCGAGGTGAGGTTTGAAATCACAATCGAAGGTTGAGGTCAGTCCAAGAGCACGAAATGCGCTATTCCCGAAAGAGTAAGGTGCTACTCTCTCCATTTCCTTTTGCAAGTCGACCAGTTCAAGGTATCCTTCGTAAAATCGTGTCTGCATCTATTTAATGCTATTGAAATCCGTCTATTGAGTCTGTAGACGTGTTGCACCTATGTCCGGTGGAAATAATGAAACACGTGAAACGCCTGCCTTCCTCACTCCCGGGGCCTGCCTCTGAGGTCATATAAAACCTGAATTTCTATCCTCCCATTCCATCACCAGAGATGGCGTCGCAACAGCACCATACTGTATACAAAGCGCCATACACGCCATAATACTAGCATACAACCTCGGGTCCTCCCTCGCCCTAAAATAAAACATCTCTCCCAGAACCAACACCCCTTTTCCCATAGATGTTCTGGCATGCATGTTCGCACCACATTCGAGCAGGACCCTCGTTGCAACTTTCCGGCCAAGACGAACGGCAACATGTAGCGCGGTCTCGCCTGACCGATTTCTTAATTCAAGGTTCGCGCCACTCTGGATGAGATGGCGGAAGAGGTTTGCGAGAGTCTTGTCGTCTTCGCCGTCTGGCAGATGCGTCACGAAGGACATCAGCACAGAGTTGCCATTTTTGTCATAGTGGTTGATGTCAACACCAAACGATATCATTGTCGATGCTAGTTCGTAGCGAAATGTGAGGCCTCTGGAGGAAGAACTTGGTTTGGTTTGGCCGCGCTTTCGTTTGCTAGAATTGCTAATCAGAGCCCTCATCTCATCCACATCTAGGCTTGCTTCCGCCAGACATTGCAGGCCATTGCGACCTTCAAGATCCTCGATCGTAGGCGAGTCAAGAGCTTTTGTTGCCGTTTCGAGAAGTGCTTTATGACTGTATACAAAAGTATCAGCGTCGTTGCTGTTGTTTTGGTCTGCAATAGGGAAGCGGATGGTACTGTCGGGACTCTCCATCCCGGTGGTCCCCGGCAATATCGTAGAGAGGTGGTCCGCACGGTAAATTGCCGATCCTGTAGACTCTTCACTGTTTCGAGGAGGGTTGCTTTTGCGCAACTGCTCTTCGAGCGTGGCGTTGAAGCCCTTGGGATCGCAAGTTGCAACCCATCCGAAAGCATCCCGTTTTGAAGGAAGTTGTATGTTCAGATCCGTTAGAACCCCAAGGCAATGGCGGTCCAACTTTCTTGCTCGGCGAGTGAGAAGATGGAAGAAACTCCGGCCAAAGAGATCACAGTCAAAGAATCTGACATTGAAAGCATTCAACTTCACCAAGAAGCAGTCCAGAGCCAGCGAATTCGTGGCCAAGCGAGTGAGTGCATGACGAGAAAATACGTGGAGGAAACTCTGTTCAGCTGTGTTCTTAGCATTTCCATCAATGCCTTGCCGGAGGGCATCCACAATGACATCGATGTTTGCTCCACGCGCAGCAAGCATGTGTAGTATATTGTTCCCGAAAACATCCCGAAAGTAAACGTTGAGATTTCCCAGATGACGTGGAGGATCTTCACGCTGCACACACACCAACCCATCATGGGATGCCCAGGTCTGGCAATTGAAATCGAGTTCCTCGAGGCACCAGCATGCGTTTGAATCGTGGTTTTTGATTCCAGGAATGCATAGTCCCTGCTTTTTAAAATGTCGTTCAAGGACTAAAATTGAATCCGGCAATACCAGCTGGGGGATTCTGGCCTTGACGTTAGCCAACAGCGTCGACGAGGATCGTATCGTCGAAGAGCCTGTGACCGAGGCATTCTCTGTGTTGACGAGTATGGGGAAGGAAACTTGTATTGTACTGGCGGCGGAGGAATCTGATATCGAATGGGCCTTCACAATGCGAGCAATAGCTTTTACGTAGGAACTCGAATACCGGGATAAACGTCTTTTCAGACTCGTTATGCTCAGATAGGTTGACGATAGGCTAAGGTCGTCCGTGCTAGGAATCTCGCCCGAATTGTGTGTTGGGTAGGATTCGCCATTTGCTGTGTCCGACACCTCTGCCAACATCGACGAAGGTAGTACAAGCTCTTCATCGTACACAATTTCTTGGGCGGAGAAAGGTAAGCTGTAATCAAAGGCCCCTCCGGCGTTTGTCGCGGTAACGAGAGATCTGACTGGCTCTGCAGGCGCGAATGCTAGGAGATCTTCGAGTGGCGTTTCCGAAAAGTCAAAGGAGGGAATGGCATCTGATATTGGAAGTTCGTCTGGAGGCGGTGATGAGAATTGCCGTCTGAACCTCCTCTGTGTTTTGCATTCCGATAGCCCAAGTATCTTCTTGTCCATGTCCTCTCGATCTTTCGGTCTCAGCCATCTTGGTTCCTTATCGAGGATCGCATTAACAGTCTTGATCGTAGATTCCTTCCTGTAGAAGCACGAAAGTTAGAAGACAATTACAGACAATACCTAGGTAGATTATGAGGAACACTTGCCCTGGAACCCAGTTCTCCTTATTGTTTCCATTCTCGACTTTCAAGACCCGTGGGATGTCTTCTCGGGGAAGATTAGTGTACAAGTACAGTCTTGCAAGCTTTCGCTGCCTCGAGGCAGACCATTTGCTCGGTCGGCCACTCTTAGTTTTCGGCGTCGTACTCTTTATTGGGGTCGAGGATCCAGCTGAGCTATTTGCAGATGGAGACGTATTGGCTATCGAGGCAGACATCCTGGCCCGCGTGCGTTGATAACGGCTGAGTGCCCTAGTTGGCTTGCCTTCTGTAATTGAGATGTGACGACTGTAGGCCGATTCAATGCTCTTGTACAAGCGCCGTGGTCAAATTTGATGTGACCTGGGGTCCGAGCATCTTTCATATTCATCGTTAACACCATGTTTGGGCGATGCACCAGCGTTCTGATGTGTTGGTCTCGGTGAGGCTGATTGAAGAGATTCTGGTTGCCTTGCGAGCAGGTAGGTCGCAATTTTGAAGTGTAGAAACCACCCCTGCCACACTTACAGGCTCTAAGACATTTCTATCTTTGGGGACCAATCGAAGTGTAACACATAACGAAGGGGCATTTCAATGCAACAAGTCAAAACGCCTCTGACTCTTTTACGCCCGGAGACAGATAAAGTGTACGAATGCTACAGCCAATTGTGGCTGAGAAAGCAACAAGAGCCGAAACGAAGCGTTGTTCCCCACAGACCGGTGCAGCCTCTGATCAAAGTGTAGCAAGTTGCTTGATCCACTCTCGGTATTGGAAACGAGATAAGCATGAGTGAAGTATCTGTGCACTCTTATCATAATGTGAGGACTAGGTAGGCTCGTAGGCTCTCCAGGGGAGAAAAAAGTGGCCGCTTTGACCAAGCGCGCAATACCTAGGTAATGGACAGAAATATCCACAAATATTTAGAGAATCTTTATTAGAAAATTCTCAAAGGTTCTCTAGGTGTTTGTCTAGAGTCCTGGAAGACAAAGTAATGTTTAGAATATTGAGTGTTGAAAAATAAATATTTCAGTGTATTAGATTTTGATGTTCTCGCATGTCAAAAACGGCCACTTTTTTCTCCGGTGGAGGTACGCTCTCCATCGATGAAATTCGTGGCCGATTTTGCGACAAAGCCTAAATTCACAAAATATAAAGTATTTTGCACAATATATTAAGTTTATATTTAATATTTTTTTATTGAAGACGTAGAATAGCTTCTTGATAAGTTAGAATTGAAGTCTAATTAGAAACAAATTATGTAGGAGTGTGCAATGTTGGAGTTGGTATAGGACATTTTAATGTTCTCGAGTGCTAAAATCGGCTAGGAATTTCACATAGGGAGCGGATATGCCACTGAAGTCATCAAACGAGGCTCTAATTGCCTATGGAACGTGCTCTCAACAACTACGTCGTGAACTTCCTATTGTTGCCATACTCTCGTGGCCTCGGCCCAGAGATGATGAAACTAAAGCTATTTTCTGTTCAAGTATCATAGTTATCTCACTTCACGCAATAGCAAGGCTAAATTCATGGTCACGGGAAAACGCACCTGTAGAGCGTTTCCCATTGACTTTGTTTCTATAAAATGGACAAACCAAAATTATCTCTGCTTCTTCAAAGTTCCCCATCATCAGGAGATCTGAAATCGAATCACTCTACTCTCTAGAAATGGCAAATCTCCACGAATTCAAGATAACCCACGGCCCTTGGCCAGTCGCGGCACCCACCGAAGACGACCCAGTCGTGAACCCCATCTCTCTCCTCCTCTGCCGCTTGCCCATTGGCAATTACCTCTTGAACCCCAGCTTCGCTCTCGTTCACTCTCACTCGAACGAGCACATGACGTACACAGATCCTGTCTACGCCATGCTGACAGCCAGAACCGACCACCTCATCAACCCTCCTACCAAGGCCGGAGCCCAGACCTTCTGGATGAAGACTTACAGCGAGAACAAAGGCTTGTTGAAGTTATTGGAAGCAGCTGGAATCTTGAGACGAACTGGGCAGACCGTGAAGCAGGGATTTGTGGAATTGGTCGGTGTTGAGACGATACTAGTTGCGGGGGAGTTGGGCACAGACTTGCCATAATCACATGTGTGGAAGCAAGGAGCAGATGGGTGAAAGCGAGGAGAGAATGAGGAGATGCGCTAGGTGCAAGGATGCGTATTTCTGCGATACTGATTGTCAGAAGGAGGATTGGCCCAAGCATAAAGGTAGATGTCAGGCTCTTAAGATTGCTGCTGAGGAGAGGGCAGTGGTTGGAGGTTGAAAGTCATATCTCAAACTCGGGATCTCTAAGACGCCAACTAATGAGCAATGGACTTTGTGAATAACTATGAAGACCATCTCAGGTTTCTCAATGATTTATCTTCTGATGCTCTTCTTGTTTGTGCAGGTTCGTTTCCAAGAAAGTCAACTTTACCCTCGCTCACGATCGTGGGCAAAGACCTAGCATCGCCCAAGCAAGGCTCTAGGAGCTTCATGTCCGATGCTTCCATCTTGATCCCATCATCATCCAGCAACTCTACACGCTGTTTGAAGTCGTCCAGGCTCATTGAAATAGGACCAGGCCACCTGAAAAATGTTTAGCCTAAACTTTCCTTGATTCGCGGAGAGAACTGACCAGCAAACAGCAACCTTACACCATCCGACCAGCGGTGGAAACCAAGTTTCCGATTAGAAGTGAATTGCCTCCAAGCAACAATGCCGTGTGGTCTCCCACAGTTGATGTCAAGTCCCGATGGTCTGTAATCATTTCACCGACCATGCGGCGTAACTCGCCACACGTGGAGTCGTCACTATCAGTGTTGATCACTATTGTCTCCATATCCGAGTCAATCATATCATGCGTGACACAGTAGTTGAAAGCTGTGTTTTGGTCCACGCCAGCAAATAGCCATAGCTTATGGCTTGTGTCGGGGATCCGATTAATCAGAGACCGAACCTGTGCTAGAAGAGGCTTCTTGCTCCTCTCTGCGGCCTTCTCAAGTTAAGTGATTCTTGCGGTCAATTTGTCATGCTGCTGGATATCTGCAGCAATCTCATTTCTGAGTTCTGAAATCTGCTTGTTCCTCACTTCGAGATTTGCCACTGTAGTTTCATACTTCTTGTCTTTTTCTTGAATTTGGACCACAAGGGATGAATTTATCTTTCCAAACTTTCCAATCTGCTCACGTAACTGGATGTTCTCATTTTCTCTATCTTTGAGAATAGACTTGAGTGTTGACATCCTGTCGTACAGAAAATCCGAATCTTTCAAAGTCCCCTCGGACTGTTCCTCGAGCGATTGCAAAGCAGCTGGCATTTGGAAGAAAGCTCGTCGGTATGCTTTGGAATCAACCACGTCGTTATCGAATGCAAAGGTAGTAGAAGATACAGTAGTGTTGATGGACTCAATTTCTACTTTCTCTTCAAAAATAGATCCTGGTGCTTTGATGCCAGGATAGGAGTGTCGCAAACGTCGCATTCCGCGATATACCTGCTGCAGAAGCAGATAGTTCTCTTTGACTGTAGCTCTAATATCTTCAATAGATGTCCTAGTCAAATCATTGGTCAATCCTCAGAAGAGGGCAGAAATTCTTACATTTGAAGCGTCTGCAACAACACAGAGATTGTCCCTTGTTGCCCTCTGATTTGCTGTAAGAAGTGTGGGACATGGAATTTGAGACAACCTTTGAACCTGGAAGATCTTGAAAGACTTTTCGCAATCTTCAACGACATATTCTTCAACAGCATCTTGAACGACTTGTGCAAAATCAAGATTGTCAGCCATTGCAATATACTAGAACCATCGACGGTGTCACGGTGTAGATACGGCTATTTGAGATTCGCATTACGACAATGGATCTTTTGGGGGAAAGTAAGGCGAACCTTTCCCTCGCAAATCGCTATTACATTGCTCGAATTCGGAAACGTTGACAGGATACTGGATTCATCTGAAGCAACAAAACGCTACTTGGCTTCCTCCTCCATGAAATGATTCACGCAGCCTTCTTTATGTACGCATACGATTTCAGTCTCGCTCCTAAATATGAACGGGGGACACTGCAGTATCTCGGCGGGCATACAAAATATTGGCTAAATGTGGCCTATGCCATGGAAAAGGCGTGCCAAGGAGAACGACAAACAAGGCTTTTCAATATCAGTCTAGATTTGAAACGATACGACTGCGTCGTATACCATCTGGTTACAGAAAATATTGCACTGCCGACTGAACCAGAGTTATCAGAATGGTTGCTCGAAACGAGATTAGACAAGAAAAAGCTGCTCCAAGACCTTGAAAAGTACAGAATTGAGCAAAGGCTAACAATTTTGAGAAAATATTGGCAGATTGTGCGCAAGAACAGATGCATAGCTGACGTTTGGCATGAGGAAGCACCGTGGGGTGGGCACCTCAAGTTTCCTCTCTAAGCAGTAGCCAGGAAACCTTTATCTTGTAAATAAACTTGAAGTTTTATTGATATCGTTGAAAAGAAAAATATTTAAAGTAAAATCAGAACAAATATATATATCTTCATTTATTATATCGAACTCTTAGCTCAAGAACCAAGCGTCATGGTAATATTCGCCCTCAAGTCCCGAGAGCTAGCTCCAACACTGAAGGTGTATTCACCAGTTGCAATTTTCCAATCCTGAGCTACAACATCCCAGTAGCTAAGATCGCGTCTTCGCAGCGCGAAATCAACTTTAGTGCTCGCGCCGCTGGCAATCAAAACTTTCTCGAATCCTCGCAGTGAGCGAACTGGTGCATCAGCTTCATCTGGGAATTCCACATACAGCTGGGCGACCTCATTGCCGTCCTATTTCATGACATCACAATTAGCATGCTTCTTTCATAACTGTGAGAAGCTGGTGTCAAGAGAACCAAGACACTCAAGCTTTTGGTGTATTAATTCCAAGATTTCATACTCTTTGAACAGCATGGAATAGAGCATAGTGGTTCGAGAAGATAAACTTACGAGGGATCCGGTGTTGTTGATGGTCACATTTACGGTGAAGATTTCATCCCAGAAGTCGGTTTTCCCTCCAACAGCGAGGATGCCGGTTGGGTAAGCCATTCGAATGCGGTTGCGTTGGTGATGGTGGCAGTGGCGGAGGAGTAGTTGAACGTTGTGTACGATAAACCGTACCCAAATTCGAAGTGTGGGGTTACATTGTATTTGTCGAAGTACCTGAAATAAGATCGAGGAGTCAGTTACTGGGCTCTCTTGACATGTCTCGAAAAAAATTGAGGGAAGAAATGCCAATACGGATTTGGTTTGCTAGGAAAGATCTGTAAGTCGTGCATATATCGACATTATAGTCACTCTCGTTCTTGGCAATAGTGTGAATCAAGCGACCTGAGGGATTCACGTCGCCATAAAGAACGTCGATGATGGAGTTGCCAGATTGTTCACCCAACAGGGAGCCGTAGAGAATAGCAGTGACGTTCTCATTCTCGATCCAAGAGTCAAGAATACGAGGACCAACTGTGTTCAATACCACAACAGTATTGTTGCAATTGGCTGCAACAGTATTAACCATAGTGTCCTGGTCGGTGTTTCGGAGCTCGGTGCGGTCGGCTCCCTCTCCGGACATGGCGTTGATGAAAACCAAGCAGACTGAAGCGTCAGTTGCGTAGCCAGCGTAGGTTTGGGTGACTAGAAAGCCGAGTAGTCAGTGGATATCATCTTTTGGGATGTGTTATGAAAAACTGAAGTGAAAATATGACGCATGCAGATTTATTGGGAAAGAATGAAGTCGAGAGGGCTTCCTTACGCCAGGTTCCACCAGAGAAAGAATCTCCCCCACCCCCACCACTAGAACTGCTTCCCGTGTCGTTCCCATATGTAGTCGTATCAAGGTCTCGCTTGGTTGGAATGGGTGCGATCGCTTCGGCAGTGTATGTGTCGTTCAAAATCCACCGTAGCATCGTACCATCAGCAAGAGCCTTGGTAGTAAGCGCGTAGTGGGGAGTGACTAAAATGGAGAAAGAAGTCGTCTCAGAGCCGGAGGCCCCAGCAAGATGCCCTTGGTAGACGGGTCCGGAACCAAGTACTGTGAACGGATAATTGGGCCCTACCATGATCGAACCGGCATGTGCACCAAAAATAGCGATGCTAAGTGGTTTGGATAGAGGTAACGCATTGTTTGTGTTCTTGAGGAGGACCATACCCACTGAGCCAGTAGTGCGGACAACTTGTGAATGATTGCCTCGAACGTCAACGTATGCACTTGTTGATACGGATGCCGGCTGGGAACCATTGTTGAGATTGACGTAGAAATAACCGATTACGTTGCGGATAGCCTTGTCGTCGAGAGAGCTTGAGAGAAGGAGCCGTTGTTAATACCCTCCTAGACAGTTGCGTTACTCCAGTAGCTGGAAGAACCATAGTCGAGACCTCCTTGGGCAGAGCCGTAAGCAGTACCCTGTTCAATGTATCAGCAATAATAATTGCAAATATTTTTGAAGGGGCAGTCCTACCTGTCCGTTCACGTCAGGAGTGACCATTCCGGGAAATCCAATCTCGGTCTTGAGAAGCTCCTGAAGGAGATTCTCGTTCTCACAAGACAAGGTGCCATTCACCTTTGTCATTGCACACATGACTGTTCCCATCCCATTCTTGATCCCATCGTAGAATGGAAACATATAAGTTTCATGTAGGGTCTTATCGTCGACATTACTGGTGTACGGTGCAACATCTGACGTTGAACTACCCGAAGATTGGCGGTTAGTTTCTTGCTCGTTGAGCAAGAAATGCTTTCCACATGAAATAACCCCAACGTCTGATATAGCCTTGGCTCCAAGGCCAAATGCTATGCCGTTCAGATAGGAATCTGGACTAAGACCTTCAACGAGACGTCCAGACCAAGGAGTTCTGCCGAGTGTTTGAGAGGTTGGTGCTTGGGCGACCTAACTCGTTGTATAAGCAGCTGATAGTATACATCTTGAGACAATTTATCACAGACCTGAATACCCTTATCATAAAACTCAGCGGCAACGGCGGAGAATTGAGTGCTGATAAGGTTTTTGTCCCAGGTGTAGACAATGGCGGAGCCTTCGCTGAAGCCAGTTTCATAATTGTAAACATTGGGCCCTTGTGTTCCGTCTTTCATGACTAGCGCAGTCCAATTAAGAGCATCAACATCGCTTCCAGTGATCAATGAGAGCTTCTGCTCGTTAGTCATCTGGCCAAGGAAACCTACAGCCTTTTGATATGCTGCATCCCAGTCACCAAGCGCAACTACTCTCCATCAGTTAAACGACAAAACTACACTGGTTCGTGGACATATACCTGCACCAGAAGAGAGTAGACCTGTAGTGGAGAATGAACTTGAATTGGTAGCTCGCTTGCTCTGGGCTAGTACCACAGGCAGGAGGAAAGCTCCAATAACATGAACGAGTGAGAGTTTCATGTTGAAAGAAGTATAAATATTGCAAAGAAAAAGAGAAACGACTGAATGGTGCGGTGACAGTAATGTTGTATGGTGGCCTCTGCGAGAAGAAGACTCGAGATCTTATAGACTTACGCTCAGGGATTTCGTTTATGGACATGATGGGCAGAAGTCTGGACTCCGCACACCTCCGGACCCTGTTCCTGTCGTTCTGCGTCAACAATATACATTCCCGATTAACAGGCATCACGACAAGAGTTCTCTCGGATCTAACCTGTCCATAGCTACAGGAATGGAGTTTGCCGATCCATTATCCCGCTCCGGTAGCGACAACTCATATGGTTCTTGGGTGCCGGATCCACAACGTTACGAATCGCCCCTTTCCGTCCACATCGCTTAAGTGACACTTTGTGGAGCCAACAGCAACGTCCACAAAGGAGCCCCATCTTGAGAATCACACATCAATGGATTTCTTCAAAGTCCATAATTGCATTGCCATAAACAAGAACATGGGCCGTGGGGTCAAAAATGTTTCGAGATTGCCAGGACCAGATCTCCTGCGTGTCGTAGTCCACCTGTGGCGCTTGAGTGACCGAGAGCCTGGGAATCTGTGACTTGACTTCTGTGATCGACGCCTAAGAAATTTTATACGTACTTATGCCGAGTGCTGGGGGATTGAATGTTCGTAGTGGTTTATCCCATCAACTTACTCGCCCTTTCTTGGGGTCAGAGAATGTTGGTATTCATAGAGCCTTGATGTTCTCTCTCATGTCTGTACAGACACGACTCAGCTTACACCGATGTTGAGCTCATCAGTATCGAAAGACAGAGAAGGGGCTGCGATTCTCTGAAAGAGAGGTTCGCTGCATCCTCAAAGCTAGGGGGTTTCGAAGATGTATCGATGAACAAGTTCGAAAATGAAGCGACTGACCATGAGCTCCGTGCCAGGGTTGTTGTCCACCCAGAAATCGCGGTGTTTGGAAGACAGCTGTGCGAGGAGAAGGTCGAAGCCTGGTTTAAGCTAATGCAAAGTGGAGATCATATTTTCTACTGCAACGATAATACCTTCTGTACCAATGTCGAAGTTTTCTTCACTGACTCTCCATCTGAGCCTATTGTCTTTCCCTGGCCCTGGAGCATGGACATTACGCAAATGGCTTCAGTGAGTGTTATCATGGTGCAATTCACAGCACAACTTGTTCGCCATATTAATAATGGCGGAGAACACAGTACCTTATGGGTGTCTCGACAATCTCTCAAGGATTTCATCCCGTTTGGAGTCGTGAAAACACTAGGATATTTGGTTGACGAGATGCTCATAAATCTAAATTACAACTATTTCGAAGTCTTTGTCAACAAATCAAAAGAGTATCCCTGGACAGAATTCGCCTTTCCAGGTAGTTTCCTGTCAGGATCGAGAGAAGAGATAGATGTCGAACAATTGGCACCATCAGTAGCTTACCATGTCGAGAAGGATAACTCTACACAAGATTTATGCTACACCTATGCTCGATTTAGCACCGAGTTTCGATCCAGGATAACACCCTCCAAGTCACGGCAAATCTTACATCTCAAGGCTATCTGGGAGTTGCGCCAGGACGAGCCCAGGTAGGGGACAAGATATGTTTTCTTAAAGGGGGTCAAGTTCCCTACCTTATTCGACCATCCGCCAAGTTGGGGCGCTTTTAATTTATTGGTGATGCTTTTATACATGGATTAATGCACGGAGATGCTAAATATCAGGAGCATAAGGTCGAAGATACCATACTAAGTTGAGAGAACTGTTCAGGCTCCATATCTAACGAGAGATTCGGATTAACGGCTCCTTTGAACGGCCAGTTCTGCAATTACGGTTCACATGCAAGTGTATTACAAGGTCATGAAAAAGGAACGAGTGATTTGTATTTCAAGTAGGCCTCTAGGTGGTTGTAAGAGAAGAACCAAAATCAGTGTTAAGTCTCTGAAGGAGCCAAAGATATCGTTTTTTCGGCATCCAGTTCCTTCCAGCTTGGGGCAGTCACTAAGACATAGAAAACTTTTATGACCGATTCTGGTGTTGCGATGATGCAAAATATTGCCTTAACTGAAGAAGATCGGTGGTTCCGGTGCTCTTCTGCTCTGGAGAAGTTGTGTGGATGCCTTTGTACTGCTCGGGCCCTTCTCCATCACGTCGGTACTTACAAGCTTCGGTTGTTTTCTTGTTGTTGCCAATACTGGTATTGCAGCTAATAATCATTTTGTCAGGAGGAAAAGTGCGGTTCGTTTCTTTAGATCTGTTTTCTTCGCTTGTGGACGAGGCGGGATCTGAATAGTGCGACATGAGTATGAGGTCACGAGGATGCGGCCCTGATGCGTATTGTATGTTGTGGTCTATGTTTGTGATCTGTGGCGGTATAGAAGTCAAGTGAACAGTAAGGCAGATTGTGTAAATTGCGACTACGGAGGAACTTTTATATTGTCAAAATAAACCATGTGTGAGTGAAGCTACCAAGTTCCATTCACGGAGTCGAGTGACACAGTTAAACAAGTCACTCGAGCAGTCCGAAGGCTGATTTGAATCGTAAATGGCAAATGTACCATAGTATAAGGTATGTGAATCACAAAATGGATTTATTTGGACCCAGCAGTCACCAGCAATAGTCTTATTCACGAAGGTTTGTTACTTTCAAGCGCTGCAAGCTTCTTCGAAAATGTATAAATAGCAGATCTTCTGCCTCAACTTTGCTTATTCTTTCCTACATCATACACGCGCACATTTACATCTACACCTGCACACACCTCTCCAACAAATCTCATATCGTTCGCAACCAAGTTGTGATCTTCTTACAAATACTACCAAGTCACGATTGGAGGTGCCGATATCTCAGAGCAAGATGTCCAACACTGGCGCCGAGGGCGCAACGAGCTCTGCACCAATCGATATGCCCGCTCCTCAGTTAAAACCAAGTGGAGTTCCCATTGGAAAAGACTTCATCGAATGTTGTTATGATTATATCAACAAAGTGCCAATACAGGAAAAGGGATCTGTTCTAGGCAATACGTGAACACCTGATTCTTGTAAACTAAACCCTCCACCATTCATGAATAGCGAAGGGTCTATATATATCGCGCCCTAATGTGTAAATGAATTAGCCATACATGAACACCTGTATTTAGTGCAAAAATTCATAAATAGCGAGAGACCAATCGAAAACAACCCTAGTGCCCTCAGACTTTAGCACCTTAGCACTTGAGCACTTTAGCATCTTATCACTTGAGCACCTCAACACCTCAACACCTTAACACCTCAATATAGCAACAAAGTATAGCACCTATACTATTACATCACTATGCCTCAAAACTCTAAACACTTTAATACTCTCAGACTCTGGGAATTTAAAACTCTGGTAACTAAAGCTTTAAAGTACTCAAATGCTAAAGTAACAAAGTACTAAAGTACTAAAATACTAAAATACTGAAATACTAAAGTACTGAGCAAAAGTGTTGTGCGGCTAAAATCGAATCCTTATTTCCGGCTTGTTCATCAATAGCAAGTACTGTAGAATTCAAAATCAAAGGTACCATACATCAACACCCTACTATCATGAATGGCGGGGGTAAAGTTGATAAGCAGCGCGTGTTTACGTACGGGCTAAAACGAATCATAACAGCTTTGCACCTCTTAACTTGTTTCAAATAACTGTAATTTCTCTCTCATACCCCATAATCGCCGCGGCGAGAACTGATCAGTTAATTATAAAAAGTGCAAACTTGCGAGTTGGCAATGCCTCCTCTTCAAACGCCTGGGCAGGATCTCTCGATTCTAACAAGCAGAAGGAATCATTTTTGTGGAATAGTACGGAAAGACCGCCACAATTCTCGCAGTCGAACCTTACCTGACTTGGGATGGCTTGTCCGAACCTAATTCCGTTCGATTTGCATCACAGAGATATCGATCAATTCGACAGCTCTCACTTGACAATAATTGCAGGGAGAAAAACAGCACTCATATGCGGTTAAGAATCGGACAACGTCCGTCTTTGGCAAGGGCTTGACTGCGACGCAGCTTCAAAGTGGCATTTCTGTCCATTAGAGTATGGTAATATCCATCATCTCCCACCAGCCTTCTTCTTCAGCTGCTGAATCTGGAATTCGCACCATTCTAATCTTGCGGTAATCGTGATCAGTTCCAGTAATGAGTCGGAGGACCAAGTAAAACGTCGCTGTACGCCGAGCGTTTACAAGTTCGAGGGTTACCTCAGCGTCGGCATGAGCATTGAAAGAAGTCTCCCGGTGTTCGAAGCGAGCAACCTGAAGCACAAGCACAAGGACATTGTCTGCCATCGCAGACTCTTGCATGTTGTGTCCTAAATAGTCCGGAAAGCAGCGAAAGATGTCAATGGCCAGGAGACTTTGACCTCATGTAAGACCATGCTCCTGGAGTTTAGTACCTTCCGTCTCTTCAAATTTTCGAAATGGTTGACAGAGCCTTTGGAGGTGGATCTTTGCTGATAAGACTTGGCCGAAAGGATTACCGTTGGCATTTTCCACCAACACATTTACCAAATTGACTTCTCGACTGTCGACATGCTTCCGGTCGGCAACTTCGCACTCGTATACTCTGAGTTCTGTTGTTCTATCTTGTATAGAAGCCTAGCTCCAGGATGGGGCTCGTTGCCAGCTGACCATGTCTCTGAAGGACATCTGTCTCCTCTGGTGCTGGCCAATCTGCTCGGCTCTGCGCAAAAGGGGTTCTTTTGATATCATGTTTCGAGCTTGGCCCGGGGAGTGGTATCATGAAAAGTTTTGATTTCCAGTAGTCGAATCTGCACACTCCAGGTAGGAGTAGTCTGAAGTGCAAAGTGCGCCCCTATAGTTGGCCCAGTGTGCCACTATCTTCGTAACCGAGAAAGGAATGCATGATAAGTGTTTCGAATGGGACAATTGCCTAGGTAATTCAGCAGAGAGGCGCGCGACAAGACTCCGAAGGAAGTCGACCTATTCCCTGGACGAAAGAATTTGAGAAGCAAGCATGACGAAATCGAAATTTAGTGTCTCATTCTACTATCACCATGCCTCTGCGGTGACCCCTTCGATGGTTCACTTTTCCCCACTGGCTTAAGATTATGTTGGATTTCTAAGCACAACAAATTTTCATCCACCGTCGCGAGCGTCGCGATTACAACAGATTAACTTTATTCTCTTAAGTACTCCCTCTTCGAATACTCTGTCCTCGAACATTACGTCCTCCAACGCTTCCTCCCCGAGCATTACTACCACTTTGAGCACTCCCTCCTCGGACACTTCCTCCTCGAGCACTCCCTCTTCGGACACTCCCTCCTCGAGCATTGTTACCACCTCGAACACCTCCTCGGGTACTTTCTCCTCGAGCACTCCCTCCTCGGACGCTCCCTCCTCGAGCATTGTTACCACCTCGAACACCTCCTCGGGTACTTTCTCCTCGAGCACTCCCTCCTCGAGCGCTCCCTCCTCGAGCATTGTTACCACCTCGAACACCTCCTTGGGTACTTTCTCCTCGAGCACTCCCTCCCCGAGCGTTACTGCCACCTTGAGTGTTCCCTCCTTACAGATTCCCCTGAGAATTGTCGCCTCTCGAAGGCTCTTTGTTTGAGCTTCCTCCACGAGCATTACCGCGTTGAGAACTACCGCCCCTAGATGATCCTCCCTTGTTGAATCCTCCTCGGGACTGAGTAGCTGTTGAGGAACCTCCTCTTGAGCTTTCTTGGCCTCGAGTCTTGCCACGTCGAGAATTACCGCCCCCCGAGGATCCTCCTCTTGAGCCTTCTCCCGGAGAAACAGCGTTCTGAGAACTAGCATCTCTGGAATTCCCTCCAGAATTCCCCCCAGAATTCCCTCCTCCGGAACTGCCTCCTCGAGAAGAGCCTTTTCCTGTCGCCGGGGTGCTTCGAGCAGGCCCCGAACTCAGTATTACAGTTTTCCTGATCACTCTTACAGCAGGTCGGGATGCAGGAGGCCGAAATGCATTGCTCCACGAAAATGCTTGTAATGCGGTCTGTATATTCTGTTGATGGTGAGCTTCTTGTGCCTGCCTTATTTCTTGAAGAGCTTCAAAATGCTTTTCGACTTCAGCTTGTATTCTTGTGATGGAAATCTGGAATTTGCTCCGCCAAAGGTCTTGTGCTTCAACATCTACTTGTGCTTGTGCTTGTGCTGAGATTGAGCTTTGCAACATGATCAGATCAGGTAGATTCGGAAGAATCTGATCGAGCCTCTGCACGTGGCTATCGGTGGTTTGCTGGATAGTAATGAATTCTGCCTCAATGTTTGAGCGTAAGGACTCGATGGCAGTCATCAGAGGGGGAAAATTTCTCGATATCTCCTCGGTGGAATCTTGGAGTTGCTGAGGAGAAAGCGTGGGCTTCTTGGACATGTCGACAAGGGTATCCCTAGCTCTATTTAGTTGAGTGATCTTTCCCATTGATAATAACACTCACAGTACTTGGAGGACAATCAAACCATTCAGAACATTTTGAGGATGCGAAACGGCAACTTCCAACTCCTTAATATGCCCAAATAGCGCAAGATGAATTTCCTTCCAAACCTTCTTAGCCTTAGAGGCCGTGGCATTGACTCCAAGCGAGGTGTCGTATCTTTCTGTTTTTTCTCTGAAGTGAGTCACTGCAGCAAACAAATTTTCCGCATTGTCCTCAAAAGTGGGCCTGAGTTTTAAATCCGGGTGGTTGTGAAGGATGGCTTCCACTCCCTGGACTGTTGCTTCAACACCGCTTAAGAATTTCACTGCATCCTGGTACTCAGCTTTGGAGCCGCCGGACTCCTTCAGAGCATTCCCAATCTTGACAAGTACCTTAACGCATTCTGCGATATCACCTGCGGACCATCCAAACGACATCTCGAGTGCTCTTGAAAGATCGTTGAAGAGATGAGCTGATTTTAAGAAACATAATTTTTTCAAGGCTGAAGCAGACAAAAAAGACCTACACAACACAACTTGGTGAGGCTTTCAACTAGGCATACTCGGTGTTGGTCGCATTGAAGCCTCAGGCATGAAGTCACGTGACTGAGCCGGAGGAGTGAAGTTTTTCTTCTTCTCCAAATAATAAAATTGAATAGTAATTTAACCTAAGAGGCATGTATCAATATCTAATACATGTTATTGTTTTATTCAAAATTTCGATAAATCAATTAATTCTATATAATATAAAGAAAAGAAAAGTTGTTAATAAACCGAATAAAAATTAAATATGATAATTTATTGCCGAATTTGGCCCGTTACCGGGTGAACACTTTTATATGGGAAACTCGGTCGTCGTTTTGTGCGGCTCGGGTTGACAAGGGGTCCAGAATCGGCTCTTGCAAAGATGGAGAAGAATCGACCCTCCACTGAACGCCATCGCGACATCTTGATAGGTTCACAAAGACGGCAGTGTTCCAAACCAACAGACATCGGCAAGATTTATATTTAGGCAACATGGAAACTACAACCGACTCGCGAGGTGGCCAGAAAAGGATCCCCCTATGCATGATCCAGGACTCAGGGCTCGGCTCAGGTTAGAACAGCGACTACTTAAGTCCAAATACGGATATAAACGTTAGTGAGGTCCAGATTTATTGCAAATTTAATTGGTTCAAAGACGGACATAGAAAACGCTCATATCGATATTTTAATGTCGAAGTACTTGTTAAGGCTTGCCAATAAGTATCAATATATAACGGCTCATTGGATTTATTGCTAGCGAATATAGTTTGAGTCTGTTTGCTTGCTTTTTGATGTTCTTGATGGGGTCCTGTAAGTATTTGGTTAAAGAACTCTTCTATCACAAAATGTAACCCCCTAGAAAACAAAGGTCCGACCCTCAAGTTTCTGCGGTATTTCATTCGGGATCGACCATAATAAATGCAAAGGCAATCTTGCAGAGGTAACGGTATCCCAACCGTCTCGTAATAATGACTGCATCTCGGAATGTGTGGGGGAGCGCCGAGACAGGCAAGCCATCACACATCTTCCATAGATTCTCCTTCTTAGTAACAAGCTCATCTTTACTTCCCCAGCAATGACTCAGACTTAGTCAGCGTCCAGTTTCACCGCTCGAGATATGTAGCTTCACGAATGCATCGCCAACTTCTCCAACATCAATCAATCGGGTTGGTAATGTCCACTCTTCTGTAATACAGCGTTTTTTATGTTCATCGAGACATGTCCGCAACCAGAATCTGATAATATCGAAGCAATATTTTCCACGAACATCCTGCGCTAGCGGTCGCCTGGCGAACCTATTTGGAACAAGTTTCGAGACAGCATCGCTTGCATTTCTCAGCGGAAAGTTTGAAGAGCTTCACGTACTGGGGTCACACCTTCACAAGCATACGATTCGAGGCGCCGAAAAGTAGTAGCATCCCAGAAAGAACGTCGTTGTGTAAGGAAGCAGAGGGCATCTTGCCGGGAAAGCTCAAAATATATTTGCGCTTTAGCACCGTGCAGTGCTCCCAACCGATTCAGATGATATTTACTCACACTCTTCAGCACAACCTTGCAGAGAGCACAACCTACCTTAGCTGAGAGTGCAAGTGTTGAAATGCTCTCATGGTGCGGGTACGGCTGTGGTGCATCTTGGCCTACAGCTTGGACTCCTTGAGAGGTTCCCATGAGAATATCGAGATTGAGAATATTCTCGCACTTGATACAATACATATTGAAATATTGCAACAGACAACGCAACGACGATAGCAAAGGCTGATTGAGACATGCTTTGGGTTTGATATACAATAGGCGGGTTAATTGCATATGAACAACGCATATGCTGGTTGTACAACCGGAAAGATCATGCGGACAAAATCAACGAATAAATGCCAACAGTAGCGAGAGTGCTTGCAAGATCACCAATGCCACTTCGACACTGCCCGATCAAAAGACAGGAAAATAAAAGGCATGCAGCTCAATAGGCCACTCGGCAGTCATAGGAATACAAGACGACACGGGGGTTCAAAGTCCAAAACCAGAGGGCAGCCTGACATGAACGGATATTGTTACAGTCGATATACACAGATCGATGATCTATAAGACCACCTTCTCCGACCTCATAGGCTCTTCCTGCATGGACCCAGGTTCCACCACTTGCTCCTCCATATCCTCACCGATCTCGAGTTCTTGCCCCTTCGCGATGTCTGCATCGAATTCCCGGATTTCCTCGGCAACCTGCAGCTTCGTAGCCTTCTGACCATTCCATCTTGTAGGAGCGTCCACTTTCGGTGGCAACCCGTACGCTTCCCTCTGCAACCTGAATCTCTCCTTCACCGCGTTCGTCTGCATGATCCGCCACCTCAGCTTCCACCCACCCATTCCCAGCTCCTTTATTCGCGCAGCCTTCTCCCCCAACAGGTACTCATCTAGTCCCCCAACCTTATCTACAGTTCTCAGCACTCTCGTCGTGATCCTCAATTTGATGTAATTTTGTAACGCTTCGCTCCATAATCGCTTGAACTGTACATTCGGCCGCCAGTATCTCCTCGTTTTGATCTCGTTCTTCTCTGAGACCATGTTTCCGAATCGAATCTTCTGCGTGCCGTAGAGACCAAAATTGGATTGTTTGTAGATTTGTGAGGGGCCATACGGGTATGGTGGCACAGCGGTATGCTCGTACTTGAGTCGCTGCTTCGTGGATTTTGCGAGATTCTGTGCTGTGCAGGTGAAGGTTCGGACGTGGGTGAGGGACGGATGAGAGGGAGGGTGGAGAGGCATGGCGAAGGGGCCTCAATTGAGGCGCGAAGTCGGGGTCTGCGACGTAATGAGGGAATGTATCATTCGGATATGAAAAGGAAGACGAGAATAGAAGAAAGCCAGTTGCAGGGTGCTGACTCGGTGCAGTGCTGGATGTGCTTTGTTGAAGCTCGAAATTTTTGTTGTCGAAACTGCGAGGCTGCCCAGCTGCTTTCAGCCTGAGGCATGAATCTCGCAACTTGAGCAACTCACGCCAACACCAGACAATCAGATAGATTCACCAAGATTGGCTTGAAAGAAAGCCTATGATAGTTGATTAAAACTCAATTATAGGGATCGACATTCATTAAATTTTTATCTTATCTTGTAGTCATGTGATACTGATTGCCACAGCAGGTCGCCATCTCTTACCTAGGTTCTGGCGACACTCCAGAACACAACTTCAGCGAAATCATGAATGTTCTCTTTGGTCCTCCTCGCTGGATCGACATTTCTAAGAGTAGTATGTACAACTCAGTCCCAGTGGAGCTTGCAGCAGCCTGCAAATCTTGACAAGCATGCTCTGAAATTTCATATCGAAAACAATCGCATGCACTGCCTTGGCTATTCAACAGAGGAAGATTCAAATTTAGGACCGAACTTCCATCGCATTCATTCATTCATCCATCCAGACCACCGCTTTACACCAGACCCGACTATCAGAGTAGTTCTCTCTATTGCTGTTCCCATAGACTTTAATAGCTAGGAATACCACAAGACGGATAGGAATATCATCAAGGCGATGATCATCATCTCCCCCCAATCCCAGCTTATGAAATGCATGCGCTTCCATTACTTCAGATGAGAACTTGAAGGGTTCGTGCTTGAGATCATCGAGATACTCGCACTTCAAGATCGTTCGTCCTTTCCACAATTTTCCAGATATCTCAAGTGCTTTCTGGAAGATAGCCTGCAATTCTAGATAACCTTCTGTACCGTAGCTTCCGACAGCGTACTCATCAACAAACAGAAGTTTGACGCCTCTTCTTAGAACGCTTCCGTCAATTCATAAGCAGCTTCCGTTCGTCGTTCGGCGGCAGCTTCTCGTGTTCGGGTTTTATTTGATAATCCGTTATCCACCAGGGTAGGATCCAAGGTAGACATCATGTCGCTTCTCCAGAGTTGAGCTCTGGTCTCGTTGACTTTGATGGTTAGTTTGATATTTTAATGAGGTGATCCGCTTACCATCTGAGAGCTTCTGGTACACATCTTTTAAAACACTATCACCGCATATATCTGGACAGTATTCGTCAGATAGCGGTAGGACGCCGTCCCTCTCTGCAACAGAGAGCAGTGGTCTTATGCGCCGAAATGGAGCCTCAAAGACCTTGGTGCAAATATAACGTCCAAGGATGGCTGACACGGAAAGTATTGATGCTGTACTCGACAAAGTAGCGCCCAAGACGACCCTCAAGTATTCTAGCAGCTGCCCGCTGTCTAAGACTGTGAGTTCAGCCATCATATCCTCCAGATCATCTTCAAGTTTTCTATTTTCGAGATAAGTACATTTAGGCGCAACGCCACACTGCTTTGCGAAAGCCCTGATGTCGAGCCAACTTAGTCTTTGGTTTCAAGGGAAACAAAGATGTCTTCGGCGTGCGTGTGAGAATGCCATCGTTGAGATTGGAATGTAGTACATTCCTCTATTTGCTGCTTCAGACTTCCACCACACCGCGGAATATTTGGTACTGTTTCTAAAAAACATCTTCGATGCAGCAAAGCTAACTTGGATGCCATATCACGCCATGCTGTCCATCTAATTTGCTAATCATTGAAACAAGGGAAATTGAAAAATAAGTCCACTCTCGTACACTTGATAATTCCCTGTGGTGAGGTTGATTCCGCAACACAGGACAGAAAAGCCATGGTCTCGGTTCAGGCGTTTGTGGTGTAAGGCGAGACACTACGGGGATAAAATGATCTCCACGACTTTGAACCGACAGCTTGGGTTCAAATTCCCGGCCCTATGGAAATTTTGAGCAATCCGAAGCTTCAACACATCCGGTAGAAAGTACACCGACCATACGAAATACTTCCGTAACGAGCATAGATCGACGCTCTCTGCATTGAGCACCTTGATGTCATGTCCCGAGACTCGCAATCAGCGTCGTCAAATTCAGTGGCTCCGTCGAGATCGACACTAACTCCAGAGCGTTGATCTTTAGGTAGTGTTGGCGGCACAGCTAGGGGGTGTCAGGGTAGTATTTTTGTGATATGTGACCCGAAGCGACCGTACGACCACGCCAATCAAGACCCTGGAGATCACGACTGGTGTGAATTCCAACTGTTGGAGACCCCCATTTAGGGTATAACGGCGCACGTTCAGACCCCTGGTGCACGCTGAAACGAGAATCAGCTGTGCAGCTGTGGAGAATTAAGGTCAGCCTGCCAAGCACGATCATCCCAAAGCTTCTTTCTCCTCTCGATTGTTTTTTTTTTAAAAATATTTCGGAGGAAAGAATATCTCGAGGAGACCTTCCGCTACACTCGTTTCAAGTGGGCGCAGATTTTTTTCAAGCCACTTCTGTATACCTTTCAGTACGTGGTGAGGTCGATATCCAACATCACGACAAAATGGGAACACCAACAAGTCCATCCCCAGCTTACCAACAGTCCCCACCACCACAATTCTCAGCAGAATTGCCATCCACATGGGAGGGAGGAGGCAATACAAATGCCCCTCCAAACACACAATTGTAAGTCCAGCATTCAGATACAAAGACAGAGCAGATCACTAACAAATCCAAAAGTCGACATGAGCTCCCCGAACAGAAACCTCAAGCACCTTACATTCCACCATGGGGTCCCTTCTCCATAGTAACGGAAAACGACTCTCTCTCCTCCAACTTCCCCTACAATTCCCGCCTTCGCGACCTACGAGTAACTCCCGACCAATGGCTCCAATTCACCACCGAGGTCATCAACGCCGCCAAACTGACATTCGCCGAAGACGCAGCAGCGTGGACAACCGGCGTCACGACCGGGACGCTCACGTCGCCCTTCCTCCTCGTTTTCGCCCCCGTAGTAGGGTACTACGCCGGTAAATCCGTGCACAAGAAAGCCGTCGCCAAGAAAGTGAAGGAGAAGTTAGCTGTAGAAGGACCTTTGAGAGCAACATTGCGACAATGGAACGAGGGCGTCTTCCTGGAGCGCGGCATCCAACTCTGGCTCGAACCGCCCAAGACGAACGGCGAGGTAATCGTCGACGCACCACAAGACGCCACACCGGAACAAATCGCCAAGATAGCAAAGAAGCAGGTAAAGCGATTCAGGTTCATCTGTACGCCGTATGACCCGAGGAATAAACCGCTGGGAACGAATTATAGCCCCACGTCGCCGCTGCAGAGTCAGAATAGTTGGAGTGCGGGTCAGAGCACGCCGAGCCAGAGTCCTGTGTCACCAGAGGGCAGGATGTTTGTTAATGCGGATGGGAAATGGAATGGGCACACGCCGCCAGCGGGGCCGGTTGAGGTTTCGGCTGTGAGGCCGGTGGCTGAACTTCATGATGAGGAGAAGAAACTTCATGATCCGATTGGCTCGGAGAGGTTTGAGATGGATGGGAGTAGTCCGCAGCTTGCTAAGGAGAAATCGTGATATCTGAAGTTATGAAGAATGTTTGGTATGGAGATTCGGTGCTGCACGACGAAAGTGAGGAAGAATTTGGGCGGGGATGCTCAATTTGCAATGGAGTTGCACGGAATCTGAATGTTGGATAGGCATTCGATTTATCAGACGATACCCAGGGGAGTAATGTTCAGAAAAGCGATGTTCTTTATGCTGCTGTCGCTTGTGGATGTGACTGTTGAGGGGTACTCGCACCGAGGAAAGGTGTTGAAGTATTTCGGATTTGAAGTAAAACAATGGTGGGGCACCAAGACACTGCAGAATTCTTCGTACAATTTCTAATTCGTTGTCGACTGTATGGTTTTTGAAGCATTCCTGTCTCCTAACTTGCTATATCTAGTCACGCTGGAGGTATTATTATAGCTGTTTGAGTTGTATTTAAGGTTGCTTCGAAAGGGACCTTGTTGAGACGAAGATAATTCTCAATTCATTCCATTACCAACTCCCTAACGCCACCTACATAATCAACAATCTTTCTAAACCAACCATATACCATCCGTCTATACCTTTTCTACCTTTCCTAACAATTTCGCCAACTCCATGACATCCTAAAACAGATCACTCCGTTTCATTTTCCACAAGAAGCGGTTCGCGTGTCTCTTCTACGAATCTCTTGCTTCCATCCGGTGGGAAACGTGAGAACAGTAACACGATGAACCCCAAGAGCGCCACGGCAGCATTACAAGTAAACACCAAATACGTCTGTCCAATATCCGCAAATGCAGCGAAAATCAACCCAAAGACCGTGGCTACAGAAAAAGTTAGTCTCATCATTTCCACCTCATTTAAGCGAAACTTACTGGTAGTAAGCCTAGCAACCATATCTACAAGCGTAATCGCACTCAGCGCATCCGCCCTCTCGGAAGCAGGACACATCTGCAAAATCGTGCCCTTGGCCGAAGATCCTGTCCCGGAAGCCAACGGGAGCATAACGGCAATGAGATACATTTGCCAACCCTCCGTCACAAAAGAAGCGGCCCCAGTCAACACGCCATCAGCGATGAGACTCCACCGCGTAAAGAAGAGATCGAATTGGAACGTCTCTTTCTCATCCGTTGCCAAGGGTTCAACGGCCTCTTCTTCGTTCTCCATGGCTTCTACTTCGTCGATTTGAGTCGGTTCCATGGTGGGCTCTGGTTGCGTGGGCGGTTTGGAGGGGTTCAATTCTGTGTCTGAGGTTTCTTTTTTGCTTTCGAGCCATTTTCGTCCGGCAGTGATGATGCGGGGGAAGGCGAGGGTGAGGAACAGGCCTCGGATCAGGGAGTTTGTGGCGACGAGGTAGCCGTTTGCTGTTGTTCCGAAACCGAAGATGTCTGTGGCGTACATTTGGAGAAGGACGGGAATGTAGCCTGTTGCTAAGACTCCTAGGAAGACACCAATTCCTAAGAGACCTGCTCCATATTCGCGTTGGGTGCGTCCATCTATCAGGACCCATTTTTGAGGAGCGAACGTCTTGAGTGGGCCGAAGAACTTGGTGATTCCTTTCGAGGCAGGCCCTGGCACATTCTCGCTCTTGGGAATAGAAGGTAAGACTAGGAGAACATATATGCATGAAAGTATAAAAAGCATGAGAGTGACTCTGAATGGAGCAGCGATGTTCATCCAATCGGCAAGTAGACCTCCAGCCAAGTATCCAAGTGCATTTCCAAACATGGCGCAGCCTTGCAATTGCCCCAGAACCCCAGTTCGTTCTTCATGACTGACAATTTCTGTGATATATGAATTCAGTGAAAGTAAGTACCCAGCGGGACCTCCGATGATGGTGATGATTTGCGACAGCTGAATGATAAGGATCCCCGTGCCACTTCCAGTATCGACACCGACATTTTGGACAGCGAGACGAACAGCAGGCCAGAAGACTTGGATTGCGAGAGAAGTTTTGATCCCGAATCTTTTGATACTCCATCCTGTGACGAAAAGATTGATGACGCCAAAGAAAGTGGTTGAAGCTCCGACTAAAGACACAGCTCGGGCCGTGCCGGCTTCGATTTCGTGGTTTGAACAGCGGTCAAAACCTGGTCCTGGTTCTGGATGCGTCTCATAATAGGCATCACAAGTCATGAGACGAAAGACATAAATCATACTAGGCTTATCAGCTTGAAGGCTCCCATATTTTGTAACTTAAATAAGTGCTTACGGGACTTGGGTAACGCTAAATGAAAGCGTGACCAGGAAACCACACAACAATGTGCAATACACAACTGACTTGCCCCATTTCTTAGGCTTCGAAGGCTCCGTGGCCAGCAGCGGAGACGTCTCGTCGACTTTCGGACTCGATTCTTGTATAACGGTCATGGTGGCGGTCGTTGCAGATGACAAAAGAAAAATGCATTGAGGTTGCGGCTTTTGTTATCTCCATTCTGCATTCAAGAGTGGGGAAGTTTCGAAGCTTACTGATATTACGGCCCATTGTTTTTCATTGGACAAGACTTCATGCTCCGCTTTCGGGTTCCTACCGGATGACTCGAATATTCAGAAAGTCGCATATGCCGCCCGACCAGGAAATAAAAGCTTGAATTGCAAAAAGAAAAGAAAGTCAACCGTTGGAAGTCTCAAGTAGATGTGATCACGTGTAGGCAAGGATGGAGCGGCTGTGGCCCGTGCGACAGCACATCCTTCACTGTGCTTTGAAAGCTTCTCTTCACTTCCTTTATGCTCGCTGCCTTTCCTCCATAGAAGGAGACGAAGTATCACAGTCTCTTGAGTCTGTTGTATGATCATGTTACGTTACCTTGTTCCCACCTTGCTCTCATGTCTTCTTGCCGCTCACTTGAATTACGACAACTGCCCTTGGTAGCTTGCGCTGTTCTGTTCTTTCGTAGCAACAAGTGTTGTCTGAAATAGACTTATGTTCCTGTTAAGACTTGTTCTCAGATGTCACACTTATGTTTGAATCAATATCCATTGGAGCTGTTCTCAAGACGGTGGTCTGCTTTCTGATGCTGCTCGAAGTCAAGGGCAATGAGATCTGCACGAAATGAATGATCACCCTCGTTGTCTTCTCTATTCGACTCTGGCATGTTTGTTTCTCTGAAAGATAAAGATCAAGACCAAGACAAGACTTAAGGGGAATTTGGAAAAATTGTACCACATCACGTGATGAGTCTCGGTTCTGTGTCCCGTCTGCCTTTCAACATCTGGACATCCTGCTCTGGCAGCGTGCAAGATTGTGCAGGCGTCAGAATCTAGTTGATCTTTCCTTTCCGCTTTCTTGGAACTCAACTTCGAATATCGATAGCTTGCTTGCAGCAGCTTGCTGATGCTCTTATCTGGGGCGAAAGCACAAGCAAAGAAGCATGGCAAGAGTGGCATCGAGAATCAGGCCTTGAGGACAACAAAGGTACATTTGATACGCGAGCTTGGAAATCCGCAGGACTGCACACTTGTGCACTAATTGAAGCATCGATGATGTCTGTCGCGTTCTTCGCAAGTAGTTGTTGACATTTGGTGCCGCCCAATGCTGTGTTGCTGCCGGAAGGCCATCATACTGCAGTGAATATACACGATCGAGATACAATAAACACATTACAGATCGATCCCCATCAAGCTTTGCTGATCATGCCAGCACCGTTCTGTTGTTGAATTGTTGATACAAGGCTATCCTTAGCGCCAGGAGAAGCTAGTCGCTTTCGTCGCTCTTGCCTTTTCGGCCCATATAAAGTTAAATACGCAATTCCTTGTCACCAGCCCGTTGAACGCGGCTACTTAGGCAGGTAGTTCAGGTCATCAACGGGCTGCGGTGGTTCAGTGGTTCACGCTTGGCCCGAGCAACAATGTTGCACACGCCAATCCGACCGATCGATCGCGAATAAAACCCCCCACCCTCGACAACCGAGGGGGGTTTTGATAAGGGGCCCCATCTCGGAGGCTGCCCCTGAAGTTTTGCCATTCTTGGTGAGAAATGTTTCTTTTGGGATTTTTTGATTTTTGGTTGCTGGTCCTCGCACTCGCTTCGGCTCACTAACCGAGAAACACGTGATCGGATTCTTCTTGACTCGAGGTCATGGGCCGTTACACTCCACCAGGAATGAGTGGGGCTTTGTTATTGAGCACTTGTGTGTACTGGATGTGTCATTACACAAACCTGTGTGCATGCTGCATACCTTCGAGATATGCACATTAAGAACCCATCAGTAAATGATGATCCTTGGTCTACATGTCAGATGTCTGTATATCCACCATGATTCTAGAACAGAGCAATCTGAATGTTATGATCCCAAAAGTATCAAGTTTCATGTCTATTTAAACACTAGATATTTCTCGTCTTCTGGTAAAGTTTTCAGCACCACTTTCTACCAAGATCTCTGATCGAACATCAAGTCTAAGTCGATCGAAAACCAAATCCAACACCAATCAGCTCACTCACTTCTCACATACTACAAGGTCCTTACAATGTATTCGAATGACACCAACCGATTAATCGTTGAGCTCGAAAGAAGCATTAGCAACTACGAGCGATGTTTTGGCGGCGGATCTTCTTTTCGAGATCAATTCCGGAAAATTATAGAAAAAGGGCGAGTAGAGACCGGCTGGGGGTACGACCCACACGAGCCTTTGTGGCGCCTTCTTCTTGCTGTTCAAAGACAAACACGAGCGGTTGAGTACATGAACAATGCTTACTACGGCCGCTGAGACCGAGGAATACCCACGCCGGAGCTCACTGAATCCAACGCCAGAGAGGTAAGACTTGCTATGGCGCACCGAGACGATATTCGGTCGCGGCGAGGAGGTTTTGATTGTCGTCGTACTGGGGTACATGTGTTTCTCGAGATAAATCTCTAGCTATTTGCGCTGAGAGCTAGGCAGGTCCCAGCTTCGATCCAATGTTTTACCAAGTTCGTCTTCCTGTCAGCGTGTGCCATGTTTCTCGTGATTGTGATTGTGTCTGTTCCCCGCGTTTCGGTCAAGTCTTTCTTGTTCATGAGCTTCTCAAAAGACTTTGTGATTGATCCCTAGGTTTCATTCCCTTCTGTGGATTTTATGTTTTTCATTGAGCACATGTTTTCGTCTTTTGAGTCACGATGTCCAGGTGAATCATGCTTTTCTCATATCAATATCCTAGCTGTGTTTATTAGGCCTAGTGTATATCAATAGGCAAGTTAACAATTTTATAGTGAGGCTTAGCTCTCCTCTCCAGGAAACGCCTTGTCAATGCGCCTGCATGGGCGTTGTCGATCAATCGCGTGCCGTTGTAAATTGCGGACACACGCGATTGGCACGCTCGCTTGTGCTTAGCCAACCTAAAGCTTACCCCTTTGAGCAATTATTCGTACACACAGGGCTGATGCTTGACCTGAGCCTCTATCCTGCATATGAGCCGTGCCTAAAATTATTGGGGATGAAAGTACCCAGGTCGTGGAAAAGATCTGCAGGATGGAACGAAGTGCAATGGGCTGATTTGACTGATCGTATTGCAAGGGCTGTCAAGGGGTCCACCAGGTCTTTGGATTCTATACCTTGTCAGGCGCAGCAGTCAGCTCTGTGTATTGTACCAACTTTCATGCTTGTGAACAAAGTATATAGTCTTTTCTACTTTCATTGAAGGCTTCTAGTGGTAATCGAGTTCTCAGTTTCTCACTTCCCATTCTCTTGCAATCTATTCAAAATGACGTCTACAATCTCCTCCACTGCGAGCACTACAGTTGCATCCGCGACAGCAACTTGCACGACAGCCGTACCAGATAAAAACGGATATGTCGACCCATCAGCTTGCAATGCACTTTACGAATATTACCCATCATTTGGTGCCGCTGTCCTGTTCTCGTTCTTATTCAGTACAGTCACGGCCCTTCACATATTCCAAGCTGCAAAATTCCACAAGGTACGACCTATGACATGTACAGATTAGATTCAAAATACTGATCGTGGATGACAGAAATTCTGTTGGGTGATAATAATGGGCTGTATTTGGGAGGCAGCGTCTTTCATCCTGCGCACAATCTCAACAAAGCACCAACAAAATACCAATTTATACACTTACTCCTTTCTTCTGGTCCTACTTGCCCCTCTTCGTAAGTTCTTCCTCTCCCTTTGACCTTATCCACTGCTAACAACCAACAGTAATCAACGCATTCGACTACATGATTCTCGGCCGCATGGTCCACTTCTTCCTCCCCTCCAAATCCCTCCTCCACATCCCCGGCTCCCGCTTCTCCCGATACTTCGTCTGGCTCGACATCATCGCCTTCTTGGTTCAGCTTGGCGGTGGCATGATCGTCTCTGGAACGAACGTCAAGCCCTCCACCTTCCATCTCGGAATCCATATCTACATGGGTGGAATCGGACTCCAGCAATTTTTCATCTGTGTATTTACCGGGTTGGCAATCATGTTCCACAGAGAGATGTTGAAGCTGGAACGAAGCGGACAGTTTGTGGAGAAAGGGTGGAAGAGATTGTTGTTTACACTTTATGGGAGTTTGGCATTGATTACTGTTCGTCGCCCCTCTTCCCTTGCTCTTTGCCACAGACTGACAAACAAAGCTCCGTATCATATACCGCCTGGTAGAGTACGCTCGAGGCGAAGACCCAAGTAATCCTCTCCCATACCACGAAGCTTTCTTCTACTGTCTCGATGCAACACCAATGTTCATCGCAGTGACAATAATGTGTATCACGCATCCAGGCACAATTTTAAAGGGAGAAAACGCAGAGTTCCCAAAGATGAGCAGAAAAGAAAAGAAAGCTGAGAAGCAGAGGAAGAAGCAAATGAAAGCGGTTGCCAAGCTTCTGGATCCCGAGGGTGGATTGATGGATGGTGCACATGAGATGGAGAGGCCGACTACGCCGACTCCGGGAGCTGGATATGGAGAGGTTGCTGGGGCTGAGAGATATGAGCCTTATTGTGGGTATGGTGCGCAGGAGGAGGGGTATGGGATGGGTCCTATGCCGCCTCGGTCTTTGGCATAGATTTTGTATGATTTGTAGATATACAGGCGGATGCGTACTGTTAGTAGATGGTCTGGAGTTCACGTAAATGTATTAATGATATGGAGGCAATTAGACTCAATTTCTATGCTACTGAAACTCCAACACCTTGGTCAAATCTCAGTGCAATGAAGAATGTCAAATCGAGTCCTCGACAATTCTCCCAACTCTCCCGCGCTGTAAATGATCACCAATAGTATGTCACGGCTTGAAGCCCGGTGTCGAGAAGGATATCATCATTGTTGGTGACAGGCGTGGAAGCCAAGAATGCAAGTAAGATCATGAGCACAACCCACTCAGAGAAGAGGGTTCCAGCATAAAGTGGATCCCTCAACGCCATGGTCACAAAGCCCAAAGACAAGCCAGCGATGACGGAGACTTCGATAACGGCTAAGTAACTAGAACAAACACCAATTACTTAGAAGTAAGTATCATGAGAGAATTTCTGCAACAGATTCACGTCACGTAAAGGATTCGGTTCTATGCACGTGATATCTCGCTAACCCTGAAATGACCTTCGTCGAAAATGCAGCAAGTGCAGTAGTAGTCTCCTATCCTGTAATTGAGAAGTGACATTGTTCTATCAGGATGATCACGAGAGAGAAAAACATATTCTCAGGATGACGTAGTTTGAGGGACATTTTCATCGCAAACTTCCATTCGAGAAGCCCAGGGGAGACTTCTGCAGCACTGTACAGAAACACATCCGGAGTTGACCGTGGGGAATGAGCTCTTCGAAGTTTCTGCACGGTAAACTATTGGTATCATTTGTTTGTTACAGTGGGCCCACAATCGAGCAATGTCGACCATCGTTCTCGCTTTTGTTATGTCGTGTCCGCAGCGAGCGCAAAATGCGCGGATTGCGCTGAATCCGCTGAATCCGCTGACAGCGCCGAATGTATTTTCGCATATTTCAGTCACATTCGGGACACTGCAGAGTACCAACCTCATATAGGATACGAGATGTCCTTGGCCAGATCGGAAAATGACAGATATAGTAGAGCATACGGTGACGGTTTTAAGGGAGATATAGGTCACTTAAACAAAGGGTGATACTGTTACTGACAGAGAGAGATACATACTTTTGACCAAGTCGGTTCAACAGCGGTTGATTGTTCAATTCGAAAGCATGTTCAATCGATACTGTATCTAGAGAGTATTAGAAATGTGAATTTTTAGATAGAATTTTCCCAAAGCCGAAAGCAAGCCTGTAAGCAAAAGCTTTATACTTTACATAATTGCAGTGAAATAGAGTATTAATGTTAGGGAATGTGTTAGAGAGAACAAAGAATGACATGTAACATAAACTTCTTCCCTATCCGGACTCACCCTCGTCCCACGAAGGGATATCCAACTTCTTGTACCCCTTACTCTCCAGTTGCCAAGGAATATCTGGCACATCATCAACACAACATTGAATCGTATGCCTCGTATGCAACGTCACCATCGGACCGTCCTCCTTGGAATTTCCTCTCACGTCAAACTGATCGCTATCATAAGCATCAACCCTAGGCAACATATTCCACTCCACCCAAAAAGACGAGATCGGACACGCCACGGCGACATAGGCGTAATCATAAAGCACACCCATACGCACTCCATCGGTAATTGTCAGCTCGCCTCTTTCGCGAAAAGTCCCACCCATAGAGTATGTCTTGGCGTCTATTTGAAAGACAGTAGCGGGCGGTTGAATGGGAAGCATTCGACGCCAGCTTGCTTCTTCTTTTCTATATGCCTCTCTTTTTGCGTCGCTGCTGTTCCAGTCTAGAGCCAAGAATTGCTCCCCGCGATTGTATCTGCTTTTTCGTTGTTCTGCGGTGAACCATGGCTTGAAAACTTCTTGGAGGAGGGGATTGAATGTTGGATCCGTAGTTTGTGACTGTGGAGAAGGTTCGAAGAAGAGGGCTTGTTGAAGAGTGGGACTTTTCGTGACTTCGTTCCAGCCATGACATACTCGTTGGGCGTTGACGAGCAAATCCCGGAGTGGAAGTTGAAGCAGGATGTTTTCGACGATTTCTGGGAGAGCAAAAACTTGGTTCTGTGCGGGGGTCATCTTGAGTCGTTTCCACGTGAGAAACTTTGATTTTCGATTTGAATGTGGGGATGAATGTCGGATGGATGAATTGGGAACTGATTGTGGTATTTATTGTGAACGTTGGTTGTGCTCAAGGCAGCAGCATCCTTAAGCGAGGTTGCCCGTTCAGGTGGCAAACCAGGCGATAATCCTGATTCTTGGGGAACAGTCATCTGACTAGACGAACATATAAATCTTGGGAACTTAAATCTAGCTTCGAACTTGTTGTAGTGAATAGTATATTACACCCAAAAAAATTAGCATTTATTATTAAATGTAAGAGAATAGCTATTTGATAAGAACACGATTTGACTAAAGACTCCATTAATTGATATCGTGAGTCATAATGGGGACATCGAATATTGAAATCCTGGGCAAGTCAATTAGTAAAATCATTTTATCGTCCATGCAACATAGGTAGAAGTGACACTTCATTTTGCAAGCAAATTTTCTGTCCTAGTCCCATCTGGGTAATTCTATACGCGAAAACGAGTTACCCCTGATGAAGAAGCGATTAGCGAGGCGGCAGATCTTGCAATCCAGTTACGAGAACGAGCACAGCCAACTAGGAATGAGAGAATGAGCAGTGGAACCCGAAGACATGCCGTAGGACGATACAAAAAGCATGCTTCGGAATTGGGTTTTCGAGTTGATGTATCTAACAGTACTCTGTCTGACTTCTACCTTTTTCTGTCAGCCCTTCGTCACTTTCCTCGAATTCTCCCGGGGCGATATCTGGTTCAAAGCAACTGCAAGCACAAAGAGTCACGCAATTCAGGAATCATCTATCGACTTCTCGAATTTCTAAACCTCGGGGAGAAAGAGACATCTTCGTCCAACGACACCATGAACAACACAGGGAATGGTCCCTTCGGACCCATCGTCAATGGCACGCAAATCGTCTTCTTCGAATATCGCCCCAACAAAGCCGCAGGGTATACCTTTACTATTCTATTCGGACTCGCTGCATTCTGCCATCTGATCTACCTGTTCTGGAAACGAGCCTGGTTCTTCATCCCCTTCTTTCTTGGCGGCATTGGTAAAAAGAATCTCAACTTCCTCCCCTCCTTCCATAGTAGCTAACCCTCCACGTCCAGCCGAAACCTTCGGCTACTACGGCCGCGCCCTCGCATCATCTAACCCCACGAAAGTAGGACCTTTCATCCAGCAAAACCTGCTCATCCTCGTCGCGACGCCCTTCCTCGCCGCAAGCGTGTACATGAGTCTCGGACGCATCATCACTGCGCTGCAGGCGCAGCAACATTCCCTCATCAGCATCCGGTGGATGACGAAGATATACGTGTTGATCGACGTCGGGTGTATCATCAGCCAGTTCATCGGCGCGACGTTGCCTGCTTCGGGAGATCCGGCGTTGATTGAAAGGGCGAGGATTATTCTCCTCGGTGGACTGGTTACGCAGATTGTGGCTCTGTCGTTGTTTATATTAACGTGTTGGCACGTACATAGGAGGGTTAAGAAGGATCCTCCGAGTATACTCGTCAAGAATCCGGAGGTGAGGTGGGAGAGGCATTTGAGAGCTATTGAGGTGATCACTTTGCTTATGATTGTTCGAGGCGTGGTGAGGACAGTTGAGTATCTGCAGGGAGCTGGCGGCTATGTGGTTTCGCATGAGGCATTTTTGTATGCTTGTGATGCTGGCCCGATGTTTGTTGTTATGATCATTTTCTTGTTGGTTTATCCGGGGCGGCTTGTCCGTGATGCACGGCGCCTGAGAGACGTCAGAGAGGGAAACTTCTTGCTTGATAGCAGACAGGGTGGACGGAGCTGGACATCTGCGGGAGAGGACTGAGCGGGATGGTCTCCAGTTTTGAATAGCTTCAAACTGAGCTTTGTATATCACGAGGTAATTAAGAGAGGATGGGCAGGGAGTGACGCGATTGTTGGATTGCTAGACACGGAACCATGATAGATTTGATCCACGCATTGCGCGCCGAATATCTCATTCCAACAAGATCTTTCACATGCCTGGTCTCGTAACATACACAATCAATTCATACAGCAAATCCGATCTGCTTTCTCACCCAATCCAGCGGTTCCCGATAGGCAGGATCTATAAGCCTCCAAATAACTCCAAAGAGCCCTTCACCCCAGCCCCTCAACCACCACACTCTCGGTGCCCTATGCAGAACTACACAGTAATGCGCCACAATAACCAGAGCCAGCGCATACCGCGAGCTGACCAAATCTAGAAAACCCTCAGGGATTCCCCCGGCCCAGTCCAAGGCCACATGGGGATTATCATTCGCCGTCCCCTCCAATGTTGCGAATACTGACTTCAGGGCCGATATGGCAGGCGAGTAGATTGCTGCATCTTGGCCTTGATTGAGTGCGTGAAGACGATCAAAAGCCTTTTGGGTGTCCAGCGAAAGGCAGGGTGTAGTGTTGGCGTCATTCAAAGAGGTGATCGTCGTCGAGCTTGGCAGAAGTTTCAAATCACCCGCGGCTTGGACAACTTTGCGCCATCCATTCGAAAGCTGGAATACTTGTATCAGATCATCGACTAGATCTAGCCCGATTACTCTTGATGTCTGGGGTCTCGAGATGCCAAGTGCGAAGATTGCTGTGATGCTTGAAAACGCTATGCTGGCGGAATAATTCGCACCATCCATCGATGAGAGGATGGAATCGTAAAGAGAAAGCCCTCGTGTGTGGTGTGCGGTGGCAATCCGAGTATATAGTTGGGAGTTCACGTGTGAATCGGCTAAGTGAAGCGCTGAAAGTGCCAAGAGACCATGGAGGAGGAAATGGTGCTGCATCGCTTGATTCAGGATCAAGGTTTGGGACAGCGGCACTGCGGAAGGTGGATTGACTGTGTGTACGGTTGTGGTGAACCAGTGGATGACTAGCTCTATGTTGTCGAGATTGAGAGAAGGATCTTTGTCGTCGTACGAAGAGGTTCCATCCTGTGGGCTTGAATTTTGTGCAGAAGGTGATGGTCTTTTGTTCCTTCCCGCCGCCTCTTTCGCTAGGAAGTTCTTCTTGTCTACCCAGACTAGATTTTCGAGCAACGGATAAGTGCATTCCTCCTCGCGTATGCTGCACCTTTGGCAACTGGGCTTTTGTTCGTCGCACTGGAAACGTAGGGTTGTTAGACATCAGTCGGACAGGAAACGGCTCACTAGCCCGTCCCGGCTCACCACGAGACGATGATTAACAGACAAGAGAGGCTCATACCTTGATGCGTCTTTGCTTGCAATTCGAACACCCAGACCGTGACTTCCGATGTGACCTTCGTGTCATGTTACCGTATCTCGCTTTCGAGGTCCAGAAACGCTTAAGTAGCGATGGCTTATGTTTTGGCTTTCCGTATGCACCAATGTAGGAGTCAATCAATATGCGTTATACAATGATGCAGACAGTGAAGTTTGTCGTCATCAGAACTCGACGTCGTCCACCTGCTTGGCTCAAGATCTGCTTCAGGAAATCGGGTACGGATACGAGACGGTGCGCTAACCACTCTGGGGCTAGACACTAGACATTTAGGGCTCATCCTTGTCTCTCGGCTCTCTTCTCGGACACTAAGGCACTGCACTACACTGCGGATGGTGGAAGGAGCTTGTCAAGGTCAAGGTGAAGTCAGGCGAGCGGCTGTCTTGCACTACCAGTTCTGTTTGATGGTATATATCCAGGGGCATGCACATCGTCAACGTCTTCCATAATCTTGGCGTGCAAACTTTGCCCGACACAATTCGTTGGAGCATACGGAATTGCCTAGAATATTGGTGCAAGCTGCTCTGCTTTCTTACTCTTGGATAATTATCCACAATACACTTCATGGAAGTCATGAGCAAGTCGTAGGAACTGGAGCGCGAGCTGGAGTCGATTTTCTCCAAGAAATACACAATTCTATCATTTGTTATTTTCAAAAACAATCATGAATGTTCACTCTGTCCATTTTGTCTCAAATCCATTAATACTATTTTTGGGAGAAGGGGCGTGTTTGATCAGAGACAGAGGAACTTTGGCGGTGGGCGAAGCGAGCGAACTTGCGCCTCTTTGGCAACCAGACCAGATGATTTAGAACACCTCCTTGGGCATCCTTGGCAGCGGTGATATCTGGTTGCGGGTTGCAGCACTACTTCTTCTATGTTTGGGAATCGCTACGGGTACACGTACCCGCAGATATACGGGAGGCGATGACTAGTCAAGACTGCATCATTGCACTCCTCATGCGGGTACATGTACCCGCATGAGGAGTACGGGAATGATGTAGTATCTTCTTATTATTAATTTCAGCGATGGAACCCAGAATTTTGTTTTCATTCCTACTCAAACTTTCATCCCTAAATTCTTCAAATCGAGTCTTGCATTTTCGCACGATGAAGCCAATGTTCAACAGCCCAATTGAGGATCTGATCGAGCCATGGAGGCCAAAGGGCCCATCTCCAAGCATCGTCTTTGGCCATGCTAATGTCATTGACCCCGTTGATGGTTCGGTCCAGGAAGATGTTTCTGTTTACGTAGTCGGCGGTCACATCAAAGCCATATCAAAGGAACTCGAGATCATCGACAGTGTGCAACATATCGATCTGGACGGGAAGTTCCTCTGTCCCGGACTCATCGATTGTCACGTCCACCTCGTTGCGGTCCCAGGCGCCTCGGACTTAGAATCAACTGCTCGCATGACCCCAGCTATTGCGGCTCTCCGAATGCCATACCTCTGCGGCCAAATGCTCGACCGAGGATTTACAAGTGTGCGAGATTGCGGAGGAGCACAAGCTGCACTCAAACAAGCAATCGACGAAAACCTCGTACGAGGTCCCCGACTTTTCATCGCAGGCCACGGGCTCTCTCAGTCCGGTGGGAGTGGAGAAGAGCGCTCAATCCACGATCATAAGCAGTCGTGCTGTGCAGCCATTCTTACTGTTGCAAGGATCTGTGATGCAGTGCCGGAGTGTATGAAAGCAGCAAGAGAAGAATTGCGATGTGGAGCGGACTTCGTCAAGATCTTCGCTGGCGGAGGAGTCACTAGCCCTACCGGATCTCTCGATAATCTCAACTTCTCAGTCGAAGAGATTGCAGCTATTGTCAATGTGGCAAAGAATGCTGGTACCTATGTCACAGCCCATGCGTACACCCCTGGAGCTATTCGACAAGCCATTGAACTCGGAGTCCGATGTATCGAACATGGAAATTTCATTGACGAGTCCACAGCCAAGTTGATGGCAGAAAAAGTCGCGTTCTTGACACCAACACTTGTCGCTTATGCTGCAGTAGAAGCTTCCCCATTTCCAAACTTCTTGGCCCGGGCCTCAGCTGCTAAAGTGAAAGGGACTCTCGAAGCGGGTCTGCGTTCTCTAAAAATTGCATCCGAGGCAGGCGTGACACTCTGTTATGGAACTGACCTCTTGGGACCACTTCACGATGCGCAGACCCATGAGTTCTCACTTCGCAGACAAGTTTTGACGGATTTGACGGCTCTGCAAAGCGCCACTGTCAATGCTGCGAAGATGATGGGACAAGACAAGTTGGGCGCCCTGAGGCCAGGATTCCTGGCTGACTTCATAATCTTGAACAAAAACCCTCTGGAAGATGTTACGATTCTTGATGATCCTGACAAGCATCTTCTAGCTGTTGTGAAAGGTGGACGTGTGGTTTCGAGTAGGTGGTCGAAGGTCACGGCAGAGGAGAGCCATCATTTGCCACAGATCGAATAGACTGGAAGAGATGAACTGGAACTATACGAACATGTTCTCTGCATTGCATTCTGATATTCGCTAGAATGGACGTCGCAGATGATGATTGTAAGTCGGAGGAGGATTAGGAGGTAACTAGCGGCGGGTACAAGTACCCGCTAGTAGCATCACGTGAAAGCTCGCACCTGCCATTTCTCGTTTTGCATATTATCTTGCAAAGGAAGGCAATGAAAGGATATTTTGAAGTTGTTTCCTTTTTCTTAAAGCTGCCGTGCCATTATTGATGTTTTGATGCTCATCCCCAACTGACCTCGAGCTACCTACGTAAACGTCATCAACGCCATCGACATATTCGACAGCAAGAGATCGATGTCTTCCCACAGAAGCATCCGAAATCGCCCAAAGGTTCCATTGGATCTCAGAAAACGTACTCCCCAAGCTTGTTTACAATGCCGGTCTGCCAAGAGACGATGCAGCTCCTACAAAGGAGACGCATGTGCGGGTTGTCTGCGAAGGGGTCAGAAGTGCGAATTTGGGAAGATTGAAGCGACTGCAACACCCAAAACTCCACCACTCGAAAATCATAGGTGAGACTTAATTGCATAAGACGACCAAGATAAGCATGATGTTGACATCGAGCACCAGGCCTGAGATCGCCTCCTTGTCCGAAAGCGTTGTAGACAATCGGAAGCGCACCGAGCACAACAATGGTTTGTTGGCATCTATATGTTCGAGGAATATCTAACATTTTGGAGATTCCACAAGCCAGATTAAAGATGCAAGTTTTCTGGACATTGCCTCCAAAGCAGTGTCTGAGGTCGATGTGGCCGCTGATCCTCGACGAGAAATATCCCTCAATACACCACCTTTCCATCAGAACCTAGTAAGGACTCCTAAACCAAAATCGGACTTGCAAATATACTGATAAGAAACAGCCGTCTAGCGATCCTTGCAGTACTTCAGACTTGGAAGATTTCATTCTGAAGCAAGTGATGAGTCGGTTTCCTTCGATGGAGGTCGCCAATCCACTATTTGAAACTTTTTACCAACATTGCGAGACAAACTACTTTTACTTCGATGACGAGTGGTTCAAGGAGTTGGTCAAAACCTTCTACGCAGCTCCTCCAGCGTCTGAAGCGCGACTTGACTGCGACATCGTGTGCCTAATGCTTGTGGTATTGGCAGCTGCCAGCTTATTCGCACACCTGGATCAGATGCAAGATCCCTCTTTCTCAGATGTCATTACAAACGAGATTCCAGGACATGTGTTTTATAGACTCGCGCAGATAATCATGCCCAAATCTATTGCGATAGGTAGTCTTGCAAGTATCCAAGCGTGCCTCATCGCGGGACTCTACTTACTTCCATCTGATGACCGGAACACGGCATATGTCTATCTTGGAATGGCTTTGCGCATGGCGATTGCTAATCACATGCATCGGAATAGTACAGAACGCTGCTCACCACGCCTCCAGGAAATTCGAAACCGTGTTTTCTGGACTATATACTTGAATGAAAGGTATGAACTGCTTTTGAAGAGTACAGAAACCTGTTAGAACTGAGATCGTGGATTGATTCGTGATTCAGGGAAGTAAGCATGTTTTTAGGGCGACCCACGAGCATCTCTATCATTGATATTGACATACCATTTCCGCAATTCCGTGCTGACATCGATGGTCAAAACGAATTTAAGAAGCTACAAAGAAACATTGCCCTTTTACATCTTATCAAAATTTGCAACCAAATTTCTGTATTAACGTAAGCCCTTGAACGTCCTAAAGTCTGAAATGAGAAGACTACTAATACTTGATAGTACCCATGAAGCTCGCGCCTTACACTTCGAAGAGCTTCAAGCCTCCCTCCTCGCATGGCGTCAGACGTATCACCCGGAAATTCCATCTAGTGGCACCCACGGTTTCCGATCTGCAGTCCATCTAGCACTGTTCTATAACCTCGGTTTCATTTATCTTGGACAGCACGAGCTCACAAAACTGGTGCGGAAATATGTACAAAATCCACAAACGGTTACGACATCAACAACGGCAAAAGTTTCTCAGGAAATGGCAACAGCGTGCATTAATGCAGCTACGCGAATCATCGATCTCATTGAGTCTATGCGCCTTCGTGGCCAACTGGCATTGTTCTCGATCGTCGATATTCACAGTTGCAGTTGGGCTGTCACGGTGCTGATTCTCAGTTCCGTGACGTTTCCTTCGCCGGAGACAAGACACAAGATCGAGATAGCTCTCCGTTGTCTCAGACATATAGCAGCTAGCTCAAGGAGTGCTAGGAATGGCCTTAGACTCATCGAGAAATTTCAAAGTCTTGTCGACAGAATCACGGCTCGTCTTTGCCCTAGAAAGCCCCTCCAAGCAGACACAAACTCTAACTCTAAAGATAACCATGCGGGTGCGGCATCAGCTTCTAATACCAATTTCCAAAATGCCTCTGATCATTCGTTCTCGAATGTGCTGGATGGGGAGGACTTACCTCCTAGCACTAACACCTATAATACTTATGGCTTGCAAGAATCAGCCTCCGAGTGGCTAGGCAGTGATGCAGAGGGCGTTCCTGAGACATCTTTCGACTACGACTTCCCAGGTTCGGACTTTTTACTGTCCATTGAGCAATACAGCTATGAAGATCTCACTATGTACGGCTTCTCTAGTATTGCCTCCAGTATGGACTACGAAGTCTGAGCTGCGAGAGGTTCCGGAGGCCATATGCATATGTGCCAAACCTTCGACACTGTGCCATTTCTCCAGCGGTTGCCACTGGGGGCACTACCAACGTAAAAACCTGAGAATTTGAAGAAATCAAGCCTGTTGACGAGAAGCGCAGTTCAGATACATGGATGCGCAAGTTCTCTATTAACATCTGAGGATTGTCCAGATCAACTCTCACTATGGCACAACGTTTAAGTTTTAACCGCCAACAGTGCCACTTTATGTAGGACACACTCCTACCATATGCGTTTCAGAGCCGTCGAAGCCTCTCAGACATTGGAGACATTTCGGACATTGAAGCAAGGATAAAATTTTGCAATCTCCCTCGCCTATCGTACACGGCAGAAGATGAAATGGAGCAACCACCGGCAGGATGCCAACCTATAGGTCAGTGCTCTCTTCTGTTTGCTCCTGTGTTTTGTCTTTATATCTTACTGGAGATCCATAGGCAGCCCATGGCGCTGACCCGTAAGAGCACCAATCGACAAGATTTCGTCGTTGAGTGCACCGTACTCCGACGCCCTGATGTCGATATACAATATTAAGATGGACCTTCTCCCAGTAGGGAGAAGAACCCGAGTCATATGTTCAAACTTCGGATTTTTCTGGTGTCGATACTCTCCATGACCTCTCTCACAGTTCTGCGAAGATATACGACAAACAAGCTGTCAGACTACCAATAACCCCAGCGTCGATACACGATATCGGAGTGTCTCACAACTCTGCGAATTGCACGACATCCAATCAAGCTATCGGACTCATAGTTGCTGATGTCGATGCACAATATTGGTACTTCCTGCAACTCTAAGAAGAGACGAAGGAGCCATGCTTCAACAATCCTGATATCGACCAATGCGCAACATTAGGATCCGTGTAAAGTTGTTCCTTTCATTCATCAGAGTATAAAGGATCCCCGGATCGTCCATCACTTTCTCCCAGTTCGGAAATTTCCCATTTCCGACGACTGGTGCAACGCACATGTGCATCTTGCTGGTCTTAGCATCAAGACATGTCTCCGCGAGTCACTGCTCACCATCGCGTTCATTTTCATCCGAATATAGCATGGCGCATGTCGCAGTGGACTATTCAATGATGAAACCCTCAGAATTCGACTGGGACGCTATACTACTTTCGGGTAAACTTCTACCTATTTGACCTAAGCACCATACTCTAGTCGCTGGTCTTGCCATTGCGGCTCGGTACCACACCCTATAACAGCTTGTCAAACTGTCCTCACACTGCTGTAGTGATATCAGACACTTCAAAATCTGATACTCTTCTCATCTTTCTCGGAATCTCGCACGCCATCAAACTTACGTTCAGCGCATATATTCCCCATATCTCCGACTCATGATGCGCACCTTCATCAGAAAATGGTGGATAGTCTTCATTCAACCAGGACGACCCCTCTACCTCAATCCACATATGATGCTATTGATCCCACCCTTTTTCGGAATTTTGAAAGCGGATGGGATGAAGGTTATTGACTACCCGAAACAGAAAGAAGCTTTGGAGGCTGAGAAGAAGAGAGAAAAGCTCGAAGATACACAGTAGGAGATTACGATTTAGAGCTGAATGGCGTAGTGGAGACTGCATGGAAGTGTGTGAATTCGAATCTGGTCGTCGCCGTGTGGGGAAAATAACACATCACATCCTCCTATCGAAGTAAACGCCCACCCAACACAACACGATACTCGATTATCATCTGAATCGAACATTCAAATACGAGAACGCAGGCTGCACAATATCAACACTGAGAGCCTCAATATCCGTCGCGTCTCCAGCTACTCCAGCTGCTACCAGAAGGGGTGTCAAATGCTGCGAAATCAATGAATCTTTGAGGTTCTGCAAAAAATATACCACAACTTACCTCAACCGTTGGACGGCCCCGCTTGAGCTCTGGTAAAGACTCCAACTTTAGGGAGGCCTTTCGCCTTTCGCTCTGCCTCGTGCTACCTCAAAGTATTTGGAATATGTGTGTCGAGGTCTCGCGACTCGGTTGAGCGTTTGGCTCCGAGGAGCTTCCTCCAAAGATATTAGTCACAATGCTTTCGATGGCATATGCGATATATATTGGCTGTTCGAATCATGGCGGAGCATATGAAAATCAAGTCTTTCGAAACATTGATGCTTCTGAATGTCGCGCGGCTTGGATCGCGTGTCTTTCGCTATCTGGCTTACTACTTTGAGACTTCAGATTTTAGCTTTCACTTGAGTCAACAGGCGAGGTGCCAAGAAGTTTTGAATAGCGGATTCAGAATCTCTAGGTGGTTTGCATTTCGATAAGAGAGGGCGAAAATGGGTCTTGTTATGGTGATGCAGCGAGAGTCTAACAATGTCAAAGTTTGATTGACTTGACAGGTATTGATGGCGTGATAATTAGAAAAAATGAACCTGTTAGAACTTAACCACATCTTTCATACTATCTCTTACTTGGTATGTGGAAGACTTTGAACAAGAAGGATGTACTTGGTGTTGTCAGACTTCATTCCGCCTCGTCAAAGCAAGAGGAGAGCACTAAAGGGGGGCAGGATTAACCAGAACGACATCATTTTGGTAATGTGGATTGATTGCTGTTTACGCACTCCATGCTAAACGCCACAAGACTTCCACGTGGTGTAAGGTGAAGATGTATGCATATAGCAGATCTAGTATAAGGTGAAGAAAGTAGTCCAAAGAACCCGCCGCCCGAGTACTCAGAATAGGCTTCGAGAAGTGGGACAGTTAAACCACAGTCTAATGGGCCTGCGCTGCCTGACATCCGTTAAAGCTAGTGAAGGAGATCATGTATATTAATTTTGCTGTTGCGTCTTCCGAAAGGCTCTCGCTGATTAATGACGTCGACGACTTTGATTGCGCTAACTTATTTCATGGTCCGAAGTCCGAAGTATATGTCTCGTATTCCTACTCGGGAACCCGAGACCCTCTCGATTTCCAATTCTGTATATGTAGTAAACAATGACGGTATCTGTTCAAGACAATTTTGTCCGATGCACAATTCAGCTGAAGATAAGAAGGCGTTGTCTTCGATTTTCTTGAACCTCCATCGCTCCTTCCAGCTCTTGAGAAGTACTGATAGATTTTCTCCCTCCCACTCCCAGCATCACTAAAACTTGCCATGCCCATGCGCATTTTGATCAGTGGAGCTGGCATCGCTGGCTCCACGGCGGCTTGGTTCCTAGCAAAGACTGGCGCACACATTACCGTCGTGGAGAAAGCGCCTTCTCTACTTCCCCACGGACAAAATGTTGATATCAAAGGCTGCACTTTGAAAGTCGTTCGGAAAATGGGCCTCATGGAAGAATATCTACGACACGGTACCACAGAAAAGGGTACACAATTCATGGATCCAAATGGAAGGCCATACGCATCCTTTCCCGTTGAATCTGTTAGTATGACTTCGGAATACGAGATTCTTCGTGGAGATTTGGCGCAGATTCTCTACGAGGCAACGAAAGGGTATCCGAACATCACCTACTTATTTGATACTACGATTAGTGAGGTCACATCAAACGGCGATGACTCTGTCGAGGTTAGATTGAGCAATGGAGAAATCCAAAAATCCGACATCTTGATCGCAGCAGATGGTCAATGGTCAAAAGTGCGAAAACGATGCTTCCGGCCGGAAGATGTCAGCACAGTTGATAAAGGCATGTACGGTGTCTACTACACGATTCCGCGACTTCCCAGCGACGAGTCCTGGTGGAGCATCTACCAGGCTCTCGGATCACGGATCGTCAGCCTCAGGCCTGACCCCCATGGCACCATGAGAGCTCTGCTCACCATCATGCCTTGCAACGATTCCCAGAAAACGGCGTGGCAGGCAGCATCCAAGAGCGACAGACAGACACAAGAGGATTTGTTGAGAAGAGACTTCGCAGACGCAGGATGGCAAGCGCAAAGACTCCTGGACTCCATAAGTGAAGCGCCCGATTTCTACTTCCAAGACGTTCAACAGATCAAGATGTCCAAATGGTCATCCTCTCGCATCATCTGTCTAGGAGACACAGCGTATGCACCAACGCCGCTGACGGGAATGGGGACTTCGTTGGCTATCACTGGGGCTTATCTCCTGGCAGGAGAATTGAGCAAGCTTGGCGATGATGAACATCCTGCCAAAGCATTCGAAGCCTATGAAAACATGTTTCGCCCATATGTTGAGTCCGCTCAACAGATTCCATTCTTTGTCCCCGCTATTGCTCATCCGGAGACAGCATGGAAGAGGTGGTTGTTTGGGGCAGTTATGGGCACGCTCGCTAAGATCTTTACAGTGCCTTGGTTGGCGAGAGCATTCAAAGATTACGAAGACAACGAAGATGACTTTGCGCTACCGGAATACTCGATCTTTGAGGAAGGAGGCTCCAAATGAAGCTGGATATCAACTGAGGTGCTTGGTCGATATTTCCATTTTCTTTTCATATCGGTATACGGAGTTTAACAACAGCAATACGGATGTACAATGTAGGACTGGAAGAATAAATTGCAAATGAACCCTTCTCTTGAACAAAAACTTGGTATAACTTGTTTGAGGTAAAGAGGAAAAAGAGTCGTGTTTCGTTTCGCTTGTGAAGTGGGGTTGAGTTGTGTTTAGCGAACCCCTGAATTCAACAGCCAATCGAAATTTTCTTACCCGCCATTATAACAGCAGAATTGTATGAGCAATGCTGAAGCTATATATCTGGAACACAAAAGATAACAATACAGAGCACTCCTACGTGATCCAAACCAGCGAACCATCAGAATAAAGTGACGAAGGTACCAGTGCCCCCGCATCAGGAGGCTCCATCCAAACTGACATGTTCCAACAAGTCCCCCTAAGCATAAGCATCCACCACGCCTCTTCAACATCCAAGTCAGAAACTAAATTCTTATCGCGAAATCTTAATTTCTCTGCGACAAAAGAGCATTGGTCTACCATGACGTGTGTCATCTCTGCAATGTCTCTGGCCAGACCAGGCCCGGAATGTTTCTTGTCAGACAACATCTGATCGATCTCGAGGTTGTGGTCTGGATTTGCTTTGAAATCTGGTCTAGCGACTTTGATCGCGAGAGCGCTGAGATATGCTCGAACAAGCTCTAGATACTTGATTGGTGGGACAGAAAAATGCTCCTCGTGGATTAGTTGATCAGCTTTGTTGCGCGCTTCAAAGAACCGCTGAGTCTCGTCGAATATGTCCTTAATACTTTGAAGCATGTCCATCCTGTCTTTAATAGCTTGCTCGTAGCCGCTATTGGGGGCGGCAGCGTTGACTTTTCCTTCTGGGTGGATGAGTGATTTTTTCCATCGACAATAAAAGTCGTCAGCAGCAACGTGTTCGGCAAGAGCATCGTATTTCTGTTGAGCATATTCAAATTTGGTATGTTCTTGCTTTTCCTTTTGGCTCAATTGATCGCATCTTCTTTTCAAACGAACTCGTAGGACTTCTCGTGCTTCCCAGAAATGCATGAATGAGTACTTGTACCCCATATAGCCGCCTTGCCAAGCAATAGGATGCTGGATACGCACGATCGGCGAGGTACTCAACGGCATCCATGGACAAATGCAGCAAATAGCATCGTTGATCAGTGTCCTTGTCTGATTGGTCTTCTGGCAAAATTGCTGTACATCGCCGTGGGTCTGTATTGCATTGAACATCCACTCGGGGTGTGATTTCGCATCTGGCCCTACAGTATGGTATGTTCTGTCGACTAGCTCGGGATCCCCAGGGACTATCCCACAAAGCATCTGATCTGCATGAACACTAGGAATCAACAATTTGTCTGCACTAATGTTTGACAAGTCGAGTCCTGCTTGCAGGCGACCAAGACTTTTGATTTCTGAATGCTCTGGCCGGACACTCAATCGGGCTACGAGGCCGAAAGAACGGATGGAACTGGACGTGATGGTATAACCGCTTCCTTCTGCTCGAAGATATCCTTCGTGAAGTCGAATCTCCTGCCACCTCATGCCAAGTCGTTGGCCAAGCACCATTAAATCACCAAGACTTGTAGACGCCAGGGGCCTGTTGATGTCCGATGGAATCTAGAGAGAGTCAGCTGGACCTGCAAAGTCTGGATGCGAGTACTGAGGGCAAGCAGAAGCCTTCAACATATGGTGGACAACGATGATCGAAAGAAGAAATACTATGCACTTACTAAGAAGACTAGGTCAGCCCTTGAACCGAAATAGGGTAAATAGACGTACCATAATCCCAATTCCGACGCTTCAGCTTGACGCAAATCAAGGTGGATGTTAAACTGTCGGAATTTGACTCTCCTTGTTTCTCAAGAGTCTTTGGTATTGGCAGTGCCTGGGTTCCTGAATACATACTGCCCCACTCCTGTCGCTGCAGACTAAGAATCGACTGTTGATAATTATGAGCAACCTGAAGCAGCCGATCCCAGCTCACCATGATCTCACTGTCAAATTCGTGAGGATCAAGATGAGCCAAAGCCCAATAGAGACCGTGCAGTCTTCTGCGAAACCACCCTAGCCCGCCATTAGGTGATTTCCACCTTCCTTCAATGTTCTCAGGCATCGTGTCCCGCCCCAGAACATGGAACTTGTTAAGTCTCCAGCGGTCTTTCCTGAATCGTCGGCCACCAGACGGGTTTGCTTGGTCGTAAAGTTCGCTCTCCTGGAGATTCTCCGTTGCTCCAATCACGATGTGAGGCGTGACATATTTGATCACGAAGCGGAATTCGATCCAGTTCCAGCGCCATCGAGTCATGTCAGCCCAGTTGCCCATGATGGCTGAGTTGGTGCGCTGCCTGCCCTCAGCTGTGCCGAAATTTGATTGCAGGACCTGCCAGAGGCTCATCAACAAAGCAACGAGCGACACTATCAAAGCGACAAGAGAAAGAGAGTTTTCAGGCGCCATGTTGAGACAGGTGGAGAATTGGGTAGGATAGATCAGTACAGTATGTAGAGATAGCCATTGATATATGGAAATGTTGACATGGGATTTCAGTAATGCCGTGAGAAAGCCCGCTGTTGATGCATGGCATTGTAAATGTTAGCGAGGTTGGGGGCCGATCCTATAATCCTTGATACAAGGGAGTTCCAATCTCCACCACTAAAACAGCCCAGGCCAGGAAAATCGCGAATTCCGAAAATAGCACTGCAGGACAGCATCTCTAGGTAAGCACTAGAAAGGTAAGAAGCAAGGATACAAGCCTATAACCTCTGTTTCTTCGAGAGAAGTGGTAGCTCACGAAGCTGACTTCGAGCAGCTCCTCTGTCTTTCTTCAAGACTAAAGAAATTTCGAGATGTATAGCACGAACTCAAAAACGGTGGAAAGCTCTTTCCCGTTGAAAATGAACTCAAAAACTGAACGAGGCTGCGGAAGTTTGTGATTTCACTAAAGGGCAACCCTTCTTTCCGATTAAAGGTTATATTTGCGTGCAATTACAGGTTCCCATGACCATAGGAGCAGGATAAACACCACCCAAAGTCCCACTGATGAACACAACCAAGACCGCTGCATATGCCGCCGTTGCTGCGAAAATCTGGTCCTCGTTTTGCGTTCGTCAACCAACCTACACATGTCGCGAACAACACCGTCCAGCCGCCCAGCATTCCAAGAAGCGCATATGGATTGTGAACGAAATAAAGCGATGTTATGGAGCCGAATAAGAGGATTGCAGATAATATAGAGCTGAGTATCGCGACGAATTTGGCGACAGAGCGTTCAGAGATGTATGCTGATTGACCGTCTTGTCGGGTAGCCTAATGATTGAATCAGCTACCGGCACTACTCTGAGAATTTTTGTAGTGAGGGCATTCACCTTGAAGAAATAGCTGAAGTAGTTCAAGATGAACTCAGAGAGTCGGTCCTGGTCTGCCGGTACGCGAAGCGCAACGAGGTCATGGACATCATCATACTTCTTTGCACTACTTCCCCAAAGTTGGGGCCTAGACTCGACTTTGTCTGAGGTTGTGTCTAAGAACCAATTCCTCATTGCTCTCACAGTTGTTGATGCTGGTGGTTTCGAATTCAGGAGCGTTTTGTGAACAGCGAGTGCTTCGTCTGCTCAGATTAATATTATTAGACTAACCCGGCGCGAGAGATGTCTGGTGGCTCAACAGCCAAACTCACGATATTCTTTCAATTTGTGTTTGATTCGCAATGCTAATTCCATCTTTTCCTTCTGTCTCAAATGTACGAACTCTCCATGCGCATCTTGCTCCCCCGCACACCTCTGAAACTTCCTCCAGTCGCTATGACAGCTAATCGTCGTACTATCCGCAGACTTGAGATCTGCCTCATCGTGTTGATTTTGCAAAGTCTCAAGTTCAGCGATTTCGGCTTCTAGATATAGCAGATTTCGAGCTGAGAGTTTATCAAAGCGTCGATATATTGTGGTTGTTTTATCGGGATCGCTCGCGATTTTGGAAGCCAGGCGGGGGAAGCCATTGATAGGATTAGGTCTTGCTCTTTCGATGTCGCCTGGAAGCATTTGCGTCTAGCTCGGCTCATGTCGCAATGTTATTTTTTTAATGCAAAATGAATGGAAGAGGACGATAAAAGTGTCGTTGAAGTCACAACCTCACTCAGCCTCAAATTCAGCCTTGCAGAAAGCCTCCGTGGCTGCACTGCCACGTCAGAACTCATCTGAGAAAGAGAAAGAGAAAGAGAAAGAGACAACTCACTGCTCATCTTTTTCTTGCGACAAACATTCTAAACATGCTTCAAGATATTGTTGCAAGCTGAAAAATTCTTTCGCGGCCAGAAGAACACGCTTTCGCTGGCACATCAAATCACGGAGTGTCGTTGGCGGCAGGTACTGAAGCCTTCCAGTTGCATCCCAATGGTCGGAATACAATCGCTAACCAACTTCGTGTTCCAGTCAATTGAAAAACAAGATTCGGAGAGAGAGTGTTTGCATCCTCAACCACCTCCTCTAAATTACATCGATGTACGAAATTCTATCTCTAGACTCCACCACTTAGCACGGTATATACACGAAAGGCAACGAGCACATCAGGCTGCACATTAGGCTCCACACACCTGCAGTTCTACAAAGAATTGACGAAAGGTTTGCCGAGAACCTCTCATCTTCGAACTCTGTGGGCATGGAGTTCGAAGTGTTTGCACGCTTGAACGATAGGACGTTCACGAACCAAAGTCTTATTGATTTTCATGAACAATATCCGCGTAGCTGCAATTTTTGTCTGGAGGCGTTTACCACCGAGCTTCTTATGAAAGCCCATGTGGAAAGGACACATTTCGACACGAGTGAAGACAACCGAATAGCGCAAAATTCCCAAGAAGTTCCTTGGTTGGACAAAGTTACTTGGTTGGACGAAGTTATTTGGTTGGACGAAGTTAATCACCAAAGCTGGCGTGCACATAGCAAAGACTTTCCGGACAGTGCTCTAGGTGGTACATCTTACAATATCTCCTCTCCGACCGATGGACAAGATCTGGGCCAACGTAGTGGAGACGAAAGAGAACGGCCACTACAGGACCAGATCTTGGGATTCAAATATGACCCGACTCCGTGTTTCATTGGGGACTGTCGAGGAGATTATACGTTTCCAACAGAGTCTAGCTATCACGCTCATCGAAGAAACGTACATAACAGGACCATATATAGACCCATCTTGCCTGCGAGCGTGGATCTTGTTCCAAGCATGACTCCCCGTGAGCAAAGTGATCCAATAGAAATTGGTGCTGAAGCCAGTCGAAAAAAAAGCAACCGTTGGCGCCCCACCTACAATTTGAAGACGCTGAAAGCTATAAGTCTAGGGAGACCCAAAAATCGTCGAACCAGAGATCCGATAGCTCATTATACAGAGCGTCTCTCTTCTTCCACTAATCCGGGTTCTCGAAACTGGAAAGCTTTGTTTCCTTTCCGGGAAAATACACGCAAGATACTTCGAATTTTGATCTGCAATAAGGAACAAATAGCCTGTCCAGACTCCGGCTCCGAGAAAAACATCATGTCTGAGGCTTTCGCCCTTGAGAATGGTTTTGAGATCACCAGAAAGGTGACAGATATCAAACCCTTCGAGCTTGGTAATGGAAAGAAAGTATGGTCAATTGGCCGCGTGAAGACCACTGTGAAGCTTCTTAGCCATACTCTAAGGAAGCGGCTTCGATGGTTCTACGTGTTTGCAACATGTCCAGTGCCGTTGATCTTGGGCATGTCATTCCTTGCAGAAGCCAAGATTCTTATAAAGAACAGACATATGCTTGAGACTTGCCCAGAAGAATTCGCAACTCTTTCTTCTCTATTATGGATTGGATCACCTCGAGAAAAAGGCGAGTCACCCTGCAACCGCATCAAGTGCACGTTGGATGGAAAAAAGGTCATGGCTGTAGCGGATACGGGATCCGATCTCAACTTCATGTGTCCGAATTGTGCTGAGAGGGAAGGGTTTCATGTCGACGGTCGAGACGAGGCTCGGATACAGGTCCAGCTCGGAGATGGGTCTGTGGCTGAGACGATTGGTCAAGTGTATATTCATAATTTGAGTCTCGATTGGCGAGAGCCTGTGACGAAACTATCCCAACCTGCTCGATCTAGTATTCGAGAAGGGTTGTCGTCGTCGTCGGAAGTCCCAGAGGAATCTTGCGGAACTATCTTCCACGTTCTCCCCGGTCTAGGATGTGATGTTATCTTAGGTCGAGATGTTCTTGATGAGACGGATGCTTTCAACTGCTGCTCTGGTCTTTCTTGCTCCGGTGCTGCAAGCAGCCAGGATCCATACGAACTCAACATATTGATTTTCAAGAAGAAGAAGAGGAAACATGCCGAGATGACTTCTGATCCGAAAGAAGTTCACGATGATGAGCGTCATGCAGAAATGCTTCGACGGTCGAGGAGAGAAGATGAGATATCCCTTCTCACAGGGGATAGGCGAGAACAAGCTAGGGGTCGGGAAAGAATATTGTGTAGAGCGTGGGATGACCGTCATGCGGCGTGTATATACTGCGCGGCTGACACTTGAGCCACATTGCACTAAAGTTGATCCATATTGTACTAAAGCTAGACAGCTAACCAAGCTCCGAGTGCACTTACTCTCTAAAACGAGGTGTCCCGCTTTCAGAGCTCGCACTTAGAGCTACCTTTATCGTTCAAGCCTCTCCTTCCAAGTATTTTCTTACACCTTTTGAGGCCCTAGGCTCTCAATGCTTTAGTATCAATCGCGCCGAGCATTGTGCTAGCAAACGTCACTCGCAATCTGTGAATTAGTAGTACACTATCTCAAGCTTTTAATGATTAAGGAAATTTCGGTCAAGGAAGAGCGCAACGCTCCTTCTAGTACTACTAGCATCGTTGGCGATACGACCCCGCTTCCCAATTAGGCAAGTGGGGTTATCTATTCATGTCAAAAATCTCGTACTGTTGCTCATAGCATGGTACCTTTAAAAACTATAGACAGAAGGTACCTAAACGCTCTTAAAGCATATAAGACACTGAGATATTGAACAGATAGCGAAGGATGCTCACAGATCAAGTCACACAAAAACGTCGTCAAACAAACCTCCTCCCCGCTGTACAAACCTAACCGGTACCGTGCCCCTCATCTTCAAGAAAATCTCACTCTCACTCTTCGCAATTGTTTCCCTCGCCTTCTTCATCGCTTTCTCATACACTGTCCTCTTCTCCTTTGGCCCCATCTTTCTCACTTCAGCATCAGAAGCCCATTCACTAACATCCAGCTCACAAGTATACTTGGAAAAGATCGTTGCAAGCGTAGCTGTGATTTCCACTTGCGCAAATCGTTTGCCTGGACATGCTCTTGCCCCGTCAGAGAATGGTAGGAAGGAGCCTCGAGGTGGGACGAGAAGAGTTTCGTTGCCAGAGGTATCGAATGATGTTGTGTTTTCGTCGATTTCTTGGGCGGCTGCAGTTTCCTGGGATGTTGCTGTGGAGATACCGGATGACTGAAGCCATCGTTCAGGTACCCAGTCGTCTAAATCATGAGACTTAGTCGAGAGTTTGCTGGGGGCGTGAGGCCAATAACGGGGATTGCGCTGTGCGCCCAGACAGCTGATATGGATTATCGTATCAGCTGGAACAGTGTACTTCTTTCCTCCAAACGTAAGAGGTTGTGGTACACCTCGGACTATCTTTGGAACGTCGATTACGGGTGGCATGACACGGAGAGTTTCGTTGATAGTAGCGCCTACCATGCTGTGCCAGATGCGGTTGAGGTCTGTTTCGTAGGTCCATTCTAATGAAGGTCGAGAGCCGATCACAAAGTCTAGATCTTTCTGTAATTGCACTTGTTTGTCAAGCTCGGTCGCGAGAAAGAGGAGACAATAATGAGTGACATTGGCCGAGGTCTCGTGGCCGGCGAAAAGTGCAATCCATGAATCGGATATGACCTCTTGTTTTGTGAGATACAGGCCATTAGAATCTTCTTTGGTCTTCTCCGCCGCTTGCACTAGTGGTCCTAATGGAAGGTCAGATTATATGTGGAGCAAAGGCGGATTTTACTGTACAAACCCATTATATCCATTGACCCCTCATCCGTCTCCCCGCGTTCGATCTGCCGCAATTTGTATTCCGACAATTCGGTGAAATAGTCTTTGCATTCAAAATATGCCTGACCAAGTTTTTTATGAAGCTCGAAGGGGGATTTCTCTGAAGAAGTTCAGCACCTTTAATCATCCCAGTGAGGAAGTCATACTTAGCAAACTAACAGGGAAAATTACCAACCACAATATCCCATGTAGCATCGTGTTCAAAGAGTCCTTGAATGTCATGGTATGGCTGCGTAGCAATTCTGCCGTGTTGAATCCTGGTACGACTTTGTTCCCTAATTGGGCTTCATCCTCTCCATCCCACAATTGACGCACTCCAAATCCAGCTGCGCAGATGACGTGCAATGCCATTGTCGCCGTGTAAGGAGCTGTGTCATTGACTTTCATGCTATTAGATTCATTCCCATCCAGTTTTGACCAAATGTTCAGCATTCCGTTCGTTTGTCTCAAGCTTTCCTTCCAGACTAAAGCATTACTTCTCTCTGAAAATGCCGGTGCAACAATTTTGCGATGTCTTTTCCACTCCTCTCCTTCAGTGGTAAGAATGCTGGGACCAAAGATATCGACGATAACGTAGATCTCCACTGGCTTCACGAAGTCAAGACGACGACCGGTCAACTGGTTGTTGGCTTCCGCATTGCTGGAACTCATGTAAATCTGGCTAGGACTGACAATGAGATAGACTTCCCCCAAACTTTCCCTCAATTCCTGGGCATAAAACCAGCTTCTATGGACACGGAGTAGTCTATACACAGGTTAGTCATTATATCTGATGGGATACTGAAGGCAGCTTGCTGACTTTGGCCACAACCATTTTCGTGAGGGCTTGTAAGCGTGGAGTGGTTCAAGGAAGAGACGGTGTGTTGCAGTCCAGAAAAAACCAGGAATACCGCTTATGACTAGATTGTGTTAGTTGAGGGAACGACGAATATATCAGAGGATCCCAACGGGTTATGCGGTATGGAAGACCAGATGCTTTCGCAGCCGCAATATTGCGCTGCAGTGAGGACCATGTTTGAAATGACCAGAATAGAACGAGGCCAATTAGGCCAAAATAGATATAAGTCAACATATCCTCAATTAACCATATATGACACTGTGGATAATTATGAACAACAAAAAGATATACTTTCTAAATCTTCCTTGGGGATTGACGTTCTGTTATCTGAAGTTAAAATCTCACTCCAGTGAGCAGGCTCGAATATGCTTACTAATGTTGGCTAGTTCATGGCATGGTACACCTTGTAGCTTGCGCCATCCCAGACCCAACAATAGGTTCAATTGCAAGGGATAATAGGCATCGCAGCTCCGGGCGTCTTCGAGGCGCCCGTACACGGCCACACCGATCCATCCTCAATTGAGGAGTGACAGCGATAGATTAAGCTTGATATTTGGGCGTAGCTGAAATTTGTTCGAAGGATTTGGGATTTCTTTCGATGTTTCCTTTATGCAATCTATGAAGGCGTAGGAAACAGGAGGAGGGCTATCCGATGATTGATTCAATCAAATACGAGAGAAACGTAAGAAGAACATCAACAAACAAGTATAGTAATCACAAGATAATACTAACACTGCAGCATGCAATGCGGGGCTTGGCAAGTGTGGAATGCTAGCCAGGTAGGGTAAGCTTTTGCTATCTATCAAACGGGGCCGTTGTGGTCGTCGTTAAGTAACAACAGTTCAAACGAGACGGAGCGAGTTAGTCCTAGAATTGCTGTCAAGATTCACAAGATCCTAATGAGGTAAGTAGCCATTGGACCAAGGTAAAGCCGCCGTCAAGGCCAGGGTGGGAGCAAAAGAGCAGGTGAAAGAACTCTGCGCCTCTGTAGGCTCTTTTTCTGACTGACTTCGAATGCTTGACGTCCGAACGAGCTGGTATATCACGTTTTCGACTCCCTGTACCTTCATCCATTTCACATTTTGGTACATCTTGCTTGACTTCTTCCATGGCTTCGAATCCGATCCGGCTGCAGGCCTCCTCGTAAACATTATTCTACACTAATACTTCTATTGCTCTTCATGGTCTGGATCATGTCTCCTCGTATCTTCGTCCTCGGCTCCTTTTCGCTTCTCTGGCCGCCTTTTTAAGGTTGTCCGTCCGCCTGCGGCAACCCGACCATTCTGCAATGTCAAAGGCTAAATAGCCTCCGGCCCCGTCCCTGCAGGAGGAGAGTGATTTTAAATGACGTACATTGGCCTCTATAGCTCTAGTTGAAGTCTTAAGCATCCAGTTAGAGACGTCAATATCAGTATAAGCTGAAGTGGGATATCTTCCGTTGCAATTGCCTAGTACACAAGAGTCGGTGTTTGATGCTGGCACAAGTCCAAAATAAGAAGGCGTCTCGCATTTGTAATATATGTCGCATCGAACAGAATAGTCATACCACTGTGAACCAGATTCATTTACAATGTTGTTCCCTCAAATAATAAAGTGAAAAGTGAAGGAAGAGAAAACCCCGGGTCATCCCGAGAGTTCCCCAGATGGCGCTACTTTAATTCCGCGCTAAGGCAAATTCCGAGAAAACACTCACAACTCCGAGTCATTCAGAAAGATTTGTTTTCTCTTCCCATTGCATTGCTGTTCTCCTTCTTTCTTGTGAGATACCCCTTCATCGATTCAACATGTTGTCTACAGTCAGAGCAGCCAGCCGTCACGCATTGTCCCGCGGAGCAATTGCCAGGAGCTCAATTGCCGTTCGCTCAGAATCAACATGGGCCAAGGTTCCTCAAGGTCCACCTGTAAGTTTGGATCGCTCCGTTGCCCCGAAGACTGGATGCTAATCATTACGTGTAGGATGTAAGTATCTATCTAGCACTTTAATCGTTGCTCAATGCTAATCATTTCTGCTTGTTGAAAGGCCATCTTGGGTACGTCTCAAAAGTGGAGAGCTTCTACTTTAACATTGCTTTTTACTGACTGAAAAAATAGGTATCACCGAGGCATTCAAAGCCGACAGCTTTGCAGAGAAGATCAACCTTGGTATGGAAAGTCAATGGAGAAGAGGAACCAGGGCTGATAGCATCTGGCAGGTGTTGGAGCATACCGAGACGACCAGGGAAAGCCATACGTCCTCCCCTCTGTACGAACAGCCGAAGACAAAGTCGTGTCCGCCCAATTGAACAAGGAGTACGCTGGTATTACTGGTGTCCCTGAGTTCACCAAGGCCGCTGCCATCCTCGCATACGGCAAGGACTCCAGTGCTCTCGATCGTCTCGTCATTACACAATCTATCTCTGGTACCGGTGCTCTCCGAATTGGAGGTGCCTTCCTGCAAAGATGGTTCCCAGGCTCGAAGAAGATCTATATCCCAACACCATCATGGGCAAACCACGCGGCTGTCTTCAACGACTCTGGCTTGACCGTCGAGAAGTACAGATACTACAACAAGGATACAATTGGTCTTGATTTCGAGGGAATGGTTGCAGATATCAAGGGTGCTCCCAAGGGTAGCATCTTCCTCCTCCACGCTTGCGCACACAACCCTACTGGTGTTGACCCAACTCCTGAGCAATGGAAGGAGATTAGCGAGGCTGTTAAGGCTGGTGGGCACTTCGCATTCTTCGATATGGCATACCAAGGATTTGCTTCTGGTAGTACCGACCAAGATGCGTTCCCAGTACGACACTTCGTCGAGCAAGGTCACAATATTGCTCTCGCCCAGTCCTTCGCCAAGAACATGGTAGGTCGCTTTCATGTATAGAGGGAAGTTCCGGATTAACCATTTCACAGGGTCTCTACGGTGAGCGTGTTGGAGCCTTCTCGATCGTCTGCGCCGATGCCGACGAGAAGAAGCGTGTCGACTCGCAGATCAAGATCCTCGTCCGACCCCTCTACTCCAACCCACCTGTGCACGGTGCTCGTGTCGCTTCCACAATCCTCAACGACCCCACCTTGAACGAGCAATGGCTTGGAGAAGTCAAGGGTATGGCAGACCGCATCATTACCATGCGTGCACTCTTGAAGAAGGAGCTCGAGGCTTTGGGGTCAAAGCATGACTGGAGCCACATCACCAGCCAGATTGGCATGTTCGCTTACACTGGCTTAACCCCTGAGCAAATGGACAAGTTGGCCAAGGAGCACTCGGTGTATGCAACTAAGGATGGAAGAATCTCGGTGGCGGGTATTACGACTGGAAATGTGAAGAGACTTGCGGCTGCTATTCATGCTGTTAAGCCATAGATGTGTTGATGATCGATTGGCAACGACGGGGTGTGAAAATGGTATGTATGGTAGATGCTGAGTAGACTGGGTAGATTGGGCAAATTGCTTGACAAAATCATAGAAGTGGACTCCGCGTACATTGTACAATAGTATGTCATCATTGTATCTCGATTTCTGCCGAATGTGCCTTCACACCAAGTTCTCACTGTATTCATTGATTGACAATGCCTATTTATAACACATCCAGCATTTTAACAGACTATAAACACAGCATTTCAAGCACTCAACTACCGGCCCCTTAACCTTTCAACATCCCTCCCTACATCCTTCAACTCCCTACTCAACTCCGCATATTTATCCGTAACACTCCTCATCACCCTCTCCTTCTCCTTCCCCTCCTCCCCCCTCCCAACCCCATACCCCCAAAGCACCCTCTCAGCGTCCCCCCTCTTCTCCCTCAACCTCTCCCTCGCATCCCTCAAATGCCTCACATAAACCTCCAACGCGCCCCTCACCTCCTCACTATACACCACCCGCTCCCCCTTCACCGCCTTCTCCCTGACCTGCAATGCAACCTGCTGCGCCAGCAACGAAAGATACGACGACCGAGCCTGCAGATGTCGGGACAGCAGTCCGTGTTTCGTTTGCTCGAGGTGCAGGATTAGGAGGTTGTGCGAGAGGTGGTGGAGTGAGAGGAGTGTCGTTGTGTTGGATACTAGTTCGAGGCGGCGTTTCGCTATGGAGGTTCGCTGGGTTTCGAGTGAGGATTGGAGGGAGAGGATACTAGGGAGGATTTGGGGGATTTGGCGGTGCAGGAATGAGGCGTTGGTGGTGGGGCTTTGGATTCGTGCGAGGGAGAGGGCTTGGGTTTGGAGATGTGTTGAGATTAAGGTCGCGATGCGGGGGAGGTGGGTTGGTAGAGAGGTCCATTGGGGTGTGTTTTCTAGTATGGCGATTTGTTTTGGTGTTAAAGGCGTGGAGGTGAGGCGTGCAGAAAGGAGGAGGATGAGTTCGACAAGCTCGGTGGGAAGTGGTGGTTTTGGTGGGGCAGCGGACTTGGACTTTGATGTGTTGGCTGAGGACGGAGGGGTGATGTCCAGTGTGTTCAAGGAAGTTTTGATGAGTTGTGATTTTGCTTCGCGGATCTGGGCGGTTGTAAAAGCCTATTCAATTGTCAATGGTAGTTGATCAGGGAAGGATACGATGCAAGTACTTCTGTCACCGCATCCCGCTCCTTTTGTGCGGGGTGGCTTTTCGTAGAACCATTGGGATTGAGAATATTGTTCTTGAGGGTGGCATGGAGTGTTGCAAATCTTGGATTGCTTTGCAGCACTACATCGTCGATTGGAGGAAGCATGTTGTCTGTAATGTAAGGTACCTATGTTGTTTTGTTGTTGACTCGGCAAGGCTGAAGAAACATTTGGCGCGGCTGGAGACGACGCGCTACAGTAGTGGACACGCTTCCCCTGTAGCTCTCCAGAATAGCTACAACATCTAGAAACTGGCGATAACACAGACGAACACCTTTCGAATCAGCTTGATAGCTTCAACAAATGTCAATAACCTTCAACTGCCATAAAGTGCAGAGGACCATCTTTCTTCCAACCCTATTGTCATTCTCCATCTTGAGTTGCCGAGATGAAACGTCCACTTCACCCACCAAATAATGCACCCCGTGGAGATGCCACACTCAGTAGATTTCGACTCATCGAGGTTATCACGAATAGTGATGACCTATGCCAGTTTGAATACAGGAACAATATCTGGCAGATCAGCTACCTGCTGACCTATTGCTTGGACATCCAGTTCGGCCCAATGTTTGTTTTGCCACTTGCATTTATATGCATCGTGTCCAGAGCATTGCTTAGTGTCGCTGCGATTCCAATGACTCTGCCTTGAATGATATCCCAAAAACCCTTTCTAAACTGTTACTGATGATCACAAAACCCCGCTTCAGCAAAGGCAAGTGCGTTCCTGACGCTGGAGGTTCAAAAACCAGACTCGAGTGCCTGCAAGGGTTTCTATACAGTAACTCAACTGAGCTCGAAATTAGGTTCGGCTGTAGCCGGCAGCCCCTGAATTTGGAACGCTTTCAAATGGGTAGTGCTTGGGTTAGTGGAAAGCCCGATTTGTATGTTCTTGAAAGCCGTTGCATTCACCCGAGTCATGTTGTCCAACCACCCGACCGACTTGTATACTCGTTCATGCCAGACAAGAATATTGTTTCGGCCGTTTCAATTTAGTTTTCTTCTTGATTTTGCCTGCAAAGTTCTGTCATGTGGTATCTACTTCCTCTTTCAGCACTTATGGTGCTCGCTTGCAGTTCAGCAGTAGAGCGGCGTTCTGGGCCCTCATGCAATGCTGTGGCGTGTCACTACCACTTCAACAATCTTCAGGTCTAAGTGGGTCCAAGAGAAGTTTGAAAAATTGAAGATGTGTGATGTATTGGCGCTCGACATAATATTCAACTCGAGCTGGTGTCGCTCCATTGTTGGCAGGAGGTGATTTATATTATCCTCTGCGCACATGTTTGCAATCTGCAATTTACTTTGGGTCTATGAACACCAATGGAGGCAGATTATAATTATATTAAGTTCTATACAGGAGTGGATACCTCAACAGAAGGCTTCTCAGACTCTCGCGAACTGGTTCCGGCTATCTTTGGTGCCGCTTGAAGACCTCGTTGTCGGTGCTTGGCCATCTGTCTCGCGGTTTCGAACTGTATCTGTTGCTCTGCACGCTCGGCAAGTGTGGGAGGTTCTTTCTGGAATGAAGAGAATGCAAAAACGATCGAAATGCCTGAGAGGATCGTGGATACGCGCAATGTATGTCTGAATGCATGAGCATACGCCAATCTTACTGCATGGGCCTGTGTTGAATCCAATGTTGAAAAGTTGAGTGCGACCAGTTGAGCAGGCGAGACGATACCAAAGAGCTCTCTGCCTTTGATGACGCCAAGTATTGCTGTTGATGCAGCGATGCCGAAACTTCCTCCCAGAACCCGTGCTTGAGCAACAATGCCTTGTGCGGTGGCTGCATTGTATTAGCTGAGTCATTCTCTCCTAATCATTGCCTCGGATTTGGAACCACTTACCATGGTCTTTGAGCTCACATTGGATCGCGGCTAGGATACTTGACGTAGATACCGAGAGACCAAAACCTAAGCCCACGAAAACTTGGAAGCCATAAAGTTTAGGATCGACAGCAGATCCAGTCGAGATTGTCGAAAGGAGACCAGTCCCTAGTGTCATCAAACATGAACCGACAGTCAGAGTATAGAATGAGAGGTCTTTCTTGCTGGAGATTGCACCCCCAAGCATACTTCCGATAGCAGTTGTAAAGAGCAGAGGCAACAATCCCAGTCCAGCTGTCAGAGGGCTCTTCCCGTTCACGATTTGTAAGTGGAGAGGAACGTTATATATGACAACATAGTACGGAAATCCAGTGATCAAGGCCGTCAGAGCACCAGAGACATAGACTCGACGTGTGAAAAGACTTCTCGGAAACAAGGGCGATATGGAGTCTTGTAATAAAGTTCCCATCGCCACTTCCCAACCGACAAGCAAGAACCAGCATATAGCTCCTGTCGCAAGAGGGGCAATGAAAAGAGCCGTTCCCCAGAAGTTCGGATGGACACCGCTTTCCTGAAATGCGAACACGACCAACACCGAAGCTGTGATGAGAAGGAAGCTTCCAACAACGTCCAACTGTTTCAGCGGCTTTCTTTCAGCATGACACATCTGATCCTTGTTGGGCCAAGCGAGCAGAAATATTGTGATCGAAATGATACCAATCGGCGCACTGCAAACTTAATATCAGAAAATTTACTGATATGACAGAAGTGAAGAGGTACGAACTTGATCCAGAAAATCCATTTCCAAGAAGCAAAGCGGGTAATAACACCTCCCAAGATGGGTCCCATGATTCCGGACGTCCCAACAACACCTCCAGCAACAGCCCCGATCCACTTCCTCATTGCGCGTGGGAATATTTCTGGGAACATAACCATGGCAAGGGAGTATAGTCCAGAGCCACCAATACCTTGTATACTTCTCAAAGCAATAAGCTGATTGATAGATCGAGCAAAGCCGCAGCCGATGGATCCCGAGAAGAAGAGTACAAAGGCGACAACGTATGCGTTTCGCCGTCCAATAACATCACTCATGCTTGTAAACATGACGGCGCAACCAAGATCGCAGAGAGTGTATGCCAGGGCCACCCAATTTATATTGGAAAGTGAGTTGAAGTCTGTTCCTATTGTTACCAGAGCCGTGCTGACAATCGAGCTATCGAGGAAGGAGAGGAAAAGGCCAAGACAAAGCCTGCATATTCTGAAGTCAGATATTGTTCTCTAGATTCGAATGAGATATGCTTCCGACGTACGCGGTACTCAGTAGTATGAGTCGAGACTTTGCTAAGAGAATTTCTGGGGGAGGACCTCGTGGCCCTGGTGGCCTTTCCATCACGCTTGCTGTGCTCGTTGTCCTGGAGCCGGATTCAAGAAGATTGCCATCCTTTTCCTGCATTTTGAAGAAGATAGAAATTCACGATTTCGACACAAGAAGCATTTTCCAAGTGGTAACAAGAGATGAGAAAGGGACGAGGTCAAGCATTATCATGATATTCAAATCTAAGCATTGACTTATGATTCTAGACAAGCAGCCTCAAACCCCAATCACAATGATGGTATTACTCTATCGTGAGAACTGACTATCATGTACGGCCGTACGTTCAGTTTTTCGTAAATAGCGTCATGCTTAGCTGTTTCGAAGCGCATCGCCACCATTACGGCCGTACGCAGTTCCAACATCAGACTGCGTCAATCTGCAAGCCATAACAATGTTTCGGACTCGTTTTATTGGCAAGGCACTCTTCCAACGTGCCGGCCAATTCCGGCCTATTGTGCGGGGCATTTATGTTGTCCTGTCGCTCCTCGGTCAATTTCAACCACTCGCATGATGCAAATATTCAATGTAACACGGAGTGGGACTGCATGCATTGTGTGCCATAGGGCTGTTCTCACTATTGCCAACAGGCATATCCAAATCATGACTGGCTATATGTGGTAGCTCCTCGAAGCGAATGCGAGGAACTTTCCAAGGTATGATGGTTCCATGAGCGCAAAGTATCCCTCTTTCGGTTACTTCAATCCCAAAGAGGAACTTTGTGTACTGGAGAGTGTGATTCAGTCTGTCTGCCTATTATGATAACATGTGGAGAGTTGAGATGCATGAATTAATCACTCCACCTTACTAGTTTTGTAGTGCGGGACTTGCTGCAGCCCATTGCACAAGGGCAAAAGCAATGTAGTATCTTTGTCATACGTTTTTTGCTTGGGAGTCTTTCAGCTCGCTTGATAGAACAGTACTGAACCATCTCACCGGTTGTAGAGGCCCACCCCAATCTCGGGGAAAGTCTTACACAACCATTATTCCAACATTGTTGTCACGTGCTCTCTTCTTCTTTCCCACCTCAGCACTTGCAATGCGGCGTATACTGTGCTTGCATGGCTCTGGATCTAGTGCTGAGATTATGGAGACTCAGATCGGTCAGTTTACCAATGATTCTGGTGAAGTAAGCTTAAACCCTAACGGTGCTGGAAAACAGCAAACATCCGTTCTCTCCTTCCTTCCACATACGTATTCGATTTCCTAGATGCCCCAATCGAATGCGATGCTGCTGCTGAGCTTGAAGGGTTATTTCCGGGTCCCTATTACTGTTTCTTTGACAAGTATTCGGAAGAAGAAATGCAGAAAGCAATAGAGTTCGTGCACGAAGTTGTGGAAGAAGACGGCCCTTATGACTGTGTGATGGGCTTCAGCCAGGTATGAGATTTTATCTGCAATTGAAGAAGTATGTACGTATTTATGCATTCTGACTAGTAGGCAGGGTGCGTCCGTTGCAGCGGCGTATATCGCGCAACAACAGTTGCAAGGTCCATTCAAGGAGGTGTCTTTCAAGTTAGCCGTCTTCTTGTGCGCCGCTCTCGTCCCACCTCAGATCACAACAAATGAACCATTATCGAATGCAATTGGTGCCCTTGGCTTGATTGATATACCAACTGTTCATGTTATAGGAAGAAAGGACCCATGCCAGGCTCAGAGCTTGGGTCTTGTGAAGTCATGCACCTCGAGCATGGCGCAGGTACTGCTTACTGATGGAGGTCATGATGTTCCAAGAGATGCTATTAATGCCAAAAAGATTGCGCTTGGTATTGAACGTGTAATTAGCCTAGCTTACTTGGGATGAGAAGAAGCTCATTGTCGTATGTTTTGGAGTACTCGATGTCAACTACTCATACAGCTTTGAAGCTTCAAGCTTGTCTCTCTCTTGCAGATACCTCAGTCAAAACGCAGAACAACATGTTCCAAACAAGCTGTATCCTCCATTCTTTTATAATTTCTGAATTCTCTGTGGAAAGTGCGTCCCATGAAACCCGAAACCAATTACCCCATCCACATGCGCCTTACCTATCTCCTCCAACGTCTTCGCATCAAGCACCAGCAGATAGCTCTTGCCGGAAACGCCATCTAGAATAACTGATACCAGAACACCAGCATCTTCGTCATCCTCCGCGCTTTCCGGATCTACGATAAAGATAGGTTCTCCAGGTGTGTGTCCATGTTTCGACCATGTCACAGCTGTTTTATCCCTAACATCATATTTGATGAGACTGTCGAAGAACGTTGATTTGCCGGTATGCAAGACACCATAGACAAATCTATGTTTTTTCATTGACATTCGAGGATTGATCGTCGGAAGCTCAGGACTGAGCTCTTTTGGCGCAAGATATTCGGAAGTTGCCTCTAACATTTGCACTTCGTCTGTAATGACGGGCTCGAACAAGTCTTGCATATGTGCCTCAATGTCTGGCAATACAAATCGCCGCATTTGAGGCAGACAATTCCGCATATTCGAAAATGTGGCAGCCGTTGGAGAATCTGAAAGGAGGTTGTCGATGTACAACCGCTTCAGAATGTCCAAGTCTTCAAATGCGGCCAAATCGGCGATAATGTTCACTTGGCCGTCATTGTCGGTTTCTTCGTAGGCATTGATAGTGTGAAAGCAGAAAAATGGGTCAGATTCATAGGTTGCGATTAGACCTCGGCCACCTTCTTCCACGGGGTTCCGGTCGACCACGTACCATTTGCAGGGCCGTTCTGGATCGTACGTGGCAAGTGCATCGACAATATTCTTCCTCCAAAGAATAGATGCGCCGCCATTGGCGTAAAGTGCATTCCATACACACAAAATAACGAATCGTTTCGTTAGAAACAGCGAGTGAATGTATGCCGGATCATCTTGGAAAGTAGCGAGAACCGAAGTATCACCAGAGGAAGCAGACACTTTGAAAACTCGGTAGACCCCTTGGCCTTTGACGAATTCTAGATTGTAGTTAAATACATCGCCATTGGGATCGGTACGTGAGTGTGTTGCGCTAGAAGGACCTTTCAACGAGGGATGCAAGGTAGATTGTGATGCAACACCAATTGGCTCTAGGGTCTCTGGATCTAGAAGCTGTATGGAGTCTGAATCCGTTCTGTTGCATAAGGATTGTATTTCTTCAGTTGCCAAAGCACCTTCAAGCTTCTCTCCAGCCTTTGTAAGCCCAGGATGATTGGTAGTGATCGTAACGGCAACACTGAACTCATCTGCCTTCTTTGGTCGCTGTCGAACGTTTACCGAAGGTTGAGTCTTGCTCGGCGGCGACGGAGGAGGTGTAGATGGTGTGAACTCTGAAGAGATCTATCAAAAGGTGTTAGATATCAACGTGAGGAAGGCTTGGAGGTAGAAATAATATCTCGTACAAGCAGTATCGGATCAAATAAAGAAATGAAACCATCGAAGCTGTACCTTTTGGAACAAGGACATACACGGATCATACTTGGCCCCAAAAGTGACACCTTCCCTGCGTCCCGTAGCTCGAATATTTGCAATTAGACCATCGCATGTCGATCGTGAATTGTAGGTGACTCTCATACTTCCACCAGGAGCGGCAGGAGGGTGAATCTGGAACCGATGCACTTGAGCAAGGTTATCAAACCAATGGTTGACTCGAAAAAGTCGCCCATTCTCAGCTTCAATGTTTCGGATTCCTAGTCCGGTCCTGAAAAGCGTTCCAGCAGCATATTCAGGTATGGTGCCTTCGATTTTGAGTTCGACAGGAGCTCGCTCTTCATATGTGACATCGAACTAACAGCGTGAGAGATAAGTAAGACAACACTAAGAAGTGAGAGAGAATTAAGACGGGGAAAATGCGCCGAGAGTTTTGGAGGAATGTATCGCTTCCTGCTCATGGAAATCTTGGATAGGGCTGACATACTCCTTGTGAGTTTGGCCAATCATTGTAATGTGTTGGTTTCTGCTGGGAAAAGTCCTCGTAGTCCGTCATCTTGGAAGTAATGGATATCAAGACTTGAAGTTTTGTATAGAAGAATTGGAAAGAGGCTTGAGATGTGAATGAACAGTTTCAAGAGTTTCCAGAACTCATCTCGTAGCTCAGCCCTGAAGAGTGAAAGATTAAGAAAAGACACCCGCACTCCAGATGTAACATTTCAAATATGGAAAAGTGCAACGGTACACCGACCCATGACTTTGATCCAACAAGCCACATGTTCTTCTTTGAGACCTTAGGCTGGGCGGGTTGTTTAGCTTCATTGCTACGGCCGTAGGATATCTGGAAAGGAGATGGCCGCATGCTTGCCTCATGAGGCAAGCGCTTTCGGTATACACGAACCAATCACCGGAAAGGAAATGAGTTGTGGGCTCTCAATCACCGTCGGTCAAACGTCTGAATGGTTTCCCAATGAAGGCAGTTCATTGCTGGTGAAGAGCCGCTACCGGACTTGTCTCCACAGGCTCAAATTATTGGATGGTCACATGATTGCTGTTAAGAGATGGGGGTGAATATGATCTGGAAAGGGGTAAGTTGAAAAGAATGACGATCCAAAGTGGTGAATGATTATATATTCTACGACTAAATTAACAGCGGTTATAGCTATGACGTGACACAACGGCACATTGTCGAAATAAAAATAAAAGTGACCAAACTCCATTTACTCAATAACTTCATCGTGAGCCAACAAAGCAACGTCTTCTCTCACAAACTTTGACTTGCTGGCCACCTTAAGGGCAAGTCTCGCAAGTGGCATGGTACTCAAGATATCGAAAACGGAAATGTCGGCGTTCATGCGACGGAAGATCATCTGTTAGCGAGTTAGTGATTGGTACGACTCGATTGGAAGATGAAATATCATCTTGATCGGAATCAAATGATGAGTAACGCAATTGAGAAGGAGATAGAAAGATTGCTTACGTTCTTAACTTCGACTGCAACTAACGAATCAACTGTGCAACGTCAGTCAGATAGTATTAAGGGGCAAGTCGGTTTTTGCTGCATGAGCTTACCTCCAAAGGCATGCATCGGTTTCTCAAGATCCACGTCCGCAGCATCCATATTCAGCGCTTTTGCTAATTGTGAAGACAAGACACCCTCCACGATGGTACAAGCATCCCTTACAGATGTCGCTGATTTCAGATTCTCTTTTATCAGCGCATCTTCTGAAGAGTCCGAGGTCCCACTTCCGACTTTAAGTAAGTTGTGTAATTCAGTGTACTTCAAGTCGCTGGACATAGCACTCCCCAGACTACCTTCGGCAAGCAGCTCCTTGCCAACACCAGTGACAAGTTGTGCGGGTACCGGCAAGCCGTCCCGAGTCTGCCCAAGCATCGCTGCTGCCATTATCACGTGCAGATCACGTTCAGATATGAATAAGTTCTCCAAGTAATCCAGCCTTTCGAATTGCTCGAGGTTTTCGGCAATATAACCAACATCTGACACGATACCCAAGTCGATAGTCATTGATGCAATGCCCATCGAACGTCGATGTTGCGATAAGGCATCTTGATAGGTCCCGGCAGCAGAGTAATTCGCCTGCCCAGGATTTCCAATAACACCCGCCATTGATGAGAGCATGATGAAGAAGTCAAGGTCGGCCGGCATACATTTGTGCAAATTCCAGCTGCCTTGAACTTTTGGTTCAGTCGCTTGAGACCACCTTGGATGAGTTAATGACTAGGTTTCGCAAATGGAGGCTATCTGAGCTGGAGACTTACTGCTGAAAAGACATGTTCTCGAACATCGAATCTCTCAAGAGCATAGCACATTGAACAACACCTTTGATCTTCTGCCCTTGCTCATGACACATTCTTACAAAGGACTGAACTTGAGCCTCGTTTGAGATATCGCATTGAAATGCTTGCGCATTGCATCCTCTCACTGAGAGGCTGCTAAGAAAATGGACAGCATCTTCAGACTTAGCACCAGATCGTGATATGAAGGTGATGTTGCGAGCTCCGGCCTCAAACATCATATCAGCTATTGATCTTCCAATCCCGCCAAGTCCTCCAGCAAGGACATATGTCGCAGTAGGATCAAGCCTGAGCTTGACTGGTGGCGGAGGAGGAATCATGATCTCGTGATCAGGAGAAAGCTTCAAGACGGCGCTTCCAAAACAGCGGTCACTTCTCAGATATGCCAGTGCTGCATCTATGCTGGGTAGCTGAAATGAGCGGATAGGTGCTGCTCGAGGAAGACCATACTTGGCGGCTCGTGCCCAGCTTTTCTCGAACAGACAAGCAACTTTGGTAGGAGAGGTGTTTCTCATACGCTCAAGGTCAAAATTGGCGACTGTGATGTTGCTCGGTGAGGGCGTGGATCCCATTAAAGTCCCTTTACCGACACTCACAAAGCGGCCAAAATCAGTCAACATTCCCATTGCCTCTTGAACGTGTTCTCCAGTGAACGTAGTCACAATCAAGCCCACAGTTTTGCCTTTCATCATGGTTTTTGCGGCAGCTAGCCCATCGAAAGTAGTTGAAGTCGCAACGTGATCCTCATCTAATCCAAGGTTTTCTACCAGTATGCACTCATGCTTTGGATCACGAGCAACAGCGAACACCTCTGCGCCAATTTGCGTAGCAAGGGAAATCAACGCTTGCTCGATGTTTCCTGGGTTCGTGTAGAAGACAACAAGTTCCCCTGGTTGGAGGCGACCGAGATCCAACAAAGCAGCTTGCGCAGTGCAAAGTGCAGATGGCAGCGTAACCAGGGAACTTGAGTCGATGAAGGAAGGAACATGCCTGACCAGACTTTGATCAATGATGATTGATGTTTTCAAAGTATTGGAAGCGCACACCACGACAATGTCTCCGGGTACGAAGTTATAGATGGCTGATCCGGTCTTCGTCACAACGCCAACTGCGTCGAGTCCAGGAACGACTGCCTCCTCAACATCCATGACCTCGAGATTGACTGCCGAGACTGAAATCTCGAGATCATATTCACTAAGGCAGGCAATTGTTTCAGCGTATTGCCAAACAATGCCTTTCGTGTCTTGCAGAATGGCAGCTTCCATAGCCTGATTCTGATCAGCAAGACGCATTGCTCGAGGTTCGGGCTGGACAATTTGGCTCGAAAGTTCTTGGTGGAATGATTCCTGCATCTTCAAGCGAGGAACCAGTATCTTGTTGTCACGAACCATGAACTCTTGCTCGTATGTAGCCTGGTCAGACAGAATTCCGTGCTCAAATGCGACGAGAATACTGTTGATGTTTTCTTCTTGTGCAAGATCTGCAGTCCGAGATAAGTCGAGGTGAGGCAGTCTCAATTGAGGCATCTCAACTCGAAGTGTGCGCAATAATCCTGTCGTGATACTGAACCCAAGACTCTCTTCTCTGTCGTATTCTCCACCACATGTCACCCACAACAGAGCAGACGTTTGGGCTGTAAGGTCTTTGAACCATGCTAGATCCGATTCGGTCCATCCGGCCACGAACGGCTCATTCACTTCAACCAGAGAAATGATTAAAGTATCTGCCAAATTTGATTGCCCTTCACTTCTGAGTTCCGAGCTTGTTGTAACCCGCACCGTGCAATTACACCCTGCAAGGGCTTTAGTCAACTTATCAACAAGAGATCGGAGTGCAAAGGTTGAATGTGGTCCACAGAGAACGAGAACTTTGGGAGCTTTTGTCACCAAAAGGCTGCTGTTCTCTGCAAGTTGTCTTTCTTCGCCGTTCGATTCGGTAACTGGGTTGAACTCTTCCCACTGTATAGCTATACATTTCCGAGGTTGACGTTTCGATGCCAAGTTATCAGTGTTCGTAGCTGCCATATCGCGAGACAGAAATCCTCTAACAACAGCTTTAGGGGTGAGCCAAGCTTCATCTGACAATACAATATCGCCAGTGAAGTCGCCACTCCCCGTCTTGGTGCTCTTTGCATAACCATTCAATTCAGAACCAGCTTCCACAGGTATATCGGCGGAAATGTATACACTCTCGATGGAGATCGGAACAAGAGACTCATTGCCTGACAGAGTATGAAGATAGCCAAGCGCTTGCATATGAAATATCGAGTCAAGCGTCGCAGGATGGATAAGATGCGGGTATTCAAACTGGCTAGGCATGACCGCCTTTGTGTCTGGAATCGTGATTTTTCCATGCCCTTCTCGCATACCAGCAACACATTCGGTAACATTTTGGTGCAGTGGGCCGTATTGCAGATTCATTTTCTTGTCGAAGATTTTGTAGAATAATGCAGGAGCGAGTTTCTTTGATGCCCGCTCTCGGATCATGGGGTAGACAGAAACGTCGGACTGCCAGTCTCTAGCCAGTGCAGTATTCTGATCATCTGTGTAGTGTATTGACACAAGACCAGAACAAATCTCTTGCCATTCCTCGTCTTCCGCTTGTGAGAATATCCGGAACACGTATTTTCGGCTTTGATCTTCGGCGGGTCGGAGATGGATTGCTGTCTCGACAGCAGTGTCCCCGCTAGAGATGAGCAGTGGTCGCTTGAAAAGAATCTTGGAAGCTTCGATCCCCTTCAATATGCGATTCGGATCGAGCATTTCATGTGCTGCTTGGATTGCCATTGTTATCATCGCGGCTCCAGGATAGAGTATCATCTGTTGCACTCGATGATCTGCAATCCAAGGTTGTTCGGAGAGACGAAGGAAGTTGTGCCAACGAGGTTCGTTCTTGTCTTGATTTTGAAGCCGCAGTCCGAGAAGATCTGTCCGTGGTTTTCGAAGATATCGATATGTCTTTCCCCAAGCTGAGCTATGCCAGAATCCTTTAGTATGATTCCATGCGTAAGGCGGTAGGCTTCCAAGAGCTTGATAATTGCTCTTCGATTTCGTGTCGAAATTAACAGCGTGAAGATCAATATTCAGCCCTGCAAGAAAACCAATGTTAGTTTTCTCACCAATATTCTAGTGAAGAGAGCTTCAGGAATAGTAGTTAATGCAGCTCACCTTGTGCCCATAATCTTCCTGCGGCGATCAACGCCGTAACTTCTGCGCTTGTTCCTCTTGCTAGCATTGAGGTGTACATAATTGAGCCAGTCAGTCGATCGTCGTGAGCGGATAAAACTTGCATGAGCGGCCCTTGCAAAGCTGCCGCTGGGCCAATCTCAATTGCTGCTGCGTAAGGAATTGGGACTTTTCTTCTTGTCTTTCCAGGTGCGCTCTGAGTAACCAGTGCTTTAACTGCTTCTGAGAAGCGAACTTTGCTAATCATGTTCTTCACCCAGTAAGACGCATTGAGCTCTTGAGGTTTGATGGGAGCTGCAGTCACTGACGAAAACATCGTGACGGCGAACTCATTTTGATTTGATGCTGGGTCAAGAGTTCCCATAGCGGCGAGATAATCTTCTGCAATTACCTTCATATGATGTGAGTGATAGGCAGTGCTGACACGTAATTTGCGACTGAAAACTCCATCTCGACTGAGTCTTTCTAGAAGCTGGTCGATTGAAGACTCATTTCCTGACAATGTAACACTACTGGGAGCATTTATGCATGCTACAACAACAGTGTTCTCGGGGACGCTGGCCAGATAAGGAGTCACAGCTTCTTCTGAGAGACCGACCGCCATCATTGCTCCGGAAAGGCCATTTAGGCGGCAATTGACGTCTGCAGAATAGACTCCTCTCAGGTAAGCAACTTTGATGGCATCGCTCTGATTGATTGCTCCTGCAGTGTACGCAGCGGCTATTGCAAGTCATTGTCTGTTCCTTCGAAATTGACTTGAGACTTACCTATTTCACCACTGGAATGGCCAACCACAGACTTGGGTTGTATTCCCCATGCTTTCAGAAGGTCAACAAGAGCGATCTGCAGTGCCGTGCAGAGAGGTTGGCTCAAGTCTGGAGAATCTATTCGACTCCCCTCCGCGGGCATGAAGAGTTCTTCCAGTATCTTCCATTTGCATCCGAGAGAGTCCAAGGTTGTTTGAGATGCCTCCAGACTTCGTCTATATACCGAATGACCAATGAGTTCTCGTCCCATAGTAGGCCATTGAGATCCTTGCCCCGTAAACATAAAGAAGACGTTGTTACTCTTTGCTGCTCTTCGAAGAGCAGTAAGCGGCTTCTGGAGCTGGGCACTGAGCTCACTAGCTGATCTACCCACGACGAACGTTCGGTGGTCGAGAGCAGATCTTCGAGATCCAAGAGTGTATGCAAGGTTGTCAGTGAAGGTTGACCAATTGATGCTGAGCGATGAGTCAATGGTTCTGTCTGCTTCTAGCATGATATTAATAGTTTCTGCATATCCATTGAACTGTCGAGAGAGTCCAGATTGATCTGCCGACGAGAAAACGAACAATCTGTTCGAAAGATGGGTAGTCTCATTTTGCTCGCTAGATAAAGTATCTTCCGAGCTGAATCCGCTATCACTTTCCGAGTCACTGACGAAAAGCGTTGTCTGATGATGCCCATTCAAACCTAGACGTGATCAGTAAAGGACTCAGTAGGTCTCGAGGCTGATTTCGTGGCATGCATTTCGGCAGGCATTTCTCCTCCGGATAGACCGCAAAATTGAGAAGCAGGCTTACCATATTGCTGCATGTAATGGTACGCATCATCAACGATTACATGTGCATTCGCGCCACCTGTGTGAAGCGGTCAGTAAGAAATCTCTGGAGAAAAAAAATATTTCACATACCGTAGCCAAAGGAATTGACAGAGACACGTCGGATACCGTTGCTAGGCCATGGTGTCAATGTTTCTGGTAGGGCGATCTTCCATTCTTTCAGTCGTAGGCGAGGATTCGCTTTTTCGAAGTCTGCAAGTGCTGGTATCTGTCCTCGTTCTACCACTAATGTCGCTTTGATAAGTCCTGCCAACCCAGCGCATCCTTCAAGATGACCAATGTTGGTCTTCACGCTCCCCACATAGATCGGGTTGTCTTCATCGCGTGTTTTACCGAACGTTGCTCCAATTGCTGATAATTCATAGGGGTCTCCTATGGAAGTACCCGTCCCTGGTCTTGTTAGGAAAATAGGTCAAAAGTATCTCATTTGACATACCGTGAGCCTCAAAATATGCAGTTTGGTCAAGTGGCAGGCCAGCTGCAGTATATGTATTTCGTATTAGATCTGCGTGAGCTTGAGGGGAAGGCATAGTGATGCCAGGAGTCCTTCCATCCTGTCCGAGTCCGGAATTTCGAATGATTGCTCGAATCGTATCTCCATCTGCAAGTGCTTGCTTCAACGTTTTAAGAATCATCCCGCCAATTCCATCTCCTCTTGCATACCCATTTGCACGATGATCGAAACTGTGGCACACTCCATCTGGACTGAGAAACGTCATTCCACACCTTGTTGTGTTAGCGCAAAGTCGAAGAAGGCGCGGGAGCTTTCAGATGTGTTTACTTACATGTCTCGCATATAGGATGGGTCATATATCAGATTTGTGCCTCCGATAAGGGACTAAAGAGGTCATCATCAGGAAGGTATTCTCTCATATCAGATTGATAAAGACTTACCATCTTCGACTCTCCCAACCGAAGTGATTGGCATGCAAGGTGTACAGCGCACAGAGAGGACGAGCATGCAGTATCGATTGTCATGCTTGGTCCTCGCAGATCGAAGAACCACGAGACTCGGTTGGACAGCATGCTACCAGAATGTTAGATGATACGAGATTGATTCAATGGTCCGCATCCCGTGATTACCTCGAGCCATAGCCTGTTGCCGCATAGAAAGGGCCGCCGACTAGAGGAAATCAGCCAGGCGCATGTTTGACTATCACTCATATCAAACACTCACATGGATCTCGGCCCCCCACACTCTCGAAGTCATTGGTGAAGCATCCAACGTACACGCTCGTTTGAGTGCCAACAACATTCTGCATCGGAATTCCAGCTATAGATAACTCATTAAGCCAAAATTATCATTGATCTCGATTGCATAGATCTCACCATTTTCCAAAGCCTCATATGCGACTTCTAGCATCAAACGCTGTTGTGGATCTGTGCTAGTTGCTTCAAGAGCTGTCATTGAGAAGAATGGTGCATCAAATAATACTGGATCTTCAGATAAGAAGTAACCACCTTTGACGTTGATCTATAAGATTGATTAGCCTTTCTCTTTTATCATAGGTCAGAGATAACTTTACTGCGCCGGCTCTTGCCGAGTCTGGGTGATAGTAACCTTCACAATCAAACCTCTCTTTAGGAATTTTCTGATGTGCTGACTTTCCCTTACTCAGCATCTCCCAGAACTTCTCACTTGAGTGTGAACCACCAGGGAAGCGCATGGCCATGCCCACGATGGCAATTGGCTCCAGAGCATCATTGTCGCTTTCTGACGAAGACATTGTTATCTCTCAGACAACGGAAATGTCTTCAAAAGCTATAGACAAGCAAAGACAAAGAAACAAGATCTCAGATATAGCTTCGAAAGGTATACACCAAAAACCCAGTCAGCTGGCCTTGGGTCCACAGTTCGCAGCGGAAGTTTGCCCCGCTATGCAGGCAAGGAGGGGCATCCCGACGAGGCTTCTTTAGTCCAGCGGCAACGGTACGAATTTCCATTGTCACGATCATCCCACCTCGCAACTTGAACGCATTGGGCCATGCCGAAGCTCGATTCAACACAGTCTGTCCTACAGATTCTGCCCAATCCATCTCCGGCAGTATCGCCAAAGCTTTTCGCCAGCCCGTGACCCAATCCACTTGGACAAGCGGGAACTGGATGTATTGAAGCCACCCAAGATTCAATGAAACCCGAAGCCTCGAGATGGTGTGCTCATGCAAAGCGGGTATGCGGACATGGTGCTCAGTGAGCTCCAGCTCCTCGGTCCATTGGTAAATGCGACATGTCTCTCCTCGGCCTATTTTGTCTGTGCTCGGAGCATTTGAGATGTCTTGTTCATTGGGAAGCTGAAAGCCTTTTTGTCTCCTTGTGAGGTTGGGTGAGGGCGAGAATGAATGAGGTCGTTGAACGGATGGGCTGGATACCGCCCTACGCCAAAGTGGCAGAATTACATGCACGTGATCAAGGGAGTCTACCACGGCTTGCGCTGAGAAGATCGAGACACTGATGCAAGGGATAGAAGCACCTGGAAATCGGATCTCCCGATCTAATTACACAAGACACTTTTGTATGTTGAACAATTCTTCAGTCACGTGGTATGCAGCTCGAGACCCTGATGAAGCTGTACTTTCTGTTCCATGAGTTCGAGGAGATTCTAGGGACCTGTTGGTGGAGATAACAGTCGGATGTTTACTTACATGGTGTGAGAATTACAATAAATCATGCCATGGTTTTGCAACCAAAGCTTGCCTCAACCCTATTTCGACTTTTGTGCTCTACCCCTTTGCAATTGAACACACTACACTAGGTATACAAACATATATTCAGTTGGCCTTGCTCACAGAATTACATCACTTTGATTTACTGTATTGCACTACTCTATTCAACTGTACAACACTGACTAGAAAAACTTGGATTATCACCTCTCATTCGCGCCTAAACTGGCTACCAAACCCGTTGCCCCATAAAATCCGCTTTCTCAATCGCCCGAACCACAGCCTCGACACCCTCGCTTTTGTTGGGAATCTCATGTGCGCCCCTGTGTACAACAGAAATGACTTTCTCCTTCGTACACAACATCTTAGCCACCTCCGCCAGACGCTTGACAGCCTGGTTGTCTCCACTCCCAATAACGTGTACTGTCGGGATTGAGATGCGCTCATCTGTATACACAGGATGGAAGAAACGTGGGAATTTGTCTCTGCAGTCTAGTTGGGCGGTCATGTCGGGATAGGCGTTCGTTTCTGCTACCTTGAAGTTGCGACGAGTGAGGAGTAGGGTATCTATGTGCTGAACCTTGATGGTGTTAATGAAGATCATAGAATTGATAGATAGAAGATACCAAATTTAGACAAAGTTCTCGTTCTGCAGCGGAAAGGTTGCTCAATCCAATAAATTTCATGGGCTCGATCATTGTTTGTCCATTTCGATCCAGAATTCCCATCAATATTTTGTTGATATCATCCTGATTAAGTTTATCCAAGAAGGACAAAATCTCTTTAGACTTGTATTCACGATCGGGTGAAATGACGACACCTGGTGTGAAAAAGACGGCGAATCGGAAGGGCAAAGCTTTGTTTGGATATTGTATCTGTTGATGCAAAAGATATGAGATGGCTAGACTTGCTCCCTGGCTATTTGCTAGCACAGCATCAAAAGGTTCTTCTGTGGCAAGTAGCTCAGTGACATTTTCATGGACATGCGCGATCTGCTCCGAATTGCAGCCAGAATAATAACCGAGAGTGTCGCCATGGAAGATACCAGCGAGTTCTTGGAACATATTAGAAAGAAAATGGTCGTCGGTGGATAATCCCTCCTACCAGTCCTAGTCACTATGACTTCTCCATCAAGGTAAACGTATTCATGATGATCCCCCAAGGCTCGAGCAATACTTGCGAATTGCTGCTCGAAGATCTCACTGCTCGTACCGTAGCCGTGGAAACAGAGAAAGCGCATGTTTAGACCTTGAGTGTAAGGCTGAATAAAATCGTGGAACGACCCAGGCGACAGTCAATAGTCAAGGATTAAGTCGTATTTCCTCGCCAATGTCGATAAGCCAACCGAGAAGGTGCACCAGAGCTGAAGAAATGTTCCACAATTAGAACCACACAAATGATGCAATCGGAAGATCCGCAGTGGCGGCCATGTGGTGTCATGGGTGTTCGGAGGCTGGAAAGAGTAACGCTTTCAGTAGTGCACCAAAGACGGCTGCATGAGACACCAAACGGGAACAAAATGGGAACGATATACATCGAATGGTTCGCGCTACTGCGAACAGCTGGCAGGTCATCAACTCTGTTGGGATGTGCAGGGACGAACCTGCATATTGGCTGATGATGCTTGTTGGGGGCGAATGTTGGGGGCTATTCCAGCCTAAAGATTATCTAGGGATCGAATGGAGTCAAGCAAACGAACCCGGAAGTTCGCGAGCATCAAAGAATGTAAGATTGTCATCTTCATAGACATCTCCTCCCAAGTCAGTCGAACACTCTCGAAGTTCGTGTGGGTTAGAAAGATCTGACTGATGCAGCTGAACGGTCGGCAGGCTGTTTCTAAGCGCTGGCTTGCTGCAACCACCAAGATGGGCATTCAGCACTGGGCGTTTTGGGGAACGAACGCCGAGTCTGCCTCTACGTGTTCAGCGAACTTCAGATAAGAAAGTCTCGGGTGGTAATAGTCCATGGATACCATCCCAATAAATGTGCAATAGCGCGGCCGAGGTATTTTTGGTGGCGAAGCTGTCGCCGACTCTTCGCCAAGCCTTGTGAGGTAGGTACAAGGGCTAAGCGGCGGGAAAGCTTAAAAACGCAAAAAGAAAGCATGGTATAATGTATCTTACGATTGATATGACTTGAACTTCAAGCATCTTGCAAGAAATTGATCAACCTCGCATGATTGGCGTCTGAGATAATAAGACAATTATACTTAATTTTGTGGATTCTAGCATGTTAGCAGGGATGTACCCCAGAGTTCGAGACGCTTGTGAGAATTGTCACAGCCGTAAGATCCGCTGTATTCTAGAGCCTGGCAGCATTGCATGTCGAAGTTGCTCCTCCAACGGAACTTCATGCCTCTTTGCACCGCGTGCAAAGGCAGGACGGCCAAGACGAACACACTTAGAGAGCCATCAACGACGGAAGTCATCATCGAATCAAGCAGTTGAAAAGACTTACAAGACCGCAAATGAAATAGGACATACGCGCACCAATGCAGATACACTACTTATGGTGGCGGATGACATGCATTTTGGCCCAATTATTCCGTTCGACACGTTCTGGGACAATGGCAAAACCACGAATGTGGAACATTTTGGAAATGTTGGTTTCCTCACCAATGATCACTCGATCATCCAGGAGGGTCACATTGTGGAAACTGCCATGGCCGAAACAGTGGAACAAGACCAAACACAACAGGATTGTGCGTTTGGAGCAGGGACGCCGTCGCGATCGTCGACTCCTCCTCGATATGATATGCACACGCTGGTAGACGAAGGCTTTGATTTCGATACAGCTTTGAGGCTTTGCGGGGATCTGGATCGTTCGCATCGTGCGTTTCGAGATGGACGGACTGAGGCGACTCAGTTCGAGGGAATAATGAGAACGGTCGAATATGCCTGCACAACAGCTCGAATGTCGATATCATCCGCATCTGCTGAGAGAGCGTCAATCCATGCGCTGATGGTGGCCGCCATGTACAAAGTCTTTGATGTATGCGAGAGTATCATTCGGGAGATACTGAGCAGTAATAATGGTTTCAAACAAGACACTCTAGACCGTCTATTTCGACTTCAGAGGCTGGATTTTGTCTTATTCCAAGGCTTCATGTTTCTGCATCACGCAGGTCAGACCGATGCTATGAGGAAGATCTCGGAATTGCATACCTGGATTTTGTCCATCTTGCAGGAGGAAGAATACAAGAATTTATGGTAGATATGTTAGGACTCGAGGTTGCATATCGGTGTTGATCATGATGGGTCTCGGACAGGCGGCGTGTCGCATACAAGAGCATATTACTTTAGCAGATATAGCATCTGCTAGTAACAGCTCAATCTCATGTGCAGATATAAATGATGTTGCTGATGATGATGTTGAACGTCGCACAAGATTAATTTAATATTTATTTTGAGGCTAGCGTGTTTTCAGTCAACCCCTGCTCCTTCCGAGCCGACGTCTCCTCCCGAAAACTCTCCTCTTGCCTATTGACAACAATTTCATTCGATCTCTCTTCCTTGCCTATGAAACAAAACTTCCCATCCTGTCTAATAATCAACTTTTTGTATATCAAGCACACGAAAAACGTATGCAAAAGACCCTGTGCTCCACAGACCACAAACAATCTCACAAGTCGTCCTGTTTTGACAGACAGAGCACCATGCACATATAATAGTTTCATACGAGGAGCCGCTACTTCAGGTCCATACCATGAGGTTTCTTGGTTCTTCTTGCTGTATTAAAGCAGAGCAGTTCTTCTCTAAGAAGTTTTTGTTGCACGTCGTCATTTATACGGCCGTACGACTCCATTCCCGCCATTTACGGAACTCCAACAACTCGCCCTGCCGCATCCACTAAGCCCAAGATATCAATGATAGTCCTTGACGAACGGGCTTTAGCGTGCCAAATGGTTGGCAGATGAGCCTGTCGGCTGTGAGATTGTGCGGCATATGCTTCATTCTCTTGGACCGTCAATATCCACACTTCGGATGAGGAGAGAGTGTGATTCTAGGGTTTTTTGTACTTCTCCCCACTTGAAATCTACCTGCACGCTTCCGCATGTTCTTCTGAGCAGGGAGCTCGTTACACCTTGCAAGAAACCATTGAAGGAGAAAATGAGCGAGTGTGTCTGCCCCTTTTTGCCCTCGGTTACATCTGCTCCAATCGCCTGCTTCATGCTGGATGCTCAAGTCAGACGATGATCCTTTTGCTGCATGTTGCTCTGTCGTTTCGTACTGCTCAATATCTGACCACCCCTTTCTTAATTAGGCGTGCTACAGGCCATATCAGACGGTGTAGCGAGTGAGCCAGCTAGCGCAACTGTCTGGCTCCGCCCCTATCCCCTCGCTTACCATCCCCTTCGATCGCTTGTGTCATGTTAGTATCTTTGTTGCACATCGGATTGCTGTCCCATCTTTGTTCGAATTTTGGGGAAACGGGGATTACTTTGTTTGGATGGCCCCGAGATGCCGGATCGTTCCCAATTGGACGGTACCCGCGATTGGTGATGATTCACAACTCAATTCCGGCTATGTCCACGCCAAAAGCTCTTCTTTGGAATATGCTGGATATGGTTAAATATGCAAGTAAATGCAGTCTTCACAACTTCCAGTGTCTGTTGAAGGCTATTTCTTGTCTACAAAGTACTTTCGATTATTACCACGGTTCAATTACGGGCTGTTCAAATTGGATACAACTCCTCCATCTCCGTCATTCCTATGCCAAAATACTGCAGAAGGCCAAGTCTGATATGTGGGCGCCAGGTCTCAATCTTGTTTCGCTTTGCCATACATTGTGGCTGTCCAATGCTTAAACTATGCCATCCACCCACTCGGTGTCAAATCAGGAAACCTTCCTCCGGTCGAGGCTTAGGTGGCGCTTAGTGGCGAGTGAGAAGTAAGAAAGCCTCGGCTCAATGCTTCGGCAGCTCTACAATTCTTCAAAGGTTCAATGATTGGACAAAATCACTCCTTGGAGAATGCTTGCCATCTGGTCGTATTGTTTACGTGCGTGAGGATTAGATTAAGTTGCTAGCCCATGTATCGACATACTCTATGAAAAGCAATAACACCAATCATTCAAAAATAGTTCATCCCCCCTTTTTCTATTCCGCCAACGATGCTTGAAATTCTGAAAGCGGCGCGAGATTTTTCAGAACCCGTAACGGGGTCAACTTCTTTCAACACAACTTTCGGATCTTCTCCTGATTCGACTAAACACCTAAACGTTCGTACAAGATATTCTTAAGAATCCAACGTATATTATATACCATTTTCACATATGTAGTGCAATGAATAGTGCGAGAGTGGTTTTGGAAGCTGACGTCTAGGCGCTATATAGGCGAGCAGATTTTGGTATGTATCGCGGTATAGCAGTGTACCTGGGCTATCGTCCTCTGGACTAATATCTGGCAGTGGTAGTGAAGTATCGAATGGATTTGAAAACGTCTCAGGCAGCTCGAAATTCCTCTGCCGATTGTCAATGTCTCCACTTTGACTCCTGATATGCGGTAGCTGAGACCCGATACGTTCGAGGCCAGCAGGGACAACATCGGCGTCATCTGAATAGATGTCTTCCTCGAACCATGTATCAACAAATGGATCGGCTGCTGCATTCATCGACCACGGAGGTACATTCTCCACGAGAGACAATCGTTTATCACTCTCTACCCCGCTATATATTGCGCTTCCACCCGAGTTCGTATGCACTTTGTTGGCAAAGGACTCGAAAGATCTTGAGTCGTTCCAGGTTTCTGATATACTGCTGTTGTCGTTGAGAGCAGGCGGGCATTGCCACACACCAAACTTGTTCGCTGCGCTGTTCTCACTCGAGGTGGGAGACACTGAGTTGTCCGCATCATGTCGCCGCGCCCACTTATCTTCAATGTCACAATCATGTTCGATTTGTTCTTCCATTTCCCCCGTCTGGTCGACGAAGTTGTCGCTCGGATCTTGGTCTCCAGTAAGCCGATCTTCCCAATACTTTGTATCCCGCACAACGCATCGATGCGCGGTTTGCAAATTCTCGAAAACCAATTTGGATTGCGCCACTTCGTCCGCTGAATGTCTGTCTTCCGAACTTCTACCAAATCTTAGGGACGCATATCCCACACTAGGCAATTGAATTGCACATACCGTCTTCCACGAATCTGTTCCTGCCAGCCACGAGTTACCAACATCATCGTCAACATACACGTAGTAGACTGCAACGCTCCCCTCCAAACCTTGACTTTCGCCCTCTTGGATCTCCATTTCATCGACTTGATGGAACCTCTGACTCCTCGGGGTGCCTTTTCCTTGCGCGAGCTTTTCAAAGGGGGAGATCAGCGATTGGATGTCTACGAACGTCTCATGGCAACGATCAATGTATCTTCTGTATTTCGTCGAGTCCGTCGGTCGAGTACCAGCACCCTTTGGCTTGGTTTAGTGTTGATTGGACCGAATGCAATACGCCACAGGCAATCGATATATCCTCGCCTGTGCGACGCACTTCGAGACCGGTAGCGCCCAAGGAGCCGGAGAGGTCAAAGAGGACTTTGGCTAAGGAGACGCCGGTTCCGATGACGCCGGCGATGCCGGCAATTGTTGCGAGTTCGAGCATATTACGTTATGAAGTAGGATTTGAGCGTTGTGGACGGAAGGTACGGCTCTAGTGGATACGTATACTTGTTGACATCTCGTGGGACGTTTCGACGATGGTGGTACACAATTTTAACGGCGACATAATTATTACGGAAATCAAACACGAGAGAAATTCGATGGTGCAAATGGAGCACAAATCATACATACGAATAGATTGGATAATCTCTTCCTCTTCGTCTGAAACATCCAGCGAAGAACCATCTCGCAATTTCCCCTCATCTAATGAATAAGAACCGCAACATGATCATCCATATACGGACTAATATCCCCCAAAAAGCACGCCGCGATAATACTAACCGCCCCAAACGCGGTACTCGTGTAATACACATACTTGTAGCTCGCAGCATATGCTTCCTGGCCCGCTAAAACAACCATCTCGTACGCCGTCTCGTTCATGCCGATGCCGGGAATGGTGCGCAGGAGAGGGAGGATAGAGGCACCCGTGTATCCAATGGCTTCGGCGATGAGAGAGGTGTTTTTGATGCCGAGTTCGAACATGGTGCCGCCGATCATCTTGGTGGCGTTGGGGATGAATTTGTTGATGAAGACGTTGTAGTAGACGCAGTAGCCTATAGATCTATTAGTGGGGTGAAGAAGCGAGAGGATATGGGGTAGGTACCGATTGAACCGCCGATGACACGGATAGCGAGGGTGAGAGCAGTGACTGTGGCGATCAGATCATCGGGACAGATGATAGTAGTTATAATCGAGGCTGGGACGACAATTCCTCCAATGCCAAGACCAGCGAGGATGAGTAGTCCCCAGAGAGTGTGCAGGTTGAAGCGATCTGCGCAACCCAGTGCACCGCATCCTAAAACTCATCAGAGAAAGTTAAAAGGGTGTCAGAGAAGAGAGACATACCAGCAGTCATAAGAACCGAAGACACGATCATCAACTCCTTGTTCCTTCCTCTGAAGATCGACAAACACCAAAGCACAATACAAGCACCGGCCAAAATCGAGAATCCGACAGGAATTCCTCGGATCCCTACACCGACGGGATCATGGCCGTAGACGTTGAAGGCTTGAGTAGGCCAGAACATGATGATTGAGAAGAAGTTAGCGCCGGAGATAAAAGTAATGACGAGGGTCAGGGCGAGGATGCGTGGTGCTTGCTTTAGGCGAGAGGGGAACATGGGGTGTTTTGCTCCGTAGACTTCCCAGAAACAGAAGGCGACGATGAGGACGAAGCCTAAGATCAAGGGGGCTAGAACGTGTGCTGAAGACCATTTGTACTAACTTCTGTTAGACGAGTGCTGAAGGAGGAGGCCAGAACGAGACGAACCTGATATCCTCCCCATTGCATGCCAGCCATGAAGAGAATCATGCCAGTGATGCTCAAGAATCCTCCCACAAAATCAATCTGACTTACAACTTCTCTTCTGCTCATACCCATGGAGTTTACTCGAGGTGGAGGGAAGTAGAAGAACAAAGTCATGAAGAATCCAATAGAAACCCAAACACCACACAACAAGCCGCACCATCTCCACCCAGCGTGATAGGCGATAAGCTGGCCCCAAAGAACGGAAGGACAGAAGGGGATAATAGTGAAGATCAGAACAGCGACATATTTTCCTCGTTTCGAAGTAGGAGCTAGTTCAGACGTTGCGGCCAGGGCAGTAAGTTCCGAGATGCCTGCACCTACTCCTGCAATCGCCATCCCGCCGATGAAGACGTTCATCACTTTTGCGGTTGAGCAGACGATCATGCCGAGCATGACTAGACCTGAGCCGAAGAGGCAGACGTAGCGGCGACCCATGAGATCTGAGAGGGAGCCGACAAAGGGACATACGCCGGCAAGAGCCAGGAGGTTGGCGAGCACGAACCAAATCCATCTGTACAATAATTAATCAGTATCATAATGAGATTGATAGATCAGGTCAGACATACCTATCCACTCCACCGATATCAGAATATATGTAGGGCGGAATTGCTCCGAAGATATATACAGGGATCTGGGATCCGGTCCAAATGAATGCCATAGCTACCAAGGACATAAGTCGCTTGAAGGACATAGGAGGTTCAGTTTCGTGGTCTTCGCCATCGCCGTATGTTCGCAGGCCATTCTTCTCGTAATAGTTTTCGTGCCCGGGAACTCGATCGTGGGTTGTGATGTGCTCGATATGTTCGGGACCTGTTGCTTTCTCGTTCACCGGCGTGGTGGCCGTGGGAGGAGTTGAGTCGACGCTCATGATGAGGCTTTGCTCTTTCTCTCTCTCTCTCTCTCTTTTCTCGAGATCTTTGTGTTACAATGAAATGCAATTGTACAAGATTCGCAATGGACACGGACAGTAATGAAGGTAGATGCTGTGCGAGGTGGGATGATAGAATTACTTTATGCAACCACCAACAAGAATGCACTTCTTTGGTACCCCTCACTTCCTCTTATCGACCGCGGTAGGCGTTTCTCAAGTTGACTACTGCTCTCTTGCCATGGATCTGGATTTTCCGAGGGTAAGGTCATGAAGGTCGATTCACAAAAAGGAGGAGGAAAGGGGCGTACACTATGATGGATCTAGAACCAAGTCCGCGCGCTTGCGACCTTCTTTAGAATGATTGGAGCTCATTGGAGAGTGACATCGGGCCGCCCGAACGTGGCGAGTGAGGAGAAGTTTGGGAAGAGGGATGGATGCATGATCGATGAGGGGAGGGGTTGGTGAGCGGCGGAGGCGGTCTCCATGGCTCCCTGGCTCCCTGGCTACATGGCTACTTATGTTGTGGAACCAAATCACTCACGGTGGTGGGCCGCACTTGCGTGGATTTGTCATGTCAGGACTTCCTGAATCGAGGGTAGTGGCCCGGGAGAGGTGTCGCACAGCATTATCTCGACGACCATTTGTGTCGAGCTCGCATCTGGCAATATCAGTGGTTGTGTGGTACGGTACACACCATCGTCGCATTGAAAAAGACGGTGAACACAGCTGAAGTATGGAACAGCGAGGGAAGGAGATTGAGAGGAAGAAGATATTGGGAAAGGGAATGGGATTGGGAAAACGGGGCGGGAGTGAATTTGTGTCTTTGTCTCGGTCGGGCGTGCACAGACTGGACTGACTGGCTTTGGTCTGGTGGTGGTGTTGGTAGTGGTCGTGGTGGGGGGCTTCCCCGCATTCCATTTCTCCTCCATCCACCCTTCAAGTCGGTCCAGCCCCCTTTCAAGATCCAGAACCACGCGACTAGAAGATGTCTTATTACCAACACGACTCTATAGCTTCATTCTAGCATCACTTAGATCTGAGATCGTCTCTTTGACAGCTCTCGAGCCCAAACGGTCGGAAGAGGTCTAGAAAGGACGACTGCGACTGGAAGTGGAAGGGAAGGTACTTGTGCGGCGAGATACGGTGGCTGACGTGGAACGGGTTACTCGCATATGGTTAATATTTGGATCAATAAGTGCTGATCCATGACTCGCAGCAACGGCAGGCCATTGAAAGTGGTATTCAGCATACGAGAGGACGACAAGCATTCGGGATATCACAACTGCACCGCCGCCGTGGTGAGAATCCTGGCTTGCCATGTGCCATATGCCCACGTTTTCAATCCTAGGATGGAGACACGACAGCGAACCTTGTTGATTGTTTATTTGATGCTTTTTGATTTTCAATATTTCACACCGCTCAATCCTCATCGTTGAAAGGGGAAAGACTTGAAGGATGGTCACCTGATCTATCACATGAGTCTCCAACGTGGACTTTGGACCTAGGTACACTGCTTAGCGGTGGCCTGGACAACATATTTATAGACGAGCTGTCTGATCTGCTTCTTATCTCGTTCCATATCTACGTTTTAGCAAGTCAGAAAATTGTCGGATGTCACATGGTGCTAGTTCACTTCACTCCGAAGGTGCTTAGACGACAGATTACTGTTCGGATTTTGCTCACAACTTCAAGATGTGGACGCTCTTGGTGCTAGTTCATTGAGCCCTACTACAACCACTTTGAGCTCGTTATCAGCTAGCCAATGGCCAGGGAAGCGTGTTCAGTACTGAAAGATTGCGTCTATTGTTGCGACTGTGTTTGGTGTCCCATTTTGAGTAGCCTTGACGAGTTTCTGCTTTGGAGCCTCGAATTTGGCAGGCAAAGGAACTTGCTTGAGTATTTGCTTGTCTCGAGTTGTTCACCTGCTTACTGAAGATCAAATAAGATAGTTCTGTCGTCATAATCATCTTACAGACAGCAGAGCGTTGTATTCCATCAGACGGCATTTACAACGCCCCTGATAGGGCAATCATTGTCCATACTTCTGCAACAATGCATGAAATATCATAGATCCCTCAACAGTCCAATCCCAAGCTCACGTGAATGAATTATCCAAAATGTCCCAAAAGATTTGGGACAATTCAAAAGTTTTGTTGCACATCGCACCCTCCAAATTTTTATTTCTCAACGAGAAAATTACCTTTCTGGGACACAAATCATTTCAAGCCTCTGATTGGCCAGAATCAATATCACTGCTCAATTATAAACATACACCCCTTTATTGATAAAGTTTGCTGTTCATCGTTGAGGATTCAATTTTTGTAGATATGCAACAAGAAAATTTAAGGTTTTAAGGTTATTCTTAGCGCCGGCTTATCCCTTTAGCTTCATATTATTGCTGAAGCAGTCTTGCCAACCTGCTCCTCAACGAAGAACGCATACAAATCCAATCCTGTAATATGATTGGCCAGTGGCCTACTAGCGCCAATATTTCCTGACTGTGTAACATTTCAGATCTTCGGAAATTTTTTCGGTGGAGTTTGAAATTCATCAGATTTTGCGATGTGCAACAAAAGATTTAAGGTTTTCTGGATGCCTGACTTCGTGCCTGGTCTCTGCTTACAGTAGTTGGTGCGAGTTTGGCTACGTCAACAAGCTTCGAATGTTCTCTAGCAACATTCAAGCTCTAAATCCGAGGAGGTCTCACAAGTGTGGTCGCCTTAAGCTAGCTCTACCTTTCGTATATGGCTTCGTTCCGAGATCTAGAACGAAAAGGTTCGCCAGAATTTCTGTGGTGACTTTCCTCCAATGCCCAATGCCCAATGCCCAATTGTTTCTCACACGAGATGATTGGATTATTCTCGTAGCCTCAGCCCTAACTTGGGTTGGTCCGCATCTCGACAAGCCTATTTTTTGATAAGGCTACTGCCAAGAGACCAATAAATCTCAATGTCCACACTCTTGCGTTTTCCGCGACAGCCTCTATTAATGCGTTTACGTCGAGCGATATCGACTGCACAGCCGCGAAGTATTCGCGGTCCCTTTTCACCACAAATGGGGCATTCCATCAAGTCTCAGATGCGTGAGTTGCGAGACATGCAATTGGGTGTTATCGCAGACGAATCAATGATACCAACTTTCATTCGCTGGGTGCAAATAGCCCAACGATGTGCCTAGAAGCAGCTGCGATGCCCCTTCAGCAGAGCCTTGCACAGCCACAATGCAGCCTCGAGCTCATGCAGAAAATCAACTTTTAACGTAACAACGATCTCCCAGATTTTGAAAATTCTACGTTGTATACATATAGTCAAATTTTGTGGGAATCATGGAGGCCTTGGTCGCTGTCGGTTTTGCTGCGAATATATTGCAGTTTGTCGACTACATTTGCCATGTGCTCAAGATCGGCAATCAACTCCGTCGCCATGGGATGACAGATTCCAATCTAGACTTTGAGCGCTCCGCGAAATTATTGGCACATCAAGTTGCCAGAATCCGATCGCAACAAGGCGTAGAGACGGGCCTGGAGGAAGCCGATCAGGTGCGGTTCATGGCTGACCTGCTCTATGCATGCTAACAAGGTGTTTGAGGCGTTGGATAAACTCGCAGAAGAATGCATGGTTATCGCGAAAGAGCTGATAGACTTTGTCGAGAGGTTTAAGATCGAGAGAGACTTGGATCAGGCACCCGCAGATGTGCCGATACCAAAACGACGGTCCAAGCATCAAGACGAAATTGATCTAGAGATATTGATAAAGCCTATGGGAGCGCAGATCAAGGAGTTGGAGAAAGCAATCCAGGAAAGGAAAGAAAGAGACAAGAAAAGAGATGAGGAAAAGCAAAAAGAAGAGAGGAAGAAAAGGGCAGAAGACAAGAATGCAAAAAGGATGGAAAACACAAATTTGGTGGCAAAGCTCACTGAAGCGAAGAACGGGACTAAGCACCTCGGTGACGGCGGATTGGACACAATCGACCTCGATGAATTGACGGATTTTAGACCGAAACAGGGAGAGGACCTTACGAAGACATCTATAACGAGAGGAGGGGGAGACATCCAAGCAGATGAGATCAGGAAAACTAAGCCCGTGCAAATCATACAGAAGAAAAAGAAGCCGCAAGACGAAGAGCAATTGGAGAAACTCCTCAAGTTGAAAGTAGAAAGAACTGATCAACTTAAAAAGATTCAACAGCGAGAGGATCAAGTTTTTCAGAACAAGCAGACCTCTGCTAAAAAAGCCAACAAGAAGGCAGAAAGGCGATTAGGTGTACGAAAATCGATCAAGACTCTTGCGAAAGCAATAGAGTTCGAATGGAACAAACACAAAATCGAAGATCTTGCACACAAGCTAGACCAGATCCGCAATTTATTGTATTCCGAGGTCATGTTGAACATTCAAAAGTCTGTCAAGGATATCAAAGATAGTAGTGATCACACCGGCAAACTGCTTGAGAATCTTTCTACGATCCACAACCAGTGTCGTGAGACTTCTCAGAAAGCGCTCCAAGATGATCAACATGCAGTGGAAACTATGCTGGAAGCTCAAAGCGCTCAGTTCCTGCTTATGAACAATACAGCAACTCAGAGGCACGACGCAGTTATTCAAGCCATCAACTCCTTTACAGACGTTCTGAAAAGCCCTATGCTTTTCCCCACGCTTCCTGATATCCTCACTGAAGCAGATCCATCTCTGAAATCTGCCGCACTGAATGGTTACGATGCAATTGAGAACGCCGTCCTCGCAGCTTTGTATTTCCGTAGGATGGAAATCCGAGAAGCTCAGGTCCAAGAAGCCAACAAAGACACTTGTTCTTGGATATTTGAGGATCCGGAGGAGCACCAAAAGCCATGGAGCAATTTTGTGCGTTGGTTGAGAGAAGAGACAGGGTGCTACTGGATCGAAGGCAAGGCCGGCTGCGGGAAATCAACTCTCATGAAATTCCTTCGTTCAGATGCCAGGACACTAAATGCACTCAAAGAATGGACAGGGTCCGACGAACTGATCACTGCATCCTACTTCTTTTGGATGGCCGGTACCGCATTGCAAAAGAACCAAGAAGGGTTGCTTCGGTCCCTGCTTCACACAATACTAACGAGGAGACGAGACCTCATTGCTCGAGTCTTTCCGAGACAGTATAACGCCATGATGACAAAGTGGGTCTATATGCCTCTAAATTCTTTACAGAGAAAGCTATATTGATTATTCAACAGACTATTCGCAAATAACTCAAGTCCCGATATTTTCTTCTCATGTGGGAGTCCCGGGTGTGCAAGTTCATTTGAACAACCAAAACAGCTCCAAGAACATCAAAGACAGCAGTGAGTTCCACAGGCCCTTTCTGAACCCTAACTTTTATTGATACATGGACAGCCATGGTGCTACTGTCCATGCTTCACAACATGACAACGATGAGTGTGGACTTTTGACAGTTTCAGAGTTGAAGAAAGCTTTTACCACACTTGCCAAACAGAATGTGAAGGGTTTCAAGATCTGTCTCTTCATCGATGGGCTAGACGAATATGTTGGAGACCAATTTGAAATCGTGGACCTCTTCAAGACGATAACGACTAATTCCTTCATGATAAAGGCAGTGATTTCATCTCGCCCAGAACCAACTTTTGTTGAGGCTTTTCACGATTCTCCCAGCTTACGAGTTGAAGATCTTACTTCGGGCGATATCGATCATTACGTTCAGTCGAAACTACTCGCACATAGCAAAATGCAGAATCATAGACGACAGGGTTCCGAACTGGGGGCGAAACTCACTCATAGTATCGCCTCCAAGGCTTGTGGGGTATTCTTGTGGGTCTTCCTTGTTGTCCGATCGCTTCTCGAATGTCTATCAGATGGCAGCTACCCCGAAGACCTTGAAAGAATAATCGAAACATATCCAGAGGAGCTTCACGAACTCTACCAACACATGTTCAAACGAATGAAGCCATCGCACCGAGATGAGGCCTTTCGGCTCTTTCAAGCTATCCACCATGCTCAAAGCGTCGAGTCAAAGATTCCAACAGCTTTACGCCTGTCGTTCTTGGAAAGAGATCAGCCAGATCATTCGATTAACTCGCCATTGGAAATCCTAAGCGCAGAAGAACTGCAAGACAGACTTTCCAGCTTCGAAGCTCGACTTCGGAGTCGTTGCTGTGGTCTCTTTGAAGTTCAATATTTCGACGGTCTTAGCCCTCAAGATGTTTCACACATCCGGGAAGGGCGGGTTACTTTCTTGCACCGAACTGTGTCCGACCTTTTGAACGAGCCTGGTGTCCGGCAAGTGATAGAGCGCGAGACCCTTCCATTCAAAGCCGAGATTTACGAACGTTTGAGTGCATCTATCTTGTATTCATTCAAAACTTGGCGATTCTTTTCCATCAAGGGAGTGCGCGAATGGAAGGCATTCATTGGTGAGATTAAGGCATTCTTTGTCTATTGCCAGCGATGCGAGCAGGAGCTGGGTTCGAAGCAAATCAAATACATCGAGGAACTAGATAGAAGACTCACGTACTTTTGGCAAGTTCGAGCTTTGGAGACACGATCAAAAGCACACGGGGCCGCTCTCGGTAACTACGAATATCATTGGGCCGAGTCTCTACTTGATGAGTTACATTTGAAACTTACTGCAGAACCCGACTTGGATCCACTTCTTTCGTTAGCAGCACGCTATGGACTTTGCAAACACGTGTGTCAGAAGTTGCAAACACGACCTCTGTCTGGGTCAGATTCTCTGGAGGCTGGAGGAAAGTCAATGATCATACGGTTGAGTTATTGGGCGATCCATCATAGCTCACTGAGAGAGCAACACTTCGAGATCATTCACAGTTTGTTGGTTTCGGGATTCAAAGTTAACGCGAGAAGTTCTCGATCAGCAAATGTATGGGAAAGGACACCATGGCAAGAGATACTGTCTCTTCAATCGAAAAGCCTTCCAACTCAAGCCTCAAGACTCACAGCCGCGACCAAAGTCGACGAAGCTGGCCGTCCAGAAACTGAAGCATCTGAAGTAGACAAACTGGACGTTTGGATCCAGCTAGTTGATCTTTTCCTCAAGTTCGGTGCAGAACTAGACGTCAACTTCAAGCCATTCCGAGGCGCAAAAGGAGACAAAACAGCAAGGGAGGTGATTCTTGAGGCGATTAGCACGCTAGAAACAGGGCAGTGCCTGTCATTTGAAGAGTCCAAAATCATGCAGTCTAAACTCCACATTCAGCAGTTGTTAGCCGAGCACTCCTCATTGGAACAGAGTGGAAATCCATCCATCACCCTTACTTCACCAAACAACTCACTCAACGGGGATGTACCCGTCTCCTTTCGATATCGCAAGACTCGCTTGTGGACAAGAAGGAAAGCAGCTATTCAGCCAGAGGAACCTGTCGAGCCAGCTTCACTTCCATCTGTTGTCTCGAAGATTGACAAGCCTTGCTATCGATGCAAAGCTGTTGAAGAACTGGCGGACATTGGATTCGCCACGAGGGAAGTGCTTGATGCAATGAAATATGCTGGAGTGGGCTACGACGTTCCCGCCCTTACGACATGGATTCTAGACAGGAAATGCGATGATGACGAGGATATCCCACGATCCTCTCCCACAGCTCCACCAAGGCCGCTTCAGGCAGCTGAATCCAAAGTGCCGCGACCTGTATCAACTAAGTCCCCGGGATCGATGATGAAACAGTGGAGCGTTGTCGCTAAAAAAAGCAAACCACCAAGTCAACAGGATGAAATTGTAGGCGCTCAGTGGATTCTGAAGCCCCAAAAGGTGAAGTGTCACTCACCAAAGACGAAGAGTGTGGCCAGGGAAGCAAACACAGAACAAGGTTCAGTGGCTGGCGCTATTGAAGTAGACGGAGGGACACTCACTTGGTTTTTTGAAGCTAATGGGCGAGCTCAAAGCTCTGTGAGTCTTTCGGTAGAGCAAGCGAAACGGCTCGAGGAGTTCGTTAAGTCTATGGGCGGGTGACAGCCATGTTCCGAAGCTATCAACTATAAAACGATTTTCCAATCTTAGCTCATGGCAGTTGTAGTCAATTTGCGGTACACCTATCAGATTCGAGAGCCAGAGGCACCTTATTGTGGCAGTAGCGTCAATTATAGAATTGTGTAATAGATACTCAGGGTATTTTAAAATACTTCCTCAGCTTTAATGAACAAGGTTTTCTTTCAAAACGCAGTATACTTCACTTCATTATGTTGTCTACGTGCAAAATCTTACCCTAAAATTAGGTTTGCATGCATACTAGCCCTCACCTGCGTGAACTGGTCAAAAGTCGTGCATCCTGCTAGAGGCTTGCGAAAAGAAAGAAAGACACTTCAGAATGGATGCGGAAGACTGAAGCACGCTCCCGATACAGAGAGCTTGTAAGAGCTTTTCGTATAACTCCACGCACTTCTCATTGAACAACACTTCACGCTTGTTGGCAATGATGGAATCAAAAGCAATCAAAAGCTCTTCTTCAATGATTATAATGGAGATGACAAATGCCAATGTCTTTCATCGCATGTGCTTGCGGCATTGCAGTTGGAAGGTTGCATCACCAACCTCCAGCCATCATCAAGTTGAACAAATTTCGTATTTACGGTAGGATGAGAATGCTTGCCATCATTGTGCAGGTTTCTAAGCTCGATCTGCCGAGACCATCTCGCTTGGCAGGTGGTGGGACGAATGAGAACATCAGCTGGCCCATTGCGCACATGAACAACCGAAAGGAACAGGAACAGGATAGGGATGGCGAGCCCATTCAAACTGCCACCTTCCTCATTTGATTGGCAACCATGCATTTGATGCTCTGGGTATGGTATCTTCGGACCTTTTGAGAATATAACGATGATCACATACCAAATATAATAGAAATATTCCCCAACCATCGATTTCTTTGGAATATCTGTCGATAATTCCGCCGGCAAGATGGTGAGCACCAAGCTTCTCATAAGTATCCTATGCAGGTTCTCTGTCACTTATTGCGTGTCAATTATTACTGAGAAGCGAGCTCTGCAGCCTCTGCCACTCTCGAGCCAAGACAGATGGATTGTCGATGCGAGTGGCAACAACGTGCCATATGTAGGAGTCAATTGGCCAGGAGCGGCAGACACTATGTTTCCAGAAGGACTTCAGTACGAGTCTATCAGCAATATTGTAGGAAAGATATCTCAGACTGGATTCAATGCTGTGCGCCTGACATTTGCGATCGAGATGGTTGATGATATTCTTGATAACGGAGGCGATGTGACACTAAGTAATACGTTGACACTTGCATTGGGTCAGGAAAATGGGACAGTGGTGTTGAGCGAAATACTTGCAAATAATCCACAATTTTCTGCAAACACTACAAGATTACAAGTATGAGCTTTTCCTCCTGGGATACCTAGCTTGGGAATCTAACTTTGAGTGCAGGTCTTTGATGCAGTAGCGGAAGAGCTTGCCGCACAGAGTATCTATCTTCACTTGGACAATCATGTCTCGAAGGCAATGTGGTGTTGCGCTCTGAATGATGGCAATTCGTGGTTCGGGGACACTTACTTTAACACCACAAAGTGGATCCGAGGCCTCTCTTACATGGCGACACATGTCAGTGCCTGATTCATGCCCACCTTGATTCTGATCTATGCTAAACACTATCTCAGGGCAAAGGCAATTGGCCAACATTCAGCAGCATTGGCCTCCGAAACGAGCTTCGCTTATCGACTACTCTGGCACCAACACTTGAACCATACACATGGAGTACCTGGAAGACTTACATGACAGCCGCTGCTACAGCAGTAAACACAGCCAACCCAGATCTCTTAATCTTCTTCTCCGGATTAGACTCAGACTTCAACATTGAGCCAGCTGTAGGAGGTTCGACACTAGCCGATCCCCTCTTCTCGTTCACAGTCGCATCCTATCCTTGGGCCAACAAGTTTGTTCTCGAGATACACGAATACGACGAGGGAATATCATCAGTATGTTCGATCTATGAAGGGATACTCCTGACATTTGGATTTGATGCCACGACAAAGACTAATGGGAACCGGGCGCCACTTGTGGTTACTGAATGGGGACACGATGAGACTGATGCAAGTGGAGCATACAATAGTGCTTATTCTACATGTCTTACTCAATTCATGGTTCAAAGGCAGTTGGGTTGGATGATCTGGGTACTTGCCGGGAGTTATTATATTAGATCTGGAACGCAGGACTCGGACGAGAGCTATGGTAAGCTACACTGTTTCGTTGTAGAACTCAGTATGCTGACGAAATATAGGTCTTCTAGACCATACTTGGAGCGGCTATCGTGGCAATGCGTCGCTTGTGGCGTTGGAGCAAGTGATTCAACAAACTTATGCAGCTTATGGTCAATAGCCGGACACAGTAATTGTGCTCATAAATGACATTGATAAGTTGATATATGTCTTCAAATTTGCATTTATTGTTGTAATAGGAGGAGTGCATAAGAGTAGAAGCCACTAGTTCTCCAAGACACCAGCTTACTTTAATTCCTTCGTCACTGCCTCCTACCCTCATTCCTTCTTTGATCTTGCCTACTCTTTCTAGCTTCTGAGCTCCTCTCTCCTTCTTTCTGCTTCCTTTCTTCTTCTTCGCGAGCTGTTCGTTGCTCTGGAAAATATGTCAATTATCGTCCAATTGGCGGAAAGAAGAAGACTACAGGGACAAAATGTTCATTCAAGCTTACCCGGCGTCTCGTGTTCTTGAGCTGTTACCAAAGGACAAAGATTTTCCCAGTTGATAACCACCAAATCATATTTCCGGATAATATCATCTCCGAAAATGATATCAATATCATTGTTGGGCAGCATCTCAAATTCATGATCTCGCATTAAGAGTCCATTTGACATTCTCCACGACAGCTGTGCTGTTCCTTGCGATCTGACGAGCGTACCATCGCCGAGCTTGGTGATTTTCCCTCTTCGCGAGGTATTCTTACTGTAACCTAGCTCATACAGACGGCGGCGAGATATCCAGGAGCTGTCAGCTAGAGTATCCACAACTGCAATGCAGTCCTGCTCGAGCCCTGCAGAGTCCAAAACTTTAATCGGCTTCTCACGGTTATAACTCTGAAACTTGGGTTAGCTAAAAGATAGATCAATCTGTATGGATATAAAAGAGATGAACAAGCTTACAGTCATGCCGACAAGCTCCGATTGTGTGCGTTGAATTGGCACCCGGTCCTCAATCCTGAGCTTCTCGAATGCTGGGCTCACGTTGTTTGCACTGGACGGGCTTGAAATGTGTCTATTCGATGTTACGAGTGTTGCGCTAGCTGCGGTACTTTTTATTGATAACCAATCTTCCCTGGTGTAAGAACGTGGTTTGCGTTCGTCAGATTCGTGATCGAACTCGTATTCATCTAGAATGCATTCAATAACGCCCCATGACGAAGAGCATACTTATGAACTCTAACCACGGGCGATTTAACGATAGCGTGCCCATCGGGGAGATTCGCGCGTAGCATCCCACTCCCAATCACTCCACATCGTCGGATAGTAATTCGGATGCGAGTCGTACTGATCATCCTGAGCCTCGTTGTCATTGTTCGAACTAGAAGGTACAAGCGGATCTTTATAAGGCATCATATTCGTATTTAGCGGGTTATGTGGTGCAACCGTGGATCTTGCCTAGAGAGCCTTCTTTGACGTAACAGCAAGCGGTGTTAAAAGTGATGAGTGAGATAAGAGTAATTCGAAATCTCAGAACCAGGCGTTCTCCCAGTCAAGAATATTTCCTGGGATCGTTTGCATGTCGAAACTGGCCCTTATCTAAATTTGGCGAGTCCATTGGACACAGTATCGTTGCAGCGCATGCAGGGTGATACTCTTCTGCCATTGGGACTTGACGAGATACATCCTGCAGCTACACCCGACTGCTATGGTAAGGCGTCAAAAATCGTGCATCAAAAAGAGGCTATGCAGTCACGGGATGCGGTCAGAGACGAGCACTGCACTTGATTCGAAGGCGGAACCTCTCAACATTGAAGGAACAGACTTCAAAACTACATCTCCAATTACATCTTAGTATCGAGTATTTTGGACATAAAATCACAACTTTCAACATGAAAGGCTACGCAAAGCTTGCCCTACTTATGGGAGAATTTCCCGGGGTTGCAATCCTGCGTCGCTTTTCCGTTCTCAGTGTTCAAAGATGGAGCGTGTGGATATGGGGAAAAATGTTCGTCTTCACGGATCAGAGAATCAGACTTGGACAAGTGAGGATTAGAAAGCCGACCTGGCTTCCTTAAATGCTTGCTCCGCCGACGACCCATTATTCCATTGGATTTGCGAGACTCTAATACACTGGTACCACCGAACCTTCGGATATCGATTCAAAGTATGAATAGATCTCCAAGAGAAATATCTAAGAATATCACCTAACAGTAAACTAGAAAGTTGGCCACGAAGAACACTTGGCTGGGACCATTGTCTACACCGAAGCATTTGTCACAAGCATAGCAAGAGTTCTGACAACACTCTTGGCTTTCTCGCTACCAGTTGCTTCCATCATGATTCTCTACGCTATCGAGAGTTCTGCCAGACGGCTTGGTACTATTGCCGCCTTCACGATCCTCTTTGCGCTTACTTTGATTCTAACGACGAATGCCCGTATGACTGATGTGTTCACTGCCACCTCAACGGGAGTATTTATTCTGATGTCTCGCACCTACACTGACTTTCGATAGATATGCTGCTGTACAAGTAGTGTTTGTAGGCGCACCATACCAAAATAACACCACATCTTGATACCTCCATACCAAAAATTCAGACCTCAACAACAATGAATTTATGATTAATAGAGGTCAAGTTGGTTCGGTCGTGCGCGAGCTTTTCCATTTCCTTTACAAGCCAACTTCAGCTTCTCTTCTTTAGCCTTTCAAATTTTGAATCTGAATACCTAATCTTTCGCTCGAATTTCCAGCGCAGAAGCTCGTATTCATTTTATTACCACATATACTTTAAATCTCGCATAGCTCTTTAGGCACTGCACCTATAGGATGGAGGGGTCGAACACCCCGCATTTAGCCTCATGACCCCGCCATGAGCGTAGCGTCCCTTCGGTATACATAGCCCCGAACAACAAAGAAATATTTTTCCGACTTCATTTTCTTGCTGTTGTCAAAGTTCGGGCTCGCAGATGTTCATACCATGCGCGATGACGAAAATTGTTCATCCTTTTGGCCGTCTTGAAACATCTCAGTCGATTGATCTCATCGCTATGTATAAGTCACTGCTTTTTCTGCCTCTTGACACTATTCGTGTTCCCGTGCCATATTATGATTTTCAGCATGAAGCTTCTCTATGCTTCCACTTTTTGGATCGGGACCAATGTGTTGGCAAGTGCAAACATTCATCATAGACAAAGCAATGACAATACTTCCACTCAAGCCCCGGTAGTCGACCTGGGCTACGGAATATATGAAGGCTACTACAACGCCACATCTCAACTCAATATATTCAAAGGGTGAGCATCAGACATAAAATTCGTCCCAAAGGAAAGCAACTTGCTAACGTAACGCAGGATTCGCTATGCTGCCCCGCCCACTGGGACATTGAGATGGCAAAAACCACAAGCACCAGCAACAAACCGAAGCCAAACGATCTCCGCAAAAGCATACCCACCACGATGTCCGCAGAGCAACGATGCTCCGATGTATGCCTAAATCTCCTACTTGGCCCAGCAAGGCAGCTAACTCAACCCCAGGCCAGCAAACTACAATTTCACCTCCTCCGGCCTCGGCAACGAAGACTGCCTCTTCCTCAGCGTCTTCACCCCCCAACACGCAACCAACCTCCCAGTCCTCATCTGGATACGCACATCTCCCTCCCCACCCATCCCAGCTCTCAATGCTAACGCACCACAGACGGCGGCGGCTACGGCACCGGACAAGGAAACAACGACCTCTCGGAACTAATCATGACCAACTCGCACGGCTTCATCGTAGTAATAATCCAATACCGTCTCGGAGCCTTCGGATTCCTATCCTCTGCCGAAGTCTCTCATTTCGGGACCCCGAATGCTGGGTTGTTTGATATGCATTTCTCGTTTCAATGGGTGAAGAAGTATATCCACCTCTTTGGAGGCAATGCTTCGCATGTGACGATCTCGGGAGAATCCGCTGGTGCTGGCGCTGTGATGCTTCAGGCTATGGCGTATGGTGGGAAACAGGGCACGGAGCTGTTTAGTAATGCTATTGTTGCGAGTCCGTATTTGCCTACGCAGTGGGGGTATGATGATTTTGTGCCGACGCAGTCGTATTATTTGTTTGCGCAGGCTGCTGGATGTTTTGATCAGATGTTGAATACTGTCAACTCGACGATCTTTGAGTGCTTGCAAAGGAAGGATACGGTTACGTTGCAGAATGCGAGTGCGTATATATCTGCTGATGGGAAGTATGGACAGTGGGCTTTCCTCCCTGTCACGGATGGGGAGTTCATTCAGAAGAGACCTTCAGAACAACTGCTCGCTGGAGAAGTCAACGGGTTGAGGATGCTTTCAGGGGTAAGACTTCGTCTTATCCTCTTCTCGTCTTTTCTAACAAACAACCAAGAACAACGCAGACGAAGGACCCGGCTTCGTCCGCCAGACCATCACAACAGAAGCAGACTTCAACACCTACACCCAGAGCCTTTTCCCACTAATGAAGGACACTCTCCTCACCCAAGTCCAAACTACCTACGCCATCGCCCCCACCACTCCCGGACCGCTATTCAGCACCCTCGGCTCTTCCGGTCCTACAGCACTCAACCAATCCGAATTCGGCATCGGGCAACAACAACGTCTCGATAACTTATACGCAGAAACCACATTCGTGTGTCCCAGCTACTGGCTCGCGAGCGCGTACTCCCGAGCCTGGAAATACCAATATTCGGTCCCGCCGTCTGAGCACGGGGCTGATCTTGATGCTTATTATGCCATCAATAGGGAAGCGTTGGGGTATGGGACGCTTTCCCCGGGATTCAGGACAGCGGTGCAGATGATTTGGGGACGGTTCATCATGTTTGATGATCCGACTTTACCTATGGATGTAGTGAAGAGTATAACGATGACGGAAAATGGGACTACCACAGGGGATGATATTGTTGCTGCTGGGACAGGCAGCTGGCCTGTCTGGGGAAGAGGAGGAGAGGCGGGGTATAGGATGTTGAATTTGAATATGACTGGTGGGCATGAGACGAAGATTCTTTGGAGTAGTGCAGATGGTGTCAAGTTTAACGTGACGCAGTATGCGGGGCCGGGACTAACGGCCAATTTTGATGTCGTGGATGCATGGAGTTGGGAAGGTGGGAGAGGAGCAAGATGTGAGTTCTGGGCTGATATTGGGAAATGGGTTCCAGAATAGAAGAAATGGGTATTTACATTATTTCTTTTCAATCTATTGATCGGATGCGAAAATTATCATTCCATCAATTAACACTAACTCGAAGTCGAAGAAGGATTACAAGTGAAAGACCCAATCGTGTTATTCCACGGCCCGTATGTCGACAAGTCTGGATAACCTGGGAACTCAATGATCTCGTTGCAACCTTCAGGACTCCTGCAGATATCCGAACAGTTATTACTCCTACTAGCATATCAGCTTCTAACAGTTCGAGTAATAAAACCGAAGAGGAATGGAAAACAATACCTATTCATCCAACATACAACTCCAGGAACCGGCTCCAACGACGACACATTATATGCCCTGAGAAACTAGTCAGAACAGACCTCCAAAGGAATACACATGCTCGAATCTTCGCGAACATACCAAGGCGCAGTGAGTGTTGTGCAGCTATCATAAACAAGCGAAACCGTCATAGCCGTACACTCTCCTTTCCAGTTGGCTTCCGTACATAAGATAACCTTTCCACTTCATCAGCCTTCATCTCATCAGAAGATAAACTCAACATACCTCTCCAGTTTCATTCCCAGACTGCCTCTTAATAATCCCGTTCTCCTCCCCAACCAGTGCAGCAGGAGCCGCCACCGCAACCGCAATAAACAGCGTAATTAATGCTTGTTGGAACATCATCGTGGTTATTCACTAATCTCTTTCCGACTTTCGCAGAACCAGATGAGGGCTTACATTATATATAAACTTTTCTCCTCCTCGTATTCAACTCCACTTCCACCCAACCTCACGTCATACTTCGCGAGGTTGGAGATGTCGATCGGGGGGTCCCTGCATATCTGCATATCCTGCCGGCAGATTCTTCGTTCCCCATCATCCGACTGGGATCCTCATTGGTGACACGCACAAAGGAGATGGCCAATGAGAGCGCTTAGACGTCTCTATTTCAGAGAACAAAGCCGAGGTGAGACTATATGTAGGATAGATTCTGCACATTTCGTGGAACTTGATGCATGATCCTAAGGCGCATTGCAGCACACGAAGAGTCCTTTGAGATATTTCAGACATTTTGATACTTTGGATAAAGGCACATGACGAGGGTTCTTATTGGAAAATCAGCACTTGCTGTGCCTTTGAGCAAAATGTTTGCGAGAGACGACGCGAACGAGCCGCTTGATGATTTACGCTCATCTATCTCCCCTTTGAAAAGAGCGGTGAGTGTTGTCAGTAGGCCGCATTATTGAGGGACATTTGACATCTTCCAGGCGATTCCTTCGTTCGCTTCCAAACACAGCTATAGATGTCCGGCCTGAGATGGCACTTTGAGGCTGAGGAGAGCCGGTAGACAGTTTCATACAACGGTATGGTATTGGTCAATATGGACATTCCAGAAACCAGCATGCGTATTCTTCATAGTCCCCACCAAACCGCTCATACGCCAAATATGCATCGATTTGTGATCCCAAACGCCGTACATGCATAGGATGTAGGTCTGTCCAACCTACAATAACCTCAGCTGTCCAGTGACCTGGTCAATGAGACTGACAGGCCCAGGACCAATACCAAGCACAGTATGACTTCCAGCCGCAATCTGCGTCCTCCCAGCATCGGCAATGACTTCAGCAACCAGACCCAGGCTTATGGCCTGTGCTTGTAACATGTCCAGCTCATCTTCAGTTTTGACCTGCAGTGCGACCTTCATCTGACCCTCTCTCTCCCATCTTCGTAATATGGTTGACTTCGGGTCGTTCTTTAGGAAGTGCTTGTAGCAAGCCAGTGTCGCGTGGCCGCATTGAGCACCAATTTTGCCTATGACAGTCAACTCAATTCTCGGAGTCATTAACAGAAATTACCAACCTTTGGTCATACCCAAGTCCGTCCTCACAATAAGCACCATCTTACATGGCTCCCCCGAATCCACCACCGCAGTCTCCTGCGAAGGCTTTACGACAAGCTGATTGTTCTCCTTTCCCTTCTTCGTCGCGGCAGCAGTAGCTCTCAACCCATCTCTCTTATCAGCCTCAAACCCATTGGCCCAATTGGGCGCATGGTCCAATATGCTCTCATCGATATCCTCTTCCTCGCTCTCTTCCTCGTCATCATAATTCGAGACTCCGCGGGCCGTGACTGCTTTCGACATGAATGGTATTGGTATGAACCCCAAAGAGGACGCAATGCCAATCATGTATCCGCTCACCGCAGCAATGATCGCTGTTCCGATCAGCATCGCCATTGGCGTAGGTGGTGCTCGAATGTCCGCCATAATGTCCTGTTTTCAATTGTCCTTAGGAATTGCCGGAGATTGGTGAAGGAGAAGACGCGATCAAGTCGCGAAATCATCAGAGTGGAAAATTCAGGGGACCGAGCCACCGAGCCCTGTACGTCACCGCGGTGCCTGAGCTTGAAAATAAGGCGTCGAGATCCCGCAGACTGAGGCGCCAATCAGATTTTCTGGGGCTTTGACAGCGCTTGGATTCCGCGAGTGTGCCTGGTGTTCAGGGCATACAAATTGCGAAATGCAACAAACTGCGATAAGAATGGGGTACGATGACAAGGACCTTTTGGTGTTTGTCGTTGCTTGATGAAAGCCCTTCGAGACGTCTTCCGGTGATGCGGTTGGAAGCTTCTGATTCTAAGTAGAAATCTTACAGCAATGCGAGGAAAGAGCCAGTCACAAAATTTTGGCTCATGAGAAGGTCACACCGAATTGAATCACTGCCTACTTTGAAGATGGCCTCAGGCGGAATATGAGGCCAGAAGATTACAGTGAAGCATTTAGTGGCCGAAGCGATCCAGCATGGAGATATGTGTACCTATTGTTGCGAATTGGGTATCAAGCTACATTACCTAGGTATGGTTCTCAAACTCACTTCCTAGCGAACCGACTAAGAGCAGGACCAAGCTCTTGTTCCGACTCCTTCAAGCGTTCCTGCTTCCTTTCCTGTTGACTCTTCCGCAACTCCTCAATCCTCAGTCTCTTCTCATCAATGATGTTCTTGGAGCCCTTCTTTCTGAGATACTTCCTCAGAGAGCTGTTCTTGCCTCTGCCACGATTCTTGATATCCGCAATTGGATCCACTGGTTTCTTGTCCAGATCTTTCTCCGCCTTTCGCTGTTCCTCCGACCTCAAATCCAGGTTGCCGATATAGTCAGGATTGAGAGAGATCATCTCTGGTTGAAGCTTATTCAATAGTGTCCGGACCTCAGTCTCCTGTCGCTGCTTGGTAGTCTCGTAGGGGTTGACTTCCTGAGCATCAAAGTTGGGTTCTCCAGCTCCTGGTACGATGATGGACGAGAATCCAGCATCATGCGAGACACCCAATAGATCCTCAAATGGACACCATTTGACCCTTTCTATCCGCCTACCCTCGCCTCCCCACGCCATATAGGGACTTTGAAGCTTCTCTTGCTCCAGGGATGATTTCGAGAACAGGCCTCTCCATATCGAAGTCTGAGTTCCCCATCCTACGGCAGTCAATCCTCGGTCTGATATCGCAACTGACGTCGCAGGTTGTCTTGTGAAGTAGCTGTTCACTTCCTTGAACATTCTGATGTCCCATATTGACATCTTGAGATCTTGACCCGTGGAGACCATATATCTTCCTTCTCGGTCAACACCCAGTGCTCTGACAGGACCTCGATGTGCCAGTAATTTGACCAATGGTGTTGTCGAGTTGGGCGACCATAGAGTGACTGTGCCGTTCTGGTGACCCATATGAAGGACAGCATTGCGTGGATTCTGAGTAAGAGATGTAGGAGAGCCGAGCTTAGTGGGTATCTCGATGACCATTTGACCTGTAGATGTATCTTGGTACTTCAGGAATCCTGCATTACCCTGATATCGTTAGAAATAGTTAGATAGAAATATAGAGAAAACTTACCACTGTAGCTAAGAGGTAGTGATATGGGAGAAATTCCATGTTCGTGACTTCGATGTGTTTCTTCAAACAATGTATCTCCACACCTGCTCGATCGTATATGTAGACGTATTTTTTCTGTGCCACCACAAACATCTGGTTGTTATGCAGCCATCGAGCATCTCGAACAGTCTCTCCAAGCTGTAATTCGCAACCCAGCTTCCCCTCTCGCCAGTCCATTGTCGCAATGTGCCCTTTTCGGCCTGCGAGAAGCAAATCTCGTCCATTCCGAGTATAGTCACACACATAAGGTCCCAAGGTATCCAGCTTCAGCTCGAATCTCTTCTTCGCGGTCTCGATGGGGACATCTGCTTCAATCTCATCTTGTCGTACTTTGTAGGTCCGTTCCAGCTCTGTTTCTGGTTCGAGGAAACCCTCCGTATTCTCATGCAAAATCTCTGCATCCTTGGCTCGCAAAACAGCGGTTTTGTATTTGCTTTCTAGAGCTTTGAGGTTCCCGCGTAATTTCCTGTCTTTAATGCCTTTCACTGCAGGTTGTCAGCTATTGTACGAGGCACTACTTGACAAGAGTTGAGGAGCACGCTTACATGGAATCTTTCGCCCTCTGCCGTACGCCTTTTCAGCCTCTCTTCTCTGTCGAATCAGGGCAGCATCCGGTGCGGTGGTCGTCGTCAGGTCCAATCTCGCTCTTTTGATCGGCACAGCGCCATTGAAGTGTTGCTCACTGCGGCTAGGCGCATCTATAAGGTCAACATCCATGATTGCCTCTTTAATCGGTCTTTCCTAATATTCGAATTTGAAGACTGAAGCGTTGTCGTGAATTGGTAAAAGTTCAGGCGTGCTCGTCCCAAAATATCGAACTTTTTTAACGCCAAGACCGATAAGGAAGCGATAACGATAGCGCACAAGCAAAATCCAAACATTTTCACCCCACATTGCGACCCCAGCAAAGAATTCCACTTGACTTTTTTGAAATCCTTCATCGTGGCTTCGATACCTTTCAGATTCAAAGCCGGAGGCAACGGCAGTATGCCTTCTTCTACCGTGCAACACTCGCACCGGAGTACCACCAAAGCCTCTCACAAACCATTCAAGTCCAGGAAGGCGAGCAAAGGTGCTCTGAAGGAGATTTCCAAAGGTATGTCTGAAGATAGCTCCAGCATGTAATATGCTAATATACTGTAGGCAAAGTATCAGATTTGAGCCATAGAAAGACACCCCATCAGCAGATGATGTCCAAGTTCGACCGCCGAAACCAAGCCAGGCAAAAACAGCAGAACAAGCACAAGGAGCATTTACGGGAGACGAATGTGTTTGCAGGCCGAGATGGAGCGCCTAGGATTGTTGCTGTTATACCTCTTTGCGAAGATGGAGATGCAGCTGCAGCCGTCCGATCATTGGGAGGCAGTTTGGACATCGAGGCCGAGATCCCAGAAGAAGGCATCGTCAGAACGGATATCGACCGATTCAAGCAGAAAATGCAATATCTCGTTCTCAAGAGAGACTTGATAGCATGCCTAGATGCTGGTAGGGTGGCAGATTTTGTCATATTTATCATGTCGCCAGAGCAAGAGGTAGATGCACTTGGAGAGCTGATCATAAGAAGTGTCGAAAGTCAAGGACTATCAACTCTTTTGACAGTAGTTCAAGGCATGGATAAAGTAGAGCCTGCCAAAAGAAGACCCCAGGTCTTGTCATCGCTCAAGTCATACATCACACATTTCCATCCAGAGCAGGAGAAGGTTCACAACCTAGATTCGAGGCAAGAATGTGCGAATCTTATGCGATCTCTATGTACGACAACACCCAAAGGCGTCAGATGGAGAGATGAACGCAGTTGGCTGCTTGTTGACGAGGTTGAGTGGCCAGAGAATGAGGAAGGACATACCGTTCTGACAGGAGTTGTGCGGGGCAAAGGACTGAAGGCTGACAGGCTGGTCCAGGTTGCAGATTGGGGAGATTATCAAATCGAAAAGATCACGGCGGCACCATTGGCTGTCAAGAAGAGAAAGGTGGAAGAAATGGCAGTCGATGCAGGCAGTTTGGAGAACATCCTAGAGATTCCAAGCTCCGAACAAGATGATCTCGCAGACCTAGCTCCCGAAGAAGTCGTGATGGAGGATGACATCGATGCCACGATGTCTGTTGCGATGACAGACAAGAGAGGAGTATTGTTGGATGATCATCACTACTTTTCTGACGACGAAACACACCTTCCCGCTGTGCCTAAGAGATTACCAAAGGGAACGTCGGCTTACCAAGCGGCTTGGTTTTTGGGTGACAACTTCTCAGATTCAGGCTCCGATTATGAGGAGTTCGATGAGCAAGGAGATGTATCCATGGATGCACCAGCTCTACCTCAAGATGGCGTCGAAGGTTTTGCACCAAGAGAACCTACAGAAGCTGCACCTACCGAATACCCGCAGTCAGAAATGTTCCTGGATCCAAATCCTGACGATGAAGCAGAAGCAGAACAACTAGCCGCTTTTAGAAACAGAAAGGTTGATGAAGCTGCGGATGACCGAGAATTCCCGGACGAGATCGAGCTGCATCCACATGTTCTTGCAAGAGAAAGATTGGCACGATATCGAGGATTGAAGAGTTTGCGTACGAGTCACTGGGAAGAGGACGAAGACAAAGCACATGAGCCAGAAGAGTGGAGACGACTGCTTCAGGTGCCAGATTATAAATCGGCACGAAGTCAAGTCACTCGTGAAGCTCTTGTTGGAGGTGTACCAGTTGGAACTCGAGTCCACATCCATCTGCGAAATGTCCCTACCTCTGTCAGAGCTTCATACAATCCATCGTGCCCACTTAGCCTCTTCTCCCTTTTGCGCCACGAGCACAAACGTGCAGTTCTCAACTTCAACATTACTCTCAGCTCCGACTACCCTTCACCAATCAAGTCAAAAGAAGAGCTGATTATGCATTGTGGCCCACGCCGTTTTGTTATCAATCCCTTGTTCTCCCAAGGAGGCACTACGCAAAACGATGTACACAAATTCGACCGCTACTTGCATCCTGGCGCTTCAGCCACTGCCACATTTGTAGCGCCACTTACATGGGGATCAGTGCCTACACTGTTCTTCAAGCGTAGTCTACCAGCCGATGACATGGACGACGATGAAGTTTCGAATCTTCCTCTCACGCTCATCGCCACCGGCACCTCTCTCCCACCATCATCGTCCCGCGTCATCGCTAAACGAATTATTCTCACTGGTCACCCATACAAGATCCACAAGAAGCTTGTCACCATTCGGTACATGTTCTTTAATCGTGAAGATGTGGAGTGGTTCAAAGCACTGCAACTTTGGACCAAGCGAGGACGAAGCGGATTCATCAAAGAGAGTTTGGGTACTCACGGGTATTTCAAGGCTACATTTGATGGGAAGATCAATCCTCAAGATTCAGTAGGTGTTAGTTTGTACAAGCGAATGTGGCCGAGGAATGCAAGGACTTGGAACCCTGCTGTTGAGCTGGCAGGAGAGGAAACGAAGGATGAGGTTATGGATGTTGATGCTGATGCTGATGGTGGAGTTCCGGTTTAGATTACAAAATAGATGATATGGATGTCATGAATTCTCTTTGAAGCAGAAGTAAGATTCCAAGATCTCATCACCACCGTGCCCACACCAGCCATAGTCCTCGTCACAACATGGCAGACTGACTAAACCTGATCGTTTAAAAATCCCTTCCATCTCATTGCATCCTTTCTTCACTTCTCTGTGCCATCAGACTACCCGTGTGTGCCGTCCCAGTAGTTGTGTTCGATCCTAAAGTCGTCTCTCGAATCCAATCCCTCGTGTCGTCAATTTGTTTGTTTCCATTCTTCTCTTTCGGCTCCGAGGAAGTGATCGAAAGTATTTGTCGCCCAAAACTCGAGATCGCTGGAGTAACTCCCCACGTTGAAGTTACCTAAACCACCTTAATATGCAACATTGAAACACGTAAATCACCACTTACGACATATTCTAAGGCTGCATGATTTATATCTTCATCTTGGCGAGCGTGTTGCGTTGGAGGCTCGAGCGTTTCTCCCAACTGGTTGGTGGAGGGTCGGCTTTATGTTTTGGGGAGTCCTCGAGATGTTGGAGCATGGAAATCTCGCTCTTGAAGGCCCTTGAGCATGTGCAGATGATTGGACTCATATTTTTGCGGTGGATAGATGGCAGACAATACACAGCACATCTCAAGAGGTTTTATGTGACCTACTGTTATGGTAAAGCTACGAGGCAAACGAGAGTCAAACGCTGAGTCATCAAGAGAACAAGGTCTTGAGGCGAGTCTGACTGCATTGTGATTTGATTATTGGTCAAACAGAGCGATAGGCATATCTAGGAAGGCAGAGCACATGAGTCGAGGGTCACCGCAACCCGTGGAATCCAAACAAACTTTGCAGATACAACGGAGCAAACCGATGTCTCCTATCTCGGTAATTCCACCAAGCAAACCTCGAATACCAGAAGGGAGGAAAGAATGAATACGGAATGGAAAACTCCAGTGGGCTCAAAAAGGATTTCGAAATGTGATTAAAAAATATCAAAAAAGTATGAGGTGTCCGAGATAAACTCGGGGACATGAACTCAAGAGCGCTTTACTCTCTGACGGGGAGTCGAACCCCGATCTCCCGCGCATTGTCATATGACAAGCGGAAATCATGACCGTTAGACCATCAAAGATTTTTGGGTGGTGGTGCCAAATTTTTGCACAATTTGTTATATGATGAGGACTAAATCTTTATCTTCCTCATTATGTCATCATGCCCAACGATACTTCACATTCTGTATTCTTTTTCACTTTTTTCAACTTCAACATATCACGATTTGGGTTCTTCGACTGTTCGTATGATCAAAATTTCCACTTGTGGGCTGACCCCTTGCCGCTGGGTTGTCGCGCCAATCCAACTGTCCGTGTGGCCTCAAGCGAGATGCCTGGAAACCGTAAAACCATTTCTCGTTCCCTCGTGCTTTTCTGTAATTCGCGCCTCGAAGCAACGTCTGTGATCACGATCATTTTGCACGCTTTCGTTTTGCTCCGTCCACAAATCAATTGTTGCGAATTCTTATCCGCACCTGAAGTTTCGAAGGGCGAAATAGTAGCGGGGATCGTTTGTTGTGCTTATACCGTTTCTCGACTTTCGTCATGATATTTACAGATACTCAAGCTATCAAGATACCAAGCTATCAAGATACCAAGATATCACACTGTCAATGTTGTCAGGAAGTTTCACCGCCCAAGCCCCAACATGTCCCGTCCTCTTCGCATCATCCCTGCTGTGTGCCTGTCTTCATTTCAGCCCTTCTCACTCTTTTCAAAATCCCTTCTCATCTCCCTTCCCCTCCTCGCACCAATATCAAAGTTTTTCCAACTCTGTTCGAACTCCTTTTCATCAACCTTGGACAAAAAACCGCAGGCATGGCTACTCTTCTTGCTAAACGCGAGGCCATTAAATCCAAACGCACACAGATCAACGACTCTGCATACTTTTTGAAACGTTTTCGGGTCCCATCAAGAGCACAATATCTTGCCCAAGAGGAGAATTGGGACAGGTGAGCTACCCTCAGAGTGCACTATAATCAGATCTCATCCCCTCTCGTTCCTAGTTTTGAAAAGGAAATGGCCGAACCCAATCTCGTCCCCGATACTGATAACCTTCGACTATTTGCATGGTGGAGCGCATCAAAGAGTAAAGGAAGGCTAGCCGAGAAAGCGGATATCAAAACATTGTGCTTCAATATGGGGAGATTTCAACGCTTGTATAATGCTTGCCATAAATACCAGATACCGGACGAAGATCTCAAGGATGTTAGGGAGGTGAGGAGCTGCTACCTTGGAATCGTGCACCGAAGCTTACTAGTTGTAGTATATCAGGACGGACGTAGCAGAAGAACTCGGACTCCAAGATCAGGAAATGCCTAAAGGGTATGCCGACTGGGAGGATATCAAAATTGTCATCCGCTATATCATAGCGGAAGATGCACACGTCTATATCGATAAACGATTCCGGGCTCAAATTGTGTGCATAATACTGCTTGTGGCCGAGAATGGCGAGCGGCTTGGAGCTATTGCACGCTCGGAATCCTATCGCCAGGAAGATATAGCACTGTGTTACAAGGTAGCCACAGCAATGCCAAACAAAAGCGACTAGACTGACTTGTGCGTGGAGGACGTTGAGCTCTTTTTACGACCTGCTTCCGACGAACATCCTGGTCCTAGGATCAAGATGAGCATCACGTACGACAATCGTAAAAACGAACGTGACAAACATGAGAAGTAAGTTTCTTGCAACATACCAGGGACTTTTATTCTCATCTAATCCTTGTGAATTGCAGTTATGTGGAAACCTACTTTCAGCGGACTGACCTTGCCCATTGCACCATTCTGTGGTTCTTGGTTTTGGCTTTTTTGGATGATGCTTTCGATCGTGAATAAACTCGCCTGCGGATCTCTTCAAAATGAAGAACTCTGGAATTAGCGATATTCCTATCCGCTTCAAAAGAGACAAGCTGCCGTTGCCAATCTTTCGGAGGCTGAGTGGAGGTGCCGACCGAAAGCTATCACCCAACCTTCCGTGGGGCTGCAGCTCCGTGAACTCAGAAGCCCAAAGGATTTTTCGAGAAGTGGGTTTTGAAGGACGTTATACCTTCTATAACTTGCGCCGAACAATGGGCAATACACTTGATGACTGTAAGTCAATCACCCGCACGTGGGACTGAGCTGAACCTCCTATAGATGGCACTAGCATAACCCGGAGGAAGAGAATCATGGGGCATCATGGCAAATCGGACACAATCTTTCGAAAAGCTTACCAGTCTCGAAAGAATACCGTGGACACTGGAAATATTTTTCGCAAAGAGAAGCCACGACCGGAGAAACAAGAAGTGCTTAGTATGCATCTGCGGATGGATACAGATGTACTCGAAGCTCCAAAAAGTCTCTTGAAGCAGATTTTGGAACACGACGCAGAAATCAAGGAAATGTGCAACACAAGAAATTTAAGGTTAAGCGATACCTAGGGCCATTGTATTATGTCACAGCATCCGTGCTCGGACTCTTTGGATAACTTTAAATTGACTACTCTTTGAATTACGTTGGTTAAAGGGAAAGCGTCTTGATTATATTATTAGAAGAGAAACGAAGCTTCTAGAATATTCTAGCCTAAATAATCTAGTTATGCTTAGAAATTAGTTATAGCACAGGTATAGTATATAAACATCACCTCCCCCAAGCCCCTCTTTATCAAAGTTAGAAAAATATATATAATATAATTCGAAGGCTACTCTATGAAAACAGCTTTTCAAGCCCGTAAAAATCTTCGGGATCAGGTGCTCCATGTGTTACTAAGAGCCGTACTACCCCTTCATGCCCACCAAGTGCCGCTAATTGTAAGGCAGTCCAGCCACTTTTGTTCTCTATGCTAACATTAGCGTCCGTGGCGAGTAGCAGCATAACGACGGCCTCGTGGCCGTTCCTAGCAGCCCACGATAGCGGCGTCTGGCCGTTCTCTATATCCTTCGTCTCGAGCTCGGCGTTTTTCTCGAGCAGCAGCTTCACCACGGCCTCGTGCCCGCTCC